CATATACATTCCGCCCCCTTGAACCCAACACCATCTGCTTGATCGACTAACTCGTAACCTCCCCCGAGCCGTCATGCCTGTAATAGTACACACATCCATCCGATTCCTCAATTCATCACCATTCCTCTACAAACTTTTCATACTCCAGAGCCCCCAATCCCCAGATCCGAAGACTCAAATCGAGCCAGATTCCGAAGAGCTCAAATCAAGACACATCTCCTTGATCCATTCCACATCTTCCCCCGAAACCATCCCCCATCTTCAGCCCCTCCTAAACCTCCCGCCCCCATTAATGTATGTCCTCGATACATCTAGAGCCATCCTCGATACATCTAGAGACTCCCTGATAGATAGATAGATAGATAAATAGATAAATAAATAAGTAGGTAAGTAAGTAGGTAAGCAAGCAAGTAGACCCCATTCTTCCCTAAAACCCCCCAAAATCAAGACACATCAGAAGTACATCATATATATTCCAGCCCACAGACACCCACATCCGCCCAACACCTCCAACAACAATCCCACACTCCCTATCCTTGCCACCCTTCTTCACCTGCCCACACTCCTGTAATATGACACATCCCCTTTAAGACAAACAGACAGAAACTCTGCTTCCTTCTCAGAGCCCCCGATACACCGAGAATCCTTTCGGGCTCCGGCATCCAGCACTTCCACCACCCACAGTCAGTGCCATCCATCCCACCTCACAGCCCTCTCCTTACCCAATCAGTCGGCATCTCAGAGCCCCTGTGTCTGCCACAGCCACGCCAAAAGATCCCCCGATGTCGCCACAATCAACAGTCTCCCACAATCACATCCGGCAACCTACAAAGCCTACGACAGACAACCGAATCCTCTCAGCCCATCAGAAGACCCGTTCCCCCTCCACAATCCCCCCCGCACCCAGGCACATTTCTGCCCCGAGATCCTGCCGCCAATCCCCCCATTCATAACCCATATGTGCAAGGATCGCCAACACACATCCCGCCCACAGATCCAACACAACCGTGTCAAAACACCGCTCGCAAAGTTGACCTCAACTATCGCGAAAGGGCCTTTGCACAGGAGGAGCACCATGGGACGCCACAGGGCCGCCTATCACCGATGCTATAGGAGATCAAGCAAAGAATCGTCCGCCATCATCCCTTGCAAGACAAGAACCTACTCGACGGTATCAGAAACGGCCTGGAGACAAACGAACCCAAGCCCCAACGAACTGCTGCTGTCGATGCTGCCACCAGTGCCTCGACGCCCTAGAGGAGGCTGTCGTCCACTTCACGCCCCTCTTCTAAACAAGATGCCACAGACTTTTCCTGCTGCTTCCGAGCGGCCAATGCCCTCTCGACGACTATCCAAGGCCACTCAAAACGTTCAAACACGCCCTTCGGAGCGCCCTGCCCCATGTCACCGAAGGCCCGGACCAAGAGGTCCAGGAGGTCGAGATCCCCCAGAGGCTTGCCATCCTTGGTCTCTTGGCCCCGAGCTTGGTCTCTTGGCCCCGAGCGAGGTGCAGTTCGACTGCCTCGAAGCCAGCCGGACCTGGAACACCTTCATCGGTGCATACACGAAATAAGCCTCAAGCCCTCTACCTTCCCCATGGCATTGATACGCCTCTCTTCAGAGACAGTCAGGCGAGCCGTCCAGAAAAGCCGATCGCCAAACGTCCCAGAACCCCAGAGAGCGCAACCCCACGAGATTCTTCGGGATGCCACCACCGCCTTCGACTCCCTGCCCAAAAGCTCAAGTCCCTCAGGACATCATGTGCCCAAGCCGTCGATGATCTTCAAAGGAATCGAGGCCTTTTCTGCTGCATTCGATGAACGATGAACTAAGCCGGATGCTGCACGAAGCAGAGCATGCTGCACGAAGCAGAGAAGAACCCGTCCGCCCGAACGAAAGGACTGCCAATCTCGGAAGGGCCCTCTCCCCTCATAAGACTGCGTGGACTCCCATGCTCCATGCTCACTGCCATCCGTGCTTTCCTTCACCTTGCTAACCAACGACGAAACCAGGGCGAACACAGGATCAAACACTGCACCGTACTCGCCGCGCCATCACGCACCAGATCCGGAGACTGCACCGAGCTATTTGATGACCGTGCCCACCGCCCTGCCGAATGCCCACCGCCCTGCCGAATGCCCATCAATCAGCCCGCGACTACTCCACTCCATGACTGCACAAGAGGCTCCGGCGATACGACTGCCACTGCTGCTCATAGTCGGCTGAACACACGTCCCCCAGCGCCTGCCTGCTTGCCCGATTAAAGACATGTGAATATCCCCTCTTGAGCATCCGTGTGCTGGGCAGCAGTCCTTGCACGTCTCCGATCGATGGCCGCGCCCACCCAACTCCCCGAGACTGCCAAGCCAAAGCACTCCAACCAATCTGAAGCCGGTCCAGCCCCACTGGCTTCTCCAACAGCCCCCATGCCACGCCCTGCATCCCATCTAGCACCCATGCCTTCAGATCATCCAGACTTCCGATCCAAGTCCGCTCGTCTTAGATGCCAACCGCCCCGTACAAACAACTGCGGCACATTCAAACAACCACCGTCAGTCGCTGCCACTAGCCGTCCAAAGCCAGGCAACCCATTCCTCCAGCCCCCAACCAAAGGCACGCCTCCCCCAAAGAAGAAGAAGAAGAACCACACAGAAGGATGCCACACACACGAAGCCAATCCAGAACCAAACACCAAACACACAGAAACAGAGCCCCCAATCATCTCCCACTGCCCTCCTCCACATCCAGGGCCCACTGCAACCCCGAATCTCCTCCCTTGCCCAAACCCCACTTCATCATTCTGTCAAAACACCAGAGACAGCCCCAGCTTGCCCCCCAACGTCCAAACATGGTCCATATTCCCGAAACACCCCTCCAAAGACGTCACAGCCCAAGTCAAATCCCAATCCGTATCCCACCGAGCCCCTATAACCTATCAACCGCCAAGACCTACTACTACCTCCAACCCCCGTATCTCCCAATCCTATCACATGAAATCCATTTCATCGTACCTCTCCTTTGCCCATATGAACATCACACACACAACAGAGCAGCACGCCGAGAACCAGCCACACTGGAAAACAATCCTCGACATCGCTCCATTCGTCTCAATTACATTCCCAGCCATCATGTGCCTCATCTTCGACGAAGACAGTTTTGAAGAGAGTCCTTTCCTCAGGTTCATTACACTACTCCTCCCCTTCTCATACTCAGCAGTACAGTATGCCTTACTCTACACCAACTGGAAGTCACATAACAAACCAGAGCCCATCCTGCACACCACACTCTACTACACACTCAGTCTCCTGCTTCTTGCATTCACCATCATCTCCATCCTTTCAATCATTCCATTCTCCCTTAATGAATGGGATCATGCTGCCTCATTCTTCTACCCTATCGTCCTCCCCTCTTTTACCGTCCCACCTGCCTATCTCCTTTCCAGCTCCTACTTCCTTGTCCCACGACAGATCCGGCTCACAGACACTGTTATCAGCATACTGATATCAGTATGCAGTATAGTAAATGTGCTACTTGTGTTCAAGGAATTCAATTACTATCCTTACTCTGCAATAATATCCTCCATCTCCGTCCTTCTACAACTACTCAGCGAGAAGCACTGTCTATTCAAGCAGAGTCCTCCATCTACTGCATCATCGAGGGCTGCCGTTCTTATCCTCACCCTCATCCTTGCTGTCCTTGTCTACACATTTCTGGGGTATGGAGCCATCTACATCCTGGATGACCACTTCCACCTACTTGGCAAGATGAAGAGTATCCTTCCATCAGAACCTCACCAATAAACCCCTACCTATCTACCGACGTCCTTACCAGCCCCACACCAACACAGACAATCTTCAACAACCAGGCGACAGCCCATTCCATTCTTCATCTAATCACCACACAAGCACAGGGAGGAGCATGGATTGGCATATGCGCAAACACACTCTGCAGCCCCGTTTACCAACATCGTAATTCCATCGTCCCCACTCTCCTCCCCCAGATACTCAACAGTTCGTAGTCTCAACTCATCATCCTCATCCACCCCAACAACATCCTCTGCTATACCACTACCACATACACTCTATAACCGACCTCAAACAGCACTTCCTTGAAAACTCCAACACCCAAGCCCCACCACCCACGACTCCGACATCCAATCCAGATCCCTTTAGTCTATCAAAGCCTGCCCGTCTCCATCACCGAAAAACTTTTCCCATTTCTGATCCCATCAAGGAACTTTCTCTCCGTATTTCCCCCGAGCAAACCACATACCCCATCCTCAACCTCTTCTACAGCCAGCCACATCCCCTCTCCTCCATCAATCTATGTCCCATTCCAACAACCCGCTAAGCCCAACATATATCTCCCCTCCAGGCAACCCAGAGCTCTTCATCAACTATCACCTTCAATCCAGCTCAGTCCGAGACTCCATTCACCACTAACTAGAATCGAAGTCGAAAAGAGAAGACCAAGACCCACGTCCTTGCTCCTTCATGCCACTGTATGTCCATCTCCCACATCCCCAGAACACATCCCTCACTATCTGCCTTGCCATCATCTATGGCCCATCTCCAGGAGGCTGCTCTCAATCCTGAATGCCCCCATTCGACCAAATCTCCGCCCTAGCCATCCCATCAAAACAACACACATCTATCATATTTATTCATTCCCTTCATATTACCGCATCTCAGGAATCTCAGAACAGCAAGATTCCGAACCATCCAGAGACGAGGAGCTCCCTGCATCCTCCCCTACCTCGTCTACATCATTTCCCTTCACAATCAACGGCCTTGCATTCTCTCCTGTCTTCTCAGACCAGTGGACCTGAACAGAAGGTGGTAGATCACGCCCTCCCTCTTCTTGAAAAGCCCTCCCTCTTCTTCCCTCTCCCAAAAGTACCCCAAGAGCCGCCACCTTCCATCTCCCGCCCCCCCCCTGTACTTACCTGTCCGGACAAAAAACCCGTCACACATACTTGTCGGCAGCGAGCGGCCTATTAACTATCTCCTCCTTCTTTTCCCTGATCCATAGCCTTTCCTGTACTCCTTAACCTTCAGAAGCATCTCCACCTCTCCTCTCTTCTTCCAAATACACCAAACCTCTGGCTCTCCCTTCCCAACCTTATCCGCCATATCGCTGATCTGCCCAAACGCTCCATTCACCACGTCCGCAAACCTCATTCCACATCTCCCTTTGGCCTCCTTGTACGTCCCAGCACCATCAAACCTCTTGAAATGCGGACTTTCAAACGCCTCACGTATCAGATCCGGAGCCCTGCTGCTGTCTCCAAACACGCATATATATGCTACCGACCGAAGTGCCAAATATGGGAGTAGCCCGCCAACTGGGAAGCATATGCCCTTTCTCCTGCATCCAACCGGAGCTAGATCCGAGTCTCTAAACCCGCCCCCTTCTTCAAGCGATCCTTTCAACATCTCTATCTTCGACCTGCTAAACCTCCAGCCCAACCCATCCTCAAGCTTCTCACCTCCTCCACCATCCGAGAGACACATGATATCCCAACCAGCACGACTGTACATGCCAATAACCTTCACATCTTCAAGGGCCCGCTGTCTCCCACACCCGTGCACTGCTCCTTTTCGCCCTCCGACTAAGATCCTTCTCCCCCAGAGGCCATCGACCAAACACACATCCATCACCTGCACTGGACAATATCACACAATATGTCTCATGAGGAATTCATTCCACCAGGAACAGAATCCAATCCATCTGCATCCCCAAAGCTCTTAGATCCCCACTGCCTCCCAACCCTCTTACTCCAAGCCTCCGCACAACCCCACAAATATCCCATACCATAACACAAATCTAACGCCCCCACACACCCAATCATATCAATATATCCATTTCATCCATATTTCTCCTTTACCCACATGAACACCACACACATTCCAGAGCCACACAGAACAGAGCAACACACCGAGAACCTGCAACACTGGAGGAAGATCCTCGACATCGCTCCAATCGTGTCAATTGTATTCCCTGCCATCATGTACTTCATCTTCACCAAAGACAGTTTTGAAGATAGCCTTTTCCTCAGATTCATTACACTACTCCTCCCCTTCTCATACTCAGCAGTACAGTATGCTGTACTACTCCACACCAACTGGAAGTCACATAACAAACCAGAGGGCATCCTGCACACCACATTATACTACACCCTCAATCTCCTATTTCTTGCATTTTCCATCATCTCCATCCTTTCAATCACTACACTCCCCATTAATAAATGGAAAAATGATGGTGGTCCAATTTTATTTTCTATCTTCCTTCCCCCTCTCTTCATGTCACCCACCTATCTCCTCTCCACCTCCTGCTGCCTTGTTCCAGGACAGATTGGATTCACAGACACCGGTATCAACATCCTTATCGACATCCTGACACTACTATGCTCTGTAAGAAGTCTATTACTTATCTTAGAAGAATCCGAGTATTGTTATTGCTTTGCAGCCATATCTTCTATACTCATCCTGATACGACTGCTCAGGGAGAAGCACGGCCCATCCGAAAAGAGTGCTCTGCCTACTGTGCCATGGAGAGTATCCATCCTTGTCCTTATACTCATCTTTGCTGCTCTTATCTACCTATTTATGATGTGGGTATCTATCGACATCCTAAGTGATCACTTTGACCTGCTTACCAAGGCAAGAAGTACCCCAGTATCAGAACCTGGTCAATAAACAACTCTTCATCTGTGACATGTCCTTATACCAACACAGACCATTCCACTCTTCAAGAAACCTTCCTTTCCACCTCTCTCCCCTAGACACATCCAATAACAATCTAGTATCCACAACAATATACTCCAGATGTCACTGCTAACCCTGCCACACTGAAAGAACCGCTGTGTTGATCCTCCCACAGAAAGCAATGTCCCACAAGCACATCCTCCAACCTACAAAGCCTCTGATGACCGATGACTGTCCTCATCAATTCTGGCCATCAGAATCTATCTCATCCGACTCTCTGTAATAGCTGTCACTAGATAGACACCTTGCCTGGAAATCCTTGTGCCATGTCACCCACCATTGGTCCACTCTTACAACTCCTATTCATCATTAGCCACATCTGAAAAGATTATTAATCGGATATATCCACCCACCGATGGAACAGATCAGCCGTATTAAAACAACACTTGACGAAGTTGACCTCGACTATGATGAAAGAGCCTTTAGAGGTCCAAGTGTGGAAAAACTATGGGTCCGTGCATTCTGGCTTATTAGTGATATTGTAAAATGCGAAAAGATGCACCCTGCCATTGCCTGCTACAGAAACCTACTTGATAGTATCCTCGAGGACTTGGAGGAAAAAGGACACCCCGAAGGAATTACTGCTGTCAATGCAGCCAAGGATGCACTAAGGGCCTTAGAGGATGTTGTTAACCGCAAATGTCAAATTCTTAGTCTTAGTAAAAAAGCATACGGCACCGAGTTTCCCTATTACTTTGGAGCAATTGACGGGTATCTTAAGGACTATCCAGGGCTACTCAAAGCGTTTAAAGATGCACTTAGGAAAGTGTTGCCGCACGTCCGTGGAGACCTGAAGGTTAAAGTGAATGAGATGAAGTTGGAGGCTGCCATGTCTGATTTCTTAAAAGTTCAGAAGAAACGGTTTGATGGAGAGAAGGTCCAAGAGAGGCCTTCCACTTTGGATATCTATAAGTATCTAATGAACGAAGTGAATGAAGTGGAGGTCCCTTTGGAGTCTGTCATTCGCGACCTCTTAGGGACTGAAGGGAGTTATAACTTTGAAGCCAACTGGAGCTTTTACAGTTATCCTCGAGATATAAATGAAGCAGCCCTCTACATCCTTCAACGATACTTCCAGCACGACATTGATGAGGCTTCTCTTTCCAGGACAATAAAGAATGAGCTGGAGTGTCTAGAAAAGGTGATCTCCAAGGTTCCTAAATCCTGGAGAGCGCGACTACAGAGGATTCTTCGAGATGTCAGGACGGCCTTTGACTCCCTTGCCCAAAAGCTCGAAGCTCTCAGAACATCATGTGCCCGAGTCATTGATGATGTTAAAAGCAATGGAAAGTCTTTTTCTGATGCATTCAGTGAACTAAACGGAATGTTGGGTGAAGCAGAAAAAGGCCTGTCTGACCTGAAGGAAAGGATCTCCGATCTCGAAAAGGTCCTTCCCTCCTCTCCCCCGATGAAACTATGTGAACTCCTATGCTTTATGTTCATTGCCATTCTGGCCATCCATAGTTTTCTTCACCTTGCCGAGGATAAAAACAGCAGGGTGAAGACAAGATGGAACACAGCACTGTACTCACTAGCTGTGGCCGGGACCATCATGCACCAGATGTGGGTACTGTGGGGGGGGGGGTGGAACTGGCATGAGGATGGGACAAGTGATGTGTTGAGGAATGTATGGAGTGTGCTTGGATGTCTGGCTCCTGTGGCAGTGGAGCTTCTGAATGCTGGCTCTATCGAGAGTGGTGTGTACAGCCTGACGGTAACTGGAGTTAGTGTTGCCTCGATGTGTGGACAGCGTCTCATCCAGTGTGGGATGAGCTGGAAGCAGATGTGTGTGTTCTGTGCCGCGAATGTGCTATTGGCAGTGGCATGCTTTTCTGAGCCTTCCAAGCACCCCCTGCTTGGCACATATGGGCGGTGTGGCATGGTATGCATTGGGCTTATTGTGCTTATTGCTCTTCTACTTCTTGTGTCGTACATGGACGAAACTGATGGAGAAAAGGCATCCGCAGGTGGGAGTGGGGCTGTTGTGATGAACTGCCTGTTTGTGATGAGTGTGGCGGTCACCACCTTTGCATCGTGGGTATCAAGCCGGGACTACTTCATGACGTGCAGGAGAGGCACCGACGATATGACTGGTACTGCTGCCTCATAGCGGGACTGGACACATGACTCCCCGAGGCCTGACTACTTACTCGATTAAAGCCATGTGAATATCCTCTGTTGAGCATCTGGCCGTGTGCTGGGTAGGAGTCCTTGCACGGAGTTCCTCTCCGATCGATGGGTGTTCTGTTTCATCGAACGGGCCTGATTTTCTACTGTGGGAGGAGGGAGGAAGAGTCCCAGAAGTACTGGTGGCAGTGGATTGCACCCAAGCATGGTCCATTGCAGGATTGGCAAGACCCGGACTACAACGATGAGTGAGGATGTGCGGAGATGCAGAGTCATTGAAAGCATGTAGCTGTGAATGGATAACGCCCACGGTCAATTCTCATATTAATCCTTCTCCAGGTTCTCCAACAGCATCCGTGCTATTACGTCTTATCTAACGCCCAGGACACAGACCTCACAATCTTCTCGGCACCCTTTCCCTTGCTCGGTCACATCTCCGATTCGTCTATTCTATCAATATATCCATTTTATTCACACTTCTCCTTTACCCGCATGAACACCACACACACAGCAGAGCAACACACCGAGAACCAGCTCTATTATGGGAGGGGGTACAATACCCAGAGATCTTGCAGTGTTCATGTCAATTGCATTCCCAATGGTTCTCCTGTTCCGTGCCAGTTGGAAAGAGAGCACCAAACCAGAGGGCGCCATATACAAAGTACTCCGACACTTCTCCAGTGCTCTCTTCATCACATTCGCTGTCACCTCCATTCTCTCAGTCATTGCATTTGCCATCCATAACTGGAAATATAATACTGTCTCCCTTTCCCTTTCTATCATTTTCCCCTCTCTTCTTTTCCCTCCCACCTATCTCCTCTCCACCTCCTGCTGCCTTGTTCCAGGACAGATCGGGTTCACAGACACCGGTATCAACATCCTCATTGACATACTGATATTAGTACACCCCATGGCGAATTTAGTATCTGTGCGCAGAAGACCCTACCGCTATCCTCACTCTGCAATCATATCCTCCATCTTCTTGATCATCATATTTACGCCTGACAATTTGAATAATGGGGCTACAGCCTTCTGCTCACAACTCTCCCCTCCTTATCTGGATCTGCAGCCCATTTTCTCCGTGCTTTCTGCGTCCAGGCAGCACCACATCCCCGCTTTTCTACTAGCACTAGCGTGCCCCATAATGGGTCTAATCCCGATGATTAAAGATTCGAGTACTATCCCCATTTCGCGATTGCCTCTCCTACCCTCCTTCTGATAAAGCCGTCCAAGGAGAGATACCTTGTTCCCCGTATACACACGAAAGGGGCCCGGGCCTGCCGAAGCATGGAGACTTACCCACACAACCACTCATTCATTCAATCACTCTATCCAGAAGATAACTCGAGACAGCATCCAGGTAATAAGCCTTTACCCTATTTATTCATAATCTATAGACATCCCATCACAGAACCTCCGCCTTCTGTAGAACAGTAAGACTCCGGAGAACCTCGCTGGTGTCCTTGGGATTCCGATACACTATCTTAAAGGCATCTCCGCCCTTCACTATTTCAGATCGGACACCCTTTGGATACTCAAACCCAGACATGTCAGAGAGCTCTCCTGCCCCCTCTTCTAGCCCTTCCACATCGTCTCCCTTCCCAAACGAGGACCTTGCGCCCTTTCCCGCCTTCTCAGTGTCCATGGCCTTGAACATCAGGTGGTAGATCACACTCCCTTCTCCCTTGTCCCTATAAAGCCCAACCTCCACCTTCCCCACTTTCTTCTCTCCACCCTCCTCAAATATCCCAACCCCCACCATCTTCCATCTCTCGGTCCCGTCCTTCATATATCTATTTGTGCTTACAAAAAACCTGTTGGCATCCAAGCTCCTGAGAAGCACGCAAACCTCTATTATATCATGTACCTTCTTCTGCTCCTCGATCTCCTCAATCGATTTATTTCTCCACTTCTCCTCACTTCCCTCATCCAACTCTGCCTTGATCCTCTCGGCACTCTTCGTCCACCGGAGAACCCTCTTGTGCACCTTGTAACGATGTCCTTTGCTTCTACTCTTTTTTTTCGAACTCCTCTCCTTACTTCGGGCTCCTCCAACTGCCATCTCTTCCAAGGAAACTTCTGCTTCTGCACTCTCCTCAACCTCTTCAGAATCTTTCTTCTCCTCTTCCATCTTCGCCGTGACTTCGCCAGACCCTTTCTTGCCTCCTTTCTTCTTCTTCCCTTTGCCTTTGCTCTTTTCCTTCTCCTCCATCCGAAGCAGCTCCAAAGCATTCCTAAGGCTTTCCTCCTCTTTTTTCCTTCTTTCCTCCTCCCCTCTCATCTTTTCTGCCTCTTCCCTCTCCCTAACCCCGCATACAGTATCGTTAACACTTTCATCATTGATATCCTTACCTTCCAAAAATACTCGCAAAAATAATTCTCCCACGATATCCATGCTTTTGTATTTCTCATATGTGCTTACCAGGCTGCAATGGTCCACATAATCAAATAACGGCTCGTCTATATCACCGTGTTTCGATACTTCCACCGTTTTTGAATGCAGATACCTTGAATATGCCTCTATAAGAAAACTCGCTCTATCCTCTGGTCTCCTCCAGATGTATGTACATGCATCACACACAATTTCCTGTGCCTTGATTATCTCCTCTTGCTTTTCCTTGGTACACAAGCTTTCTCCATACTCCTTGATTATCTGAAGCATCTTCTCTTCTTTCCTCTTCTCCTCATCAGATAGAGAGCTTGATATCTCTTGAATCTTTGCCCCTGCTTCCTGGGCAAGCCGCTGCCCAAACCTATTCAACATGCCGATATTATGCCGAAATGTCCTCATCACCACGTCTGTAAACCTCATTCCACACTTCCCTCTAGTTCTCTTGTAGAGAGTAACAGGATCAAAACCTTCGAAAGAAGTTGTTTTGAAAATTTCATTCATTAAATCTATAGTCCAATCGCTATCTCCCGGCACATATATGCATGTTATCGAGTTCCATACTAATATTGGAAGCATTTTAACGACCTTTTCGACATATTCCCTTTCTCCTTGCTCTATGTCCTGATGTCTTGTAACTGGAGATATCACAAGCCTTCTGCCGTGAAAAACAAATGGAATTAGTACTTTTGTATCTAAACCAACAACTTCTTCTATTGTTTCTCTTATGATTTCAAGTTCAGCGCCGCTAAGTTCATGAGAAAGAGCTTTTTCGTACCTTTTCTTTACCTCTTCTATTATTTTTTCGATCCTTGAGGTACATAATATACCAACCAAATCAAGTACCCACAATGACCATATACTCATAGTTCTACGGGGCATCTATTCATCAGATTCATGCTATTACTCCTTTTTGTCTTTCTTAGAATGGCCCAGTCATTAGTAGAATTCGTTTTAGTAGTACCTATCGTATAGTATGTTCCAAAAAGATCAGGAATAGAATTTCTATCAATCCATGGACCTCTGACATCTTTTACGTAATCCATTGGATAGCATTGCGTGCATACAATAAGCTTGACCATTCCTGTATTTGTAAAGTCTTATTTCACTTCTTTATAAGGAGTGAACTGAGAATTCTTCTTTATAAACACACAGAAAAGTAGTTTATTTCACTATCAATGGCTTTACTATGCAGGCATTGGTATTTACAAAGTGAATTGGTCTCACACTCTCCACTATATCGCTATATTTGTACCCATTGATGACTCTTGACGGATCAGTAGTAGATGTGCCTGTTCTCTCGGCTCTTACTTTTGCGTAAAGCATATCCATAGTGTTCTGTGATTTTGAGTAGAAGAGGGAGATATAGTGAAGTAACGTATATACTATGTGATCCATAGCATTCAAGCGGGATTGAGCCTCTGACTCTATTTTTATAGGAATCTTTTCCGCCTCTGGGTCCACAAACTGCCTTATGTACGATATGTATTTTTGTTCCTCTTCAGTAAAGTTAGTTGAAGTGTGGTATTTTGTTAGTTTGATTCCTGTAAAGCAGTCAATTGAGTCGGAATATGGCGTGTAGATGTCTTCCACCTCAAGATTGTCGTAATACAGCACCTCAAGTCTACGCGAAAACACTCTAAGATACTTCATGTAATGACTAATAAGTCCGGTGTGCTCTGAATTAACCTCAAATGTCTTGTGTATCTTTTGGCCCGCAGGGGTGCTATCACAGATGTTATCAATAGTTTTTCTTAACAGTTCGAATAGACAGCTTCCAATGTAATCCCCTTTTTTGACATCGAATGAAATTAATCTTGGACTGCGCCTAAATAGCTTATCTTCAATAGGTTCTCTGTTGGAAGCATGAGAAAAATCTTCTTTTCCTGTTAGACCATGATTTTCTCCGGGAGCCAACACAAAGCTGTTGCTTTTTACATCCTCATTTTCTTCCACTGTCCCAGTTAGAGAACGGAAACGAAGAGTCCTATCTTTGGCAGCAACGCCCCGAGAAGGATTTTTATCGCCAACTTCACTAGTGCAGCAGCCTGACTTATATGGGGTACGGTAACTCTGAGAACCCCTCGAACGTCTCTGCATGACTATGGCCCCTGTGCATAATATGAGAAGTACGACAAAGGTAAGCATAAAAGCTATAACTCTGTCTTTCCTCATAGAAAGGGCCACTTATTTTCAAAATAGGAAATCTGAAAATAAAGCGGAAGTAATGGTTTAATTCCACCTGGACTGGCCTCTGATATATTCCAGTACAATAGACGGGCATTTCTCGACATCAACCCTTATTTGTTGCATTGAGTCTCTCTCTCTGATTGTCACCATCCTGTCCTTCAGAAAGTCCGGATCAAATGTTATAAAGAATGGAATCCCAAGTTCATCACACGATGAATACTTTCTTCCAATGCTACAGGAGCGCTCGTTTACATGGACTACCAATCCATTGTCCGTCAAAAACCTTTTTATATTCAGGATGTGTTCATTGAACTCATCAAAATGGATTAGATATCCAATGGCACATTGGACTGGAGCAATCGCTGGCTTAAACCTAAACACAGGCCTTGAATCCTCTCTTAAATAGAACGAATGTTCAATCAAGGCATAGAGTATTCTGCCGATTCCAAAAGATGGCTCAATTACATCAGGAATTACATTCTCAACAAATACTTTTTTCTTGACTCTTGAGCATTCGATATTGATAGTATATTCATCAAACTTTACACTTAGACGATTTCTGTTTTCACCAATGGATACAACGTTCTTTTCGATATACTTCTGTGAAAGTCCATTGACCGTTTCCATCAGCACAGAAAATCTATCTCTAAGCTTCGCTCCCCATTCTTTTTTGTCCAGTTTCAAAACCCACTCCTCGATCTCCTTTGGCTCAGCAAGCCTCCTCTTACACCTCAGGTCAACCTTTGATCCATCTTCATGACAGCTAAGATCATAGCATGCCCTGTCTGCTATTCCTACACACTCAATCCATCCATACGATGTATATATCTCTGCATCCCAGCAACCCTTCGCGTAATGTGCCATTTCATCTTTTTTATGCTGCCTGAATCTCAGCAACTCTCTGTCGATTCCCAGCTCAATCAAAAACAATGCCGTTCTGCCAATATAGTATCCCATGGTTTCGTTGCACACGATACCTCTTTCGATCGCTTCTTTCAAAGTAATTTCCTCACTTGCGTCGTGGTGCATAAGCTTCAATTTGATTCCCTGGACGGTGGAAAATTTCGGATGATCCTTCTCATCGGTGAGAACAAAATGCTCGATTTCCGCCTGGTCAAACTCCCTGACTCTCAGAAGACCAGATCTTGGGCTTATCTCATTTCTGTATGCCTTTCCTATAGATGCAGATGCAAATGGAAGTTTGTCATTATTGTACTCGCAAAGCTTCTTGAAATTTAGAAATTGTCCCTGTGCCGTTTCAGGCCTCAGGAACATAGTCTGACCTCCCTTATATCCTATTTGCGTCCCAAACATAAGATTGAACTGCTGCGACTTGCTCAGCTTATTTCCCAAAGTGCTTCTGATGTTATATTTTGATATGATCTCATCGATTTCCTGGCATGACATACAGTCGACCTTTTGAAGTTCCTTAGAAATTTCTTCGGTGGGACTCATTTTTTCCAATGCATCGCCAACCAGATGGTCTGCCCTAAAGCAATCACCAGATACCTCATCAAAAACCAGGATATCGCAGAACTTGTCCACATGCCCACTTGCCTTCAAAACGTCATGGGGCAGCATGGTAGTTGTTTCTATTTCAAGCATATCCTCCTCGAGCACAAAATGCTTTCTCCACAATGACAAAATGTTTGTCTTTATCGATAGTCCTGGAGGCCCCAGGTCATATAACCCGGACACTCCTCCATATATATAGGCTGATTGAGTTATAAAAAACCTTTTTTTGAGAATTTGTTCAATCTGTTGCTGATCAAATTTTCGCATGAGGGAAAGGAAAATATTTTAACATAAACAAAATTATTGCTGGCGGCAGGCAGAACCCTCGATGCCGGACCTAGCAAGTAAGATATCAAGGTTCAGCTCCTTTGATCTCGAATCCTATTTGAACAACAGCTTTCAAAGATATGAAGAATCCATTTTGGAGAACGAGAGACACACCATATCCAAAATAGAGCATGAAATAGACACGGAGCTGCTTAGAACATTTCTTCTTAACAGCGATTCTTTGCTCAATATTCTCAACGGTTATGAGGAATCATACAGAATGGTTTCTAACATAGTCGACTTATCTAAGGAGCTAGTCAGATGTCGCATGAATACTAGCGAGGAAGAGGAGGTCTTTGTTGACAAGGAGCTCGTGAAAAAATTTAGGCTAATACTTGATGGCTTTGGGGGCGAGGCTGCTGTATTTGCAACCGATGGGAGGTATCTAGTCCACTTTGACATTCTCAAGGAAAAAAGTGGACGGAAATGCATTCTCGTTTTGGCGAACGACATTCTTTTGATTGGTTCTGTTCATGAGGGAGTCAAGAAGTACAGGCTCTTGAATGCCTACAGCTACAGCATTGTTCGTATGCAAGTCAGAGACGGTTTGTTGGAAATAAGGGTGGATCCGACGATATACACATTTGAGAAAAATAAGGAGAGCGTGGAGCATATACTCAGAATCTACCAGGAGTTAACCTATAACTATGAAGAAAAGACCGATGATAGTGTCCGTAAGCCTGCAATTGATAAGGAGTTAGTAGATTACCTTGTATTTACAGAGCAATACGAGCACATTGAGCCTAGCAAGCTCTTTCTCTCATCCAAAGCTACGTTCCACGATAAAACTGAAATGGTGAGATATCTTTCGACCATTTCCAAGACCGGGGGCGATGTGTCTTCATGCATCTTTCCATTTCTTGAAGAGAGATTTAAAAAGGGCCTTACAAGAATCAACAAAATCCAGCCTCTTGGCGACTTCATCAGAGACGTCTTTAAGTATTTCAACGAATTCTTGGACGAGCAGAACAAGCTTATAAAAGAATTGGAGGAAGTGTGTCATGTCAAGGGGAGCGGAGCAGTTCTTTTGGTGGAGAAGCAGCTAACCAGGTGCATTGAAGCATTAGAGAGCAGGGTGTTCAATAAGAGATATGATGTGAGACATACAGACTCTGTGTTAGAGCTTATAAAGCAGAACCTTAAGTTTTCCAAATATGATTTCTCTTATCTGATGGAGCACTTTCTTAAGAAAAGAAGTGAGTACAAGAAGAAGTGCCTGGACAATGCAATGAGGGACATAGAAGAAGTAATCGGTAACATGATGGCCAACTAACGTCTGGCTGCTATTAAAAGGATTGTAAATCGTAAATTTAATTGATTATCGTAGACAGCTTCTCAATCATTTCGATCAAAACAGGAACACCGCAACCTGTCGCTCCATCACCATAAACGCCCTTATTGTTGTTGCTATCCATTACCCCGGCAATATCAAAATGAGCCCATTTGAACTCCTTACCAACAAATTCACTAAGAAAGATAGCTGCGGTTGCAGAGCCTCCATGTCCTCCCTCGACTGCATTTTTTAGATCTGCAACATTAGACTTCATTGACGGCAGGTACAGCTGCGACAAGGGCATTCTCCATACAGGATCATTGGCATCGATTCCGCTTTGATGGATTATTTTCGACAGATCATCGTCAGCAGTGAAATATCCTATGAATGCATCACCAAGAGCAATCATCATGGCTCCTGTTAATGTAGCAACATCGACTATGTAGGTCGGGTTTGCCTCCTGTGCATATACAAGCGCATCGGCAAGAATAAGTCTCCCTTCTGCGTCTGTGTTGTTAATTTCCACACTCTTTCCGTTCATTCCCACATGAACATCCCCAGGCTTTGTCGCAGTACCACTTGGTAGGTTTTCTACCAGCGGAATAACAAGATTCATATTTATCTTGATACCCATGTCAGCAGCGAGACCAAAGACACTCAAGACAGAAGCAGCACCGAGCATATCTCCTTTCATGCGGTGCATGCGTGCCGATGGCTTCAGCGATATTCCACCAGAGTCAAAACAGACGCCTTTTCCAACTAATGCAATATCTACTGCATCTCCGGACTTCCCCCTGTACCTGGCAACCAAGAGCTTCGGCTCCTGGGCTGAGCCCTGAGAAACACCCAAAAGAAGATTCATGGACTTTCTTTCCATGAAGCTCTTATCAAACACTTCAAACGTAACATTCTTTTTATCCTGCAGATACTTAGTAGCATATTCAACAAACAGCGTTGGATTCATGAGATTTGCTGGCGTGTCTCCTAGGAATCGTGCAAAATTCTGCGCATTCCCGACAACCACTGCCTTCTTTACTGCATGCGATTGAGAATTTATTGCTATCTTCTTGCTAGGCTCATCCTTCTCCTTATGTAAAAATCGGTACTTATACGAGGCTAGCATTATTCCGGACACAACCTCTCTCGCCATGTACTCTGACGTTAGCGACATCTCCATGTTCTTAAACTGGGACACACATTTGTATGCAGAAGCCCCGGCCTTTCTTGCATTATTCTTGACAAGAAGAATATCCTCTTCCACGTTGCCTATCCCTACAAATACAGTTACTTCCCCGTTGCCCTCTAGAAGTACATAGGCCTCACCCACGTGTCCCTTTGCATCTAGCCTGCTAAGAAAGTTTTGGTGGCCAGGGCTCTTTTCATCTGCCATTATGCCGACCCCCTCTTTTGAGTTGCTGCAGAGTACAATCCTGACTTTTACCGAGTCTTTGTTTAGTTCATCTCCGATCATAAGCTTTTCGTAACTCAGAAGTTCCATTTTAAGGGGCCAACAAATTTTTTTATTAACAATAAATACCTGAGGCTTAGGCCCATTGATGAAAGGCCATAATACCTTAATCCTTTTATTGTTTGGAGAAGTATTAAAAGCACTAGCAATGCATGGAACTCCATACCTAGACGTTGAATATAATGTTGGAGGAGAAAAGAGGTCTGGAAGGATTACATTTGAATTGTACTGGGACATCACTCCCAAAACAGCTAGAAATTTCTATGAGTTTGTAAAAGGAACAGAAATTGGAGGGAAGTACTATAAATACGAAAATGGCCTGTTCCACAGGATTATTCCGGGCTTCATGATGCAGGGAGGAGATGTCGTGATGGGAAACGGCTCTGGCTCCATCTCCATATACAATGCCGAACCTTTCTCCGACGAAAACTTCGAAATCGCTCATGATAGCATAGGCAAGCTGTCTATGGCTAATAGGGGTCCACACACCAATGGATCACAATTTTTTATCACATTTGATAAACAACATCATCTTGACGGCAAGCACGTAGTGTTCGGAAATGTCTCTGGAGAATGTCTTTCCTTGATCAGAGACATACAAAAGATCGATATCGATCGTGATAGGCCAGTACACCCGGTGAGAATAGTCAGGTCCGGAATAGTGGAGGAAGGAGAGGAAAAATATCTTTAATGCACCTTACTTGGCATATGAACCTTCTAGACTATTGGAAATCACTCTGGACATATTTATGAAGATCGTAGAGCGACGTCCCAATAAAACTACTTCCAGATGTTTCTACCAGGCTTGACACCTTTCTTTGAATCTCGGCGTCGTCAAATGAAGGGGAGCCTGTTCCCACGTCTATCAACAGATTCTTCATAGCATCGAGGAGATGCTCAATTCCTCTTCCAATTTGGCATATGGTTATGACTTCATCTAGTACTCTCCCTATGCCCAACCTCAGGTCATTCAGGGGCATCTCACTGGACACTGAAAAGAACTTCCATCTTCTTTCAATCACCTCTTCGAAAACAAAGTAGCTTATTTTGTATATCAGGGACGTATAGGAAATAATCTTTATCCGGGCTCTCTTTTGCATCCCCATTCTTGATACTCTTAAAAGAAGGTGCTCGACTCGCTTCAGCTTCCAGAGAAATTGGAATACAGTCACAAGCTTAAGAACACTCTCATTTGTAACTATTATGCTTGCTGGGTGGTCTACCTGGCAGAATAGTGCAAAGTTCTCGTACTTGTTCTCGTCATCTACAAGGTATACACCAAGCTTAGAGGTGAATTCGTCTACATCTCCATAAGTGTTTCTGATAGCCAGGTCCAGAATGTAGCTAAAGCTCTTCTTGCTGAGATCTCTACTATCCTTTAAGTAGAGAAAGAGTGTTTCGATAAAGTCACACCTACCAAACAAAAACGTGTTTTTGATTCCCTCTATTTGGTTGCGTATACTTGGGCTGTTGAGAAAAACATGTTCTATTTTTTTGTTGATCTTATGGAGCATTATGTCTATATTTTCTTCAAGATCTGGATTTAAAATGTTGATCTGCTTGGAGTTGGGCTCTGCATCCTCTCCAAGCAAGCCGGCATCTTTTGCGCTCTCGACATCTTGCTGCTGAGCAGCGTTCATCCGCGCCTGGCAGGCCACATCATGGCTGAATGTCTTCTCAGCCCTGTGCGTCCCTAGGAGAGACGAACATTTTCCTATATATAGGATCTTCTGAGCAACTCGATTCCCGATAAAGTACGGGATAAGACCAAAGTCAATGGAAAACTCTTCCCACAAATCCACAGACATCTTTCTGGATATAAAGAACTCATTGGTGTCGTCGGAAAAGCTCCCTGTGAGCAAGAATTCTCTAAGGCAGTTGTTGATATGGATGCAGCTTGATTCCAGGACTCGACTGTAAAACGGGTGATTCGAGAGGAAGTTGAATCTAAGAAATTCAAAAGGCTTCTTAGGATTGTCTCTGAAGCATTCGTTTAGTTGGTGGACTATCTGGATTCTTATGTACGGTGAATACATGCCTGCATAGAATGGAAGAAGTTCTTCGCTCTGTCCAATCACCGACCTTTCATACTTCTCTAATTCTTCCCTCACGATTTCGTAGAAGTATGAGTGTGCCTTGGAATATAGAAATGTTTCAGACCTAAGTCTTCTATACATGCATGCATTCTGGTAGATCTGGAAGACAATTCCATATACATGTGTCCCAACATTTTCCTTTAGCACAGAAAGGCCCGACTCAGTGAAGTAAGAAACCTCAATTCCCAGTGCCCCTTTCTTTACATTCTTACTTAGTTCCTCCATAATCGAAAGAGAAGTATCGGCTACATCGGCTAGGACATAGCAAAGCATCTTGATGACACTGTTTTTTTTCATTCTTCTGTATGCCAAGTATGCTCTGTATGACTTGGTCTTGACCATATTCTCTATCTCGTCATCTTTCACAGTAACAACCTTAGATGGCTTGAGGTACCTTATGGCGCTTTCCAAAAACAGAGGAGAAGGAGATTTGTTGTGATTTCTGAAGAAAGTATGAATAAAATTCTGTAGCAACTCTCTCATCTAAAGGGGCAATGGTTTTGGTGCCTAAGTTCGATACCTTCAGGATTTTCTGATAAATTCTGCAGGTTTTTTTCACCCATGGAAAGCAAAAAAGAAGAGCTCAAGAGAAACAGTATCAATGTTCACCGGAGGTTAGGTACGGACGTCCATGTGTCGTCGGAAGATATGGACAAGGAAAGACGAAACACCCGGGCGTATGAGTATTTGTGCAGGCTCGAGGAGGCAAAGTCATGGATAGGGGAGTTTACTATTGTACCTGAGTCATTTGAAGAGTTTGAGGAAGAGATGAGGAAGGGTGTCATGCTTACGGACATATGCAAGGTGTTTGCAGCTAATTCCGTCAAAAATGTTTTTGTTGATTCCACCCTTCAGTATAGGCATACAGACAATATCAATTATTTTCTAGATGGGATAACGCGGTTTGGGTTGCCTGAATATTTCCATTTCGAGGTGATTGATTTGTATGAAAAGAAGAACTTTGTCAAGGTTATCTACTGTATACATGCGCTGGCACACCTTTTGAGTTCAAAAGGGATCTCTAGAAACATCAGGAGCGCCAAGGGGAAGATATTTTCGCAGGACGACATGGCAAGGGCGGATGTCCAGGTTGAGAAGGTGCACATGCCTAAGTTTGATGACATTGGTGAGGTGCTGAAAGAGAAGATGAGCATGGAGGCAATAGTAGACAAAGAAGAAGATGGCATGAAAAAGGAGGCTTTGGACCAAAGGAAGACGGAAGAGAGGGAGCAGTCTGAGAAGGAGGGAAGCTTCTTATCCGAGGATATAAGTATTTGCAACGAATCTTTTGATGTCCTCAAACTGACCCTGAAGACCTTTCTGTACAAGAAGTGCTTTGACGACATCTATTACAGAAAAGACGTGTCCTTGTTCTCCATCAGAAGGTTTGTGTTCATTTTCTTCAGCAATTCATCTGAGATGATTAAGGAAAATCTCATTGAAAATCTTCATCATAAGATATCGAGGAAGTTTGACAGCATTTATGCGAAGGAGGCACAGATAAAGGACATCGAGACGAGGATTAGGCTGATGGTCCAAAATAGAATGGAGGTTGGAAACATAACCATCAAGAATCCAATCCCAGAGGACGAAGATACCAAGGACTTTGAGAGGGTGCTGTTGTTTTTACAAAACAACCCCAAGTATCTTGCAGAGCTTCTTAGGAGCGTTAGTGATCCAGACACTCTTATTATCTCTATTGTGATTCCCATTTTCTCCAATGTCTGCTCAAAGAAGGAAGAGTATATGTTCATAAACCTTGTGTTAGAAATATTCAGAAGGGAGCTTCTTGATAATGGTCTGGATATAAGAAAGCTCGTGCCAATAGACATGTCTCTGGGAATCCATTCAAGCACTTTCTTTTCCCTTGAACTGTTTAGGGAGATTGAGTTTCCGATCCACCACACTCTGACGTCTGGATCTATCTGCCATAAGCTAATGGTCAATTACTTCAGGATATCCCAAGGAAGCTTTGCTTTAAGGGATAGGATTCTTCACGTTGTAAAGAATCTCGAAAACATCGAGGTTGATGCTAATCCTGTTCTCATCTACAAGGCGCTGTTTAATCAAACTATATCTGTGGATAAGGCATTAGAAAATGAAAGAGTTAGAGAAACGGTGCAGACGAGGCTTATGGTCATGCGCGGGGTGATCACATCAACTTTGGACTTTTTGGAGTCGAGTGTTGAGTCGATTCCCTATATCCTCAGATATTTCCTCAAGCTCTATGGCCCTGGAATGTTCTATTCAGAGTTTGTAATGCCTTTCATCCTGGCTCCTGATGCGTTTATCGAATCATTTGAGGTCAGCAAATCCCTCAGAAGTAAGTGTTTCATAATATCTAAGGTGCTAGGATATATAACGGACAGATCAACTTACTTCGAAGAATCTGATTATGGAGAAGAGGAGAAGGATGGAGACAGCATGGACAGGTATTTATCCTTCTCCGATGGAGAGAAAAAGAACTTTGAGCTCAGGTTCTACTCTCCTCTCTACCCTTTTTTCAGGAGGTGTCGGGAAAAGTACCAGGAAATTCTTTCGAAGCTCACAAATGTTTCGAGCCTCGACCACTATTTCCAGTTTGAGTCGATGAATGAGTTAGGGAAGCTTAGACGAGCCACCGTATATCTTCCAAGCAGTACTGCTAACCAGCTGATTACCCTTCTTCTAAGCAATTCGAAGCTACTAGGCTCTGAATTGTGCGAGATTCTTGAAGCTCTCCCTCTGTTTCCTGACGACCAGAACAAAACGCTCTCGTTCACCTTCTTTGGCCCGGAATGGATATGCTCACAGGACCCGGAGAAGATAGCATTGGAGAACTTTGTGAGGGGGCTAAAAAAGAAGCTTGTATACGCCATATCCGTGTGTAAAGGAAGAAATCTGGTGGAGATGCTCCTAAGGGAATCGGATGAAGACGAAAAGGCTCTCTACTTGGAGATGAAGAAGAGCAGTTTTTACAACAATAAGGATGAGGAAGATGAAGTGTCGATTGCATCTCCCCCAATACAATATGAAACTGTTGATCACCTGAAGGAGTCTATCATCGACGATCTAAACTTCTTGGAGGACAAGGAAATCACCAGCAGGCACAATCTATACTCTGAGCTCCTCTTCATGCTAGCCCAGGACATAGTCATTTTAAGATTTATGTCTGAAGAAAGGAACAAGGAGCTCAGGATAAATGAGATTAGCTACGATAATCTGTGCTACAGAGACGACTATCTATCCAGCAAGATAGAGCTTTACCAAAACTATCTTAACTCCTTTGTTGCAAAGCTGGCCGTCAAGAAAAAGTCTTTGTTTGGGTTCAGTGGGGTTGACGACATCACTAGGGACTCTAAGTATGGAACACATAAGTACAGTGCGGAAAAGCTGATGGGCATGGGCGTACTGGTCCAGATATATGACTCGCCTGATATCTCTGAAATCTTCTTCCTATTCCTTTCGGACTCTCCCCTTCTTTTCAGCGTGGAGATTTACGTTCAGAACATCCTTGTTTCCCATCCTGTTTCGTTCAGGTTTGATGACCTTCTCAAGCTAAAGAAGAACGGGAACACCGTTTGTGACATAGCAGGGATATGTTCGTTTAGTGTGTGCAAGTTCATCAACCTCGTAAATTCGAAGTATGTTGGAAGCGAAGTGTAGAGCACATCTCACTATTAAAAACAATTCTGAAGAAGATCGTTTCCTCCCCAAAGAGATGAAAAGCATTCGATGGGAAAGATAATGAAAGAGACCTGGACTCCTTTATTTCATTTTGCTTTTTGTGTTGGCGATGACTTCCTGTCAAGCTCGCGTAAATATATTATGGACCCCTCAAGGTCTCCATTACATGCCATGAGAGCCATAAAATTCTGCCTAGTATCGCTGAATCCAATCTGCTTAAGCTCCGCCAGTTTATCCTTATACTTCACTAGCTGGCTTTCTTCCTTGGGAGCGCCAGGAATTGCCTCCTCAATGGGCTTGTCTATCTTTCTTCCTTCTTTTACCCTATACCCTCTTCCCATCCCTTCTTTTAATGCTGACGACAGAGGATCTTGAACATCTTTAATCATGCTACTTATCATGTTAAGCCCTCCTGGAATATTTTCCAGTTTCGACATGGTTATATCCAGATTCTTGAGCTGAGTGTTCATATACTCAGGGTTCATCGAAAACATTTCCAGCTCATCTTGCAGGTTTGAGCTACTCATCATCATTCGCAGCTCAGGATTGTTGTTCATCTCCTCCTTAAGCCCAGGAAACATCTCAACAATGCTTTTCATGGCATCAGGGTTTTTCAGAAAATTCTTAACCAAGGGATTCTTCATCATTGAAGCAGTAAAGTCAGGTCTTTTCCCCTCCTTTTTCATCTCCATCTTCTTCTTCAAATGCAAAACACAGTCATTCTCTATCCCTAGATCCTTCAATTCCTTATTGTCTTCACTGAGGATCCTGTCATTGAACAGAAGCACCTGAGAATCAACAGGTATTCCAGTAATATCCTGAATCTTTAGCTTCAGAGACTCCAGGCTATCAGTCATCATGGCATTTGCTTCTATAGAATCCGTTCGATATCTTATCGTCAGCCTAATCGACATCCGAATATTGATGGGTCTTTATTTTTATTCTTTTGATACAAGAAAATCACTGATCGATCAAAAGGAGGTCTCGCAAACTATTGGTCTTCAAGGCGTCAATACAAAATGCCTAGCCACCTCTGCATTCTTCTCGATTCAATCTCAGATGGCTTTCCATTAAGGTATTGTTTGCTAGCGACCCTAAGAGAGACAGCTCACCTCCAAGCACTGCAGCCCCGACAGCCAGACCCAGGTATCCAGGTGCCAACGACTTGTCGTCGTCCCTGTTCGTTATTATATATTCGCCGCTCCCACTATAGAACTGCTTTAGAAAGCTTTTTGAAGGTTCTAGATGCGTGCCTCCTCCAATAACTCCCACCACAACCGAAGGCATGAATAAAGAAACGCTTAAGTCTCCATCCGTGGATCTCTTCATGCTCAATACACAGTTGCTGCTCTCAATAACCTGCCCCAGATCCTGCCCTAGAGCTAGAAACATTCCTGCAACATAATTAGCTGCTTGGCAGTTAAACCCTCCCAGCACAAGAGATCCTCCTATAACAACCTTTGCATGATACACATCCAGAACCTGTCTTATGCCAACCCCAAGTATCTCTCTGCAGCTTTTGTCATCTATTTTCATATTCATGAATATCCTTCTCCCTCTTCCATTGCAGTAGTTCTCGGCAGACCACTTCTTGTCAGTGCACGTGTTCGAGCTTATGCACACAAGGCTGGAGTGGGGGAATCTTCGAGATATTTCAGCAGATATCTGGGTGCATGCCTTTGTTATCATATTCATCCCCATGGCATCTCCAGAGTATCCATACACCTTTACATACACATCTTCACCGACAACATGCTTGGATTCAATCTTACTAATCTTCATATACCTGCTTCCTTCATTTCCTATCCTTTTGAGATCTTCGACTGCCTCATCCATCTTTATCCATTGGTAGAATCTCATCGCCTCTTCAAAGCTCTCAAATCTCATGATAAATCCTCTTGTAATCCCAACATTCTCTGCATATCCTTTAACTCCTCCACATGCATTTATAAGTTTAATTCCCCGGCACATCGATGCAACTAGCGCACCCTCGGTCGTTGCTATCGGAATAAAAAACATGCGGCCGTTTATTAACACTCCCCTATTCGAAACACCCAAAGGCACCTTCTTATATCCAATCAGGTTTTCACAGCATCTGTTGATAACATCCGAATAGTCCTCTTCAGAGCCAATTCCCTTTATTTCAGTTCCTGTCTCCTCCCTTATGTTTTTCAGCAATCTATTTGCTCGCTCGTTAGCTTTTCTGTTGGCGTCGCCCATTGGGGACTCCGGTGCCACGTATAAAAACTCACTATAAAACCCCGTCATGGAAAACATAATCAAGGAGTTTGCTCTTGAAGAATGCACGACCTGCCCTGAGGGGAACTTGTACATAGGTAGAATTAGGGGGAAAAAGGCTTTGTTGATATTCCCAAAGCAGTTGGTTCTGCCGGACACCTTCTCCCAGGTCCTGTCTCTTCCGAAGGAAAACACCCAGTCCAACGACATATACTATTCCTTTAAAGCTTCTGTGCCTATGAATATCGACTTCAGGCTTATATATCCGGCAACAGAAGAACATGTCAGAAAATATTGCTCGAAGCGTATCTATGTTGAAGAAACCTATGAGGAGTACTTGGACTTTATAAAAAGTGCCTCGCAAATAACTTCAAACTGGATGGACAATCTTATTGCACAGGACAGGAGCGATCTTAACGAAGAAATCATGTATGAGGACGAAGAGGTAATAATGATCCCTGACTACAAATGGAATCCCCAGACAGTAGATCTTCTTCACTTTCTGGTGGTATTCAAGGACCCTGGCCTCAAAACAATAAGAGATATAAGGGATTACCAGATTCTAGTAGACGCACGAGAAAAGGCAAGGAATCTCTTGGAGACCCGGTTCGGCCTAGATTTTAACCATGTCTTTATGTTCTTCCATTATAGGCCAACGTACTTCAGGCTACATCTTCACGTTATGAACATAAAAATGGCTCATGAGGGAAATGTCTCATGTACAAGGGCCATCCCGTTGCATGATGTTATACACAATCTACGCATTGACATAAATTATTACAAGAAAAGTATGTTTGTAATGTCGAATGAAGTAAACTAAGTTATGTGGCAGGATATTTAATCTCATAAAGAGCATATTATATCGTAAGCCTGCTTCAAGGCCTTCAGCATTGACTCTATTCTACTTCTCTCCATTTTCACCTCTTCAGACTCGGATGCTATCGAGTCTAAGTCCTCCCTATTGTAGATCTCCAGAAATAGGACCTCCTGAAGAGAATTCTCCGCCTTTTTGACCAACTCGCACATTATTGCCTTTGGAACCTGATCAACGACTATTTTCTTGATTATTTCAAAATAAGACTCGACCATGGACTTAATCATAGTCATCTCTATAGCCTCCTGCTCGGAAAGTCCATCGCGAATCCTCAGTGTATTAGGAATCGAGTCAAGAGTGCTCTTGCTCTCCATCCCCTTGTAGAAATCTATCTTCTCTGTTTTTCTTTCACCTGCAGAGTCTTCCAGCTCCTTCGACAGCATCTCGTTCCACTTTATGAAGTCCGGATGCTTGGTGCTGATATACCCTGTGTTCCAGTCGATAAATGACTCGACCAGTTTGTGTGTTGCATCGCATCTTTCCTTGAACATTCTAATCGCACTGCTTATGATCTTCTCTCCAAGCACAGGGTATCTACTCATGGTGGAGACGTCCACAATATGCTTAATCATTCTGACCATCTCAGAGAACACAATGCTTACAAGCTTCAGGCTGTGTGGCTTGAAGGTCTCAACCGAAATTCTTGCCAGCTTTTCAAAGGCAACATGTCCAAATAGTATCACAGATGACGACCCGCTCGAGTTGTATAATAGGGCTCTTATTTGCTCATCCTGAATGCTGTCAAGAGCACTAAGCTTATTCATAAACTTTGAAAAGTGGTGATTGAATGCATAGTTGAGCCTTGCTCCTCCCATCAGCTCATTTCCTTTCGATTCAATGTTTCCCGAAAGAATGTCGCTGAATCTCTTAGAAACGGTGTTGATGATTCTCATTACATTTTCTCTTGGGCTTAGGCACACGTTCCCAAGGTCCCTGAGGCTGCTTTGCGCATCAATCATTCCACTATTAATTCTTTCCTGAAGCTCAGGTAGGCACTGCCTGATGTGCTCGTGGAGAATGTTGTGAAGCTTTGTTATCAAATACAGTGTTCCACAGTATGCCTTGTTTCTTCTGTAGGATTCATGGGACGAGAAAAACGCCTCCTCGTCCTTCAATGCCTGATGTATGCTCTTTCCCTTCTCAATATCCTGCTGGCCTCTGTTTACAACAGGAACAAACCCCAGCTTGAGGCATATGATTCTTCCTGCCAATACATCTACAACGTCCGTTCCAGAATCCATGAGATCCACCTTGGTAAGAACACCTATGGTTCTTTCATAGTTATGATCCACCTCCCGGGCAAGCTGAAGCGCATCAGAGTTTGATATGTCTGTATTTGCAGAGGACACGGCAAGAATCAGCGCATTCTTATTAGACACATATTTCCTGCACATTTCTGTTATTTTGGTGCATATGTCCCTGGGCTGGTCATTGGTCGGGACCCTTACTAATCCGGGAAGATCAACCAGTGTGAGCGTCAGCACCTTAGAAGAGTAGTATTTGAGTGTGATGGGTAGTGGTGAAACGTCGTTCTTCGATTTCAAGACTTTGTTTGTTTCTTTGATGATCTCTTTTCTTACTTCCCCAAAGTCTGTGTATCTTGCTTCAGGAAGATGATTGAAGACAGCATAGTCCTCACCCTTGCTGTGGATAAGCTGTAAAATCAGCGGTCTTCTCGTGACAATCCCCGTACCCCTTGGGAGTATATCTCTTCCCACTATATTTTCAAGCACACTACTTTTCCCAGAGCTCTGGCTGCCAATAACCACTATCTGTGGAAGCTCTATTCTATTCGATATGTTGTTCTCTGTACATATGTCCTGGAGATCATTTATCTTTTCTATCAACAGATCCATGACTGCCATGTAGTATAAATTCAGAGTCCTTATATCTGAGTCATGAAACATGGACATGTTTCATAATTGATGCACCATCAAACACCAGGGATGTGTCTCCATCATCTTCCCTGGGCAACAAAGATCTTTTCTCCCCCGCATCTGCATGTGGTTCTAAGGCACAGGCCATTTTCTTCTTTAACAATTCTCGATCTGCAATTCAATCCCGGAACAAGGATGGAGCAACAGTTGGGACATGTCGTTCTTTTTATTTCCCTTGATAGCCTTATTTGATACTTATTCGATATCACCTTCATTTTCTTCATCTTCCTTCTGTGCACAGATGGGATTTCCACCGTCTCGAGCGCTGTGCTGTAGAGATATTTCAAATGCTTTGCAAAGTCTTTTTTCATCTCCTGTCAAAGGGACTGTGTGATATCATAGCTTTTACTCTAAGCTTGAAAAACAAAATAAAGAATGAAGGTCAAGGATGCTTTACTCGATATCAAGCCAAGGATGATACTAACAAGCAGGGGACGCCCGACAGTCGAGGTGGACCTGATAACATCTAGAGGTGTACACAGGTCTTCCTGTCCATCTGGTGCATCGAAAGGATCCAAGGAGGCCGTGGAACTTCTGGATGGAGGAGAGTTTTATAACGGAAGAGGTGTTGAGACTGTAATAAACAACATCAATCAGCTTGTGGTAAAGAAAATGTGTGAACTGGAATGCAATGTTGGCGATCAGCAGGCCATAGACAACTATCTATTGGGCTTGGACGGCACAAAGAATAAATCGAGGATAGGAGGAAATGGGATAACTGCCCTTTCCACTGCATTCTGTAAAATGGGTGCAGCATATTCAAATATGCGGGTGGATGAGTTTATTTCAGGTATCACCACGTTTAAGAGAGGAATTCCTGTTCCTCATTTCAATGTTTTGAATGGAGGAATTCACTCTGGAAATGAAATGTCTGTGCAAGAAATCATGGTTGCGTATCAGCACGACAGCCTCGAGAGTAACATCGAGTCCGGATGTGTGCTGTATGAATCTCTGAAGCGGGTAATATCTGAGAAGTATGGTGCCTTATATACCTCGGTAGGAGACGAAGGGGGGTTTGCACCTCCCATCAAGAAGCTGGAGGAAGGGCTTGATCTGATATTAGAAGCCTCCAGAAGATGTAACCGAACAGACATGAAGATTGCCATCGACTTTGCAGCCAATGGATTTATGAGAGATGGAAAGTACGAGCTGGATGGAGAAACTTACACTACAAAGAGCTTAGGTGAGAGATATATCGAGATCCTTAAGGAATATCCCCAGGTGTATAGCCTTGAGGATCCGTTTTCTGAAAGAGATTATGACGGATGGATATGGCTGAATGCTGAAGTTGGAAAGAAAATCAATATTGTTGGTGATGATCTCACAGTTACCGACCCGCAACTTGTTAGGGATGCAGGTGCAAGGAGAATGTGTAACACGCTCCTAGTAAAGCCCAACCAGGTAGGAACAGTCAGCGAAACGGTCGAGGCAATAAGGATTGCTCGCAAATGCGGGATGAAGATCATGGTTTCTCACAGGAGCGGAGAGACAGATGATCATTTTATAAGCGATTTGTCCGTAGGTGTGGGGGCAGAGTACATAAAGTCGGGAGCCCCCTGCCGTGGGGAAAGGGTTAGCAAGTATAATCAGCTGTTGAGGTTGTACGAATACTAATGCTTGGAAAGAAATAAAGCAGTTGATGTTTGCTTTTAATGGCTCTGGTCCCGTGAAACCCCGAAGTGTTCGTATAGTGCTGGGATTTTCCTTATCACGCCTTCAGAGTATCTCTTACTGCTGAAGGTGAGAAACTTCTCGTATGTCACAAGATACTTTCTGCAGTATTCGTTAAGCTCCTTACTTGACCTCACAAGCCTCTTAACCATATTATTGATGCATCTAATCTGGACCCCAGGCCCTTCCGTAATCTCCTCAGAAATGCCTTTATCCTCCATGCCTTCCTGCTTTTTAATCCACCCTTTCTTCTGAATATCTGTAAGAAGCTTTTCTTCCCCATGCACGAGATACACATAGGACTCTCCCCTCTCGCTGTTTCTAGCCGTTCTTCCAACACGATGGACATACGTTTCAACGTTGCACGGGCAATCATACTGTATGACCACATCGACCTTTGGGAAGTCTAGTCCTCTAGAGCCCAGGTCGGTACAGAACAGAATTCCATTTTTCTCTTTCACAAACCTTTTGAATACATCTATCCTCTGCTTTTGCGACATCCCGCCACTGAGGCAAAAGATCCTGTTACGGAGCTTAAGTCTCTCAAACAGAAGACAGTGAAACTTAACCTCCTTGCAGGTGCTGAAGAATACAATTCCCTTCACTTCTGGGTTGCTTCCGATAAATGTGTGCAGATAATTGATTTTGTCTCCCGTCCTCATCATGTAGAAGTACTGACGCAGCTGCGACGGAAATCCTTCTTCTTTGTATATCGAGATGATCCTCGGGTCTTCTAGCTTTAGGATTCTAGCGGTTGAGGCCTTTGGTGTTGCTGAGAACAACAGGGTTTGCTTCTTCTGGGGAATGTACTCGAGTATGTCTTCTAGGACCTCCTTAAACCCCATCTCGATCATTTTGTCTGCTTCATCAAGAATCAATATCTGGACATTTGCAGTGCTCAAATAAGGGTTTTCTTGTAGATGCTGGAGAAGTCTTCCAGGAGTGCACACAAGAATGTTCATCTGGTTTACTTTCAGAAGCTCGTCCTCCGCTTCAAGACCCCCCATAATCAACCCAGTGCTCAATACTGTATACTTCGCAATCCGACTGAGGACATCAAATATTTGCAAAGCCAGCTCACGTGTTGGGGTGATTACCAAGCACCCAAGGCCATCTCCTCCTCCCCACCCGAGACTTACTAGTCTCTGTAGAGTTGGAACTAGAAATGCAAGAGTTTTCCCCGTTCCTGTTTGCGACGACCCAATTATGTCGTGGCCTTCTAATGCCATAGGGATGACTTTTTGTTGGACCTCCTTCATGCTTACAAATCCGTTTTCCCTGAGTCCTTTCTCAATTCTTTGGTCGATCTTTAAATCCTCGAACTTCATGGGCCGCATATGACGATCTTGTAAATATGGTAGTTTTGGAATCAGTTTTATTTACAGCCTAGTGAAAAAATCCTGACGCCAACGAAAATAGCATGTGGGTCGTACATCTAACCACAAGACCTGTCGAGATTCTTGCCCCTTTGTTGGTATTCCCTGTGCCTTATGGATGATTTAGATTTGGACTCACACATTAGGATGGTTGGCTCTGATTATGAAGAAGATCCACCAGATTCACCTCCTGATCCGCTTCCGCTTGATCCACCAGATGACCCGCCTGATCCGCTTCCATCTGATCCGCTTCCACTTGATCCACCAGATGACCCGCCTGATCCGCTTCCATCTGATCCGCTTCCACTTGATCCACCAGATGACCCGCCTGATCCGCTTCCATCTGATCCGCTTCCACTTGATCCACCAGATGACCCGCCTGATCCGCTTCCATCTGATCCGCTTCCACTTGATCCACCAGATGACCCGCCTGATCCGCTTCCGCTTGATCCAAAGATTCTCCCTGTAAGTGCTCCAATTTCAGAGTTTGCAAACTGTGTGAATTCTGTTGATGTGGTACTTGTCAGTGTTGTAAGCGCCGTAATCAGTGCTGTAAGAGCATTTTGAACATCAGTCTGTAGGTTGGTCGTTTGAGTTGTGAAGAATGTAACGAAATTGTTCTTGTTTGCTTGAAGAGCATTAGTGATGGCAGTAATAGCTGCAGAGGGTAGAGTCCCTGGTAATCTCTGGAACACGGCCATCTGCTTGGTAAACAGATCATTTCCTGCGATGGTAATTATTGGCTGTGTATTACTGAATGCACTTGTGACCTGGCTGGCAAAGAGTCCGCTAGTGACGAGGCTCATGAGATCCAGATAGCACATTGTGTTGACTCTGGCGAGTAGGTCGCCTATCACCTTCTGTGCATTAGCTCTGATAGTTCCTGCAAGTGAGGTCGCCTCAGCAGCATCCAGGGCTGCGAGATCAGCTGCCATGTTGGACGGAACAGTAACCCCGAGCGTCTCAAGCTGTTCGATCAGGGGCTCGTAATCTGCACTTGGGTAAGAGGGAGCAAATCCATCAATCTGAGAGAGAATCCTGGTCAGGAAAAGAACGACGGCCTTCTTGTACTGATCCTCGTAGTTCTTAAGGAACTCAAATATCCTTTCTCCCATGTTGATAATAGGTGTCTTCAGCTCATAGTCGCAGTTCAGAGGCACGGGTCGGCATGGGGGACTGCATTCCGAGGAGACACACGATGAATAGGTGCTTGAATCATCGCAGTCTGAAGAACCAAATGAGCAGCTATCCTCGTATCTTCTATGGTGTCTCCTTCTTCTTGGTTTGCAGTCAGAAGAGGAAGAGGAGTGAGATGAAGATTCATCATGGACATCACTGCTCATTCCGTCACCGCAGAGCTTTCTCACATCGTTCTTGAACCTCCTTCCAAGAAGATTGTTTTTTTCGAAGTATCTGGTACCTTCAGGGCACATCTGGCAATTCCCCCTTCTGTTCTCGCTTGCAAGCACTGCACTGAAGCTTACTAGACCTAGCAGCAGTGAAAGCTTCATCATCTTTAATTTCCTTCCTACAGCATGTTTATTTATACATTTAAACTGTAAAGAATGTGTTCCACGGACATGTTCTTTTCCTTGTTATGGAAATATTTGCAATTAATCTGATCCTGTCAGTCCCATCCTCGCAATGATCACCCATGCTAAGACGGCAGAATTTCTATGATAAACGAGAACATTTTTCATAACATACACAAAAATCAATAGCATTTATCATATAGTAGATTAATGGCGCATTAATTGGAGACGTCTTGCGAGAAGCGTGTCTAATGGAACAATACGAAGATGGACATGGCTTTAAGTTGGATTTATGTGATGGAATCGGAAATACCTGTTGATTTTTGACCCCATTGAGATGGAGGGCAATAAGAGTAAGGAAGTTGAATGTGCAGATTCCAGGGACTTTTCCTTTAGAATAAACAACTTGGACATGGATAATCCAGAGCATGTTGTGTGGGCATACAAGAACATTCAGCGGGTGTATAGCCATTCGGCTCCGGACTTCAACAAGATGATCAAGATGATGATGGAGCACAGACCACTGGACTTTAACACGGGTCTAGTTGTGTTGGAAGAAGTTGCGAACATTCTACAGAGCTGTTTTGTTGAAGAGAAAAAGGATGAGGAGATAAGCTTTGTTGCCAGCAGATGCGGGCTTGCCATTGGGGACAGAACGGACGCGCCTGAGATGCAATGCGTAGACTACCTCTATAGACTTGTTATCCCATTTGCCAGGACTTGCACAAAGCAGGTAGTTGATATTGTGGCCTTTCTGTTTACCAGAACAACTGTAGCCGAGTTTGACGAACTATTTGAGATATTTGGCAAGAAAAAAGACTTTCTTGTCGAGCTGTATCTCCTAAAAGTTAAGCTGATGAGGGAAAGAAGCTCCAACTATAGGTGCAGAAGATGCAGAAACGTTAATGAAATGAATTGCCTGTCTATGGAAGAGTGTATCAAAAACATGAAAATATCTCTGGTTGGCAAAAGTAAGGAAGAGGCGGACCAGGAGAAGAAGACGGACTTCTATTCAATAGATGATGCCACTCAGAATAGAAAGGAAAAGTGTAGCGGTGCAGAGGAAGCAGCAGAGGACCTTGCCCTTAGCCAGGACAGGCCGTTCTTCGAGCCCAATGCCGAGTCTGACTCGTCGGCAAGCACCAAATGCTCGGACACATCCGACGAAAAAAATAAGTTAAATGGATCCAGTCCCAACCACAAGTTCCATCAAGTGTCTAATGAGCCCTCGTGCCCTAATTTGATCTGTATGTGTGGAGCAGCTGGGCAAGTGGGGACTACGTGTTTGTGTGCCTCTTACGAGACTTCTGATGAGATCCACTGCCTAGGCGAGGCCAAAAAACATCTGATGGACATCGAGTCTATTTCTCCAAGGTTCTTTCTCGAGAATGTTGCCCTATATCTCAGCCTATCATTCGACGAAGAACTTCTGAATTTGTTTAGAAAGTACACGAACACAGAATATCAGGCGGTTTGTGCCTCTCATGTGTTTAAACTAAGGACAGTAGACTCTGGAACCATAGAGGCAATGGTCGAGGAAATGAGAAATGCAAAAAGAGAAATGCTAAAGTCTGATTTCCTACCCATCACAAGCACAACCTTTGGTCTGTATATCGGGTGGTGCATGGACACCTTCGGATCAATATCAATTTCCTCTGTCAGCGATTATTCAGATATAAGCAGGCTATACATAAGATTCCTTAGAGCCTTCCGGCACAAGAAAATGTTCCTTATTCTTGCGGAAATATGCGGATGTAGGATAGAAAGAGTCTCTGCCGTAGCCTGTGCATACATCGCCGATAACCTGGAGGAGATCGTCGAAATCTTTCTGAATTTATTTGATAACACGGAGGCCGACCCCAGGCTAAGCAAAGACGAAGAAAAGGTGCTTAATACATTGCTGAATGACGAAAAGATATTTAAGGACGTCTGCCGACTCGATGCTCCAGGCTTCTGTATAAAACAGGAACTAGAAAAAATTGTTCTTGAGGTGTGCAGGCGCCACAGAAAAGCCTTTCTTCCTCAGATCAAAATCCTGCACCGCTTTTTAGATAGCGAATTCAGATTGAAGGTCATCGGGATCCTGTGTACTGACTATGCTAATGACTGGAGATACCGAAGGGCACTGCTTCATTCATACAGGGAGAACCCCTGTTTTTTCAAAGGTGTTTTGAATCTCACCAGCTTTACTAAGGATCCTGTATTCATAGTTAGAAGAACTGCGCTAGACATAAAAGAGGAGCTTGGCTCGGAGATCATAGAGGGTGCCTGAGAGGAAACTCCTGTAAATTCCTTTTTGAAGCTCAAAGAAGAATATAAAGATGGTTCAATAACTTTTACCCTGCTATTACCGATTGTTATATCTGATTCATAAGAGATTTGCTTATTTCCTTAAAATCAAAGAGCTTAGGCGGCTTTATAATAACTCTTTTGAGATTGTGCAAAGGACCTTCCATCACAAGCCCCTTCCGGTCGTAGAACGATAGGAGATTGCCCCACATGTCATGTTTCATTAGAGTCATTGGGTTTCCTATTATCACCAGCCCGTGCTTTGCTCTTGTTAGTGTTACGTTCATCCTTCTTTTATCCCCAACAAATCCTATCCCTTGGTATAAGTTGCTCCGGACGAGACTAACTATTATAAAATCCTTCTCTCTTCCCTGGAAACCATCGACATTGCTTATCTCAAGATTCCCTGGTTCAGCCCCGAATATCCTATTCAGAATATACGATCTTTGTCCTTCATATGGCGTTATCACACCTATCTGGCTTTCGGTGACACCACACTTGAATAAGTGCCTTATTATACTTTCGCAATACAGGGCCTCAGCTTGATTAACAAAAGAGGTCCCACTTGCACTCACCTCCTCCCTTCCATAGCATACATAGAAGAAATTGACTGGAATCCCCAGATCAAATCTGCAGAAGTTCTTTCCTCCAGTGAGGAGCTCTCCATTGTAGAACATCTCCGATGGCCACTCGCAAAGGTCCGCATCCATTCTATATTGGACCGATAACATATATGGGACTACGCCGATTGAAATCAGTCTCTCAAATAAACTCTGCTTGAATCCTGCCTGCGCCACTTTCTTGCACAAAATCGTGGGTCCTAGCTGTTTATGGTCCCCAACAAGCACAAGCTTTTTGCACCCATACACTAACGGAATAAGGCTCAACGGCTCTGTTGACTGAACAGCCTCATCGATCAGTACACAGTGAAACTTGAATCTGTTGAACATTTTCTGCCCTGATGTTACGCACGTACATGTGATAACTTCTGCCTGGTTGAGAAGCTGTTTCTTTAACGACTCGTTAACTTCGTCATTATAAATACTATCATACCTGCTATGGTCCTCGTCCTTCCTCTTTCTTCCTTCCTGCAGCTCCCTCAGGTTCTCATGGAGAGACAGAAAGCTTACATCAGATTGCCCGTACTCTCTCCTTCTACTCATCACTCGTAGAACCCTTAGTCCCGTCTTGTGGATCTTCAGAGTAAGTTGGTCTACTGCAGTATTGCTTGGGGCAACAACAAGAACCTTTCCTCCGTAATGCCTTACCAGGTTGTAAACGATTGCAGATGATACCAGGGTCTTTCCAGTTCCAGGGGGGCCTTGTATCAGTGTCACCTTCCTTCCAAGAGCTGCTCTAACGGCTACTTCTTGAGAGGCGTTGAGTTTTGGAAGGTTTGGAGATGAAAAAATATGATCAAAGTTTCCAATCCCTTCCTTGTGCCCCTTCAAGATATATTCAAATATCGACGGTCCCTCATCAAGGCTTTTCTTTGCTCTCACTCCCTTTCTTCTGTCCACTCCAACGTCTCCCTCAACTCCATACATCGATTTCTTCTTGTCTGGATCTTTGCCCTCGTCTATCCCTTTATCCTCCAACTTCTTGCCATCATCCTTGTTCCTGTTTCTTTTGTTCCTGTCGACCTCTCTCTTGTATGTGCTATATAGCTTTTTCAAGGCCCATACCATTCTTTCATAGCATACTCCTCTCCAAAGATACTCAACGGTGTATCCACTTCTCGGATAGTCACCAGGTGTTTCAATTTCCACCTTCAGCTCCTCGCTAAACGTCTCTCCGCTGACAAACCCATGCAGGACCAGCCCGCTTTTATGAGTTAATCTGATCTCGTCTCCAACGTTGATCTTCAACTCACTGTCTCCGTTCTGGAAGTAAAAGTAGCAGTACTTCATCTTCTCCCATCGGACAAACACATTTTCCTGCCGCATGGATTCCTTTATTTCTCTTTCCTTCCGACACTCCGCCTCTATCAGAGAGGAAAATACTTCGACATATTCCTTGGCCTCAAACCTTGGCTTGACATGGGGCAGCGGCGATACATTCCTCTCCTCCATCTCTGCCATCTGCTGCTTGGTCAGTCTTCTTCCTTGGACTTCGGGGCTTTTGACTATAGTAAGGCATCTCTCTTCAACCAGCATCTTACCGGAGCTGCATCCATTACAGAAAATCTTCCCACCATTCTCAAGAAGTTTGAACAAATTATCTTCTCCACACTTCCTGCACTTTATATCTCCATTGATCCTGATCGACTTGTGCTTTGCCTTCACAAGGTGGAATACTATATGCGATATGGACGAGGCACTGCGTGAGTTACAGAAACACTTTCCGCATGTTATGCACTCTATCAGGAGCTCTGCCGCTTCGCAATATTGGCATTTCATTTCCTGGGGTCTCTTCATAGCCACTTCTAGAAAATTCTCGCCGAGATCCCAAGCACATCTTATGGGATCATTCCATGGATCCTCGCTACAAATCCGCTATTCTAGCCCATTTCGCCACTATGTTGGACACCCATGATAATTTTTCATGAAGAAAAGGCATCCAAGCAATCCGACGAATTTACACTCAAAATGCTCGGGATGCCAAGATACGACGGCAGGTTCGACTTTAGCAGGAAGGAAATAGATATTCCTTTGATATTTCCACTTAAGAAGTCTACTGTCAAGTTAAGGAGCCCGTCACAGGTCTGCTTCATGGAAAAAATAGATAACAATAGCGTGATATACTCGGAGAAAGGATACACATTCAACGTTGCCGGCAAATATGCATATAGTTTCAAAATAAAGGACCTGTGCAAAAGACTTGTGGTAGGGCATGGAAAGGCATTTATTCTCACAGACAAGCACATGTATGTCTATAGGAATAGGAAAATACGCATGTTTAGTACAAATGCACTGGATGTCTGTCCATCTCCCTATGGAGAAATGTTTATGCTGACTCCTAAGGAAATTCTGATATTCGACGAAAGCGGCGTCAAGGAAGTGTTTCCATATACAGGAAAGGTAAAGTTCATACACTCCTATCTGTTCAGAGAACTGATAGTTGTGGCTGATAAACAAGTATTTCATCTAAACCTCAACAGTCTTAAGGTAAGCACCATATATCTTACCATTGGAATAATTACGTCAACCATCTTGAAAGACAGGCTTTACATGCAGGAGGGGAAAGAAGGAAGAGCTGCTAAGGTCACATCCTTAAACATAGAGGATAGGACTGCAGAATCCATCCGCATAGAGAGCTTGGTGAGTATCTCTGTGGGTGAGTCGCTGCTAGTACTCTACAAAGCAGGGGGAGAATTCATATTCTGCGACAGATTTGATCTCATCAATGCAAGAAGTGTCGTGTACGATATCGAGAATTTTATAGGGTTTTTTTTTGTTGGGGATAAGAGCTGCTTTTTCTTTAAGAGCAGGTTTGTGTTGTGGAAGAACGGAGATATAAAAATAATAGAGATAGGAGCAGACGAAAAAGAGGAGCATTTTATAGAGTTACCGGATAATCTCGAGATGCTTGAAGAGGTATACAAGAAGAGGCCTGCTCCAATGGGGGTTTTTAAGCCTGGAAATGTGATGTCTTCTCTCAATAAGATGGCCAAGGAATTTTTAGAAAAAGAGAGGAGGAGCACCAATCCAATAGCCAAGAAGAAGATCAGGTATGCTGAGAAAAACCTCGGGGGTTTCTAGTAGAGTCTCCGTCTGGCGCACGATACGGGGCAATGATAAAAAGTTGATCGAATAAACCCTCATGGACGAATTTGTTTCCCTCCTGAAGACACTTAAGAAAAATGATAAGATTGCGCAAAATGTTCTGCTTATGATCTCAGAGAGCTTTCGGTACAACGAGGAGGCGGTAGGCGATGCACTGTTTAGACATCACAGGGGCCTGCTTGATAGAGAAGCGGTTCTAGACTTTTTGGCACTACTCTGCAGTAAGGATGCAAGATATCTGAGTCTTTTCAGGAGATACCGGGGAGAGTTCGATGCGGATCACAGGATTGTTAAGCTGCTGGACGGTGAGATTCCAGAGGATAAGCCCAAAAGGGCAAAGGTGGATGATAGGGATTACGCTGAGCATGAAGATGTTGCTAAGGATGCCGCCAGTGCAAGAGGCATGCTTGCAGATCCAACTGCTGGAGGCAATCCCAAGCATAAAGAAACTCACAATAAAAAGATAAGTAAAAATGTGCTTGAGGACGCAAGATCAAAAAACTCATGGGATAGAAAAGAGCCCGAGCCCGAAGTCCTTAACGATGAATACCTAAGGGCTGAGGCATGCCCATCCATATTGTACCCTCCGAACCAGTGTAAGCTATGTGGACTGAGATACGAGGACACTTCAGTGGGCGACGAGCAAATGGGAATCCACATTGACGAGCATAGGAGAAAAGCAAGGGTGTTAGGAGAAAAGGACTGCGTAAGCAGAGAGTTCTTCCCAACGCTGGAAGCATGGACAAAGAACATCGAGAAAATTAAGCTCAAGTTGGAGGTTGAGAAGGTTGAAAAGATCGCTTACTCAGGAGGGCCAGCACTTTGTGATGTTTGTCGCAGCAAAATAGAGGTCGAATGGGATGACCACGAGGACAGCTGGATGTTGAAAGATGCAATCTCTCTTGAAAAAGCTGGAAGAACAAGCTTTTGCCATAGAAAGTGTGTTTCATAATGCCCTGGGCCCACCAGTAGAGCATAAACCAATGGAAATAAATCTGTCTTTAGTTACCGTACTCCTCTGCTGACATTTTCTGCTTTTTATGATGTTCTCCGTGGCCTAATAACATGAGTCTGCCGTTTATAGAATCTCCTATCCATTTCATGCCTCTCAGGTCCTGTCTATTACTGACCTTTTCGCTCAGATCCACGAGAAGATCGATGTCTGTCTCGTTTCTGATCATGGTCTTAATGATCTTCTGGTATCTTCTCGGATTCTCGATAGACATTACAAACCTGTAGAAAGAAGAACTTGGAATGCGGGTTCTGTCAACCATGCCCAGGTCTATCCCCTCATTTCTGCCTACACTTTCAAAGAAGACCGTCCAATCGAAGCGGTCTTCGCATGTGTCCTCAATAAGTAACGTCATTTTTATGAGGGCCGAGTTCTGCTCCAACAGAGCACAGAATATCTCAAACAGCCTTCCCTTGTCCCTATACTCTACCCTTTTTAGTACTGTCTTCATAACAGACAGTGCCTGCTTGAAAACCATCCCGTCTATTCCTGAGACATACATCAGAACAGGGATGACATCCACATTTCCTGGATAGTTATTCGCAAGTATTAGATTCATGGCATCCAACACCCTGTTACATACCTTTAGAGACGTCAAAGATAGCTTCTTCGCCCTCCCTTCAAACAGCATAGAAATTGATGCATCAATTCTTTTGATCTCATCGGAATCATCCAGAGAGACCAACGATATCGTTGTATCTGACGAGTCCTCCCAGTTTGCTTCGGCTGAAACCTGCTCAGAGCCCTCCATGTCGGAACTTTCGTGTATTTCTTCAACTTCCTGAGAAGAGACGGATCTTGAATCCTCGGCAGCTTCAATGGCGCTCATAAACTCCTCGAATCTCTTCTCGAGCCCAAGCTCGGTCAGCAACAGCTCTATGAGCTCATCCAAGGTCTCATCTGTCTTTACAACATCAAGACTTGAGTTGGCATAAAAGTAAGTCAGGAATGCTTTGGAGAAGGAGCTTGGATCCCTGAAGAGGGCCGCCATGTTCTTTATGAAGCTTCCCTCGTTAAGCTCCTTGATAGCAAAGACATTCATTGCTATCTGTTCCATAACATCGGATTCGGGATCTATCTTCTTCGTAGACCTCGATCTGATACCAAGGACTTTGATTCTGCTAAGAAGCTCGCTCTTCTCCGGGAAGTTCTTGATCATGAAGCTCATCACGTAATTCACGTTTTTGTCAAACATCTTCTTGTTCTTTGTCAGCTCAAGAGAAACCGCATTAATATTTTCCTTGGTCAGCTCCAGAGACACCATGGGGTATCTATTTCCTTCGGCAATGAAGCGATGCATGGATTAAAAGTCTCTGGAGGAGCCCTGTGGAATGGTAACCGTCAAGATGAAGTCTGATCAAAAGAAAAGCATTCTTCTTGAGATAATAAGAGGAAGCAAGTCATTCTTCAAGCTGCAGGAGCTGGAAAGCTTGGGCTCGAAGAAGGGAATAGTTGTGAATACCATCAAGGAGATCCTGCAGCAGCTTGTTGATGACGGACTTGTTACTGCAGAGAAGGTCGGAACTTCGAACTTATACTGGTCGTTTGCATCTGAAGGAATCCAAAAAAAGAAGTTGAGGTGCAAGGAGCTTATGGAGGAGTGCGAAAGGATGTCTCAAGACATTTGCAGGAAAAGAGAGTATATTGAGAACGAGAAGATGTCCAAGCACTACACCGAAGAGAGGAATGAGCTGGAAAACAAGTTAAATGCCCTAATGAAAATAGAGCAGGACCAAAGGGAGGAATTGGGCAAGTTCGAGGAGACAGACCCCATTGCCTATGACAAGCTTGTTGCCGACAGAAAAGAGATGGCCGACGAGTGTAATAGAATTATTGACAATGTCTTTATTATACAGGACTACATCTGCAGCAAATTTCCGATGGAGAAGTCTGAATTCAACAGCAGTTTTGGGATTCCCCCGGACCTCGACTATATTCAATGACGTTTCTAATAAGCATGACCTGATGGTTTGATAGCTGTTGTTTGGTCCATGCTCCCAGAGTGTAGAAATCTTGCTTCAAGAAGGCATTTGTTTGGTTTTATTTCCTCCTGGAGCTTAGCCCATGAAGAAGGATGACGCCTCAGAGGAGTACAGGATGATGATGCCCTCGTATCCTGATAGGAACGCCTTTGAGTACGAGGATATGACCACCGATGTCGGGATGTACAGGGTGCCTGTGAATAGACCTGTCAGGATATACTGTGATGGGGTGTACGACCTATTTCATTATGGGCATGCGAGGAGTTTGAAGCAAGCTAAGAATCTTTTTCCAAATGTCTATCTACTAGTTGGGGTTACTGATGACGACATAACGGTGAGGCTCAAGGGAAACCTTGTTATGGATGAGAACGAAAGGGCAGAGGGGCTGATCCACTGCAGGTATGTCGACGAGGTTATAACAAGCGCGCCATGGGAACTGACCCTGGAATTTCTGCAGAAGCACAAGATAGACTTTGTTGCGCATGACGACATCCCCTATAAAGGAGAGGACAAGGACGATATCTACAAGTTTGTGAAGGACATGGGGATGTTTATACCGATCAGAAGAACAAAGGGGATCAGTACAAGTGGGATAATAACAAGTATTGTGAAGAACTATGACATGTATGTCAGGAGAAATCTTGAAAGAGGAGTTTCTGCAAAGGACCTGAACATATCATTTCTCCAGATGAAAAGAATAAAGATGAGCAAGAAAATGAATGAAATGATCAAGAATGTTGACATTCAGAGGGAAATAGACGACATAAGGAGGGAGATACGAATTGCAATGAGATACTGGGAAAGGGTGTCGAACGAGATTATCTCTGGGTTTATAGAAAACTTCTATCATGGAAAAAGCTCCAACAGATTCATTGACCGATTGGTGGGGCTTGTGAAGCTTAAGAAAGAGAATGCATAGTTTTGGTGCTACTTTGAGTTATGTGAATAAAGGAAATCTTTGGTTATTTTGATGTTTGGATAGGCCCATAGATGTTTCTTCCGAATAATCTTGACGATCCCAATGAGAAGGAGACTATGGAAATGAAGGGCCCTCTTTCGCTTGTCCGCAGAGCTATGGTGAAGATGAAGCCTGTGCTGGTTTCTTTGCGTAGCAATAGAAAGGTCCTAGGAAGAGTGGTAGCATATGACAGACACTACAACTTATTGATGGAGGATGCTAAGGAACTCGGTACCACGCGCGGAAAGAACAAGGGGAGAAAGAAGAGGCAAGGATGCGAGTTCTCCAGAAAACTCGGCAAGGTGTTTATCAGGGGAGACACGGTCATACTTGTCGCAGGAGAGATAGAGGTCGACCAAGTAGAGAAGGATGGCTTGGAAGATGGAAAGGGAGAGGATGCGAGCCTTCCGGGAGAAGTAGCGGCCGGCGACGAAATCTAAACTAAAATGTATGCCCGGCACCTTCCTGGTGCCCTGCAGCTTTCTGTGTGCTACCCTTTGACATTTTTGACAAGAACCAAAAAAGCTTCGAAGGTAGGAAGGGCATTTGCCGGGCGTGTTTTATAGCCAGAGGCGCTCAGTAGAGACTAATAAGATTTATTTATCCTTCACGACTGGGGGTTCAGCTTCATCTTTCCGGCCACATCGAAGTATCCCATCTCGCTTCTCTTTTCAAACTTCAAGCGCTGTCTGCAGCGGCCGCACTTCTTCCTCTCCTTCTCGACAACAGGGTCCTTCGGTGTTTGGTTCCTAACTTTGCCTGCCTTGTTTATTGTAGTAGTTGCCTAAAGTTAGAACAGGTCTCCGAGAGACTGCAAGATTCCACCTACCATTTCAAAGGGCCTTTCTTTCAAGGAAAATATTTTCCGAGCCCAATCCTCAGGTAGGCAGATATTTTCGAAAAATTTATCCCTCGCGAAATGGTAAGTGCGAAGACGAAGCTAACTTGTAGAGTTTGGAACTGGAGATTGCTGACCTGAGAGACAACAGATTGCTTTCCAGAAAGGAGCTGGATGTGGTTGCATACCATCCCGGGATGCCCATTCCGAGCAAGGAGGAGATAAGAGAGAAGATATCAGAACTGTACCAGACAAAGAAGGACAATGTTGTGGTTATGGATCTTAAGAACAGATACGGCACGCACCGGACTACACTCAAGGCAAAAATTTACTCAAGCATTGAAGTTCTGTCGAACATCGAGAAAAAGCACATTGTGGCGAAACTCACTGGAAAAGAGTTCCATGTGACACCCAGGAGAGTCAGAAAGGACGAAAGAAAGAAGCGCTACAAGATCTTCGGCACTCTCAAGAGGGCTATGAAGAAGGCAGAAAGAAAGAATAAATAAGGACATTCTTACTCCTGTGCTTTTCCAGGGCAACTTGGATTTTGGTCGCCGATGTTTTCTATATGTCTGAAGTATTGCTTGATCTCCTGGATCTTCGCGAGGGTATCCCTGCTGATCGACCCGTTGAGCTTTTGTTTACATATCTCCAGGGATGTGTGCAGGTATAGCTTATAAAGCTCGTTCCTCAGTGCCTCTTTCCGAGATGGCTGCTTAGGTTCGCTCTGGATTTCGCTCTGGATTTCATCAAGGATGCTAAGCAGACTGTTGATTCTGGAGTGGCCCATACCACGGATAGAAAAATTTCCCATATGAGTCCTTATGATGGAAATATCCATAAATAACTGGAGGAGCTGCTCTCTAAAGGGATGTCCATCCAGGATATTCAGCGAAGAGACCCATGGACCTCTGAAAATACTCACTTCCCCAAATGGCATAGGAGCTGTTCTACTTAAGAGCAGATCCAAATACCAGTTTATTGAAAAGAGATTGGGCAAGAGAATCAGAAAGAAGTCTGACTTTATTGTGGTTGATGGAAATGGGGTCTCCCTACCATTTGATTTCATTCTGAAGGAAGTGGTTGAAGACGGAAGAGAGGAGTATGTTGCAATAATACATAAGTTCTAGATATTCCTTTGCAGAGCCCTATTTTCGACTTCTTGCGGCCCTTACAAACCCTTCATAGTCGGATTTGAATAAATCTCCTGCCTTGGTGTTCAATGCATCCTCTCCGGTGACTTCAACAAATATAACATAAAGATTGACAAATATGCTTTCGAGTCCATGGCTGGGCCTCCATCCAAGTCGCAAAATCTCCATACAGACGTTCCCGTCATCGTCGACATTCGGGTGAAATACATTGTCCAGGCACAGAAGCTTCGGAGGTTTGAATGGATATGCATTGGGAATCTTTAGTTTGAATCTCAGCACCCTTCCTTCATAGATGCCTTCGCTAAGCAGCATTGTGTACTCGACCTCCGCAATGTATTTCTCTTCCCCAGACCTAACTACAGACAGCGACGCACCTGGAAGAAGCTGGATCGACCCGACTTCTGTCTTCAAACGAAAAGCAGCAAATGATGATGTTTCCAATGGATTCATGGGCTGCCTATACCCCGTTTTTTATTTCGCATTCCGAATAGTGGATAAGAGCATCCATAAATACTCTTGAGGAGAAGGCTTTCCTTGTAAACCAGATCTCGCATTCTGCCAGAGTTAATGGATTCGCCAGATTAAATCTTAGGGTTGTGTTGCACAGAATTACAAGAGAGTAGTGGGTTGTCCTCTCCTCGAAGTCTATGTTCATTTTCATTCCCTGTATCTTTCTTTTTTCCTCCTCAGTTATTGTGCCATATCCGTCAACTATCAGTGTCGTCTTTGGTATCTTCTTGAGTCCGTCGATGCATCTTCCATCCCAAAGAGCCAAGGACTCCATTCCCTGGGAGAAAATTACCACTTAAAAAGCCTGTGAAGTCGAGTGTTTTATTGAGTGGATAGCTTGAGCCGTAGGTGGGGTGCGTATCTCCGCACCAAGAAATAGTTGCTGACCTGAACAACGACCATGAATGAGAGAACCAGAAGAGGCAGCAGAAGATACTTCGAGTAGTCATAGTCAGCTAGAAACTTCATCTGAGGATCACAGAGCATGGCCTTGGTTTCCTCAGTGCTGAGATTTGTGTCGAGCGGTAAGCCTAGCAGGAATCCTATGGCTGCTTTATATATTGGAGAGGCCTTTTCATTTAGCTCTTGAGAAAACAACACTCTTTCGAAGAAAGATAGATTCATAAAGCTTTCAAAAAAAATCTTAGGCCACAGGAGCATTAAAGGATACTTCAAGAACTTCAGGTATCCAACAATTCCATTCTGGGAAGAATCAAGGCGTGCGGAAATCATATATAAAGATCCTGGAGTAACAAGAAATATGAATACCGTATTGACCGTTGACTGAAGTACTCTAAGAACTCCACTAGTACTTCCAAAGACTCTCGTCATCATATTAAACACTGACACTAAAAAGCTTCCTATTGTGATATAGGCAATCAACTGGGGTGTGTTTCCCTCCTTGACCCCAGTAAGTGACGTAAGGGCTATAAACGCAAAGCACTTCAGTATCATCGGCGGGATTTCTACAATCCATACCGAGAAGTATAGTGTTGATGCTCCATATGTCGCCTTAGACATCTCCCTAAAGATATAATCCACGCCATCGAGCAACCCACTTGAATTAAAAAATAAAATAGACAAGAATAAAGGAAGGCTCTGCTGCCATTTGATAGTTTCGTCTATGTTGGGCGACAATGATTCGTCGACTTTCGACTTCAAGGAATTGAGAAGCCAGAGATAGGTGGATTCTGAGTCAGTCTTTTCATCCGTATTTAGATGAAACATGTTGGCAAGATTTGCAAGTTGCGTAATAAAGAAAATAGGATATGACACGCAGATATAAAACGCCAGGAAGAGGATCTCGAAGAGACGACTCTTCATCATCATCCAGGATCTCCATTCAAGAGTCCATTGTCTCTTGGCTATCTGAAAAGCCTTCCAAAAGCTGAATGGAAGCTTAGTTACAGAATCGTTATTGCACTTCAGGGTCTTATTTGCACTTTTCGACATTCCCTCTTGGAATGCTGACTCTTTCATCTGGTTGACCATCTCTCTATACTCCTCGATCCCAGGAACACTGGATTTATTGGAAAAAAGCTCAAACAGAAACTCACTCATAGATAGCCCTGTCCTGTGGATCCCTTTGGTGTTGAAGAAGCTTTCACATCTATCGGCAGGCCCAGAGTACACTACAGATCCCTCGTGGAGGAATAAGAGGGAATCAAACATGTCGAACAGCCCTGGTCCGGGTTGGTGGATGGTTGTGATTACAATCTTGTTGTTTTCAACAGCATATTGCTTGACCATTTGAATTAGCTCAAATGCGAGATGGGAATCAAGTCCGGTGGTTGGCTCATCAAGAATCAATACATCCGGAACAACAGCAAACTCGATGGCTATCATCACCCTCTTTCTCTCTCCCCCGGAAACTGCTGTCATAACCACATCTCTGAGGCTTTCGATGTGAAGCCTTTTCATCACTTCGTCAACAACCTCCTCGGTACTTCTTCCTCCTCTCTGCTTCCTTGTTGTTCTGCAGTTCACACAGAAATAGATGTACTCGTAAACAGTTATGTAAGGAGCCGTGCAATCATCCTGAGATAGGTACGCTACGTGGAATAGCCATGTCTTGGGATCCCTTTCCTCCTCCCGGAACAGTATTCTTCCATATGTCATCGAGCCTTCCTGAACCATCCCCACAATTGAGTTTATTAGTGTTGTTTTACCGCTTCCACTGGGCCCCATAATAGCCGACAGCTTTCCTGACTCGAAAGTAACAGATACCCCATTTATCAGCTTAACATATTTGTTACTCGAGGACAGATCTTCGTTGACGGCCTCAAGAGTAACGTCTTCGAGTTCAAGCTTGTAGCTTTCGGCAAGCTCATATTCTTTCTTAGGCGTGTGTGCTTCCATGGGACCACTTGTTGCATGAATTATATAGTTCTTCTTCACAATTAGCCCAAACGGGCATGACAACGCCTCCTATTTAAAGATCTTAATGAGCTATCCAATCAGATATTTTGAGAGCCCCTTAATAAAACAGACCATTTCATTGAAAGTAGCCTTACAACAGGTGAATTCCTCTATAAGACACTTCCGTTACAAATGTGAAAGTGAAGACCCTTTTCCAATATCTGTACACATCTTGGTAATCATCGGCTAGAGCCCAGACACAGTCATCTCCGCCAGCCCCTGAAATCCCGCACCCCCAGATATCGTATCCATTGGTTTTCATTAGTACTTCATACTGCTTCTCCGGAACTATTGCTGTGCTTACGCCTTTCATGGCATCCAGATACTCCATATAAAGCTTCTTTGGACTTTCCCTTTCCTCGTTAATCTTCCTGTTAATATCTTTGATGAACCTCCATTTAGGGTCTTTAGAGTTAATTTTCTTAAGCATTTCTCTTGTCGCACTACTCTTTCCAAAGGACCCAAGGATCAGATACCGGGGAATATTCTCAAGAGGAAAGCATCTTTCTCTGCTGAAATATATGGATCCCAGAAGGCAGCACATCACATCGCATCCAGAAGCTCCCTGGTTGGTTGCCTGGTGGACTAAATATGTTATCGATAGGAGGTGCTCTGCAAGATCCTCGGAAAGAGAAAGGCCCCCAAGCCACAGCTTCAGGTCACCTTGGAAAACAGGCGATCTGCCCCGTGCATCAAAATCGCCTCGAGAAGCGATCCGTCTGAAGTCATCCTGATGAAATCTTAGGAGGGCATACACTATGGATACAAGAATGCAGGCAGAGGATCCAATCCCAGTTTTCTCGCCTCCAGGCCCGCCAGAAAAGAATCCTTCCCCTGTGTGCATTTCGATATGTATCCGGTTTTTGGGTGAAATCCTGGCAATCTCGAAGAAGCAGGCAACTATGTTGAGTATATAATGAGCAGGCCCGCCTGTATCACGGCATGTACGAATGTAGTCGCTTCCGTATGTAATTTTTTCCCCTCCATCCACCGCCACTGTTATCTCCGCCTCACTCGATACAGTTCTAGTTGCTTCTGATGTCATGTGTGTTTTGAGTGCTACAGCCCTACATGTTTCTCCGCTCAGCACTATGTATGATCCGTTTACAATCACCTTTCCAGGAACTCTGAACTCTATCTTCTCGATCATTTGTCAAGGGCCTTTTGAATGTGCAATCATCCTCCCCTAGCAAAGAAAAGTCTTTTTTTTGCGGAGCCCATCAAAATGCTTCCGAAGCTAAACGTTCCCACTCGTCTTAATAAGAGCTATCTAATGGAGTATAGAGCACATAAAACCATCCCAAGGGCTACCCAGAAGCCACGGGAGCATGAAAGATCGACTCCTAACTACCGTACAATATTATGTAAGTTTTTCCTGATGAACTCCTGCAAGCACGGGGACAGCTGTACGTACTCCCACGACACAAGCAAGTTTCCATGTAAAGCATTTCACCTCAAAGGTAATTGCACCAGAAAGGACTGCCCCTTTTCTCATGAACCCCTATCTGGAGCGGCTATGGAAGAAATGATCAACGAAAAGGAGGAGGAGCCCACCCTCCTCTTCAAGTCTACTTTACTCTAGAACCCCCTTTCCTTGCTCTTGATTGATTCCGAAGAAATTAATTAATCGATAAACAACTTTAAATTTTAAGTTTAATCAACTACGGCTCTCCTCCTTACTTCTTTCTTCCAAGTTCTCGAAAAATTTGACTAGTCTTCCAACCCTATTATTTCTTGTGTGCGTGTTGCTTTTCTTCCTCCCAACGTCCCCGGCCTCAACAAAAACTATCATTTCGTCATCCCTGTCTGCTTCTCTGCCTCTGCTATCTGAGCAGGTGGCAGGATTATCTGTCCTATCGAAGTCCAAAATGGATTTGAATTCCTCGACCTTTTCCATGCCGTCTACTAGCCTGTCACCAATGTTCCGGGTGATGCAGGTTTCTACAAACGATGTTTCGGATGCTTCGGCACTGGAAGGCTCCATGGAAGGAATGAATGCGGCAAGCAGAGCTGTTTTCAGCTCCTTGCAGAGATCCTCGGAATTCACTATGTCTTCGCTTGTGTATGTTTGCTCTGCAGTTTCGCAAGGACTATTCAGTCCGATCTTCTGGTTTATAATGTCCTTTTCTTCGGGCTCTTGCGCCTGAATAGCCTTGATGATGTTTCCCATGGCCCTCGAGTCGTTCATTTCCCTGTCTTCTTTCTTCTTCGGCTCAGCCAATGCAGAGGTAGATGATGCTGTCTCAAGCTCACGGCTGACAGACAACTCGCTGCTAGAGCTCAGAAGAGTAGGTCCAGAGGAAGCACTTTTGTCTGGTAATGCCAGGAGGCTTTCTTCTTTAGTGTCTTCATTGCCTTTGGAGACCTCGATATCAGATTCTTTGGAGACTTCCTGCCCAGTGAGATCATTACCCACATTAATAAACGAGCTGGGCATTTCATTGCTTTGGCATGAAGAAGTCTTCTCTAAGACAGCAGAAGACTGACTGCCCTTACCACTATCCTGGTGCTCATCTGTGTCGTTTCCATTGTAAGTTTCAGATATTTCGGATATCTCAAGAATTATCGGCTCACACTTTTCTTTGTTTCCACAGCTGCTACTTCCGCCATGGTTCTGGGGAAGCTCGTGGGACCTCTTTCTCTTGTAGAATTCGTGGGGCGGAACTCCTCTGCCTTTGCGATCAAAGCGAAAAGATCTTATCACCTCGTCTGCAGAGGAGTCTCCTGGAGAGCTCATAGACTCAATTCCATCGGCAGGCCCAATGTGCTTCAGCTCATATCCATTCACTTTTCCATTTTCATTAACTATGTACACATCGAATGTAGAGATCCTCTCTTCATCATCCACATCCTCGTCAGAGGACTTCTGGGTCAGCATGCACGCTGCGCCAATTACATGCTTCATCACACTGGATTCAAGAGGCCTCTGGCTTTTGTCGCTAGATCCCGAGCTTTCCATCTCAAGATAGACCTTCTCTGCCTCATCTCCAGATGAACTTCTTTTGTCTTTGCCAGACCATCCATCCATCCCGGTGCTCCCCACTTCTCCATATATGTACTTAAGTCACACGTCCATGGAACCAATCATTTTGGTCTGCGCCTATTCCATTGGTCTATTGTGCGTCACTGACACAAACAGCCCAATGATGAGACACGCGAAGTCAAGTAAGAACTTCCGATGCATAAACCCTAAAAAGTCATTGTCATCCCTTTTCAATGATAAATAATGTTTTTTTTCAGGCCATCCCATCTATGGAGAGAGAGTATGACTTCATTATCTACGGTGCATCCGGATATGCAGCTGGATACATAATAGAGGCCTTCAAGTCCGAAAATGTTAAGCTAGCCTTAGCGGCAAGGGACATCGGCAAAATCGGAGACAAGGCATTTCCTGTTTACGAGTGCGGAATAGATGGCATCGACGAGATTGCATCCATGACAAGAGTGCTGATAAACTGTGTTGGACCCTACATTCATCACGGTGAAAGCATTGTCAAGTCATGCATAAGGAACGGAACACATTACATGGACATATCTGGAGAGGTGTATTTCTTTGAGCTTATCATCAGCAAGTACCATGACGAAGCCACCCGGAAAGGTGTCTACATCATCAATTGCTGCGGATTCGACTCTATTCCCTTTGATATCGGGGTTATGTGTCTTCGGGACATGTTCGACTCTGTAGAAATAGAAAGTGTTATCAAACTCCACAATATTGTTTTAAGTCAGACAACCTGGGAGTCGCTTCTTATGTCTGCAGTGAACCTCAAAGAAACGATGGCCCTTAGAGAAAAGAGGTATGGACAGGGGAAAAAGAGGCGGTCTCAGCGGGTTGTAAAGAAGAACTCCTACCAGGTGATCTTTAGGGGAATAGACTATTCCGTCGTAAGAAGGAGCCAGGACCTGATGAAGTCTGTGGGGATGCCTAGTGCAAAGTACTTCGCATATCTGGACGTTGGAGGAAGGGTTGGGATGATAAAGTACTGGTTTTTTCTCTGGCTTGTCTGGTTCTTTTCTGGGTTTACGCTTGGAAAGTGGCTGATCAGGACCATAAGCCGATTTTTTACCTTTGGGTTCATCAAGAAGAAGCTGTCTTTTTCGGATGTCAGAAAGGCAACGTTTACCCTTGAAATCCAGGCCCGTGGGGAGAAGAATAACGAGATAGTGAGCAAGTCTCTCACAATATCCGGGCCGGATCCTTCGTACATAACAACCTCCATATGCCTGACGCAGACTGCAGTTGTGTTCCTGCATGCCCTCAACCAGAGGGCAAGGGGAACAGGAATAACTCTTTTTAGAGGAGGAGTTATCACTCCTGCCTGCGTGCTGTACAACACAGACATTGTCCAGAGACTGGCGTCAAAGGGCGTGAGGTTTGAGTTCAAGGAGGGATAAGCTCCGCCGTCTTCCCACCTCGAAGCTTCTTGCCGATGGTCTTTTAAGAATAAATGTTTATAGTAATTCACCTATAAAGGACAAACAAGAAGGCCGTTTTCATATCTCGGAGCCCATAATAATTTTAATGGTTATTTGATATTATAATTATGTTACACGTATCACGTATATGTGCTTTCAATTTCGCTGCCCTCATCCACGTGTGCAGGCCTCTCTGGTGTGACTCCCGCCTGCCCGACCTGCCGGTTTCCAGGACTGGGGTATCGGAGCCCAGGGCTTAATGAAAGTGCTTTTCCTTGGTAATTTATCAACTGCCAGCACTTCAAGTATGCAGTTGCGCTGATAAATAGATTAAGCATAGGCAGACTCACGTATAAATTTATTTGAAATTGCTACACTTTCCTTTCATGAAAGGCAAAATTCTTCTCCTGGCGTTTATAAACCAATTGTTAATCTGTGCTGGGCCAAGGCCAGTCTTCTGGCAAAGATAGGCCTTTTCGGCATCCGATGGATACGGATTATCCATGTTTTCTTTCAACCAAGACCTCAGAAGCTGTGATGTGTCCATGGGGAAGTTGGCCCTAGTCCTTGGTTTGGCGCACTTGTGCTCGGCCTCATGCTGAATAGGTCTGACAGCTTCGACGGTGCCAACTCTAATGGGCTCGGAGGTGATGCTCTTCACACATCCTATAATGTAAGCAACCTCGGAGTCGATCACCTCCATAAGCCTGTCCTCAAGGATGATCTTTTGTTTTACTCTTTTAAGAACAAATAGTAGCGCCATCTTAAATTTCATTCCCTCTCTTCCAGAGTCGCCGAACACCGTGGCTTTATATTTGCTTCTAATCCGCCTCATTTCCTCCATCAAGCTCTTCCTACTGGCTCCACCCGCAAAGTAACCCTCTTCTGCAGACACGGCCTGGTCCAATATGCCCATTATTATGTTCATGGCCTCCATTCCATTCTCTCTGTTTTATCTAATTGCCTCTGGGAAGCTTAATTAATCTTGTTTGATAGAGGTTTTATAATTTAATATTTCAATTGTGTCAATATGACAGAAATAAATAAGATCTGGACATCTGGGTGCATGCTGGAGCACATGTGCTTTGGAGCAGTTCTGTGGCATCTTCTCTTTGTGTTCCACACAGAGCCGATTATCTGGCCATATCGGTGGAATACTATACATTACATGGAGTAACTAATTGTTTAAATTAACAATTAAAATGCTATGTCTGTCCATCCATCACCATTGATAGATTTGCACTATCTCTAGTCGCCTGGCGCATCTAGAAATCCATGCTAAAGAATGGACCCGGGCATCCGTCTGTCTCAAGATGGCAATGCAGGTGTAACTGACCGCTGATATCAAAGTGAATTTAAACCGGATATTTATTAGCCTCCTGGAAAAAACTGGGTTAATTTAACCTCTTACTTTACTCTGAGGAAATGCATGCACGGCATATTAAGGCATGTTATTTGCCTTCAGAAGTTAATACTGTCTGCCCCCTTCATGCCCTTTGGTTCTATTTCTTTTGTTCGTAAACCAGTTATTTATTTGTTTGGTTGAAAGTTTACAGATTTTTGCAAGCCTTGCCTTTTCGGCCTCCGAGGGATATTGGTCGATCTCAAAGCTCCTTTCCAAGGCCTCTGTTATGAATTTTGGAAATCTCCTTGACTTTATACTTTCGTTTCCATTGGGGTTGTACAATGTCCTAAACTCACTTATCGAGAATCCTATGTGATCGACAACAAACTCGCGAATATATCTGATTCTCTCCTCGAGATATGTCCTGACATTCGTCGAAATGTCCGGAGAACTTCCAACATCCTTGGCAAACTCATCTATCACTGCATCCATTTCCTCAACGACCCTATTGTTTGTCTCTATGTAGATGCCCCTTATCTCATTCATCCGCAAGGAAACAAGAGCGGGTAACTTTGACATGGGCAAAATCGGGGCCATGGCCAAATAAACTCTGTACCTTAAATCAAATATAGATACAATTAGGAGATTCTATCCTCTCCATAAATGTCATTTCCATAAAGGGAATCCTCCCATATATCATCAGACAATTTATCGTCCGAAGGCTTATATACTCATCACCCAGCTGTCAAACAATCGACCGCAGTTTTGCCGGGACTGCTCGAGACATCCCACTGGGCGATTTCTCTGCATTATTCTGGGATGTTGGTTTAGAATGGAAAGAAACTGTCCCGGGAATCCCTGTAGTATGTGTGACAATGGCAAGAAGATCAAGAAAATAACGGAGACTGTGAACATTCTTCTGAAAAAGGCTGAGAAAAAAAGGAAGGAGATAATTAATGAGATAAGAGGTGTAGATGAGTACTTGAACAGCTTGGAGCAGAAAAAAAAGAGGCTGACCAGGAATGACTAGCAGGCCTGAATGTATTTAATAAAAATTTGTGTTTACCCCGTATGGCAGATCTTGAGAAGATTCTTGAAAGGCTGGGGATTTCTCCTGAAAAGCGGTGTCAGGTGATTAAAAAAGAGCAGGTGGTTCGGAACATGGAGAAGATCTTTCTGGGGAGGGACCTTTCGAATAGGTTGCTGTATACATTAGCCTGCATTGCTCCAAAGAATGCTGATCTTGGGCTGTTGGCGGATCTGGTTGATGCTCGGGTCATCAAGCATGAGAGCATGCTGAAGGAATGTCTGCGATACACGGAGAAGAAGGATGTTTCGATGGAGGAGATGACTCGGTTTGTGAAGAGGAACGAGGTTTCCTCTGAAGATGTGCGGAAGTTTGTTGCCAAGATGAGAAGCGATAGAGTGGCGAAGAAGGACATGGTCAGTAAGGCAAGGAAGGCCATGCCCTGTGCAGACTTCAGGGTTGTTGTTGAGGAGATTAATAAGGTCCCTGATGATGTAGATGGTGGAGATGAGAAAAGGCCTTTAGAGGGGGGTTGGCTGGAAGAGGGGGAGATTAAGAAGCTTCCGAAGCCTTCGGAGATTCCCCAGATCAACGAGGAGATAAGGCAGGCCCATCTACGGAGGACAGGGGGGAGGGTTGTCACCAGGTTTCCGCCTGAGCCTAATGGAATTCTTCACATTGGGCATGCAAAGGCAATAAACCTGAACTTCGAATATGCCAAAAAGTTTGGAGGATATACCTATCTGAGATACGACGACACAAACCCCAAGAACGAGGAGGCAGAGTACTTCGATTCGATCTACGAGGATGTCCGGTGGCTTGGATTTGAGCCCTACAAGGTCACTGCCTCAAGCGATTATTTCGACAAGATGACTGAGTTTGGTTTTCAGCTTATAAGAAAAGGAAAGGCATATGTCTGCCACCTAAGCCAGGATGAAATATGCGAAAGAAGAAGACAGTATGTGTCTGATGGAACGAATGACAGATCGCACCTGAGCCAGTACAGAGACAGGCCTGTCTCGGAGAATCTGAGGCTCTTTCAGGAGATGGTTGACGGTAAATGGGAAGAGGGGAAGGCATGCCTCAGATTCAAGATGGACACTGACACAAAGAACCCCCTGATGCTTGATCTTGTGGGCATTCGGATATTGGACGTGGTGCATCCCAGGAAAAACGTGAAGTATACTGTGTATCCAACCTATGAGTTTGCTCTTTGTGTATCTGACAGCCTGGAGGACGTAACGCACTCCTTCTGTACAAGGGAGTTTTATACGAGGCAGGAGAGCTATAACTGGCTACTTGTCCAGCTTGAGATCTACAAGCCCATCCAGTGGGAATTTAGCAGGCTGAATATAAGCAACACTGTTCTGAGCAAGAGAAAGCTGCTTCCTCTGAAGAAGTACGGGATTGAGCTAGACGATCCTCGGCTGTTTACGATCAAAGGGATGAGGAGAAGAGGCTTCCCCCCGGAAGCCATCAACCAGTTCTGCCGAAGCCTCGGGTTCACCTTTGCAGAAACAACGGTTGATGTGAAGAAGCTCGAGAACTTTGTTAGAGACAATCTCAATAGGACCTCTCGAAGAATCATGTGTGTGAAGGAGCCTCTAAAGGTGACGATAATGAATTCGACGCCGTGCAGTATATCTATTCCGGACCTTCCCGGGTCGAGTGTTGTCAGAGATGTTCCATTTACTCCTGTCATATACATAGAGAAGTCGGACTTTATGGAGAAGGGAGACAAGGACTTCCTGAGGCTGACCCCTGAGCAGCCTGTTGGGCTTTACATGCTTTACCCAATAAGAGTCGTGAAGGTCACTCCGGACGGGATTGTAGCCGAGAGATGGGATGGAGTTCCAAGGAAGTTTATACACTGGGTTAGCGAAGACTCTGTCGAAGTAGAGATGAGGATGTATTCCTCACTCTGGACATCGTTCAGCCCGAAGGATGCCACCTATCTTGAAGAGATGAACAAAGACAGCCTCAAGGTCTTCCACGGGCTCTGCGACAAGAGAATTTCAGATGCAAGGATCGAAGACAGGTTCCAGTTCCAGCGCATAGGATACTTCTGCGTGGACAAAGACACGACCAAAGAAAACATTGTTGTTAATCTTACGATTCCTCTCAAGAACATTGCTTGAGAGGCTATCCATTTCTGCCATAAGCGTTTTTGTCGTCCTCACCAACAAAAGAAAGGTTGTGGTTGCCCTTCGATGATGTCCAACGAGAAAGAGATGACAGGCACAACCATTATTGCAATAAAGTATGACGATGGCGTGCTGATTGGGGCAGACTCGAGAACATCCATGGGAGCATATGTTTCGAGCAGGGTGACAGACAAGCTTACGCAGATCACTGACAAGATATTTGTTTGTAGATCCGGAAGCTCGGCAGACACCCAGATGATTTCCAGCTACTTGAGGATGTACCTTAGCATGTACTCACAGCTCGAGGACTCGATTCCTCAGGTGCAAAGGGCAGCAGCCTTGGCCAGCAAGATTATATATGAGAATCCGAGTCTTTTGGCGGGCCTTATAGTTGCTGGGTATGATGACAAGCCAAGGGTCTTCAATATATCTCTTGGGGGGTCGCTTACGGAGCGCGACTGGGCCATCGGAGGATCTGGATCTGCGTTTATATATGGCTACTGTGACGTGAACTGGAGAAGCGGAATGAGTCTTGAGGAGGGGATCAGGTTTGTTAGGAATGCAGTTTCGTGTGCAATAAATAGAGACAATGCCTCTGGAGGATGCATAAGAATGTCTGCAATCTCGAGGACCGGGGTCCAAAGATACTTCTATCCAGGAGACAAGGTCCTTCAGTAAACTCTGTTTGTGTTGATTTCCATGTTTTTTTATTTAAAATCCCTAGCACAACAGATAAGGGATTGAATGACAATGGTGAAGGAAATGCTTACCATTACTATTATATCCATGGGACTCCTGCTTCTTTCGAACTCCGTGGAGCCATACAAGCGACCGTTCGACATAGGGGACGAGTCGATATCTAGGATGTATTTTCGCCATGACACGATAACATTCATAGAGACCGCTGCAGTATCTGTCCTTGTTCCTCTTGCGCTTATGTTTGCAACATTCCGCATTAACTCGGTGGAAAGGATCCATGAGATATACTTCTATGCATCATTTCTAGTGACCTGTCTTGTCGGGTTTGCTGTTGTCGAGAACACAAAGAATTTGGCCGGAAGACTTAGGCCAGACTTTCTGAGCAGATGCAATCCTGTGGCAGGAAAGTGCACAGGAAACCCCCTGGTTGTTCTTGACGGGAGAAAGAGCTTCCCATCGGGACACACCTCGATCGCGGCATGTGGATTTATGTTCCTGGCCCTCTTTATCTCCAAGGAGTCTACTCTGCCAGGGCTTAAGGCAAAAGTTGGGCGGAGCTCTGTCTTTCTACTATACTTCGTGTTTTTAATGGTGCCCGTTGCCGTAGGGACAAGCCGCGTGATGGACAACAAGCACTTTATTTCGGACGTCATAGGAGGCGGAGCTATTGGTGCTTTTGTTGGAATTGCCAGATTCAAACATCTGGAGACTGCTGTTGCCCAGGAAAGGTACAAGAGCATTGAGGCATGAGGATGGACTGTGGATATAAACGGAAAGAAGAGCATGGCTACAAGGGATGGATTTTTTTGGGCTGAGAAGGAGCCAAGCCCGGAGAGACGAGAAGGCGATGCATGAGAAGTTTAGGAACAGGGAGCTGAGGGCGGTTGTTGTGTCGTCCTCAAGTCCAGGGGCAGACAAGATGCTTCTCCTTGGAATCAAATGCTTATTTCAGAAGCAGCTGTCTAGAATGCCCAAGGAATACATCCTCAGACAAGTGTTTGACACAAAGCATGTCAACATGGCCCTGGTAAACTCCGCAGAAGAGATTGTAGGAGGGATATGTTATAGGCCGTTCTTTGAGAGGAACTTTGTAGAGATCGTGTTTCTGGCTGTCGACTATGACTTCCAGGTGAAGGGCGTCGGGGGATTTATGATGGACCTGCTCAAGGAAGTTGTTAAGGAGGAGGCTGGAGACTGTAGCTGGAAGTCGGCTGACAGTCTGCTTGGGATTTATGAGCACAGGGGCAGAACCATTGACGACCTCGATCCGCTTCTGAACAGGACCCTGGAGAATAGTCCCCTGCCTCTTTACTTGGTGACATATGCAGACAACTTTGCGATAGGATACTTCAGAAAGCAGGGGTTTTCGACTGATGTGAGATTTGGCGGGTGGATTGGGTTTATCAAGGACTACGAGGGAGGAACTGTGGTTGAATGCTGTGTATCGTGGGAGATTAACTACCTAAAAAAGCAGGAGATTATTGAAAGCATGAGAAGGAAGCTGTTTGAGGAGATGAAAGGAATTAACAACTACCACATCACTCACAAGATAGAGGACTACTCACGGATCAAAGAGATCGGTGACATCCCGGGGGTTTCTGGCGTCGAGTGCATTGTAGAGGAGGATAGAGGCATGAGGCTCCAAGCCAGATTTATTTCGTATCTCATATCTGATCTCCAGAGCAATGCGCATGCCTGGCCGTTCTTAAGGCCTGTGGACCCGGCAGAGGTTCCTGACTACTACAAGTGCATAGCCAAGCCTATGGATCTATCCACAATGGTGCTGAAGCTAAGGAACAACGAGTATGGGTGCATAGAAGCATTTGTGGCGGATGTCCATCTGATGGTGAACAATTGTTTTGAATATAATGGAAGGGACACGCAGTACTATAAATGCGCTCAGGCACTTCTGGACCACTTTAACAAAAAGCTTGAGTTTTATAGACATGTTGTTGGCAGGCTTTCGACAAAAAGAGGAGCCGATTAAATGTTTTGAGCAGAAAGGCTTTGATTTTTGGATTGTTTAGAGGATAAAAAATTGAGTGGAGAGGCCCTGGATGTCACTGGAGGAGCTTGAGGCAATGGATCAAAGCAACCCCGGGGAGTTTCTCGAAAGGGTACGAGAGAAGATCAGAATGCTGAACTCCGAAACCAGGATTCTTCAGAGCCGGGTTAACACGATCAAGCACGACATTTCGACAAAGAATGCATCGATTGCAGAGAACATGGAGAGGATAAGGCTCAACAAGCAGCTTCCGTATCTGGTTGGAAATGTTGTTGAAGTCCTTGACGAGCACAGCGGCGTAGTAAATGCATCCACAAGGATGTCTTCATATCTTCCGATCACAGGGCTTATTCCCAACTCTGAGCTTCGCCCTGGAGATCTTGTAGCCCTGCACAAGGACACAAATATAGTGTTTGAGAAGCTTCCGCCCGATTATGACATGAAGGTGGGAGGGATGGTCCTGAAGTCTGATGCAAAGCCGGATGAGACCTATGAGGACATCGGGGGCCTAGAGAGGCAGATAGAGGAGCTCAATGAGGCAATAGTCCTTTCTCTCACACATCCGGAGAGGTTCGAGAAGTTGAACATAAAGCCTCCAAAGGGAGTTTTGATGTACGGACCTCCCGGGACGGGAAAGACCCTCATGGCACGAGCATGCGCAAGCAAGACCAATGCAACGTTTCTCAAGCTTGCAGGGCCTCAGCTGGTGCAGATGTATATTGGGGACGGGGCAAGGCTGGTAAGGGATGCATTTGCCCTTGCAAAGGAAAGAAAGCCGACGATTATCTTTATAGATGAAATTGATGCAATCGGCGCAAAGAGGTCGGACTCGGACCAAACAGGAGATAGAGAGGTCCAAAGGACAATGCTGGAGCTTCTCAATCAGCTCGATGGGTTTTCTTCTTCTGAAGAGGTGAAAATCATTGCGGCAACCAACAGAGTGGACATTCTGGACCCTGCACTGTTGAGAAGCGGAAGGCTCGACAGGAAGATTGAGTTCCCTCTGCCAAATACCCTGGGAAGGAAGAGGATCCTGCAAATCCATGCAAGAAAGATGAGTGTTAGGGACGATGTAAACTTCGATGAACTGGCCAGAAGCACCGAGGGATTCAATGGGGCACAGTGCAAAGCGGTCTGCGTAGAGGCTGGGATGGCTGCCCTTAGGAAAGAGAAGACGGAGATCTCCCAAAACGACTTTATGGATGGAATCCAAGAGGTTCTGAGCAGAAAGAAGTCAAAGCTGCTCTACTTTACATGATTAAAAATGCCCTGGACTCTACAACTCCGGCTCTGCTTGCTGAAGCCTTCTTGTCCTGCCACTCTGATTCGGCAGTTTTGAAACAGGGTTCGAAATAAAAGGTGCGGCTATCCGTTGACAACAATGAAGGAGAGACACAGGATATTGCTGCTGTCTGGGCTAATACTGTTTTCATTTTACTTTGTCTATGATATCCCATCTGCACTGGGCCGCCACATAGACTTTAATTTGGGATCTAATATCGAGTACAAGATAACCTTGCTCTACTCCGTGTATTCACTGCCGAACATAGTTGTCCCTGTGTTTTTTGGGTGGATCACGCACATAAGAAAGTCCACGATGGCGAAGCTTCTGTGCATCTTTGTTTTCCTCGGGCACCTGATTTTCACTGCAGGCATTTGGAGCCATAGCTTTAAAACCATGCTTGCTGGGAGATTTCTGTTTGGAATCGGAGGGGAAAGCTTTGCCGTTATCCAGAACAAGCTGATATCCTACGAATTCAAGGGGAAGGAACTGGGCTTTGCAATGGGGATTTTCTCTTCTGTTGCCAGGCTGGGCACGGTGGCAAACTTCCTTCTTACCCCGTTCCTCGCAGATACAATGGGCAGAATGTTTCCGTGCTTGGTTGGGGTATTACTGACTCTTCTGGGTCTTTGGATGTGCTTCGAAGTAAACAGCTCCGAAAGGTCACACAAAGTGCTGAAGCAGAAGCTCATCGACCTTCAGAGTCACGGGCTCAGCGATGATGTGGCCGACGGAAAGATGCATCTTGAGGAGGGCTTTCTTGGCGAGCCCAGTCTGATGACGTCCTCTGAGAGCATCCAGCTTACTCCCAAAGGTACGTCTGGCACTCTTGACATGCCTGAAAACCCATTTTTCGATGACTACAGCAAGGCCAAGGCCAGAGAGCCTTGCAACAACCCGGTTCTTTTTGAAAATCCATTCTCTCCCTGGAAGGGCGACGCTGGGGAGGCTGCGACAGTCAAGAGCAGGCTTGAAAAGGCAAGGCCAAAGGTGCTTTTTGAGGAGTCCGGCATGCTGTTTTATGAGCCAAGGCTCGAGGGAAGGAATACGTACTATCCGGCATTTTATGTACTTGTTGGAATGTCATTTCTATTTGCCTTGGTGTGGGCTCCGTTTTACACTGTAGCCCCGATGCTATTTCAGAAGAGATACGGCCTGTCTGCAGTCTCATCGGGAAACATCCTGGCAACCATTGAGGGAATATCCCTGGTGCTGATTACATTCACAAGCGCAATTTCAGATGTGTACGGATTCAAGCTATGGCTGATTGCAAGCGGGTGCATTCTATTTCTTCTCGGGCACTCTGGGATATTCTTCAGCTTCCTGTCTCCATACACATCGGCTACTTTCCTAGGGCTTGCAGGGCCCCTCATAGCCTGCTATTGGCCATGCATCCCGTCTCTGGTATCCGAAGAGTCTTTGGGCACTGGATTTGCCACCATATATTGCATTTTGAACCTGGCATTTACCTTTTCTCCCATTATTGTTGCATTCCTTGCAACCGGGGACCACTCTTATGACAATGTCGAGGCCTACATACTGATTATAGGACTGATGGCCTTGACTCTGGTTGGGATCCTCTTCTACCTGAACAAGAAACAGTCGTTAGGATTGAATAGAAAAGCACCTATGGAGGCAGAGTAGCAGTCAAACTTAGACAAAGCATTCACTGGAATTAAACAAGTAAGAGTTTTTGGCTTTATTCCTTGTTACTGTAGCGTCGAGAACAGTGGATGAAGCTTGTCCATGTTCTTGGCCCTTATAATCCTCCTTCTGTCCCTGTACTGTAGTAGAAGTATGAAGGCAAGGTTTACTCCTGCAACCACAAGAAGTGTGCCGATGATGGTTCTGAAGTGGTCTCCGACGATAAAGTGTGCCTCCACAGTGTATTTTTCGTTCTTTCCCAAATACACAACCAGATCTGTATTCGGAATGGCTATCGAGTCAATTACATAAGGCCCGGCATATGGACTCCCGCTCTTTCCAGGCGTTCCTATCATCAGGCTGTCAACTATGAGATTTATTGTTCCCAGCCCTATGTATGCCACATGGTGCTTCAGATGGACAAACGTACTATATGGCACCTGGTTGGAAATGATGATCCTTTCCCCGTCTCCATAGGACACAAGGTACGATACCCCCGGGACAACAGACCCGTACTTTTGGTTCTCTGGATGGATGGTGGACAGACTGAGCTTGAGGTTCTCCTTCGATAGGTCGTTTCGGTAGGCCTCCACAACTGCATCGTTGTCCACAACCCTGTTCAAAAACACCGCCTCTCGGCCCTTATTATTGTAATCACAGCAGCTTATGGAGATAACGTTCTTGAGCCTGAAGAGGTCCTCATGATACTCTGCCTTTTCGAGCTGGATGTCATCTGGAACAGAGTTGTTCTCAAGAACGCCGATCCTTGTGATGCTGTCCATATCCTTCATCACAATGAAGAAGTCTAGCCTTCCCTTTGCCCTAAGGTCTGCATTGAATATTCCGTAAGGAAGACCCTCGAAGTGGTCGTCCGACTTTAGTACTGGAGTGCAGTTTGGAAACTCTTCGCTTAGATCCACAACTTTCATGTCCCCTTCTGAAAACACCGTGCTGTCGACTTGGTGTGGAAGAAATCCTCCAAGGAGCCTTCTTCTTCGCCTGTTGACTCTGGAGGTTGAGTTGAAGTATATCTTCAGAAGATACTTTTCCCCGCTCTTTTGGACAAATGCCATATCATTCATTCCATTTCCGTTGAAGTCACCAAAGACAATGGGGCCTATTTCGTTGGGTAGGCTCATTTCAAAGTAATTCACAAACTCTCCGTTTCTATTGCTTAGAACCCTCAGAAGCTTTCCTCCGTTTCCATCGTCAACAACAAGGCAGAGACATGCCTTCATACTTCCATCAAGCTCAACAAACGCAGATGTGTGGTCTCGGTGCAGCTTTCCGTACTCATCGACAGGCTCCTTGATTACATTTCTGTCCTCATCAACTCTAACCTTTTTAAGTCCACTGCTGCATTGCATGAGAAGCTGTGGGCGCAGGTCTTCTGGGCAGGCATAAAGCAGCGGGGCGCTAGTCGACTCTCCAAGATGTTTTGATTCATCGTGATCTCGGAAGTAAATGTAGCTGTCAAACTCCCCAGGGCCCTTCTTTGTGACAAGGACATAGCTTACACTTCCAGTGCCAGTAAAGTCTCCGGGGATAACCAGGTGAATCTTTTCCTTGTGTTTGTAGCTGAACACTTCATCATACATGTCTTTCTCGGCATTGTAGTGGTAGCCCTTGAAGGTTGTGTATCCTTGGTCCACTCCAACAAGGTCGTATGTCCTACTATTTAGAATGTCCGAGTATGCCAGCAATATAAATCCTGTAAGCAGAGTCTTTCTGGAAGCGCCAAAGTCGACCATTGTGATAGGGGATTGAATCTCGAAGGCAATAAAGGGAGGCGTGCAGCAGCAGGTATTTTGGCCCGCTCTCTACCAATCATATTGAGAAGAAGTTGGATTCCTGAATTTGTTGCACCAATAGCCCTGCCTCGATGCCCGGAATCCCAAACATCCTTCTCAAGCTTAAGAGATGTGCCGAGCTTTCAAAAGAGATAGAAACACAAGCAAATGCATTGGGATCGTTGTTGGAAAGGCTCCAACTGAGCGCCGTCGATGGATTTAAGCCCTATATCAATCCAAAGAGGAACATCACCAAGCTTCTGGAATTCTACAATTCCTTTATATCGACAAAGGAGACGGTGGAGGACGAGAAGTCCAAGCTGAGTGAAGTGTTTGGAGAGTCCGAAAAGAGATTTCTTCCCCGGGACCTGAAGATGCTCAAGGAGAAGAGGGCGATGGAGTCTACCCAAACACTCATTGAAATGGGGAATGTTCTTAAGGAGTACAAGGGCATCAGGATGGTGATCACGGAGATCAACAGCCTAAACGAGTTTGTTGGAAAGGCTGTGGACGGAATCGAGGAGTCCTTCTTCGTCTCTCTGAGAAGAGTCCCCGAGCACAGTCCTGAGGTTCGGGAGTTTGCATCCTTCCTCCTTTCAAACACCAACAAGAGGAAGTTTATTGGCAGGTATACAGATGTAGTCTACTCTACCCTGGGATTTGACGACATAGGCATGAATACCAAGCGGTTGTTGGAAAGAACCACCAATCTGGACACATTTCTCCTGGACGTGATTGAAATGAACAACACCGTGCTTGGAGAGGAGAATGCTGAGGTCACAAACATTGGGCTGCTAAAGATGTTTGTGATTGGACTTAAAAGGGCAATAGCAGACAATCTTATGAAGATGGAGAAGGAGGAGGACATCGATAATGTTCAGCCTTTAGTTATGTTGAGCGATCAGCTTAACTATTCCGGCGACAGAAGGATTAGAGTGATAGAAGAGCTTTTCGTGTTCAAGGACAGCATACACAAGATTATATGCAACAGCATCTTCAGGTACTTCGAAGAGCTCGATATGATAATGGAACCAGACAGGCACCGCAATGCTGAGGCCTTATGCCTGAAGATGGTGGGCGCATTGAATGCCTTCTACGATCACAGAGGCGTTTCCGAGGCGTTTGTATCGGAATACGGAAAGGACTTCTCACTAGAGACGCCTCAGGACATTTTCGAGAAGTTCAGCTTGAAGACCATTGAGAAGATATTGTTTCTGGCAGAGACTCTGAAGGGGATTTCGAAATCTGTGTACATCATAAACAACGTTAGCATATTCCAGAACTACCTGAAGAGCATCGAGGGGATCCCCATTGAGAAAATGATCGAGATAAACCTCGAGGACATCCTGGGCGTGTGGAGGAAGGAGATATCGAGGAGAAAGGAGGAGGACATTACCCTCTTTCTTGACAAGAACATTGAAAGTCAAAGCAGATACCACCTTCCCAAGGAACTTGGAGAAAGGCTGGCTGTTTCTATTAGGAAGCTTGCTGAAGATGCGCTAAGAGAAAGAAGATATGTTGGAAACATCGAAAGCTTGAAGAGCAGCATTTCAAAGCTGTACCAAAGTCCCAAATAAATTCGCATCGAAACACTTTACTTTTAGATGAATCCAAACCCCGTGGAGCATTCGTTGATAGCCAGTGTCAGGTATTTCAGGAGGTTTTCGTATGATGAGTATTCCGGAAGCACAAGTTGATTGAAGCAGGTGTGTGCTGTAGGAAGGCTGTCTATCCTGTCGGAGACCTTGTGGATAGAGAACTTCTGTACTTCGTTATTCCCCTGGAGGTGCGAAAAGCCCTCAAAGGGTAGAGTGGATGTCCCTGTCACAAACTGCAGAAGCTTTGCCCGAGAGACAGAGTCGAGGCTCTTGACAGCCCTCCAAAACCAGATGACTGTTTTCGAGTTCTCTGCATATCCATAGTAGAGGGTGTTGTTTTTCCAGTCGTCAACGTCTATGTCTGGGATTCCGCAGATCAGAAGCTCCAGCTCGCTCTCGTCAAACATCTCAAGAGCCTTGCTCCCCAGTATCTCAAACAGGCCCGACTTTAGTGCAGATAGCTGCAGCTCGATTCCATTGAAGAGCCTGTACTGTGTTGCCAGCTTTACATACTCTGCCTTGTTCGAATCGTCGACAAAGACATGCGCACCGCCCTCTACCAGCTCGACAGTTCTGTGGACACCGAAGCTCACGTCATCGAAAGAGAAGGTTATTCCCAAGGACTTGTCAACAGGGTTGTCTCTTATCCAAACAAGCGACTTGTGGAACTCAGGATCTGCAGACTCAAGGTCCTGTAAATCGCAGCTCTTTCCAAGGATATACTGGTAAATAAACTTCGACAAGTGCAGATTGATGAAGTTTCCGTCCATTATTGCCTTTGCTATTATTCGCCCAACAAACTTGAAGTATGACAGGTGCTCAGGATTAACATAGCTGTTCTTGCAGGGAACAACAGTTGTCTTGTCCTCGGTGGCAAATTCAAACAAGGCAAAGTTTGGGTCGAGCAGATCCTTTGCTAGCAGAACAAGCCACTCCCTTGTCAGTCCTCCATAGTCCAGGCCTTCTTCTCCCGTAAGTTTGATCTCTAGTCTTCTTGTCCTGAACTCTTCGGGGCTCTTTGCCATCACCTGGAAATAGGAGCTTCTGAGCACGTCGCTCCTGTCCACATACACTCTATAGAAGGACGAGGACTTGTCCGCCCCTTCCACAGAAAGCATCCGGGACAGGTACTTCTTCTTGTTGCCGAATGTAAGTATCGAGCGGTTTACGAGCCCGTTGAAGTTCCTAAAGAGCTTTTCAGGCCTCTCATCAACAAGCAGGTTGATCTGCTTGGCTTGTCCTTCTATAGTCTTTCTATAGAAGGCCTTGAACTCGCTGCATTGCTCTTTCTCATCCGTGTCTTCACCCCCGTTTTCGAATCGGCTTTCAAACACCTTTCCGGCAATGAAAAAGGCCTCGTAAATATCAGATACATTGATCAGATCCTCAATAGACTCCTTGCCTTTCTGGTTCTCAAAGAAAACATGCCAAAAGGAGTCCATCATTAACTCCATAACCAAGGAGTTCCCCTCCCCTGAAGATTTCCCGTCTCTCCCGGTAATCCTTCCCAGCATCTTCCAAAGCCTCAGAAATATCTTCTGGCTCTCCAGAAAGCCATCGGAGGGAAATGCCGCGCCGATCCCCTTGTGAAGAGCAGAAAACTGCTTTTTTATCTCCGCCAAAATGACATCTAGGAACCTCGTGTGGAAATGATCGGCAGTGCTCTCTATGAACTCTTCAAGGAGGTTGAAGCGTTCAGAGTCCACCATTCTTCCAAAGCAGTCAAGGATGCTCTTCAGATCAATGTTCCGGCCAAAAACAAGGTCCTTGTCCTTTCTAAAGACTACGCTGAAATCAGTCACCAACCTTAGGAGATCGTTGGTCAGCTTGATCCTTCCAAGAAGGCTAAAGATCCTGTCTATAATCTCCGGATTCTCTCGGAAGTAGTCGTAGTATCTCAGAGAGCTTTTGACAACACTAAGAAGTAGACAGAGGGTTCTTCTGAACTTCACAGCATCGTGGGCGCTAAGATTACCTAGCTGGGAGGATGCTATCGACGAAATCATCGAGTCAGCCTCCTTAAAAACAACCCCCTTCATCTTTGCGTCTTTGGATAATGCATCCACCAACTTCCAGCTCTTGGCAAATGGAAAGTCTTTCTCAGTGATCGACTTCCTGATGAAGTCTCCGAATATCGAAAGATCCATCTCAAGAAAGTTCTCCTTGATTCCAATTGTCTCGTCGTCGCTCTCCTTGGTGGACTCGGTCTTGATGTCATAGAAAAAGCCTTCTCTGTACATCCTTTCCATTTCCTCGAATACAGGCCTCACATCAGGGGAGAGCCTATCATAAAAGCTTATGTGGAGAGGTACATAGGTCAGGGACAAGGCCCTTCTTTCGTCAAAGTAGGCTTTTAATGCATCCTCCAGCTCCTCCGCAGCCATGCTGTTGAGAACATCGGGGTCCAAGGGTGGCATTTCACCATTCAGCGACCCAACTTCAGATTCAGACGATCCTATGTCCTCATTCTCCTCTTCAACGTCTCCGTTGTTCGGTGGTCCCTGCCCGCCAACACCAGCCCCGGAGTCCTCCTCGCCTCCCCCTTCCATTGCTGGCCCAAAGTCCCATGCTTTTCTTCCTGGACTCTCCACACAACTCCTATCTTCGCTCTTCTTGTTGAAGTAGTTCTCAGGATCCCTCCAGAGAACAGTTGGGTTATCCAGCTCGCAGAGCATGTTTCCCTGCACATCGTTGGCAGGCCATTCATAGCAGTTTGTGTCCTTATCAATCAAGTCAGAATAGAGTCTTCTGCAGATAAGGGCCTCAACCTCTGCCCTGCCCTCCGCAGGAATGGCGTAGTATTCGGAGCTGAGTAGATACATTGTTGTTGGCATCTCATAATCGTTTTCAATGCTTTTGATAAGGACCATGTTCTCTGATTGCTCCGAACTCCCTGTCTCATCAGACTCCATAAACCCATCATCCTCAATGTCATGAAACGGCGAGTCGTCAAAGTAGCTCTCGTCGGAATCAAAGGCGCTTCCACCAAACTCATGGGATTCAGAGGCAAGACTGTAATACTCAATCTCATGGGATTCATCATCTCCGTAATCATCCAGGTCTTGGAGGATGTCTCCATAGCAATGCCTAAAAACCCTGCTGAGATAATCCAACGAGTATTGAATGCATAGGGTGTACTTGGAATCATTTTCGTCAACCGTTATTATCCTTCTAATCACTTCCTCGAAAATCCCCAAAGATCCCATGAAGACAGAGCTCTCCCGGAACCTTTCCATCGTTGTATCCTCCTCGTTTTCATGCCTTAAAACGAACATAGGCGTTAGGCTTCTAACAAGTATGAATGATACGTTCAGGAAGTCTTCACTCGACCCATCCCTAATTTTTTCGAGAAGAAACCTGCATGGAGATGGAGAGTCCTCTGCATTTTCTGTTCTGGTTCCGCCATTAGATTTAGATAAAAACACTTCCGAATAAAGTCCTGCGACAAGCATCATCACAGCCCAGTGCGATTCCCCAACTACCTTGTGTTTCGTGGACAGGTCCATCTTCTTAATGCATCTCTCGTACACAGCGTCCAAAACTTGGTATCTGCATACGTCGTGCAGCAGGAATGGGTGATTGAGCATTGTCTCGCAGAGAAGCTGGATCACCATACTAAAGCATTCCTGGGAATCTAGCAGAAGAACAAGCCTTCTGATGAAGGCCTGTCCAGACTCTGCATTCGAGCTCCCATGAAATCCTCCTTCTCTGTCCGCAGAGCAGATCCTGTGGCATCCATGTCTGAAGTGGATAGCACCGTCAGGTACAAGTCCAGACTTCAACAAGCACTTTTCAACAAATGCGCCATAGTCCCTGTATATCAGGAAGTCATGTGATTTTAAGAAGCCCGAGTCCTTCGCCTTGATCCTCCGAGATGGGAAGTCAATTCTCTCCAGAATATCGCCGATCCCGGGCCTTATTGCATAGGTGAGGAGTATTCTCATGAGCATCATTTCGTCGCATGTCTTTACTCGCAGAATCAATTTTTTAAGCCCAAACGAACACGGCTTTGGCATCTCCAAGCAGTGGAGTAAGCGAAAGTACATAATTAAAAAAAATAGCACCTTCGATGACGAAACGTCCGATGTCACAAGGCCAGAAACCCTTCTTCCGATCTCCTTGATATCGATCTTGTGAGGGCATCTTCCAACCGTTGCAAACAAAAGAACATTGCTAGCCATGTCAATAAACTCGTCCGAGTACTCAAAAAACTTATTTGTGATGAAGCATGCATGATCGTACACATTCGGATCCTTCATTAGAAAGTACTGGAAGGACGAGAATGCTCTGATCCTGATCAACCTCATGGTACATCTCGACGATCTTATTACCCTCCTAACCATCAGCTTTTCGCACAGGGGAGATACATAGAACTTTTCGTAGATGTCCAAAATCATATCCATGTCACTGTATGGTAATGGCTCTAAGGTTCCATCGCAGTCCCCAAAGATCTTCCCAACGGCCTCTATTGCTGTGTTACCCAACTCGACCTCACGAATATCCGTGGAGTCCTCAACCTCAACGCCTCTCAGGTACTCCAGGAACATGCACCTCAGCTCAGAATTGATATTCATTCTCAACAGTAGTCGGGATGCAAAGAAGTTTACAACACTCACAAATCTGTCGCTTCTGGGATGAGGTCCAAGTAGACTCCTTGTAAATTCCTCCCGGGACATCACTCTATAATGCTCCTCCTTGAAGCTCATGCTCAGCCTCTCCATAAGTCTTAATCCCAAGACTACAGAATCGCCTCCTTCCCGAACGATTATGTCTACCAGTCTTTCAATAAATTCAAGAGTGTCCCTGAATGAGGTCTTGATCGCCACAGGATACATCTTCTGGAGTAGAAACAGGCTGCAGAAATACACAGATTGCAGGATATAAAGCTTGATGTCTTTCTTTGCTGTACTTTCTTCGAGCTTGTTTCTTATCGATCTGTAGGTGGACAGAAATCTATGCTCTTCAAGATCGCAGATCGAGAGAAAGGCCCCGCGCAGTCGGACAAGCATGAGATATAAGTCGCCCATCGCCTTAAACATCCGAGACTTTACTTCATCATTCACCAGCTCCATAAAGTCCTCGCACAAAATGCAGGCCAGAGCAATTTGGTTGTCATAGGAAAACACTAAGCTGGCAATCCCCTCCCCGTTCTCCATATCCAGGACCTTTTCCCACGAATGATCTGCATCATGCTCCCCAGACACTCCACCTCCCAGCTCCACTATCCTTCTTGTGTCAAGAATCAGCTGTTCAATGGGTTTGTTCAGAGAGCCATTGGCTTCTCTATAAACAGCTCGATAGACCTCGCCAAAGGATCCCTTGAAGAAGTTCTGCATGTTGCAGGAGTATCTTGGATTGACAACAAGGTCAAACACACTGTCAAAGAACACATCGACATCCCTCTTCTCCGGATAGACCTCCATCCTTTCAACAAGATTGAAGAAGTTGCCAAAGACCTCGATACAGTGCTCCTTTTCTGCAAGAGGCCTGCCCGACTCAGCCTCAAAGACCTTTTTGAAGTACTCGATGGTAAATCCATAGAACCTCAGGATATCCTGCTTGAACACAGGATGGTGCATTATAAGCACATTCAGCAAGGACACCATTCTGCTGGTACTGCTCATCGAGCCCAGAAACTCGCCCTCTCTGCAGAGCACCAGCAGCTTGAAAAGATACCCTCCATCGGCTATCTCCTTCTGGAACTTGAAATTCAAGGAGAACGCATCGATATACGAAATGAATGCAGATATATACTCCACTGTGGGCTCAACAGACGTCTGTGTCTCCAGCACAACTTCCGCACCCTTTTCCATGAAGATCGGCAGGTTCAGCGGCTCGTCAAACATGAAGGAAGAGAGTATTCCTATGCAAAGAGATACAAGACGGGTGTCCAGGAGACAAAGCTTCTTGATCGTTGCAACAACCACATCGAGGAAGAAGCTGTCTTCAAAGCTCCCCACATCCATCCTGTTTCTTCCATCCATGTAGATCTCACTCAATATCTTGAACGAGTATTTGAGGTTGATGTTTTCGTCCAGATCATATTTTTCTGCATGGCTCAGGTATTCCGTCAAAATCCTCACGCCGTTCCTAGAAATAAACTCGCCAATGCCCCTTGTACTTGTTTCTCTGCAATGCATCTTGATTGCGCGGAGGAGATGGTATCGGACGTCCGGCGAATACTCATAGAATCTTGACAGTGAATCCATGACCACGCCCGTCTTGAGGTACTTCGACTTCTGACTCTCCACAAGCGTGCTGTAAACAAGGAACACCATGTGTCTTTCAAAGGTCCACGCATCAAGTCCACTTGCAAATCTTCTGTAGAAAAACCCGCTGTTGTTGTTCAGCTCGAGAATCCGGGAGATCTTCGAAAAGTCAAAATCGTCGTAGATCAATATGTCCAGCAGATTCATAATTGCGAACTCCATGTTTTCAGATAATTCCTGGCCTGTAAGTCTCCAAATCTCCAGAGCATCGACCTTTCCAATGATCACATCAAAGGCTCCTTCCCCCTTTGCAAGTATCAGAAACACGCATGTTCCAAGGATCTTCAGCACATTCAGTTCATCCTGGTTTGTGCGGCTCATCCTTCGCCGGAGCTCAAAAACAAGATTTCCTTTTCCATACTCGTTTACATTGTTCTTAAGAATGCTGAACACATCACCATCTCCGAGGCTCTCAGGAATCTCCACAAAGGCTTTATCCGAAAGACTAAGAACCTTCTCTCCATTCAAGTCCTCGGAATCCAGCTCCAGGCATCTGAAAAGGATGTCGTGGTCGTCAGAAAACTCATCCAGCCCCATCGAGTAGTTAAGGCAAAACACAAGCATCTTGTATGCCTCAATGACAACATCCAGATCCATTGCATAGATAAACCTCATGATCTGCGAAGAAACATCCAGAGGATGCCTTTGCCTTGAGTATCCAAATATCCTCTGGAAAAGCTTGAAAATTGCAATTAACAGGCTCTTGTCCTTCGCAGACATCTTTCCCGTCTGTATTCCTTCTGAAAAGTATTTCTTCTCAATTGAGGAAGCGACTCCAAGAAGCTTATCGCTCAGCTCTTTCCAGCACCTAAGAGAAAAATCCTTGAATGGCCACGACCCAAAGTAAACAGAGGCCTTCCTGGCAATGCATGTAGGATCCTCTTCCTCAACAATGTCCTGGATGTACTCGCGCAGCCGCTCCTCGAGGGGCGACCCCATCCACCTCCATTCGAATCTCTCCTCCATTAGGGGCTCGATAAAGAATCCAAAATACAAGAACAATCTTTATCACTGATCCGTCCCTGGACAGAAATTTCTGAATGGATTGCCAAGCCTTGGAACGGCTTTGTACCGAGCAAGCATCAAGTACAGCATCAGCACCAGAAAGCATGCAGCAATAGCATCACAGTTCTCGTGGACAGCGCAGTAGAGCCTTGTAAGTCTCCGGGTGATCAGATGTCCATTGTATCCAACCATGGGAATGGCTATGCGATTTGTTCTCTTGCCATCTACCTCAAAGATGCAGACAACAGGCTTGTGGTCGCTTATCTTCACGCTGTGGATTGAGCTGTATGTATTGAACCTGCATGTGCATGATGATGATACAAACACCCTGTCGCACCAGGATGGATGTCTCTTTCTGCAAAGCTCGTCTGTGCCTGTAATATATTTATATGTTGGCCCAAATCTGATTACTTCTTCCAAAAATGTCGGATAGGCCCTTCTGAACTCATTGCACTGGTCTCCAGGCCTTGCCCTGGAATAGTCAAGAGCCCTCGGTACTCCGGAAACCCTGAAGTTCATATCTCCAGCTAGAACGACCGTGTCGATGCCTTTCAACGACTCTTCGTCACAAATACATTCAAACACCTTCCTAATTTCTTCCTGCCTCTTTTTGCTATTTTCTTGGTGTGCAGACAGGTGGCAGCTTATGAACATAACTCCATTTGATATCCTGGTCACACACGCCCCCTTATTGATGAAGCCCAGGAACCCAAGCCCTATCTTCATCACTGTTGTGCTGTGTCTCTCCTTGGATAGCACAATTGACCACAGCCCAAGAACTCTGTCAGCAGAGACCATCTTATAGGATGGGTACATCTTCAAGACAGACCTTACCACGCCACTGTAGAAGTCAAAGTGCTCTTGCAGCGATATCAGTATCATATCGGATTCGCCATGCCCCAGGATCCTTGAGATGGTGTCGGCGACCCCTTCTCTGTTGTTTACGTTCCACGACAAAACAGTGACAAGCATATCCTCAAACAAGATTCCTGAAATAAATACTATGAAAATTTATTGAGCCGGTGCGCCAAGACTCACTTTGCCCCGATGTTCATGTCCGCTATCAGCGATCTCAGGAACGAGGTCATCTCAACTCTAAGGAGAAATTTCTTCGACTTGTTCTTGTAGGTCTTGCACTTCAGGACCATTGTGCAGCTCAGAACGTCGATGCCTGTGAAGCTTTCAGCCTTCGACTGGACGGAAAACGAGTCATCGTAGTCGAATGGTCTTGTCTTGATGAATTCATGTATTCTGCTTTTAAAGCGTGTAAATTCCTCGACCTTTATATTAGGATTCAGATCGAAGTTGAACACAACTATCTTCTCGGGGGCTCTTGTCATGTTGATAAGGTTCCTCTTCCAAAGATCGCTGTTCAGGAACTTTATCTTCCCCCCGCCTTCCCCGATGAGCGATGTGTTTGTCAGCCCGAACCCATAAACCCTGTAGTCGACACCGTCGATTATGACATCGTCACCTACATCAAACTGATGACTGACAAGCATCATGAAGTTGTGATACAGATCGATGACTATCTCTTTTGCAGCAAAGTTGAAGGCAAGAGCCCCACTAAGCGTCAATGCTAGCAGCTCCTTGAGCGGAATCCCGAAAATAATGAGGTAAGTGAAACAGAGCACCACCAATACAATGATATTGAGGACATTTGCAAGCACACCAATAAAGTCCTCTGTTCTCATAATGCTTTTCTCGAGATTCACCCTCTCCATGTAGAAGTATATGATTGTGTCGCGGAATTCCTTCTTCGAGATCACTCTGTCGCTGTTTGAGTCGAAGAAGGAAAATGCATCCAAGGCATCCTGTGCGCTTGGAAATATAGCGCTGAAGTCTTCGAACGAAAGGACATCCTTTCCAGCGCTGACCTTGGCGAACACATCCCTTGCCAGGGTCTTGGCATCCATGATCCCATGGATCTCCGGGGGGTTGATCTGAAGACCTCCAGTGAACAAATGGAAGCCTTCCTCGCTGCTCCTCCTAGACTCTCTGCTTCTGGTGGCAGATGATGCCCTGAAGCAAAAAAGGTCTTTGCACGAGCACTCCGGAGTTGTTCCGCTTACAGACTCCGAGATGTCGTACCTGTAGTTTTTCATCGCATACAATATTCTTTCGGTCTTCTGCACATCATCAAGCTTGCTTCTGAGCGTCTTCTTCAAGAAAAAGCTCTCGAAGTATCCCATTCCAACCGTTACAACCGAGTATGCTGCAGACGTTATCACTCCACATGCAAATGCCTTATGGATGGCATTGAAGTCGTATCCCCAGGTCCTCTTCACGTACTTCAGCCAGTACATGCTGAGCATAAACCAAGCCGAAATCATCACAAGCCTCTGAAGCTTTGCGTGTGTGTCCGAGTTCTCGGCCAGCCCAAGAGTCAGGGCTGCGAATGTTACCGCTTCTCTTGCCACTGCAAGAAGTATGAACAGCAAGGATATGACAATGACGCTTAGAAATACCACATTCAGACTCACAGATAATATGGACGGATTAAGGCCGAAGACGTATGTAACGAGCCTTATCACCAGCGAAAGGGTAAAAACGGAATAGAATACCCCTCCAAGAGCATCTATTACATAGTTTATGGAAGAAACTCTACCGGGCGCCGGTGTAAACTCTTCAACCTCTGTCTCCACGTCTCCCTCAAACCACCTGAAATCTTCTTCTGCCATGAGCATCACTCCATCTTGCAATTTATGCGTCTGCCTGTTTCAAACCATCTTCAAACTAAGTGTTTTAGGCAACTGCTGTTGGTCTTCCGGGTCGGTCCCAGGAGGGATTGGCAAGCTCGGCCTGCAACTAAGTGTTGTCTTCAATGTAGTCTTCGCAGTCCACAACATCGACATGGCATCCATTTTTCTCCGAAGACAGCCTCATTCTCAGGGAAACCATGCTTCTTGACAAATTCGGCTTGAAGTGCTTGGACATGCTTTCTTTCTTTATTCTCAGGCTGACCATGCTCCTTGACGGGATGTTTATGAGTGTTCCGTTGGGCGGGAGAAACGTGGGTATCCCAAACCTCTCTTCAATGCTTCTCTTGAGCACTTTCATCCTGGATTTCTCTCCGTGAACAAGCATCACATTTCTTGGGCTGCACTGCTCTACCACATTCAGGATTCCCGGTGCGTCTGCGTGTGCACTAAATGCCAGGTTCTTGACCTCTAACCTTATCTCCCTACTTTCTCCGAGAATCTCTAGCTTTGTTGCCCCATTCAGAACCTTTTCTCCGATTGTTCCCCGGACACAGTACCCGGGTATTATCACAAGGTTCTTTTCGTCCTCGCACCATTCCTTGAATATCTTGAGCGACATTCCGGAGTGGAGCATTCCCGGAGATGCAAACAGGACCATGGGGCCCTTGCTTTCCATGTAGTGCCTCTGGAAAGGCTTTATGTGCTTGTACTCAAACATGTTCCTCTCGAAGATCTTCTTTCTGACTGTTTCGTTTGTGTAGCTGATGAACTTCTTGTATATTTCGTTTGCCTTTTCGGTTAGTCCGCTGGAGAAGTACACAGGAGTCTTGAGCCCTGTTCTTTCCCAATACCCGTCCAGCAACAAGCAGAGCTCCTGGGCCCTTCCCAGTGCAAATATCGGGATCAGGACGCGGCCCCCCCTTGCTACACAGTCGGAAACGGCCTTGAGAAACTCTCTTTCCTTGACCTTCCTGCAGTCCCTGGTTATTGATCCGTACGTCGACTCAGTGATCAGAAGATCCGGCCTAATACACTTGATTGATGCGGGCCCAAGGTGTTTGTCAGGGGTTGTGCTGTAGTCTCCTGTGTACACGACAGACTGGTCTCCAACAACAACATGGAACATTGCTGCACCCAGGACATGGCCTGCATAGTACGGGGTAATGTAGAAGTCTTCGTCATGCTTGTATGTCTCGTTCATGCTGATTGTGACGACCTTCTTCATGCAGTTGCTTATATCCTGGTATGTAAAGATGGAGTCTCCTTTTCCTGCAACTATCTTCCTGAAGTCGTCCAGCAGAACAGGACAAACCTCCTTGGTCGGGAGGGTCATGTAGATCGGGCCGCCGTATCCGCAGACCTCTGTGAAGTATGGGAGAGCTCCGCAATGGTCCAGATGGAAGTGCGAAATGATTATACAGTCTATGACTTTATCGAAGCTTTTTGTTTTGGAAATGTACGAGAAGTCTGGGAATCTACGTTCGTCGTTGAATCCCATGTGCATTCCACAGTCAAACATTATTGTTCTGCCTTTTATCGAGACAAGGATGCACGATCTCCCGACATCCTGCCCTGCACCAAGCGGAATGACATTCATCAGGGGCCTTGCGAGACATAGTATTTGCGGACGCCCGCACGGTTATTTGTTGCGCCGGAAATGCCCTGATGAAGACTTTGCTTCTTCCTGGAGAGGATGTACTAGAGTCTGAGGGGTACATAAGGGGCCATGGAACACAGCTTAGAGGAAGCTGCATAGCGTCGACCTACTTTGGAAGGCCCCGGATTACCAACAAGCTTGTCACTGTTGATCCTATGTTTCCCCTGAAGTACAGTCCGGAGGTTGGAGATGTTGTTGTGGGCAGGGTTATTGGAATCCATAACAAGAAGTGGAAGATGGAGCTGAACAGCAAGGCAGACGTCTACCTGGGGCTGTCTGCCATCAACCTTCCCGGAACGGTTCAGCGCCGCAAGCAGGAGTCTGACGAGATATCCATGAGGGACTTTTTTGAAATCGATGACCTGGTCGTATCTGAGGTACAGAAGGTTGGCAGAAATGGTGTTGCAGCGCTGCACACAAGGAGTGACAAGTACGGGAAACTTGGACCAGGGCTGCTGGTGTTTGTGCCCCACTTTCTACTAGAGCCCCTTAAAACCAGATTTCTTTCGAACGGCAGCGTCGAAGTCATTGTTGGATGTAATGGCTACATCTGGGTTGGGAGAGGATGCAAAGACTCCTCTACATTTACAGAAATAACCAGTGTTGTCTCTGGAATAAAGGCGATGGTATCGCAAAACAAACGCGTCAATGTGGAGAGATTGCTTAAGAAAACACCGTGAGATTAAATCCTTAGCATTGATGCGTCTTTTGCGATAGAAACAAGCAGGAGTTTATCCCATCGATGATAAAAGTTTCTCCGCTCCAGAAGGGCAATAGCGTGCTAGGCTATCTTTCGAATACATCTTGGCACTACGACAACTCGATAACACCCGACTACGAGATAAACAGCTCTGTGGCTTTGCTGTTCCTGTCTCTTCGATTTCACAGCTGCAAGCCGGAGTATATCCACAAGAGAATCAGCAAGCTCAAGCCGTACAAGACGAGGGTGCTGCTGGTGCATGTCGACATTCCCAACTACAGCAAAATGATCCGGGAGCTGTTTGAGACGACATCGCTGACGATGGTGTTAGGATTCAGCGTGGAAGAGTGTTCGAGGTACATCCAGGGGTTCAACATTGCCGGGAGGAGATCGATCGATGTAATAAGGAGAGGAAGTTGTGATGGAGAAGGGTTTCTATGCACCTTCCCGAAGGTAAACAAAAGCGATGCTCAGCAGATACTCGGAGACTGCGGAACGCTTCAAAGATTTTTCGGAAGGTCTTCTGGGGAGATGGAGAGGATACAAGGGCTGGGGAAGTCTAAGGCTGAGGAGATCATCAAATACCTAAATATGCAGTTTGAGTGAGAGGCGAGACTATTTCCTGATATGGAAGGCAGATCAAAAAGCATGAGAAAGAACAGCCCTCGATGAACACAAAGCTCCTAAGGAAGTACAGGAACTTCATTGGGGACAACGAGTTTTTCAGGGCATTTATACCGAACTATGGGGAGGTTGTGGAGGGAGATGAAGAGCCTGTTGAGCCATATACATTTATTAGTAGCCCTAGGTTTGTTCTGTACGAGCTCAGAGACTACCAGATTGAGGGGCTGAACTGGCTGATCAACATGCACGAGAACTCCATCAATTGTATACTAGCAGACGAGATGGGGCTTGGGAAGACGCTGCAGACGATTGCGTTTCTTGGATATATCCGATACGTGAAGAAGGAACGGAAGAGACATCTAATTATACTTCCAAAGTCTACGCTTGCGAACTGGAGAAGAGAGTTTAGAAAGTTCATGCCGAATTACAAGGTTCGGGTATTCTACTCCTCTCGGAAGGAGATGAGGAGGGAGGCGGAGGAGATAATGTCTTCGAGGTGGGATGCATGCTTGACAACGTATGAGATGTGCATTAATGCAAGGAGCATCCTAAATACAGTCAAGTGGTCGTACATAGTTATTGACGAAGCACATAGAATAAAGAATGAGCATAGCCTTCTCAGCAAGATAGTGAGGATTTTCTCCTGCGACCACCGGCTTCTCATTACAGGAACACCTCTTCAGAACAATGTTCATGAGCTGTGGGCTCTGCTAAACTTTATAGTTCCCGAGATTTTCAATGATGCTGAGAAGTTTGAGAGCTACGTGATGAATATTGATGAGGGGGATGGAGAGGCGATTAGAAGGATCAGAAGCGTCCTGCAGCTCTTTTTCCTGCGAAGAGAAAAGATCGATGTCGAGATGAGTCTACCCCCGAAGAAGATTGTGAATTTGTACTCGAAGCTGAGTCCTATGCAACGCGAGTGGTATAGGATGCTTCTGAAAAGGGATCTGTCGCCCCTTGGAAGTACGAGAGATCCAAAGGGGATGCTGATGAATGTTGTGATGCAGTTAAGGAAGTGCTGCAACCACCCGTATCTGTTTCCGGATGCAGAGCCTAAGCCTTACACCAATGACAAGCATATAATCGAGAATTCTGGGAAGATGATAGTTCTTGACAAGCTGCTGGCAAGCCTCAAGGCCAAGGGATCAAGGGTTCTTATCTTCAGCCAGATGTCAATGATGCTGGACATACTTGAAGACTATGCGATGTTCAGGGAGTATGAGTACTGCAGGATCGATGGGTCTACGTCTTATAGAGACAGGACAGAGGCGATTGACGGATTCAATGCAGAGGGGAGCGAGAAGTTTCTATTTCTTCTGACGACGAGGGCTGGAGGGCTTGGGATAAATCTGTCGACGGCGGACACGGTGATTTTGTTTGACTCAGACTGGAATCCGCAGATGGATCTCCAGGCACAGGACAGGGCGCACCGGATAGGACAGAAGAAGCAGGTTGTGGTGTTCCGGCTGATCAGTGAGAACACTGTTGAGGAGAGGATTGTTTACAGATCTCTGCAGAAGCTCAAGCTGGACGACATTCTGCTGCAGGGAAGGTATCATCGAAGCTCGAGTGTCAGCCAGTCTGAGCTTATTGACATTCTGGCGAACGGAATGGAGATTACGGAGGATGAGGGAAAGGACGAGAGCATCGAAGACGTGATTAGAAGAGGAGAGGAGAAGACTCGGGAGATGAATGTGAAGCTGTGCGACTTCAAGATCACCGACACGCTGAATACGAACATTGACTGCTACACCTGGGAGGGCGAGGACTACAATGTCAAGAAGATTGAGAGCTTCATTGAGAACAGCCGAGATGGCCATGGAAGATCCTCACGGACAAGCATTCTGTTCCGGGCGAGGCCCCGGATAATCGAGTATCCCGAGTACCAGTTCTATCCTAAGGAGCTTCAGGAGATACAGAGGAAGGAGGTTAAGCTTTATGAGGAGGGAAAGAGCCTTTCACAGGACGAAGTGCTCAGGAAGAAGGAGCTTCAATCCCAGGGCTTTGACTGGACAAAGAAGGATTTCCATCTGTATATAAAGGCTGTGGAAAAGGTTGGAAGAGACGATGTGGAGAAGATAGCGATGCTGCTGAAGCACAAGGATGATGTGGAGGCATACCACAGGGTCTTTTGGGAAAGGGTGAATGAGCTGAGTGATGCAGAGAAAATAATAGGCTCTATAAATAGAAGTCAGAGGAGAATGGAGAGGAAGTCCAGGATTAGAGAGATGATAGAGGGAGATCTTGCTGACATCAACAGAAGACTAGGCAAGTCGCGATCGAAGCTTGGAGACTACAATGGCCTCTTACTCGGTCTCTATAGAAAGTATCTCGACCATCCGAACTGGGCAGAATGTATCCGCAAGGATATCCTAAGGCTGTCAGAGTACAAATTCGACTATTATCTTCTATCGAGAACAAACACCGACATCCAGAAGCATGTTAACCATCTTATCTTCACTCTGGCCAAGTCCTGTTCGAAGATTAAGGATACGAAGGCAGTCGAGGCATAGATTGTGTATGATTGGCACATCCAAAAATTCGTTTGAGCTGTCTTTATTAAATAGTAAGGCCATTAAACAAAAGGATTCCTAGTTATCTGTGTACTTGTCCCTAAGATTCTCGACGTCCACCCAACTCTTTATTACAGAGTCCTTCACCTTTCTTGCGTATGAACGGGGATCTGTTGAGAAGAGGCTTGCTGCATCTGTATTTGCTGGAGATGTGGTGTTTGGGTCGTTGAGCAGGGACTGGATTGATATGAGGACTCCAATCACGTCGTAGCTTGGATTCCAGCGGTTGCTCAAGATGTCAAGACAGAGCTCTCCATTTGGATAGATGTTTGGATGGAACATCTCAGAGACAAACCTCACAGCCGGAGGATCCTGGGGATATGTTTCCGGGAATGTCAGCACCAAGCTAAATGTTCCTCCCTCAAAGGGTGTGGAGTCCGGCCCAAAGATCACTGCTGCCCATGTCATTAGATCGTCTTCCAGCGGCTCTGCAAATATTGTCCTGCACGGACTTTTCCTTACTCTTTTCAAGTCTTTCATCAGCCTCCGCTTCGCAGGGGTGGACATTTTATGGGGATTGCTCCTGAAGAATATATCCATGGCAGCCATTGTGTGAGTGTGGTCCTCAGAGATGTCTCACCAGTCTTCTCGACGGCCTAGTCTCTGAGGCTTGGGCTCTGGGAAAAAAATTACTCTGCAGGACTTGCCCTTGGAAAGATGGTGAACATTCCGAAGACAAGAAACACGTTCTGCAAGAAGTGCAAAGGTTACTCTGCACACAAGGTTTCGCAGGCCAAGAAGTCCAAGGATAATCCGAGGGCACAGGGAAACAGGAGATATGCTAGGAAGCAAAGGGGTTATGGTGGTCAGACGAAGCCGATTCTTCGGAGGAAGGCCAAGGTCACCAAGAAGCTTGTTCTGAACTTGGAATGCACCAAGTGCAAGTTTTCACACCAAAAGCCCTTGAAGAGGGCCAAGCATGTGATATTTGGTGGAGAACGGAAGAGAAAGGGAGAGGCACTGGTTTATTAAATCTCTTTGAAGCCTGTTCTGCAGTCTTATTTATGCTTGCCCAAAGCCCTTGTGGATGAACGAGTTTCCATTTGTTGCCAGCTCGCTGGAGGAGAGACATCCTATTAGTATGTCCAACGGAGTGCTCCAGAATGTTACCCAGAGGAGCGTCTTTGAGCTTATCAGGGATATTAGAGACCCTGAGCATCCATATACTTTGGAGCAGCTCGGCGTTGTATCCAGGGAGGGTGTAAGTATAGGATGTATTGGCCCGGACGGCATTGCCCCCAATGTGGGGCTACCGATCAGATGTGTGAAGGTGGTGTTCAAGCCCACAATACCCCATTGCTCCATGGCAGCCGTAATAGGCCTATGCATAAAGACACATGTAAGCAGGCATGTTCGGAACCATTTCGTCCAGGTCCATATAGTAGACGGCGGGCACATCAACTTTAGGGCACTGAATAAGCAGCTGGATGACAAGGACAGGGTTCTTGCGGCAACAGAGAACGAGGTACTGCTTGACCTTATGGAGAAGTGCCTTCCTGCCATCTGATGGTATATCTAGAATTCCCCGAAGAATAGCTTACTCTAGTCGAAGAAGCTATGCCTTACTGGAGCTTCTTTGAACTGCTCTTCACATCTATCAAACAGTCTAAAATCATGACCATCCTCGTCAATAGCCATAACACAGGCAATATTACCAGAAGAATAGCAGTAGTTCGGGGCTCCCCACACAGTGTACAACTTCTCGTCAAAGTATGCTTTGTAGCCGTCATTAACCAGCTGGTGAGATCGAACAAAATGAGATAGACCATGTTCATCAAGAAAGCTTTTCAAGACATCTTCTCCAAATAAATACCCGGCACCTCTTTGGCTTTTTTGAAACCCGGGAGTCTCATCTGGATCGCTCCACAAGACATCGTTTAGCTCGGTAATCTCTCCTATCCTGTCATGTTTCATTATGAAGTCCAGAGACATCCCTGGCACCATCCCGCCATGCACACAGAAGTACTTTTCCAGAACCACGGCGGCAATCGGAAGATACTGAAAGGTCTCGCAAATCCTCCAGTACACTACAAGGTCGTACTTACGCATGCACTCTTCCTTGAAGCCGTAAACCGAGGAAAGCATGCGTGTTTCGTGATTTCCCCTTAGGAGATGCACCCTGTCTCTATAGAGTCTCTTGTATACAAACAGGAGAAGAACAAGGTCAACAGAGTTGTATCCCCTGTCGACATAGTCTCCAAGGAATAGGTATGGCTTTTCTGACGGATCCTCCATCAGGTCCAGCATGTTCAGTACATCATAGAAGTGGCCATGCACATCTCCGACAACGTTAACCGGCGTATCTATGTGCAGAACATTAGGTTCCTGTTCGAGTATCTTCCTGACCTCCCCTACCAACTCCAGAACCTCGTCTCTTGCAGGAAGAATGGAGTTCTTGATCCTTCGAAGAATTTCCAGATACTTTGGCTCAGCGTGGTCCTTTGTCATCGGGGAGGAGCCTATGCAGACTTATAGCCCTTGTTGCAGTGATGTTAAGGTTGCTCAGAATTCTGAGAGATTTCTGCACATGCTACAGGAAAAAGGTTGTTGTGGGGGGTGAGAGAGGGACAGGGAGGACGTGGAGAGACACGGGGACAGCAGAACCGCAGGTGACACAGAGGCATAGCACGAAACCCACATTGGTTCTAGACCTTGACAATACCCTAGTCTATTCGACCTTTAGGATGCCAAAGCTCTACGACTTCTGTGTGGAGATTCCAAGAAGTAGGAACATACTGATATATGTGAAGGCCAGGCCGTATGCTGCAGAGTTTATTAGTGCTGCCGAAGCACTGTATGAAGTGGTCATCTTCACATCTGCGAAAAGGGAGTATGCCAAGAAAGTTGTTGACAGGATTGACACGAATAAGAACATAAGCCGCATTCTGTATAGGGAGTCGTGCACGTTTACAAACGGGAGGTATGTCAAGGACTTGCGCAAGGTCGGAAGATCCCTGGACAGAGTAATTCTGATTGACGACAACCCTTACTCATATGAACTCCAGCCCCGGAATGGAATCCACATTCCTCCATACACGGGGGCAGAGGATGACGACTCCCTTCTTAAGATCCTAAGGTTTCTGGAGGGACTCCCCAAGGACGACCTACTTGGAGGTACATGGCAGGCGCCCTTTAGAAATAGTCCAATGACTGGATTTGGAACATTGTGATTGAAACACGTGTTTGGAAAAAAATATTTAGAGTAAAAACATGAGCGGAATGATGAAGAGGGCCTGGAATGCCGCATGCTTTTTGGCAACAATGACAGTATACCTTTCATACATAATTGTTGGATGTATGATTGTGTCTGTTGTTAAGCCTGTACTTTTCGGAGAGAAGGCCCAGGATGCCCTCCGAAGACTGACAAAGGTTGCATGGCTCCATCTTACGCGGGCATCGTTTTACAGATACTTCCCTAGGAAGGTGTTCATCAGATACAACCCAACGATACTTGAAAGAAGCAGGAATGTTATAGTTTCAAACCATTTGACGGAATATGACTGGCTCTTCATGTGCTGTGTCCTTGACAGCTTTGGAAGATTCGAGAACCTATGCATCATCCTCAAGATGTCTTTGAGAGACATTCCGATACTTGGCTATGGCATGAGGTTTTTCCAATTCATCTTCTTGAACAGAAAAATAAGCAAGGACAGGGAGCTGATTATATCCGGAACCTCGAGGCTCAAGAAAAAGGAGAAGTACGACCTCCTCATTTTTCCGGAGGGGACATATATAGACAAGTGCTCGCATCCCAAGTCCCACAAGTGGTCGTCGGAAGCAAACATGGCGATTGAGGGAAGACGGTTTGATCCCGAGGAGGTCCTTATCCCAAGAACTACTGGATTCAAAATACTGAGAGAAGGCATTCGCGATGACATGGAGGGGATTCTGGATGCTACGATGATAGGAAATCCCCATGTAAAGTACCCCAACGACGTTTTCTCTTACTGGGAAGTAATAGTGAATGGCTCGCGGAAGGTGAATTTTATGTTCTTTCTAGACTACATTCCCAACAACGACAGCATGGATGCGGATGACTTTCTCTTAAAGCTGTTTGAAAAGAAGGAGAAAGTGATATCCAAGTATAGGAGGGAGAATGGGGATGGATGCATAAGAAGCATGGCCGAGTTCAGGAAGGTTGCAGACACGCTGTTTGATTCCAAGGCTGGATATGAGGACAAGGAGATTGAGCTGTACACCCCCTGGGGCCCTCTCTTCCACGTCATGTTTGTTCTTGGCTTGGGACTGCTGCTGGGGTCGATTGTAAGGTTTTTTTCGAAATAAACTGATTCTAGAAGCTTATGCTTTCCTGGCTTTGTTTTGCCGTGAAACGCACAAGGTACCTATCGGCTAGTGCTGTTTCATGTTCCTTATAACACCAAGCCAAGACCTGTGGAGCATGGAGAAGGAGGTTCTCACAAGCGGGGCGCGAGTCAACTCGGGGATTCTTGAGAAGATCCAGGCTCTTGTGAAAAATAGCAAGGGAGGAGACTTCAGATGCGTGAGTGCATCAAGGGCATCCATTGAACCGAAGGAAACACATAAGGGGAAAGGCAATGGGAGCTTGGGGTCTGTAGCCAGCCTCAATATCTGGAGGGTGAACCATCGTGTGCTGGTGTTTGGGCAATGCTGGGACAATTCCACAGAGAACATTACCAGGAGAAACAACACCAGAGAGCTTACCGAGTTTCTTAGAAAGAACTACAAGGACAGGTTTATGCTCTGGTGTCTCAGCGAAAGCCTCAGGGAATCCCAAGGCGTCCAGAGAATACCATTTCTCGACTTCGATCTTGGGCTTGCATATAGAGTGTCATGTGCCGTAAGATGCTGGCTGGAGTTCAACCCAAACAACATAGCTGCATTTGAGATAAGGAATGGTGATGAGGATAAGGTGAGATTTCTGGTGGGATGCGTTCTAAGGCATTGCGGATTTGTAGATAGAGCCGAGGCGATGTGGGAAAGATGCCTTGAAGATGCCTTTGTGCCAGAGCTGCACAATGTCAACACAGTCAAGAGATACATAAGGTACTTCGACTCAGCAAGTAGCCTGGAAGGAGACATGATCCATGCTGTTGTTTTGAAGCAGCTGATAGTAACCACCATTCCTCATGGATCCACTGAGGACTTCTTAATAGGAATGAAGGTAACGAGAAGAGGGTCGGAGCTGTGCGTGATCAGGGAGCAGGATGGCAATGACAAGGTCTACAGGGATGAGGACTATGCCGTGTTCAGTGGGATCGACTGCGACATATCGGAAGACATCCAGATTCATGTGTGTTACTACCTCGGAGACACCGAGAGAAGCGTGGTTCTTCTGAGAATCAACTCTCTGTTTTATCGGCAAGGCCTGTACAGATTTGCTCTTGATGACATGGAGTGTTTCTTGCCCAGGAAGATGTTTGACGAGGAGTTTACCATTGATCTTGTGATGGTTGAGTCTGGAAAGGCGGTGGAAAAGCCCTCGTGCACCTATAAGGTCGACCTTCTCCAAGGACTCAGACTGCTGAATGAGAACTTCTTGGGTGTGCCTGACCGGGAAATCTACGAGAGGCTTGTTTCTGAGGGCCGGAGCGAGATAGTTGCGAAATTCTGCGCGTTTATGAGATACTGTGGCGAGAAGACGCGTGAGTTTGTTGGTAATCTAGAGGCGAAAGGTCTCAAGACCTGCAGCTTTGAAGTCAAGGCCTCCAAGCATATGGACACGGTGTTTGAAAGCAAGAAGAGGGAATGCAGTGGGAGCAGAAAGATCGATCCCGAGACAAATGGGGACTTGGGTGTGTCTGTTTCCAACTGCGCATTAGCCGACAGGAAAGCATTGTACTCCATAGAGAGCGGGGAGCCGAGGCCTCTTGAGTTGATAAGACTGAGTGCTAAGATAGAAAGAAATGAAAGGACACGGCCAAAGAAGATTGTTCTGAAGAAGAGACAGGCGGAGAAGTGCGACGTGGTGCCGGCTGTTGTCATTAAAAAGCCTCTCCACTGGATTCCGTTAGCAAGGACAGAGGAAACAATATTTGGCGAGATTTCGGGGATCAGGGCAGAAATCGACTACGAGAGATTTGAGGAGATGTTTTGCGAGTCATTTTCAGGAGAGAGAACTGTGAGCAAAGAGGTCCGAAGAAGCGTGATAGAGGACGGCAGGCTGTTTCTAGTGTCCCTTTCGCTGAAGCATCTGGAGCTGAGGAACATAACGCCTGAAAATGTGTACTCGATGCTCAAGTCTCCTGACAATCCTCTTGGACTCCAGGATCTACTGAACATCGAGAAAATGTATCCTGACGACGAGGAGGTTATGAGCCTGATATCTGCGTCTCCAGAGTCTCTCGGCAATGTTGAAAAGGCCATGCTGGCATACTCACAGCTTCTGGACGTCCGCAAGATCACAGAGATACTGATCTTTGAGAGAAAGTTTTTTGATGAGGTATTCCAGGTCGAAGGTGCCCTCTCGAGGCTGATGGATGTCTGTAGCCGCATTCTGGACAGCCAGAGCCTCCGGATGGTCCTTAGGATGATCCTTGAGATTGGAAACACAATGAACTTCCGGTACTCGGTGAACAAAAAGAAAGTGAGCGGGTTCAAGCTTTCGAGCCTGTATGTGTTCAGTAACTACCGTGGAAAGAACAACACATCTCTCTTCCCGTTTTTATTCCAGATGCTTGAGAGTACCGGTATTAAGCCAGAGCACCTGCTTGAGGAGCTTTTTTCCATTCACGACCTGAGGAACGAGGAGCTCCCTAAGATCGGCGAGAAGATCAACTACTTCATAGAAATGTACACAGAGAAGCTGGGGCTCTTAGAACTACTGGAGGAGGATGTCAGGAGGGAGTATGCAAGATTCTTCAGATTTGCATGCAGTAAACTTGAGGAGATGGGCAGCAGCTTCAAGAAGTGTCATCTGTACTCCAGCATGATTAAACGCAAGTTTGGGGAGGACGAGGCCAAGACCCTGAAGGAGATACTGGCCACGCTGTCGGACTTTCTACGCGGTATGGAACAGCAGCTTGAGTTACACAGAAGAGCCTAGAGCAAACTCCTCAGCTTCGGAGCATTGTAATTAAACGAAACATTTTAATTCAAATCAGTTATACTACCTCAGCACCTCTAAGACGTGGCTGGCTTTCTTTCTATTGCTATCGGTGCTGCACTTCATCATTCCGTATAAGAAGTCCTTGATCCACGACTCGTCTAGTCCGAAGTTCTTTCCGTACATCCCGACAAGATCATCAATCAGCCCAAGAATATCACCGTGGGCCTTGCCATTGGCATCCTCGGCGCCTATCTTGTGGGCTATGCTAATGATTCGAGGCAAAACACTCCTGACTTTGGAGCTGTCACCAATGGCCACCAGAGAGCAATTCACAAGCTGGACAGCATTCTTGCGGAGCTCGTCGACATACACCTCATCCGAATGCCTGTCGAGCTCTGATATCTGCTGGAACAGCATCACAATCATGTCCAGGTACGACTCGAAGTTTCTTTCCAGTGCCAAGGCAATATCTCCAAATACAGATAGTATTATCGGCTTAAGGTCTCTATGTGTCGCCTCGGAGCTGAGGCACTGCACCAGGGATGACGTAAGGACTGTTGCGAGGATGTTGAAGTCAGTTCCCATTGTATTTGCAAGCCTTCCAACAAGATTTATCACGGAGTTCAAGACAAACCTGTCTGTGCATCTCATATCCCTTGTCATGTAGGGTATTATCTTCGATGCATGCTGCGCAAACCTTGTGGAAAGATTCGAAATGCTTGTGTAGACCTCTCCAAATGCTGTCGTTGGCGTTGACTCGAGAATCCTTATAAACAGTTCCAGGAGATCTTCTACATCTTCTCTCCTTCTTGTGGCCACTATTGCCTCAATAAGCCCTATGTAGTTCGAAAGCACATCCTCAACAACCAGCAGTTGGTCCTGAGTGGCGTATCCCAACACACTGATACATTCGTCGATCTTCTTTGACGTGTAGTCATAAAACCCAACTAGAATATCGGAGACTGCTTGCGGGCAGATCAGAATCAATTCACCAAGCGCAGAAAACAATGCAACCCTCAGGCTTGAGTCATTCAGACTTGCCAGCTCCGTTCCCTTGACCAGTGCATTGAGGATGTCCAGGTATTGCTTTGCCAGAAAGCTCTCAACAAAGTCGTTGGCTCTCTCCCTTACGGCCTTTGGTATGTGATCGGCAAAGCCCTCCTTTCTTCTGCTGTCTGCTATTGAGCGAAACATGCAGTCCATCACCCATGCTGCCCCAATGGAAGACTTGGAGCTCTCCAGAACCACATGCCCGCACTTGCTCAGAATCATCGGAAGATGGTCGGCCAGCGCATAAAAGTTGCACTCCGCCGCCCTGGACAGCGCCCACAAGCAAGAGTCCTTTGACTCTTCAAACTCGATGCCCTTCACAAGGTCCGGCACAATCTTTGTTAGGCAATCTTCACACCTCTCATGCATAACACTTCCCAGCGCCACTGCACCTATATCTATATTGGCCCTGGACTCAGACCTCAGAGACGTCTCTATAAACCCCCATACCATCCTGTTCCTCATCATCTTGTCTTTTTTCAGCTCTGTATACATCTCAAGACAGGAGGATGCAGCTTTGTGCGGAGACCACACATCCCCGTAGTAGTTGGGGCCTTTCTCAAGAAGGCTCAGTATCTCGGGCAGGACAACCGGTAAATACTTGTCGACCATTTCTCCATCGTTCTTCTCGGCAAAGATGCACCAGTACTCGATTGCTTGGATCTTAATCTCGTCATGCTGAGACTTGAAGAACCTTCCTAAATACTGTGCCAGCATGTTCTCCAGTATGCTTCTTTGGATAAACTTGTAGTTGAGCATCACAAGTCTGTTGAAGCATATCATCACCTTGTGTATCAGCTCTTCGTCGTTCCCGTTCCATATATCAACAGTTGCACTGAGAAATACATTCACATTCTCCTCGTAGCAAAATATCCCCTGAACCTCCATGCAGTTCATCAGGCATTTAAGTCCGCACAGCCTACTTCTACTTGTGGTCCCGTTTTTGAGAGGATACATGCATATTTCAAACACTGCGACATTGTACATCTGGATGACGTCGGGGGCCTCCTTCACCAAATGATTGCTGCATATTCCAACAGCCTCGCACACGCCAGAGACGGCCTCCTCGTCGCAAACCATCCTCCTCATCTCCTCAAAGAATCCCTGGTACAGGCTGTTGGGAATTTCCATCCTGGCTATCTGCCCGAGGGCCCCCCCTGCCATGGTGCAGAACCTTGGAACTGGCCCCTTGAGAGCTCTCTTGATCATGCCCTTCACATATTCCCTGGATTCGTGCCTCATTCCCAGCCATCTGCTGGAGCAGCCCTTCTGGAGCTCAGGGTCGTTTGCATGGAGGCTGTTCTTGAGGATGATCCCGGAAACCATCCTGAGTTGGTCATTGCTTTTCAGGTCGCAGAACACCTCCACAAGCATCGATATGAATCTTTCAAAGTCCCCCGACTGGAGCTCCAGGATCCTGGCCTCGGCCCTCTTTCCTGCCCCAGGGTCAGACTTCAACACTTCATACAGACACGCCTCTAATCCTCTTCTATCCATATTGGGGTGATTTTTTCCAATGCAGAAATCCCACATCCATCTTATTTCCCAAATGTTCCTGATACTGCTCTTCTTCATGCAGCGCTAACAGCAGAGCCAAGGCTACCGGCCATCTTTTCCCGCCAGCTGGTATAAAAGAAGTTCAGGACCCATCCCAAAATGAAGAGGAGTAAAGAATCCGGAAGATATTCATACATTGTGTCGTTGGTGACCAGCTTCCTTGTTAAGGACAAGGTGGTTCTTCTGGGGATTTTTGCAACCGTGCTCTTTATAATGCTCTCCAGCAAGCTTCACTTTGAGTTCCAAAAGTCGATAACAAGAGTCGAGCAGTATATTGTTGGAAGGGCCGACGGGACAGAGTCCAGCAAGCTTCTTGTATCGTTCATATTCCTTCCCATAGGCCACTATGTAACAAGTCTTATTCACAAGCTTATTTCTGCCTATGTTGTCCAGCTGCTCACGGGGAAGTCGTTTAGCCACTGCTTGAGAGAGTATCTCTTGATCAGCCACCATGAGTTCCATCACCTCGGGTCTGGGCAGATCCATTCTCTGATCGAGAGGAGATCCAACGCAATGGTGAGCTTCATGAGGATTCTCTTTGCAGACATCTTCTTCAATGTGTCGTATGCATTGTGGGGATTCATGTACTTCTACCGCTGCTCTGCAGGTGTCGTGGTGCTAACCGTCGTCCAGATACTGATGTATGTTGCTGTGTCGTGGTATGGAACAGTCATCAGAAACCACTTCAGAAGGAAGTACAATGCAGCATACAACTCCGCCTCAAACAGGCTCTATGGGATCCTGCAGAACTATGACATAATCAAGTCGTACAACAAGGAGGAGAGGGAGCTGTCCAAGTACTTTGGGGCTGTCTGGGATGTCGGAAGACGCTCCAGGAGATATGACCAGGTCAACGGGTTTATCGAGTTTTTCCAGAAAAGCTTGTTCTTTGTTCCAAATGCATTTCTGGTATTTATGATCATGAACGGACATCTATTTAAGAGCATGAGGATAGAAAACAGGTATATTGAGTATTCGAAGTTTTTTTCTGAGCTGCGCAATGGAATAATGAAACTGAAGGAGAGCATCTTTGTGATGAATGAGAACCTGACGGACATCTTCGACTCGAAGATCGAGAATTGTGCCGAGGAAGACAACGGCTTTGGGCTCACCATAGAGACGTTCGACGATGCGATAAGATTTGTCGACATGTCGATCTACATAGGAAATAAACCTGTTGTGAAAGGGTTTACCGGGGAGATCAGAAAGGGCGAGAAAGTGGGGATTATTGGGAAGAATGGATGCGGGAAGTCGTCCCTCATCAACGCCTTGCTTCGATTCCTTGAGTATGATGGGGAGGTGTATGTGGACGGGATTGATCTGAAGAGAATCAGGAAATCGTCCATCAGGAACCTCATTTCGTTTGTCCCCCAGAGCCACCACTTGTTCAACGGGACTGTCCTAGAGAACATAGCCTATTCATGCAATTCGGTTGAGTATGACTATGTTCTGAAGAGGTGCGAGCACTTTGATATGCACGAGACGTTCAGCAAGCTTGGAAAGGGATATCAGACCCTTGTTGGAGAAAATGGGAAGTTTCTGAGTGGAGGGCAGAAGCAGAGGATCAGTTTCATGAGGGCCATGGTTAAGGACTCCGATGTTGTTGCCTTGGACGAACCAACATCGAACCTGGACGCCGACTCTGAGAGGAGGCTGGTGGAGATGATACTCAAGAAGATGGATGGCAAGACTGTACTCTTGGTTGTACACGACCATGACCTTCTCAAGGGATTTGACAAGATACTTGGGCTCTACAACAACACGGTCAGAGTATACGATTCCTTCGATGAGTTTATTGCCGATAGATCAAAGTATTGAGATCGGAAAACCTCCTATTTGGCAGGCACTGTGTCTTCATGGGGGATGCGGCGGCTATAGAGCTATGGTTGTTTCATAGATTATCTTCTCTCCTAGAGACATCATTACCCTGCCATCGTCCAGGAAAATCTTTAATCCCGCATTGAACTCCTCGCCAATTGCAAATATGAGGCTCTTTAGCACACATAAGTCATCAGCGTCTTCAAATAAATAGACTCTACAGTCATACTCCTTGATCCCGATGCAACCCAAGGCATATCCAAACACAAGTTCGTATGCAAAGTCCACTCTCTTGGAATTGACAAACACCTTAAGCGATCCACCATTTCCCACCTGGTTTATTGGAAGACTCCTGGGCAGCGATGCATCCATCTCGGTGTTAAAGACTATGTGTGCCATCATGTGGTCATAGACCAGAGTATCTATACGTGCACCATTGTTTCTTTCAAGAACCCTAATTTCCGAGCACATCAAAATATGGGCTGTTGGGCTTATTCTTAACTTCTGAGCGGAGACACTCCTGCAAGAAGTGCTTTGAAATCCTCCTGCAAAATTCATCAAAGATCGGGCTAGAGGCCACTTTCCTCAGCTCTTCCAGCTCCTTCATGTATCCTCTCTTTTTGAAGGCTCCTCCGCACTTGCAGAAGTCTGACAGCTTTGTCTCATTAACTCTCCCACATCTAACGCAGTACAGATCCCGAGATAGCTCCAGCCAAAGAAGATGCTTGGCATGGGCCATGCACACCTCAAGCACGGCATCCTTTGGATATGGCTTGTAGCATTTTATGCATCTGGATCTCAGCACATTCTCCATTCCACACGAGGGACATCCAATGTCAAGCTGCATTTCCGTCCCCTTCTCCTCTTCAAACTCGCTCAGATGAAGAAGTCTATAGCAATTGGACATCAAGGTCTGTGCATCCTGTCTCAGCGAAAGAAGCCTTAGAATTATCCTAGAGCTCTCCAGGGGAATCCTGGTAATAAGGCCGTACACAAACTCAGGATCAACTGGGCAATCTCCGAAGTAGGCCCTTAGAAATGCCGTGGGGACGTTACTTTCGCTGAAGCAAAAATACTCTTCACTGTCGACGAAGAAGTAGGAGCTGGGACTTATAAACGCAAGCTTCTGGAACTTTCTGATGAGCTTCATCTTCATCAATTCGTATCCACAGAGCTCGGATCCTCTTTTGCAGATATGATGAAAGAAGTCCAGGGCAGCCTTCTCACTTGTCTTTCCCGTGTTAATCAGAATCACATCTCCAGCCATGCAAACCACATCGTATCCCTCATCTCTCAGTCTCTTGGCCAGGTGCATCACATATCTTTTCTGCAGCATGCAGCAGATATTCCTGAGCTCGGGGCAGATAACGGTAGAGTCTCTCCTTATCCACGACACAATGTTCCTTAGGAGAAGCCTGGTCCCCTCCTCCCCTCGGACAGAGTCGAGAACTACCCTCTTCAAAAGATTCCGAAGAACATTGAAATCCTTTCTTGCTACTCCTCCAAACAATGTGTCCTCCCCCAAAAATGCCTTATATTCAATAATCGAGAGAACCAGGGTTCCTATACATTCAATCTCAATGCTGTATCCTTTGTAAAGCCCGGCTCTGAACCTTTCCGTTCTCAGATATGAAGAGTGGTGCATCTCCGACTTTTGCCTCCCACTTACAACCCCGTTCTTCCTCAGCTCTCTATAAAACACCATGTCCATTATATGCTCGTCTATGTTGAAAATAGGCACCCCTGTATACCTGCTTGCCTTGCATATCATCTCCATCTCCCCTGCCATGAGATGGTGGAATTCCTTTTCCTCGCGGCACATCTCCACGTATTCCTTTGGAGACGGAGTTCTCTTCAGGGGCACTTCAAGAACATGGTACCTTCTCAGGATCTCACGAAGCTCAGCTTTGGAAGGGTCCCCAGAGCTGATAACGGCGATCTTCCATCGGCCAAAATTCTCAAGAAGATATCTTTCAAGGTCATTGAACTTCCTCCCTTCAGAAGACACAAAAACTTCTTCTCCCGCCACGTACACAGATTCTCCCTGGAATACAAAGCTGGTTATAGTTACAAATCCGATTTCATGTCCCTCGCATTCCCTCATATTGCTATACAGAATCGGGACCTTGTCCTCAAAGACCCTTCTAATCGAAAAGTGATTGAGGAATCTCTTATACAATGCGTAGTTCCCCACAAACTCGCTTTCTTTCAGCCTGATAACACCCATCTCCACACTTTCGGGGCTCTCCGGCGGCCATGCTACTGTTTTCTCAACCTCTCCAGACTCTTCAAAATACCTCCAATCATTAATCTGCATGTAAATCTCTCTCTCCAGAGGAATCCTGTCCACAGCACTGGTTCGCCCACTACAATATACGTCCATGTGTCCATCGTTGGTACAGACAAGTTTGACAACATCTCCCTTCTCCATAATTCTTTGCACTATCTCCATCCATCTCGCTCTGCTTCTAAGGACATACTCAGCCATGTCCGTCTTCATCAGTTCTTGCATCCCATTCTCACCATCTCCATGGTTTTCTTTACTTTCCCCACCTTTCCTGTGCTTGCTGTCCACAGGTTCTGCGCCACTTCTCGCCTGTAACTTGCAGGAGGCATCCTCAATATCACTCGTTCTCTTAAGGCCAAAGTCTCCAAGCCCAGCACCACTGTTCGCCCAAACAGGCACCTGGATCTCTCTTAGCGGGTTCCTGACTCCCTGGGACAACGCAGGCAGTATAACCATCCTTTGCACGACACACTCCAACCTCTGTCTGTAGTAGTCCCAATCAATGATGGCCCTGATGTCTCCAAGATAGTCTCTCCCCATCCATCTCCTGAGAAACTCTTCTTTTTGCTCAGAACGAAAAACAACCACCGGGATGGCCCTCTCTGCAACAGACCCATTCTCCGGATATACCGCAACAATGTACTCACACTTCAACTTCTCCTCGAGAATCCCCTCACCTAGAAGCTCCGACATCCGAAGCGCCGTAACGGTGAGATTCGACTTCCTCCCTCTATACTCGCCGAATCCTTTCGACATGCTCCTGCTCTCAGATAGCAGCTCAAGAATCGTGTCGTCGTCCAGGTACTCTCCTCTGCTCTTTAGTATGTCCAGCCAGTATCTGCATACCCCGGCAAGTGACTCGTAACATTCTTCCAAGTTGCTTCCGTCCAGAAAATGCAGAAACAGCTCCTCCTGAAACTTCTTGACAATCTCAAGCTCTCCCCGTCTTTTTATCTCAAATCCCTTCAGCTCCGCTATCCTGTTGTTGCTGTCGATTATTGCATACCTCTTCTTCAGCAGCTTGCTTTCCTCGGTGGATGACGGAAGGAGCATTGCCCTGTATGGCCCGTCAATCTCAAAAAATATCGAGTTCTCTGCCCTCATGACATACTTACCGTCAACTCTCTCCTGATACTGCCAGTTTGTAAACTCCTTGCACACGAAGTGGTTCAGAAGGCTGGATAGAAACGAGAACCTTCTTCCAGACGGGAGCGTATATGAGGATATCAGTGAGGATGGAACTATGCACCATATCCCATCTGTGTCGAGCTCCAATGAAATCCCTATCTTCTCCACAACCTCCTTTGCCCTCTTGATAATGTTTCCTCCAACATTGCACACTATTGCTGCCATCTCCATGCTGTACCACCGCGAACTCTTTCTCATCACATATCCATAGAAGGAATTCAAAACACACTTGTGTGCAATCTGCAACGAGGAATACACAACGACAGACTTCATTGCATGCTTTCTTTCCTCATCAGACGATGCAGACTCAAAGGCCTTCTGTGCCTGGGAATGCAGCTTCTTGTAGACATATCTTTGATCCCTGAACTTCCTAACCGTCTCCACATAGAACGGAATCTCCCGCTGGCAGACAGTCGAGCTTCTAATACAGCTCTCCCTTACCTTTGCCCTCCTATACGTGTCCTTGGAATATCTTCTAGCCCTCTGCCTCAGTTCTTCATTCTCGTCTCCTGCAAACCCTTTTTCCCTTCTTATCTGTTTCCTGATCCTTTCGGTCTCTTCCCTACCTGCAGGAATGTACTCAACCTTGAGAGTCCACTCCATTCTTTTCTTGCATCCGTTCGACTCGTCCGAAAAGTCACATCTTATACAGGCGTCTTCGTCGACAATTGCAATGGGCTGCAGCTTGTTAGTGAGTATGATGTTTGGATACATCGCTCCGACATCTAAGTGATATATAAGCCCCTCTCTCCGGAATCCTCCTCTGTTTTCCTGCAGGTTCCTAAGAACCTTTCCTCTCATGTCCTCAAAGCCCTCTTCCCCCCTGTACTCCGAAAGCATCTCGTCAATCTTCAAGGCCACCGTGTCGATAAACTCCTTATCTACATCAAACTCGTACTCAAAGTCCGACCTGAAAATCCCGGACTTGAGACATTCGACATGCCCTCCAACATATGTAATGCTCTCTGCTATGTGTCCATTATGCTCCTGCATCTTGGTCTCCCTTCTCTTCTCGGGAACCAATACCCCGTACGCTGTAGCCTCGGAAATAAGCAGCGCCTCGCACAGCGTTCCAGACCCCTGGCAGAGCGCTGACGTCGGCGGAAGAGGAATAAGAGAACACATAGAAAAAACATGAGGCTGGACATACTTGATGTAAAGGAAATACGTGGCAACAGAGTCGGAAGCAGAGTAGGATCCCATTCTCTCAGGATCAGATACCGCAAGCCCAACCATGTCCTCAGGGTCAACCTCGTCTGGAAAGTACCCCAGCTTTGCCTTGGTAACAGCCTTAAGGCCTTGGCTTCCTGCGGGAAGATACGAGTCTCTTCTAACCCACTTGTAGCAATCAAGATGCACAATAAACGGCGAAATGTAGTACTCATCCCTCCGAACAAACCCAGCAGTCTCCCTGAGGCTTATCCCATACCTCAGCATCCTCTTCTCCAGAAATGGAAAGTCAAACAGCGCCCCGTTGAACGTTGTTATCAGGTGGGGTCTGTGTCTTTGGATAGTCTCCACAAACCTGATCAGCACCCCCTCCTCGCTACTCTCGTTTACCGCACAAAATGTACACTGCATATCCTCCTTCGGGCTATATTCAAATCCTCGGATGTCCTTAGAAACCAACCCCCTGTTTACAATCAGCTCTCCATAGCCCTCAGTTTTGACCGATATCATCATCACCTCGTCAGAGTCTGCGTTAGGAAACTTCAGTGGCCTTTTAGATGTCTCAATGTCAAATGCAAGTATTCTGAGATCGGGAAACACGATCCTTTCGCTCTTCTCTATAACGTACATCTCTCCAGTGTAACGGAACCCGTACCACCTTCCGCATCTAATCCCAAGATCATTAGCAGCGCATACCTCTACAGGAATGTCGTGCTCGCAGATGGATACTATGAAGTCCTCGGCATTGAGGCCTCTTCCCTCCCCAAAGCAGTCGTACTCGTCCCTCCTCTGTACCTTGTTCCTTGCAACAACTCTTCTAACGTCCTTTACAGCATCCCCAAATCCTGTATCGGTCTTGAACCTCACTTTTAGAAACACCCCGGGTTCCTTGCTCAGGTGGTTGTATTCCTTAAAGTCGACCCGATGGGTCCTCTCAATGTCGTGGATCTCCCCAGAATATCTTTTCCTGAGGTATTCCTCCACAACATCGTAGTCCGAGGCCTTGACCAGAAACGAAGGAAAATAGGGAATCTTCACAAGAAACTCGACTCCTTCTCCATCAATCAGGTAGAGCTTTGTTTTCATCCTTCCATCCTTAAGCGTAACAGTTGCATAGTTCAGCAGCCACCCCTCTCTTCTCCTCCCCTCGTAGTACGGCACAAATCCATATTGCTCCTCGAGAAGCTCGTCCCTCATCACGGTCTCCATGCCACTTGAAAATTAAGCAGAGAGGCCCAGCCTTCCATATTAGGTATTTATTTCAGTTGTCTTCAGAAAGAGAGTCATTATCGTCATGGGAACAGATCCGGAGCCCGTAGATCCTTGGTATATACTCTTCACATGTCCGTGAGGGAAAGTGGTACGAATGGGTCAGGATCAGAAAGTGTGGAAACGACCTTCCCCATGCACACCCATCCAGTAGCTGGAGAGTGCCACTGGCCTCATACACGTTCACACAGGAGTGACAGTAGATTTTTGTGGATGACACCTGCGGCCTGTCGCTTAGCCCAATGGGAATCACCCCGACCGACCTGCATCCTACCCTTGGACATGCTCCATACTCCCGGCTCATCACCTTGTCCAGCACTGCCTCAAGCCCAGACTTCGTGAAGATATATCTTTGGTGTATCAGATAGTACAGCGAAGACTCCTCCTTGAAGTTGCCTCGAGGGCCCTTGTCAAGTACCGAGTTATATACTTCCTCGAGATTGTCTATGTACCTATCCAACCCAATGGTGTTGAACCTGTCTTCCAGAAACTCATCTGGAACACGCACAATGCTATGGTTCTCCTTTCTGCGCATGAAGTCGCCCACCCAGTACTCGTCAGAGCTTATTCTCAGCAAATTCTCAGAATCGTCTTCCAGCAGATTCTCCATCTCTATGGCCTGTTTTTGCAGAACTAGAAAAACATTTTGCCTTCTATCGCATGAACTAGAGACCACGCCGCCTCTCTGAGCGCTTGGGATGTACGCTACTGCCCTCGCACATGTTCTGCCGTTCATCTGAAACAGGTGTTTCAATATCGATCTAAAGCCTTAGGCATTGCTGCGCGAAATGCATGCTTCCGAGCTAAGGATGTTGTACAAGGAGAGAAACTATGAGGAGATTTACAGCAGAATCCAGCAGGAAATGGAGAAGCTAGTCCTCAGAAACAAGCTGTCCACGGATGACCTGGAGGGACTGCAGTCGTCGATTGAAGAAGAGATAAGAAGAGGCGTCCACGAGCAGAGGGGAATCCCAAGACCGTTGATAAACATCATCCTGCTGCAGGGAGAAAGCTTTGAGGCAAAGATAAGGTCCCTACTGATCTCTTACCTGGCGTCGCTGTGCTCTGTGGATTACCAGGAATTTCTGTGCTGCAACTTCCAGAAGCTATCCTCACTGAAAAGCTGCTTTACATGGATTGAAGAAAGCATGGCCAGAATAAGCCTCAGGTATTCCAATGTTCCCGACGACTGGAACTTGCCACAGGAGATATTGCTCAAGTATTATGTACTGACGAAGCAGAGAGCATGCGATTACTTTTTCTACAACGAGATCGACGAGCAAGACTTCGTGGAAGCCTTTGATGTAACGATAAAACACGAACGGAGGCTTGGAAGAGCATTTGAGAAACACGGCTGCTGTGTGTGTTCCTTGCAGCAGCCTGCAGGGAACGAGTCGCGTCTGGTTCCAAGCTCCACAGAGACTTCATGTCCTCATAGAACAATGATCTCATCACTGTTTGTGCCGAACATAGAAATATACCTGAGGGCATCCTTCAGGCTTCTGGTGGAGTCCGAGCTCAACCTGCAGGACGTCAAAGTGTGTGTCTTTTCAAGGTTCCTGGACTTCTTCCGCGGGCTGGAAAGGATTTTCAAGAAGATTGGGTATCTCAACGACAGGCCTACATACAGACACCTCGTGCATTGCTTCGACGACCATTTGGGTTTCCTAATGAGGAAGATATGTCCTTCTAAGGACATGTACGGATCTATCATTGTCCTGAACACCATTCTTTTTGTAAGAGAAACGGGACTTGACTTTCTGGACCAGGTCATGGAAAGATCTGGAGTCGAAGAGGACGCCCCAAAGATGCATGCAGAAGCCCGGAGGATCGAAGGGCTCCAGAATGCCCTCATAGACGACTATCTCTCGCACTACTTCTCAGAGCTGGACTTCACGGCCCCCGAAGGACTGTCCAAGGAAATCATACGCTTCCTGGACAAAGAGATAATGAGCGAGAGCAACAGCGGAATGTACGAGGACGTTCGAATCATGGTGCTGGAAAGCATCATCTCCCATGTCTTCTCCAGAATCTACTCCATCAAAATCACCCCCAAGGCTTCAGAGGCCATCTTGCTTGAGACTGCTGAGGTAAAGCGGTATTTGCGGACAAAGACAAGTGTCATTCCTCTCATAGATGTTGTCGAGAAGTATCTCAAGATCTTTCTGTGCCCACCAGACAACACAAGATGTTTTGCAGAAAACTTTGTGCTTATGTCGGAAGGCATCTTTTCATTTGACCAGATCATTAGCAACATTGAGGACGGACACGGGGCAGACGAATTGTATTTGGCATACGAGGAGATTACAGGGTCTTCCAAGGCCATATCCTGATTGGGATGCCTTCACACAATAAATAACTGACAGCCTGATAACTTTAATCTACTGGCTTGTACAGATACAGCCCGAGCTTCTTCATTCTGATTGGTTTTACGTCATGGCTTGAGTCTATCACCTCGATGTACTTTGCGACCGTTTTTTCCCTCTCCACCTTGTCTTTGAACCCAATTGGCTCCAGAAAGTCAACTGCCAGGTCTGTATCCACAATGTATATGGCGTTGGCAGAGGGCTCTATGTGTGCAACTGTAAATCTGATGGACCCAACCTCATCAAACTGGCACAGTATTTCGTCTCCTTCAGACAGAACCTGGTAGTTTCTCAGGCACGACTCCAGCTCCACCTTCGGATTCTCGATCTCAAGAAAGTCCACTGAGTGTGGAATCAGCTTCACAAACTTTCCAAGGGGAAACGTCATGTACCTAAGCACCACCTTGTCTGCATCTTCCATGGAAAGCTGCTGGTACATCCACGACGGAACAACGACATCGCCCTCCTCGCCGGTGAACTCGAGGACCCCGCAGTGTGTCCTGTATATCCCGTCGGAGTGAGAGATTTCAAATGTAAATGGCGGCTGGATCTGGAACGACACAAGGTCAACCAGCACAGACTGTGGAACTATCACCTTCCCTCCAAAGTTGTTCTGGTTGCATCCATCAAACTTCGTTGGTCTCAGAGACCAGGAAGGCTTTTCTCCAAACAGCCCAAACAAATCGAAAAGCATGTCCAAGGGCAGTCCGATAAGTCAATTATCCTCGTGGAGTCAATGGGAGCTGGCCTGGCACATTCCAGACAAGTATAAATGAGAGACAGATGCCCTCTGCCAACACCAAATGGAGAATGCTCCACAGGATGGAGGCTTTTTTGCCGAGAAGGAAGACAGCAGGAAGGAGGTGAGGGAGGACGAATCGATTCTTCTTCCAATCGCTCTGAACAAGAGATGCAAGTACTGTCTACAGATACCGCTCGACGACGAGCTGGAAAGCACGTTTGGAATCTCTGTCTGTAGGTCATGCCGCCACAGCATGCTTAAGTTTGTGACGAAGACCTCCTGTCTGTCTGAGTATCTTCTGACGGACGAGGAGCTCAAGGGATTCCGATTTCTCCAGAGGCCCAATCCTCACAAGGGAACATGGTCGAAGATGCATCTGTATCTCCAAGAGGAGGTTGAGCAGTTTGCAATCCACAAGTGGGGGTCTCTCGAGGAGATTGAAAGGGTCAAGCAGAAAAGAAGAAAGATGACTGACGATCGGAAGATAAGAAAGCTGAAAGGGAAGATAAAGGATCTCAGGAGGAAGACCAGGATGGATGTTAGAAGCAGCGAGAAGCATGTGCATGTGTTTTTTGTGGACGGAGGCATTTCAAGGTGCTCGTGCGGAATGGCTGTTGAGCAGGAGGAGCTGTAGGGAGGATGCGAAGGCAAAGCAGTATATAAAACTTTGGAAAGACACCCTTTGATGGTTGTTAGATGGAGGGATGCAGAGCTTATGTTTAGAGGAAGGAGGCTGAGGTTTGAGGAGAAGATCATCGGAGCAGGAAGAGTCAAGAGATGGGTTGTTGTTTGCACCCAATCGAGGATTTGCTTCTACGGGGACGAGGACATGACGCTGACGCGGCCAATAAAAGCTGCGGTTGTGAAGAATGAAGGGGTCTATTACCACAACAAAGAAAACAACCATGTTATGCTTGTTTCGAATCCCTTTGAGCCCGAGGAATTTGTGTTTTTCCACCGTGGGTTCGTTCTCAGGGAGGTTGTATCGGGGGAGATGGTTTTAGAGAGGACTGGGGGATACCTACTCAGGAATGTTGGAAGGGGGAGGGCGTTGACGCAAGGCATGACAGGATCTTCGTGTTCGGACAAGGACGACGATAACTTTGACGAGATCAACAGAACAAGAGTTCTGACTGTCTGCAAGGTGGAGGAAGGCATGAGATGTCTTGTTGAAGATTATGAAGAGGAGGAGAGGCACGAATGTGGCATGAATGTAGAGATTGTCGACTATGACGGCTTCATGGTAGGGATCCACGGAAACGCAGCATCGTTTGTCAGACTAGGGAGCAGTAAAGGAGGGGTGAAGAGAAGCAAGCTTCTGTCGGAGGTGAATATAAAGCTTGAGAAGGAGGTTGAGTGCCTTGTAAAGTACAAGATGAGGATTTCAAGGGGCAAGTGTCTTGAGTTTTTGAGGATTAATGACATGCTGTTTCTCGGAAACGAGGTTGTGTGTCCTTCAATTGAAGAGAGTCTCTGGCCAGGGTCAAGGGTTTCGAGGGCATGGATGTGTGACTACAGCCGGCCCTTTTGGATGGGGATGAGCGAGGTGGAGAAGAATCTGCTTTCGTGCTACCCGAGGGCCATGCAAAAGGTGTTTATGGGGATGTTTCTTCGAAGCAAGGAGAAGCGGTTTGACGTGCTGGAGCCCACGAGGGAAGTTGTGGATAGGATTAACAGGACTTTAGAAGAGTGGCTGGCCAGATGCAGAAGTGTCTGGGAGTTTTTGAGTCTGGAGATTCCACAGATAGAGGGCCTGAGGACTGTGGAGAGGTGCAGGGAGCTGGTTAGCTATACCTATCCCTTTCTAACGGGGATTAATGATGTGATGAAAGTGAAGTACAGAAGAATCATGAGATGTAACCTCGATGCCATTGGGAACCTGAAGTATCCTGACATCATGAATCTTGGGTACAGAGTGATTTACATGGAGACGAAGAAGAATGAGGTACTCAGAAGCACAAGGCCTGTGCGGTCCATTAGAAGGCTGTGCAAAATCACTGAGCGGCACTTTGGAGACCCGCGGATGGAAGAGGTGTTTTCTCTGTTTGACGAGAGTCCAAGAGTATTTGAGATTGACGAGTATGATCTGGAAAACAAGAAGGAAAAAGGATATGTCTTGAGGATGGCGTCAAACATAGGGAGGGCATATTTGTTCTACGGCTCTGGAGTGTCTAAGGACAGATATGGGTCCAAGCAGCTGAAGTTCCCCATCCACAAGAACGGGGAGCTGAGCGAGATCGAGATCAAGGAGAATGGCTGGACTGACTGGCCTATATTCAACCACTCCGTCTTCAGAGGCTGTGGGTTGAGCCCCTACGATGAGATGTCACATGACTTTATAGAATCAAGAATCCTTGATTTCATATCCACAGGAGCGGGGAGTGAATTTGAAGTAGCTGGAAAAGTATTTTCATTTGGGCTCCAGGGCCGTCTTCTTGGCCTTCATCCGCAGAAACTTGCACAGCTTGTCTCCCCAAAGCATCCTGTGATATCCATGGCGCTGCTTGCAGGCATGGGCATAAGCTACATTGGCAAGAGGGACGACCCGCTGGGAAGGATGTATCTCCACTACCTCAAGTCTGGACAGCCTCTGTACATCCACGTTGGATGCATTGTTGGGCTTGGAATGCTGTACGCAGGAAGCGGAAACGTCCTTATCAAGGATGTGCTGACAGTGGAGGCGAACAGAAAGGGGGTCTTCTGGAACGAGCAGTACAACCGGGGAAACAAGATATGGTACGACTACACATATAGAGTCATGGCGTCTTTCTCGATTTCTATGCTGTACATGAAGACGAGCCCCGAGATGTTCAGGTTTATAGAGTTGAAAGACTCCCTTTGTGAGCTTCTTACCAACGGCATTGTTCTTTTTGGAAGCAAACAAACGAGGTTTTTGAACAGGTTCCGGAGATCAGATGCAAACAGACCTGAGGAGGTTCTGTACTCGGAGCTCTTTTCGCTCGGGATATCAATGGACGAGCGTCTGAACTCTATTGTTGAGGACGTAAAGAGGAGAGTTCACAGCGCCGGCCTTTACGAGCTGTATAGACTATCTGGGAAGATACTGTATGTAGCTGTCTACCTGCTATACAGGGAAGAGGTGGTGGATCTTGAGGGAGCCCTTTTCAAAGCCATTCTAGAGGTATGCCTTCTTGCAGAAAGGGCAATGAAGGACAACCACGAGTCTAAGGTGCTGTTTGATGTGTCTCTTATGTCTCTTTCGCTGATATCAAACTCCTCCTGCAATATTGACGTCATCAGGATTCTAAGAAGGCAGATCAAGATGACGGAGACAGGAAGGTTTCTATCTGAGCAGACAGACTTCTTCTTTACGTCGAGCAGATGCAAGCAAGAGACCCAGCTCTCGATGAGATACGGCGACATCGAGAGGTACAAGCTGTGCCTCGGGATAGTGACCTGCGGGATGGGGACTCTGAAGATTTCTACTTCCTTCCACCTAGTTTTGGACATAGTCTCCACCCTTTTCATCCACTTCCCGATTTCCCCGGTGGACCAGGAGTATTTCAACATGGTCAGATACTTTCTTCTCCTTTCGATGAGGGAGAATCCAAGCGGCTTCAAAAGCACCATGAGATACTTGAGGCAGGGCAACAAAGGAAGCAGGAGGAGACTGAGGGCTGATATGTCCAACATCAACAAGATCTTCCTGAAGGAGTACTCAGCAGCATCGGATGTAGACAAAAAGTTCGTTATTGATGTACTGACGGATTTCTACGAGCAGCACGGCGACAAGGACAATCTGCTTGACATAGAAATGCTGAAGAATATAGCTTGCAGGACACCCTGATTTATTTTCCAGGCCCTGTCATAGAAACAGATATGCACTACACCCCACAATCACTAAAAGCAACATAAATATTATCTTATTCCTCGGGTCACTATTCATTCTCTTGATTGCCTCTTCGAATTTGCGGATGTTCAGGAACAGGATCCTGTCGTTTCTTGTGGTCTCGGCCTCGATGGACTCGTATATCAGATTCTGCTGGTCTATCTTTTCCTGTATGATCTGGACGGTTGTCTTCATGCTTTTCGACGATTCCCTCAAGGCCCTTTCTTCCTCCCCGTCCATGCTCAATAGCAAACAATGTTGTTTTCAAAGCACATTTCCATCAAAAATCTGTAACACCGCCCAAGGCGTATTTATTTCACACATCGATCACCAGCAGATCTTGGCCACCACATCGATCACCTCTGCCCTAGACACTTCAAAAGATGCAAACATCCCTAAGAGCATCTCAAGTGCTGGTGCAATGCAGACCTTGTCCCTTGCCGTGACTATGATTTCAAAGAGAGATGAGGCAAACGAGGGGTTGCTCATCTTCGGAACAACCATTCCGAGGAGATAGGCTCCATCTACAACCAATGTCCTGTGAAGAATCTCTATGTCCTCCATTCGGAAGAATGAGTACACGTCTGTGTGTACAAAGTGCATCAGCAGACAGAGGATGTCTTGGGTGCTGTACTCAGTAAAAACGCAGTCCTCTATCTCTTCCATATCCAGAAGTCTCTCCAGGAGACCTATTGCCTCCTGCGGGCCGAGTCTACTGCTGTCCTGGTCTCCATCAGGAATGGAATCCTTTTTGGTTGACTTGCATCCCACATACGACAACGATCTAGACAGGTATCCCATAATTCCTCTTGCCACATTGACTTTCTGGGTTATGGTGGCCATGTCGCACTTGGAAAGGCTCCCGTTGAATCCGGTAACCGAAGAGTCCCCGCATTCTTCCACGATTTCTCTAAGCTTTATCCTGTATGTCGCAAACAGATGCGGAGATCCCCAGGGTGTACTTTCGGATGCCACGAGAATCCTTCTAACTCGGACAACGTCTTCAAGGACCTCTCCAAGCCTATCCTTTAGCTCACTTTCCCCATAGCATACACATTGCTCTACCCCATCCGAGCTCTTCGTCTTCAGAGTTCCACCTTCAAGGTTGATGCATGCAGCATTAGCCCTGCGCGACGCCTTAAACTCCCCTTCACTCATATACAATACAAGATCGGCCTTTCCGAGGCTGTCCTCTTCTGCTCTGGCATAGTCGAGAACCCTAAAGAATATGTTTGTTCCAGATGTGTACAGATCGCCCCCGGCCTCGGCCCCTGCCCTGTAGTACTCTTCGACAAAGCATCTCACAGAGTGTGGAGAGCACCTCAAGAAGTACATCGCTCCAATAGAAACATCATCGTAAACCTCCGTCATTTGGTACAGATCATCCCGTCCCTCCAGGACGTCTTTTACAATAATCTTTATTCCAGTGGCCCCAAAGGCGACAATCTCTGCATTCTCCAGCCTCAGGGCACACCGGAAGAAGTATCTTCCAGATCCGGAGTCTAGAATAGACACAGACGGGCCCTCTCTGTCTGCAACAACCACCATCTCGCGGAACAAAAACAATGCCACCGGATCTCCATAGGTGTCTTCGCAGTTCAGCTGGAAAAGAAAGTCCTTTCTCTCCTTTCCCACATCGCTAGGCATCCCGCCAACCCTTTCTCCAATTAGCAATGCACATCGGAGATTGTCATGCCTTTCCTTTTTCTTGTCAATGATGTTGATGAGTCTCGTCATCCTCAGATAAATCTTCCTTGCCCTTTTCGCATGTGCTCCATCGTCAAGATTCCGAAGAATATCGTCAATGAGAATGGGATATCTTACAACTCTTTGCAGGCAGTTGCAGAAGCAATCGTTTACTGCTCTGTGGTCAGGTGCCTCTGCATAGTTCTTAGCATTCCTCAGAGTCTCGATCGATTCCTCGTGGGACAGCATGAGGTCTTCATAGCACCTAAATCCTTCAAAGTTCCCCTCAAAGGAGCACAGAACCTTCTCAAGAATCTCCTCGTCATCCATTTCAATCTCGCTAAAGCCCCTGCCGTCCATCGCATCCGCAAAGTATTGGGGATCCTGGAGAATCCTATCCATCGCAAACCCGGCCCCCTCTACTATGTCCCCCATGGAGCTTATAAACCCGGCCTCGAACCTATGAACCCTGCAAAACCCCTCGAATATATCTTCAAGCCCTGCCTCTTCCCCCCAGGCCTTCGAGGCAACGTCCATGTAGAATCTGTTCACCTGGCAAAAATACTCGACCTCGTTGAAAACAAATCCAAGAAGGGCCTGCCGCAGTCTCTTTTCTCCGGTACATGCAGAGGTCTTGATGTCCTCCAGGTCGTCTGAGGACACGTTGCAGCAGTCTTCAGGATCAACGAGTCTCCTGCCCAGCATCCCCCGGGGAATTACTTTGCTGTTCTCGACAACCAGATCAATATAGACAGGACGGTTATAGAACTCCCAGTCCAACCCTCTTGCATGCTCCAGCCTCACCTCGGCCATCCGGCCCATCACTTCTCCAACAGAGAACTTCTCAGGACATCTCATCATCCCAGCACATGTTGCGTCGTACATCTTCTTCCTCTTCGCTCCAAGATCGCTTCGCAGGGGCCAGTTTCCAAGGGAGAACAGTGAGCTGAGCATCCCCATAAAGGAAGACCTTCTCCGGGCCGACGCTGCCTCCACATATCTCCAGCCACCTATGGTGTCTCCAAAGTATCTGGAAAGACTGCGGCTTACAGAAAAAAAATATGGACATCCTGTGATGTGCTTGCTGTAGAATCTATACTCCCTGAACCCCAGCATGGATCTTACAAGCACTCTCGAAAAATCCCTTTCTACTGTGACAGATACAAGAATAGGCCCCAGGTGCACCAGGTCTGCAATAAAATTTCTGGAGAGTCTATAAAACCTATCAAACGTTCCTATGCTTGCGCTCCGTCCTCTGTCCTCAGAACAAGGATCACTTCCAAACATCGCCATGTCTCTGGGGTGGCAAAAACAAGCGATTTGTTGATTCCGAAATCGTTTGCTTGGTTGTCGCCAGCGAGAAAATGGGAATCTGGGTGCAAAACACATTCATTTATTTCCACTGACCTTGAGGAGCCTTTCACAGGTCGAAGTCTGGGTTGGTCTCTACATCCATCTTCGAGTCCGTTCCCTCGGGCCCAGTTTCTATGGCGCCACCGTTACACCCATCCTCATTGCCCTCTCCAGCCTTGCCCCTAACCAGCTCCACACTTCCATCCAAAGTCCTGATCCTTCCGCTCTTTATCATCTCAGACTTTCCATCGAAATAAAACTCAAAGTCCTTCTCAGAGGCAAGGTCATATTTCACCGCCATCTCAATAAACTTCTCGACGTCATCCAGCAATGTATATTCACAGCTGCAGCACAGCTCGGCCCCATTCATCACCTTGCACACTCTTGAATAGAATATCTTGATGAAGCTGTTCAACATCGCCTGGTTCTTCAGAGTAAGGAGAAGCCCAAAGTTCCTGACAAAGAACTTGGACAATAGCGGAAGGCTCGACGACAGCAGATTCACAATCCAGAGAGCATAGTTCGTTATGTCCTTGCTATCCATCGAGTCCGCCTTCCTCACCATGTATATCAGTCTCCTGTCCATCTCCTCTGGGCTGAACAGCTTCTCTCCCAAGGGACATCCGGATCTGTGGATCGACCTTGCCTTCGCCTGATTCAGAACAGAGCCGGACGACACATAGAAGTGGAACAGGTTTGAGGGGCTCGACAGGCTTTCCCCATACTTCTCCTCGATTGTGTAACAGCTCAAGGTGTCCCTCGCAGAAAATTCAAGCTTCGACTGCTCAAGATGCTCTCCATCTTCTCCTTCGCGTGCATTGATTGCTCGGCAGACAATGCTTTCGTATTTGACCGTAACAACAAAGTCAAACATATCGACTCCGTTGTTCTGCAAGAGTAAGATACAGCGGAATCCATCTTCATTGTGGACAGGAACGCCCTTAAATACCTCGAGAACCTCGTCATCAACAAACCCCGGGCTCCCCTCGAGAGTCTGTCGAAAGAGGCCAAGAAGGCCCTCGCTCGTTGCAAACCTGGATATACGACAGAATCTCTCCTTGTCCCCAATCTCAACACATTTCTCCATCAGCGCGGCAATGCTTTCGCCATCCAACATGGACAGATCCTCCACCCTCGCAATGTTTTTCTTCAGAATATCGACAACCACTTTTCTTACAAAACCCACCGACCTCTGCCTTCTCCTTTGCAAACCTTCCTCCTCTTCACCGCAGGGTCTGCCGGACGTATCTCCCGACAGAAAAATCCGAAGCCCGTCGCACACAAGACCTACATCAAGGACCTCTGCACTGATGAGCTCCTTGTATGCATCCCTATACTGCTGCTGAACCCTATCCTTTCCTGCAGTGTTCTTCAGGAACGAAATCCTAAGGTCTGAAAGCACCCCGCTGTTCTTCTGCCCGTCGATCTTTGCAAGGACATCAAGTAGCTTTACATACAGATCAACCCTTCCATTCATCCCAAAGTAGTAGGTAAAGGACTCAATGAATCTCGGTATGTTTTCTCGGTGTGCCTCCAGATACTCTTCAAATGGGCGAACCACATCCAGCCTACTGCATATTTGGTGGAATGTCCTTGGCTCCAGGGAAAGAAACCTTCGGAAGTTCGATGAAAACAGCTTTCTGTGGACTCCCATCCTGCACTGCTTACAGATTTTCAGGCTCCCCGGCATCTCAGGATCAAACGCCTGCATTACTCCAGGCTCACTGCGGCCTGCCTCCATCTGCTTAAGATTCCTGCACATTCTCTTAAAGATTTTGTAGTGCTCCCTGCTGGGATGGTTCTTGGCGGGAAACTCCAAGGGCCTTTTCTTGACAGACTGGTACATCGACTCCAGGTATTCCTCGCTGAACGAAGGGGGAATCTCCTCTGCTGTGAAGTCCTTCATGTAATCCCTGAATGTAGGCTTTGCCTTCACATTTGGGTTGTGGAACTTTGTGTTGAGGACAAGAAACGAGAATGCAAGGTTAAACACAAACTCCTTCGTCCTCTTGTCCCTGGTAATGTCCATGAACGTGCATGCATCTACATTGTCAGAATAGTACTTGTCAGCATATGCCTCAACAACCCTGTGGATTATCTGGCCTTCTGCAGACAGATGGAAGGAAAGAAGATATGTCCTAAGCCCATCGAGGATGTCCATGTCGAGGAAGTCGAATGTTCCTGTGAATATCCTCAGATAGTCCTCGTTCTTAAGTTTGCACAGAAAGCCCCCCAGCTTCTTCAGGTCTGTCTCTTCAAAGTACCTTAGAAACTCAAAGGTCATCGACTTTCCATATCTTTCAATCATGTGCTCCAGAGACCCAGTTTCGTTGAACCTCCTTATGTCCTCTCTAACTCCAGCAATCCCCAGCTCCTGCTCTGCAGTGGATTGGTGCCCAATACCCCCCACGCACACGCTGCACTCGTCTGGGCAGACCTCGCTCTTCATGTCATTGTCCACGGCCTTCATTATCTCCTGCTCGCTCAGCCCACCGTACACCTCTGCAGACACGCTCCTGTAAATCCCAACACCGTCGAATGCATAGTAAAGATACGGGATCAGCGATTCATGCATTCCCGCTATATACCACATAGGGAGCTCACGGTAGTACATCTGGAATAAATACCTGCTTCTGGTCCTGTCAATCGCAAGCCCTCGGAGCGAGCCATACTCCAACGCAACCCCAACCATTTCCTCGTCATTGAAAAGTTCGCAGAAGTCCACGATCGAATCCTCTGTGCATCCAATTTCTTTGTACATCTTCTTGCTGGCAAAAAACCTCAGAAACCCCTCTCTTCTCATAAGAAACTCCCTGAATCTCTTGAGCACCTCACCCTGGACCCCCCGGCTCACAACGCTGTTCGAGAGTATAAACATGTATCTACTAAACACGCTCTTTGAAGACTCCTCGGAGATGTCCTCAGCCACAGTGTTTACGATCTCGAAGTACTTGAGAATCACATGGTCAGTGTCTTTTTCTGAAGGCGTGAACTTAAGGTTTGCTATCTTGCCTCCGATTTCGCCTAGGCCGACCCTGCAGACCGGTATGAATCTCTGGAATGCATCCAGGAAACATAGCATCTCTCTGTTGCTGTACTTGCTTAGGCTAAAGAGAAGCTCAAAGGTGTCCAAGACCGATGCAGGCGTTGGATGAGCAGGCAGTCCATCCAGAATCCTCCTTGTCTCTTTGTTGTGGGAGGCAAACAGCCTGTGCAGAAGAATCTGGATCTCCCTAAGCTTTTGTTTGTGCTCGTCCATGGGCTATGTAGAATTACTGCGTCTTGTAAATCTCTGTGGGGCCCGGCGCCCTGGAGGCAAAATGCACATTTCTGCCCCTCCATCAGTATCCGTCTAGATGGGCTCGGATCTGGTTGACTTCCATCTAAGCTGCAAGAAAGAGCTCAATGTGCTTGCAAGGTCGTTCAACATTCTGTTCTACGGATACGGGTCGAAGACGGCGTTGCTTAGGAAGATGTTTCCATCTGCAATCTACCTCAACTGCAAGATCATGAGCCGCCGCGAAATCCTTGCAGAAATCATGGAAGCCGTGAGGCACAGATCCAAGCTTGAGGCCCAGGAGGTTTCCAAAGCACCGACAATAAGGGAGATAGATGAGGCCATAGGATCCAGGAAGGAGAAGTACAAGCTTGTGATGGCAAACTTCGATTTCGGCATGCTGGAGTTTTCTAGTCTTCGGAACTTCGCCATTCTGGGCACCGTCGAGGGAATTGGAATAAGATTCAGCCTTGAGGATGTCGAAAGATTCAACTTCATCTTCAGAGACCTCACCACCTTCGAGCCGTATGAAGAGGAGGCCATGGGGATCCATCTCAGGACAACAAGGGCAGAGGCATCGTCCAGGGTTGTCAGAAATGTTCCGAGAAACTCCAGACTTGTGCTGAAGGAGATCCTGTCGTGCAATGCAGACGCAGTGGGCCTTGGAGAGATATTTGAAAAGGTAAAAAGGAAGCTATTCCTCACGTCAAAGACGTCGGTTCTTTCAATGATCAATGAGTTTATTGACCATGGACTTCTGAAGATCAGAAATGGCTCGGAAATAGTCGTTTGCATGTCTCTAGGAGAGAGGAATGAGGTGGCAGGGGAGCTGGACCAGATGGACTGAGAACATGACGTATAGACATTAAAGCCCATTGCTCTGCAGAATATCCTTCAGGAGCCCTACAACTCTCGGATTGTTGATCTCTCTGACATAGTAGTCTGCCTTTGGCTTTATGACTGTCTCCACAACATGCTTCGACAGAATGCTCAGGCAAAACAAGGCGCCATACTGCGTGGACTCGGTCTTCTCCCTGTCCAGCCAGGCCTTGCTGAGTGTGTTGATGATTCTCGGCGCAAGTGTCTTGTAGGAGCTCGAGAAGTTGCTGAAGACATACTTGACCACATCTGCAGCCACCTTTCTAACGTCATCGTCAACGTTCTTTCCAATCACGCATGTTATGAGCGAGGGAAGAATCTGGTGGAGATACGGGTCAACGAAGATGTACTTGTTCTTCAGCAGAGAGCTGTAAACCATCACAACAGTCATGAGCTTCTCCTTGTTCTTTATGTTCTTCACTATCTGCTCGTTGAAGTGGTGAACAAAGTACGGAACAAGCTGCTGGATCCCACTTTCGTTGTGCAGGCACTCCATGGCCGTCTGCTCGTCACTCTCCATGGCCTGGATGACCTTATCGAAGTACATGCCCAGCTCCTTTGTAAGCATATGCTTGTTCTGGGACTTCAGCTCAGCCTCTTCCTGGTAGGTTCCCAGCGTGTCTTTCTTCGCAACGGGCTTCTCAAGAAGTATTGGGTTGTAGGGGATCTGCGGCTGGACTCCTTCGATTGCTAGCCAATGCGATTGGATCGATACCCGGAGAGGAACCTTGGGGAGAGGCCTATCAAGATACTCTTCCAGGTCGATCTCTTCATCGGGAACATAGTATACATTCGAGGGAAGCCCACGAAACACCAGGCTCTCCTGTGGATCGTATCCAAAAAGCGGGTCCACATTTCTGCTGGTGAGGGCGTAGTTGATGTCGTCGATAGACAGCTTTGTCCTCTTCGACCCAACCATAAACTTGCTTCCCTCCTGGCACACCTCCTTGATCCTGTACTCCAGATCCTGAGACAAGACCCTCAGCGCATCGTCGTCTATGTTGGAAATCCCCTTCGACTGTGCAAAAGACTTGAGAGTCTCCTTTGAAAACAGCATCTCGTCGGGACTACAGCTTGTCGAAATTATCGCCTCTGCAGAAAAAGAAGTGGAGGATCCAGGAATCGAACCCGGGCCACTTGCATGCGAAGCAAACACTCTACCACTAAGATAATCCCCCTGCTGCCCTCCCAGACTCCAGATCCTAGGAAGCTCGGGTAACAGGAACAAAGCAAAACTTAAAAGGCTTTAATGTTTATAGTAAAACTTGGTCGTTCGAGTTATCATCCTCAATAGCCGAGGCTATGTTCTTCGTAAGAACAAAGTTCAGATCAATCATGTCCTTGATCTCCTCCTCAGACCTGCTGCGGAAAGCCCTTATGACCTTGTTGGCAAACTCGACTTCGTTACCGACTCCAAAGTCCTTCCACTGGCTCTTGAATGACGGTGCCGCCGCCAGCACAAGGCTGTGTAGCTTCTCCAGCTCGTTGCCATATGGCTTTGCAGCCCCGCCTCTGTTCCTCTCGCGCTTGAACCCTCTCGATGCAAAGCTGACCCCTTGGTTGTACATGTATGGAACCCCGGGCTTGTATCCAAGGCCTCCACCAAACTCCTTTTCCTTCATCCTTTCAAGCTTGTTCTTGAAGTATGCAACCTGCAGCCTGTTTCCGTCAAGATATATCTCGTTCCCCCTCTCCACAGCTATGCTTGCCTCCTCCGGCGTCGAGTAGCAGATGTACGCGTACTGCTTCTGGCTGTTGGCCCCATCAACCCCCACAGATATCGATGTAATATTCCCAAACTCCTTGAATATGCTGCCCAGCTCCTCACACCCAAAGCCCTCGGGAATGTTTGTTATGTAGAGGTTTTTCTTGTAGCTCTGCCCCTGCATGCTCATCTGCTCAAACATCTTCCTAAGCTCCTCCGCCCTCTCCTCCTTCCTCTGTCCCTTCTGAATATAGAATGCCTCGCCAGTCCCGTCCCTGCCAGCGCCAAAGGGGAATGTTCCATGGAGATTTTTGATGGCATTGAGTGCAGACTCGTGGTTCTCGAAGTTGGCAAATGCAAAGCCCTTTGGCTTCCCGTTGTCCTTCACAGGAAAAAACAGCGATGTCACCTTCCCATACCTCTCAAGAAGCTCCAAAAGCTCTGCCTCGCTGGCATCAAACGGAAAGTTCTTGATAAAGCAGTTGGTGAATGTTGCCGATGTCTTCTTGCTTTCCCCCTTCTTTATCTCCGGGTTATACAGCTCCACAACAATCCTGTTTCCGCCGAGCAGAAGCCCGTCGAGGCTGCTGAAGTTCTTGATAACCTTCTTTGCCGCCTTCTTCTCCTTGAACTGGACAAACCCATACCCCTTCGACTTCCCGTGCGATGTCGTTGCAACCTTACAGCTGACAATCTCCCCAAACATAGAAAATGCATCGTCCAGATCCTTGCCGGTAAAGTCTTCTGGAAGGTTCTTGACAAAGATGTTCCCCGTCTCAGGCGGCCTTTCATCCTTCTTCATCACCCTTATCTGCCTATTGTGTAGCTCATAATGCTTGTATTCTCGGATCGCCCTCTCCGCATCCTCCTCGTTCTCAAAGGTTACAAATGCAAAGGACGAAACTGGCTCTGCCCTCTTGATCAGCTTGACGCTCAAAACCTTTCCCACATTCGAAAAGACCCTGAAAAGATCAGAGTCAAGGGTCTTGGGCGACAGCTCCCCCACATATATTGTCAATGAATCACTGCTTGCTCTCTTACTTTCGTCTATCTCCATGGACTACTCCTCTTGAAGGGTAAAAAATTTACTTTTTTTTTGTAAGATACGTCTTCCCTGCCGACCCTCTGAGCCTTCCTGCCTCCGATGCCCGTTCCTTGCCTGCCTCCAATCTCCTTCTTTCTTTTCTGTACGCATGCCCATCCCCCAAATTCCAGAAGTATCTCCAGTCCAAAGCCCCTCCATGAACTATTCCGATGCAGCCAGATCTTGTTTGAGCAGGAAGGACTATCCCGGGTACTTGGAAAATGCCCGGAAGCAATATGAGACGACGAGGTCTGCAGAGGACAAGAGGGAGATGGAAAAGGCAAGGAAGGTCCTTTCACTGCACAGGGAGATTGGCGAGTTTCTCAAGAAGGACGCCTCTGACTACTACGGCATTCTTGGCGTGTCCAGAAATGCCTCGCAGACAGAGATAAAGAATGCATTCAATGCCTTGATCATGAAGTTCCATCCTGACAGAACAGGGATGCATGAGTCAAGCGCTGTCTCCGGGATGATCCAGAATGCGTATGCCACTCTGGGAAACCCGGAAAAGAGGAGGCGCTACGACATGTCCAGAGAGGACCCCGTGTTTGGCCGGGCAAGAGCCAGGGCTAGCCATATCGATGACATCGTGCCGAATGTCTTTTTCGGTGCATTCCATCCCCAAGGATATCAAGGCCCCTTTGTATACACCAACCATGATCTCTACGAGCATCTATATTCTCAGATGTACAGAAGATTTGCCCATAGCCACAGGAGGCCCGATGGGAGCGACGCCGATCGACAGAAGGTAACTGCGCTTCTGATAATCATCATATTGGTATTCCTGGCAATGTAAATCCACCACAGCCCTTTAGATAACTAAACCCCTTTATTCCACCAGTCTGCTTATCCGGTTAGCGTGGCTGCCTTTTTACATTCGGGGCATGTCCAAGACATCTTTGGAGGCCCGGAAATCCCGACGCATTCAAAGTGGAACCACTCTCTCTTGCAATCCAGAGAGTCACACGCTATCATACTCTTGAATGCAGGCCTATTGCATTTGCAGTACAGCCTCTCGCTACCTCCCATCTCCCCCACACTTACAATGCAATTCATGTCGGGCACCAGAGGGCCTTCAAGGTTGAAGGAAACCCCCGCCTTTGAGCAAAGCTCCTCACACCTCCTCTTGAGCCCATGAATGACTTCTCTGAATGCGCCTGCACTGCAGCTGCTGTTCCGCAGGAGCCTCTTCACAGCCTTGTGGCATTTATCAATTCTCTTGGCATACTTTTCCAGTGGTCTGCGCACAAACTTCTCCTTATACCTCCTACATCTTCTCCTCAGCTTTTCTACCCTCCTGTCCATCCGAGATGTCGACTTCGTGAAGTAAATGGCATCAAGACGCAGCTGCTGAACTTCTTCGAGCATCTTGTCAAAGACTTCGAAATACATCTGCATAGGGAATCCTGTTTATTTTCTATTTCTTGCCGGATCAGGGTGCCCCACAAACTCCACCGTGGGCTTCTTCTTCTCTCCAGCCTCTGGAAGCCTTATGTGGCACGCTATCTTCTCCGTCTCTTTCGCTTGCAACCCTATGTTGACTACTATAGAGGGCCCGACATCTCTGCAGAAGTGCTTCAGCTTGGAAGCAACAATATAGATGTCTGGCGCAGTGTCCATGGACATGCTCTCAGGCACCGAATACGAGACAACGTTCATGGACGGAAAGACTGGAAGAAAGGTTCTCTGGAAGATTAGGTGGTACGAGATTCTGCCCAGTCGGTCGCCTCCAAAGAGAAGCTTTCCGCAGGCATCGTCACTGCACTCCATCCCAGAGTCATGGAAGCATTCTTCAGAACTTATTTCGAGAGGCGTATCCAGCGAGGAGATAGCCACCAGAATCTCGTTCACAAAGAATTCGCAGGGATTGCCTGTGCATACAATCCTCTCATCATTGACTCCGATCGGGCCCTGCGGAAACACATTCAGGCATGTCATGTCATTGGTCGAAGGCACAAGAACGGCCTTGCTGCCAGCATTTCTATCCAGCCATCCCCTTATTCTTGGAATAAACACCTCTTTCATCATCGAGTCTGGAGACTGGGTTGCGCCATACTGCCTAGGACCTATAAACGGCCCAATCAATATCAGCACATCGGCATCCTCCGCAAGAACTCTGTCGAGGGCATCAAACTCCGGCCCAGGCCCATAGGGACCTGAGAATGCCACAATTGTTGGCTGCATGTACTTCTTTTCTTCGCCATCCTTGGCAACATTGATATCAACAACAGGTATACAGTGGAGAGCCTCGACAGTCATCTTGCCCCCATCTGTGTTCTTTCCCTTGACAGCAACAATCTGCCCCGGGAACACAGAGTACCTCTGTAGATGTGCCAGGTTCAACCTTACAGCAACGTCGTTACTTCCGTCAATGCTGGATGCAATAAATACGCTTTCGGAGTCCAGCTTGTGTCCAAAGGGATTCGTTATAATCCCATATGTGTAGAAGGAGGAGTCAGACACATTGTTCACGGGCTTGAAGTCCTCAATTCCGAGGAGCTCAAGAAAGTATGGCTTCATCGAGATCAGCCTGTGCCTTACATACTCGTACTTGTCTTTTTTCCTGAGGTAGAAGTTTGAGACTCTAGGCTTGGGGGCCATCCTTATATCAGACCTTACATAGGACCTTCTGCTCAGCGTCTTGAAAACCTGCCTGTCGAAGTCCATTTCAAGGGATCTGCATGTTCAGGCAGAATCCTCTGGTGCCTGGTCCTCTTGGAGCAAATTTTTCGCGAAAAGTATAAAAGCAAAAGCAGAGGAAGGGCTACCAAACTTTGGGCTCGATATCGTTAAATTGCTTAAAGTAGAATGACACAAGAAAGTACGATGAACGATATTTACCCACTAGCAGCACTGCTTATATATGCAACAAACCAAAAGGTAACCAAGGAAAAGATCAGCTCTGTGTTCAAGTTTCTTGGGTTAGAGAGCCATCCGAAGATCTGCGAGTTTTTTGAGGTGGATGCAGTCGAGATCAAGAAGCTGTTGATGAGCAGCACCCAGGAGGCTGCAGCACCGGCAGGACCCCAAGAGCCAGCCGAGGCATCTGGAGATGCAGGGAAGAAGGAGGAGGTTGAAGAGGAGGAGATTGAGATCGACTTTGGGATGTTCTGATTAAAGCAATTTCTTCTGACGGAATCGGATTTTTGTTGTTATAAACCTTCCTGTGAAGAAGGGGAGAGGCCCTGGCTACCTCCAAACCGATTTCCCGGTCATTTCACTTGGCCTTGGAATCCCCATTATTTCTAGAACCGTTGGCGCCACGTCTCTTAGCGAGTGGTCTGAATCTACATATCCCCAGGAGGAAGAGGCCTTGACTCCTCCTTCTTCGCAGATTATCAGCGGAACCTTGCTTGTCGTATGTGTTTTACAGCACCCCCCTCCTTTGTCCACCATCTTTTCTGCATTCCCATGGTCTGCAGTTATGACAAGAGTGTATCTGTTCCTGGTGCAGGCTCTGTAGATCTTTCCTATGCATTCGTCGGTGACCTCGACTGCTGCCTTTGTTGCCTCGAAATTTCCTGTGTGCCCAACCATGTCCGGAGGCGCAAGATTGACAACCACCAGAGGCACCCCCTTCTCAATCTCAGCAACCGCAGACATGGCCACTTCTCTCGACGCCATTGATGGGACAGCATCGAACGACTGGACACCCGGACTTGGCAGTATTATTGTTCGTTGGGTAGAAAACGCCTGCTCCCTGCCTCCGTTGAAGAAGTATGTTACATGTGCTTGCTTCTCATTCTCTGCTATGTGAGAGTGTCTTATTCCGCGGCTGGACAGAACCTCCGCTAGGGTGTTCTTCACACAAATCTTCTTGAAGAGGACCTTCGACCCAAGGTCTTTCTTGTATTCTGTCATCGTTATCATGCTGTTTCCGTTCTTGGCAAACTTAGATGCTATCTGCCTCATCCGGTCTGCCCTGAAGTTGAAGAAGATGATGGTGTCCTTTGGATCTATCCTTCCCCTTCCGTCAATAAGAAGAGGCCTAAGGGTCTCGTCGCTTAGGCCCTCCTCATACATTGCACAGATATGGCTCCTAATGTCTCCTCCTACCTCTCTTCCTCTCGTCATCATTCTGAAGCTAAGTTCTGTTCTTTCGTCATTGTTTGCTCTGTCCATGGAGTAGAATCTACCGGCTATCGAGGCAACTTTCCCAACCTCAGTCACCCTGAGAAAGTCTCTGACCTCCTTAAGGTACTTCAGGAACACTCGCGGCTCTGTATCTCTTCCATCACTCACACAGTGGACAAACACCTCTTCATTTCGACCCTCCAGAGCCTCTAGAATCGCCTTAAGATGCCTGATGTGTGAATGGACACCCCCGTCGCTGACCATCCCCACCACATGGATCTTTCCATCAATCCCCTGAAGTTCTTTGTCCAGCATCTTCTTCAGCCTGCCCTCCTCAACAGCCCTGTCTATCCTTACTATGTCCTGTTCAATGATCCTGCCGCTTCCTATAGTTAGATGGCCCACCTCGGAATTCCCCATAAGCCCATCAGGCAGTCCCACGTGTCTGCCGTGTGCAAACAGGAGAAAGCTACACCGGCTCCGGCTCAACTCTCTCATCCAGCGGCACCTGGACTCGTTTACGGCATTCCCCTTTGTGCTTGTCTCATCGTGTCCCCATCCGTCTATCACAACCAAGCATACACTGCCCATACCCTGCCTGTTTACAAACTTAAATAATAACATCATTTATTCGACACTCATCTAATCGCTTGCCTCATTCAGCTCCTCGTAGTACTTCTCATACTGCCTAAACAGATACAGAAGGCTCTTGTTCGACTCCTTCTCCACTACCTTCTGCACAGCGTTGACAAAGCATCTGTTCAACCCACTTATCCTGTCACTTCTTATCCTTGGCTTCAGGATATTCACAGAGCTCAGCACCCCCTTTAGCGGACCCGAGTCTGCAATCGTTCCCAGATCCCCAACCCTTGCTTTAGCTCTCTTCCTACTCGCTGATGGAGACGGCTCTATAGCTGTGTTGTGCCGGTCATTCTCCTCGTCGGGGTTTGAGTACGGAGATAGCTGGTCCTTTGCCTTTCTCTTCCTCCTCTCGTCCATTTGGGGTTGCCACCGGGCTTTTTTATAAATCCTGCTTCCAGGAACATCGAGGCCGAAGAATAGATTTATTGAGTAGCTTAGACGGCATCCAGCTGCACCACCTCGTCAGTCCTTTTCTTCCGAAGAACCCTGTTTCCACACTCCGTGCACCTGATGGGATCCTTGAGTTTTAGCTCCCTCAGGGACGGGCATTGTATGCATACATATGTAAAGACCTTCTGCTCTTGGTCCATCCCGTTTATGGGGCTTGGTGGAGGCCGTCTTTTTCGTTCTCTGCTGCTCAAAATTGCATATCCCTCGAGAACCAAGGATTCGGATGAAGCTATTCAACCCCTACGGGTGCCACAGAATGGAACTCATCCAGTATGTCCGATGGGATCCTGTTGAGCATCTCTCTGGGAAAGACCTTGAGCAGATCCCATGCAATGTCTAACGACTGGTCCACAGTTCTCAGCTCGTCGTGTCTCTGGCTTATAAACTCCCTTTCAAATCTCTCCAAGAACTCGATCGAGATCCTGTCTTCAGCAGAAAGCGAGTCCTCCCCGACAACAGCCTTCATCGCCTGAGCATCCTTGCCAATTGCATACTTTGCATAGAGCTGGTTCGAAACATCCCCATGGTCCTTCCTAGTCATCCCCTCTCCAATGGCACTCTTCATCAGCCTGGAGAGCGACGGAAGCACATTGATAGGAGGGTAGATCTGCCTGTTGTGCATCTGCCTGTCAACATATATCTGGCCCTCCGTGATGTATCCCGTGAGATCAGGGATGGGATGTGTTATGTCATCATTAGGCATCGTCAGAATTGGAATCTGGGTTATCGATCCATTTCTTCCTTCAAGCCGCCCTGCCCTCTCGTATATCGTGCTAAGGTCTGTGTACATGTATCCAGGGTATCCCCTTCTGCCAGGAACCTCCTCCCGCGCAGCACTGACTTCCCGCAATGCATCTGCATAGGAGCTCATGTCCGTCATGATCACTAGAACGTGCTTCTCCCTTTCGTATGCAAGGTATTCTGCTGCAGTCAGGGCCAGCCTCGGTGTGATTATCCTCTCAATGGTGGGGTCATTTGCCAGGTTAAGAAACAGTGCTGTTCTTCCAATCGATCCAGACGCCTCAAAGCTGTTCCTGAAGAAGTTTGCAGTCTCTACATTCACTCCCATTGCTGCAAACACTATTGCAAAGTTGTCGTCGCTGCTGTCGATGGAATCCTTCCTCTTGACAAGTCCTGCCTGTCTGCAGATCTGGGCTGCTATTTCGTTGTGCGGCAGCCCGGATGCACTGAATATGGGAATCTTCTGGCCCCTTGCAATCGAGTTCATCACATCGATCGATGATATCCCTGTCTGGATCATCTCCTCCGGATATATCCTGGCATATGGATTCAGGGGTTGGCCCTGGATGTCGAGATAGTCTTCTGGAATGATCTTCGGTCCTCCGTCAATGACCCTTCCGCTTCCATTGAAAATCCTTCCAAGAACATCCTCAGACATACCCATCTTCATGGTTTCTCCGGTAAAGGTCACCTGGGTCTCCTTCACATCTATTCCAGCCGTCCCTTCAAACACCTGGATCACCGCCTTCTTCCCGGACACCTCCAGAACCTGTCCCTGCCGAACACTTCCGTCAGGCAGCGTCAAGCTGACCATCTCTGCATACTTCAAGAACCTGATGTTGTCCATTATCACAAGAGGCCCGTTCACACCGACTATCTTTCTGTAGCTCATCTTTGGCTCTATCCTTACACTCTCGAGCATTCTTTGGTCAGGGATCTTTGTTTTTTTCGAGTAATCCAGGCTGCCCTTCCGAGCATCAAAAACAGCCCCATGCCAAGAAGAAAAGGACTGGCATGGTCTGCTGGCGACTCTACCCTGCAGGAGGTACTCATTGCTGCGTTTCCGCCCTCATGCGTTCCCCTCCGCTTTAATGGCAGGTGGAGCACCCCTACAGGCTCCCCAACTGCCCACAAGGAGATCATCCAGGCCCATGCTTACTGCCCACTAGATGGTCGACTCATCATCCAACCACCTATCAACCTGCAAGCAAATTTAAACCTCTATTCATAACAATTACACTTTTTCTACGTCCTATCCACAGGAAATCCCTAGAACCAGATAAGTTAAAGTTTTATTTTCTTCGCGGAGTCCGCACTCATCCTTTCCTGAAGACCCCTCTTTTGATCTCCACAGAAGAGTCCATGCTTGTGAAGTCATTCGCATCGTTCATCTGCCATTCCTCACCTTCCTTCCTTTCCGCAGGCTTGCCGGAAAACACTGTCTCCTCTCCGCTGCTTTCGCTCAACTCGAGAAGCCCTGCAAACCGGTTTCCCCTCATCGCCTCAAAAGCCTTTTTACGACCATCTGGGGTCCTACTCCTTTCTCTGACCTCGCTCTCCGCACACGAATCCATAGGAATAGTTGACTCCTCGATAGAGACATCCTTGCCCATGCATGACCCAGAAACCCCAGCCTCCAAGAGATGCCCTTCGTCCTCCTCCTTCTGGACTTCCTGGCACTCTCTCTCTCCAGACTCTACTATGGTATATTCCTTGAACGAACTCTCTATTTCATGTCCTCCAGCACAACTCTCATAGGGATTCCCGGAGGGCGCCGATACCAAGCTCAGAGCATCTTGGCAGTCTTGAGCATCCCCTTCGTTGATCGAAATATTCGCCAAGCTCTTCGACAACTCTCCTACCCCTAGTTCCGGGCAACCTCCTTCTCCCCCATCCTCAACGTCCAGCTCGTCTTCAATCTCCTCGCTAAGGCTCTCATGCCCAATGATGATCCTATCCTTCAACTCGGAGTTGGGCTCCTTGGACTCATATCTTCCTATGCACTCAATAGCCTCAAGCTTACTGCCATCCAAGGTCTCATCCACTTCGGCATCCTTAACATCAAACTCACTCCCAAGAACCGCTTCTTTCTTAGCCCCAAGATTTCCATGCTCTTCCCTGTACTTGTTGAGATACCTGTCCAACCTTACAGGTGTCAGATCCTCATGGCTTATCACGCTCTTTACGGCTTCATCTTTGCGTTCAGGATGCACCGTTCCACCCTTATCCCTCTTTACTCCAGAAAGAATCTCCCTGATTCTACTTCCTATCCCCAGGTCCCTGCCATTCCTTCTAGGACTCATCTCCGGCCTGATATCCGATGCTATGTCCTTGACCTGCCTCGAGAGTTCTTTGATCTTGTCATGATCAATGCCTCCCGTCTTGCTTTGCTTCCGGAGAGGAGAGAACCTCGGAGCAAGCTCCTTCTTCTCAACACCTCCCCTCTCAATTCCACTCATCACTTCACTTCCTAGCCGGACAGGCCTCCGGACCATCCTGACAGGCTCCCTCTTCATCTCGTTCCTCAGATTCTCCCCATCAGCTTTGCCAATACTGCTCTGCTCACCTTTCTCCTCGCAAGTTCCATATCTCTCTACCATTCTCTTACACATATCCCGGACCTCAGAAATCGCATCTCTTCTTCCCTTCGCCACAAGGCCCTCAAACCCTTCCATCTTCCCGGTTCTCCTGGCCCACTCCTCAATCCCTTTGAAAATCGCAACACGCACATTCTTATTGGCACTCCCAGAGCACTCGTTGAAAAACCTTGTGTACGCCCCAACATTCACATTCCTGCACAGCTCGACAAGCACCTCCTCACCCCGCGAATAAAATACCCTGCTGCTCTTTCCACAAACCTTGACCAAAGGCCCCAGGTACTGCCCTGCCATCTCAAACTCGCTCCCCAAAATGCAAATGCAGCTTTTGAGAAGCCCAAGCGCAGTCCCAGCAAGCTTCGATCGATCACTTTGCATCGATCTCACAATCAGCTCCTCCGCTCCACGTAACACCCTCTTTGCATCCTCAGTCCCCCCAACAGCTGCGGTAAGCCTTAAAAGCACGTCGTTGATTTTAGACCATGTGTTCTCGTCCTCCTTCTTCTGCTGTAGCGCTACAGCCTCTCTCACAATCTCGCCCAAACTCATCCCTTGGGGTTAGCCCCTCTAGACAATACTCCGCAAAAATTGCCACGCCGTTTAATATAAACAAATCCAGGCACACTCACGCCCTCTTTTCCCACCTGTCTCCAATCCCCAGATCCGAAAAGCCCTCCTGCTCGCCAATCAGTCTCTTGACATGCGGGTTGTTCAGCCCAAAAAACTCGACTATATTTGCAAACTCAATCCCTTTCGGAAACAGGCTTCTAAATACATTGAACACCTCTCCCGCCTTCCCTCTTATGCACAGATCTCCCTCGGCTATCTCGAACAGAGGCTTGCTGCAGACATTCCTTATCGTGCACGTATAGAGCACTGCATCTCTTGTCGTCGAAAAGTGGGCTCCACCCCTATAGTACGCTCTTTTGCACATGTAGTCAATGGGATAGACGTTCTTCTGGCTGTAGAAAGGCTTCATGTTTGGCGCTGGAATTCTCCCAAGGCTGTAGATCACCAGATGGTGCCTCTCCCCGGGAACATGCACCAAGCCCTTGGTGTGGCTAAGGTCTATGGTGTAGACTGACCTGTATCTGTTGACGTCTATCTCCATCCTGCCGTCACAAATCCTCAGCACGTCCACAAGTGCTCTTCGATGCGCCTCCAGCTTTTGGAGATTCTGTTCAACTTTCTCCACCTCTCCTCTAAGGAAGTCTCTACCTCTCAAAGCTTCCACCAATCTCCTCTGCTGCCCCGGCCATTCCTTCCCGCTCTCTTCGCCATTCATCCCTTGGGCATTGTGCTAACCATTTTGTCCTTTGCGCAAAAGCCATCCGGGAAACCAACGGGTCTCAATCACATGTAACATATACATTTATTATAGCTTAGGCTTGGTTCTTTTGGGCTGGAAGATCCCTCCGTGCCTAAGAATCTTCACACTCTGTATGACCACAGGTCCAAACACAGGAAAAAAAATCGAAATGTTGTACACGGTCGAAAGCCTTAGGAAGACTGCCCTGCTACATATCTTAAGGCTGTCATAGGCTTTTCTAACCTCCTCCAGAGACCCATCGAGCGGTATGTCTCTACCGGCATAATGCCCCGCATTGTTTATCAGCGTCTTCAGCATCCTGAGCTTCTCTAGGCTCTCGCCTCCTCCAAGAAGCATCAGGTTGAAGCTTCTTTTCATCTTTCTTATCTTCTGCTCGAGCATCCACTCCCTCATAACCGCAGGAAGAAAGTGGAAAAGCAGGATAAGCACCATGGCATTCACAAGCAGAAGTGTCTTGGTTTTCGGCCCCATCTCTTCCATGGGCAAGAGCCTGCAAACATATGATCACTTTCTCCCAACCATCTTTCTACGGAGGTTGAATCTGTACTTCTCCAGTATGAATATCTCGCTCATCCTCCGGGACGGACTCTTGTCAAGCAGCTCCTCCACCATCTTCTCTAGTAAGTGTATTCTATCGTTCCCTATTGCATTCAGCTCCTCCAGAAGCTCAACTTTGCATTGAAGACTCTCGATGATAACCGATCCAAGCGCCTTGAGCACCTGGCTCATCGAGTCTTTCTCGCTGCACAGCGCCCCACACCCAGGAGGCTCCTCCTTACTCTTCACATCCTCAAGCCCGTAAGACCCAAAACACTTTTCGAGAGTCATGGATTCCATCTTGTCCAAAACACCTCCTGTCTCTTTAGGGCGTTCAGGATGAAACCCTTTGCAGCATCTGTGTTTCAATCCGTGTCCGGAGCTCCTCTCAATGAAGACGTCTCCATGCCCCATGTTTTCGCTGCCGGGTATCAGGGTCTCCTCAATCTTCAGCTCAAGGCTGCACAGCCTTGCCGCAAACTTCAGCGTGCTCACAGACTCTTCGATGCAGTCCTCGTGCGGTGACAGCGTGCAGATTGCAACAAGGTTCGTGCTCCCGTCCAACGATGGCTGGAGCACCCGGGTCAGCTTGGAGTTCCGAAACCCCAAGTACTTTCCATTCCCTATGCTGTTGATCACCGTGCAAAGAGCAAGAAGGCTTTTGTTGATAAACGAGCCCTCTCTCCTCCTGTCTGTTGACCTGCTTGCTCTTTCGCTTCCAGCAAGGTCTATCATGTTCAGCGTCCTGACCGTGCTGTTACTACTATACGTTACCTGTATCACTGTGTGCGATCTGCTGCTTTTTGTGTTAAACTCCGTGGTTCCAAGCCTTCTGTTTTTCTCGCACCTCTCGATAAAAGGCGCCGCATCCTCCCAGTTGCTTACATGCTCAACCCATAGGTTCGAAATCACATTTCTGTTCCCAACACTGAACATCTGCACCTCATTGCAACTTGAAAGATCAAAAAGCTTTTCGTTGTAGATTTCCAGGTACGATATCCCCACGGGCCTCCTGCTCAGGATGTCCCGGATGGCCAGCTTCATGATCCCCTCCTCGTCCCCTCCCAACATTGTGTATGTCTTTCCAGACCCCGTCTGCCCATATGCAAACACCGTGCAGTTCTCTTCTCCCAGGAACTTCTGGATCTCTTCTTTTACACACAGCTTGTAGACCTCTGCGTTCGTCATCCCAGACAGGACGCTTCTGAATCCGCTGTACACCACTCTCTTCTGTCCATGGACATGCCACAGGCCATCGTCAGACGTCCGCCATATATCTCCCTCTCCTTCCGAAGGCCTCAGCCTTATGCTAACCTTGATCTTCTTGTGCGTAGAGTGCATTCCCGCATGCCCCTCTCCTCCTTTTGAACTCCGCTCAAACAGCGGTTTCATGTTCCTGCATCAGCCCTGGCCCACAGGATAGACCTTGCAGTCCGTACATGCTGTGGAGCACACATCCTGTATTTGTCGAGAGAAAATTTTTATCCCTGAAATGGTAAGTGGTTGCTTGAGCTAATTTGAAGACTGATCGTGTTAAGAAGACTAGAAAGTTGCGTGGTCATGTGTCGCACGGATATGGGCGTGTGGGGAAGCATAGAAAGCATTCTGGAGGCCGAGGGCTGGCAGGAGGATTCAGCCATATGAAGACCTTTTTCACAAGATTCCACCCTGACTACCATGGAAAGAGGGGGATGCGGGTCTACCACAGGAAGGAGAACTCGGACTATGCACGGCCGATCAGCTCTGCAAGGCTGTGGGGGATGATTCCAAAAGAGCAGAGGTACGACTTCCTGGACAACCCTGAGAAGGTGCCTGTGATTGATGTCCGGGAGTTTGGGTATCATGTTGTGGTTGGAGGAAAGCTGTCTCTGGAGAGGCCGATTGTCGTCAAGGCCAGGTACTTCACACCGTCAGCAAAGGAAGAGATCACAAAGGTTGGAGGGAAGTGGATAATTACTTATTAAACCGTCTTCTTCTGTCTATCTTTGCCGGGATATCTGTCGCCTATGGGCTTCATCCTCTTAAATATCGATATAAGCTGTTGCGCTGATGTCCAAAACAAATGAAAAATGATGAGTTTGATCAATCCTATAAATTCCTGTTTGAGATGGAGGAGATCGAAAGAGATAGAGAAATTGTCAGGAGAATGAAGAAGTTTGACAAAGAGGCGGTGGAGGCGGCATGCAACGAAAGCCTGAAGAGCAAAAGGATCAGCTACATCCCGAATCTTGTTTCGATGGGTACTATTGAGCCTGCGAAAAAGGATGGGAAGTCTGGGGTATTGAGCCTGAAGATAAGAAACATGAGCACCAGAAACATCCTATTTGCAGTTTCCGAGTCGTTCAGAAACATCAACAAGAAGATAATCAAGAAGCTTGGAAGAATCAAGGAGGAGCTTTCGAGAAGAGAAGATCTCTTTGAATGCATAGTGGACCATGTGGAAAGTATGGACAGAATAGAGGACGAGCTCTTTTCGTGGTATCCCGGGCTGAAGACATCCGACATACTGAGTTTTTTTCTTGAGCTGATGCCCGACTTTCTGGAGGCATACAAGAAGTATTTTGTAAGATCTCTGGTTCTCCAGCAGCCTCCGAAGAAGAAGATCCTGAAGGCCCTCAGGGACAGGCTCCACAAGAATCTTCAATGCTTCGACATCATTGAGAGGGATCTTGAGCTTTTCGAGGAGTTCTCCTCGGCCATTCTTCCGGGCGGCCGGATCATCACGTCCTCCTATTGGTGCGAGGATGAGGACAGGTGCGAGGATGCATTGAAGTTTTTCCCCCAGCTCGAGGACAGGATGGCCCTAACCCCCGACGTGTGCATAGAGCTATTCCACCCGCTTTCGCATGCGGAGATCCAGATAAACGGAAGAGACATAGCGGTTTCGTTTGTTCAGCTCAACGACCTTCTAACAAGGAACAGCAGGTCCATTGGGTTCTGGATGAAGGAGGGGATTGTCGACAAGGACTGGAGGTACCTGTGACTGCAAATGGTATGTAATAAACGCGATGTCCTGGGACGATGGGTGTTTTGGTAACAATTTGAGGATGTCTGCCCATCCCCTGATGTCCAGATTCTTTGAGTCGATTGATGAGGAGAGGGAAGAGAGCCGCAAGGCTAAGGTGAGTGAAAAGACATATGGAGTTCCTGAGAAGCAGAGCAAGAAGGAGAAGAGGATCCACGATCTCCAGTGCAGGGTTCTGGAGCTTGAAGAAGAGGAAAACCAGAAGGCGTTTGACAAGCAGCTGAAGAAGATGCTTGCAGATGTGAAGAAGGCAGAGAGCCACTTTGGCAAAGACCTCCCTCTGTTTCTGAGGAAGTTTTTGCTGTCACCAAAGGCATATGGTAAGACGCACAGGAAGGCCATTGATGAGTTGCTGTCGAGATATGAGTCGAAAGAGAGCGAGCATATCAGCAAGGAGGATGGGAAGAACGAAGAAAAGATATGCAGGGACTTGAGCAAGATACTGGTGATCAAGGATGTTGAGGAAAGGAAAAGGGAGCTGAGGGAGTTCAAAGATAGCACGGTAGACCAGGAGGCCAAGGGCAAGGCGCTGACGACTCTTCTATCGATCTACGTGAAATCCAAGGATGGGATTCTGGTCATGCAGACCATAAATGAGCTGCTTGACTGCTTTGGAGACGAAGAGGCAAATGCAGCGAAAAATGTCCTCCTGGTGGAGAATATCGACTTCTACCTTGGGGTTCTGTACGAGGTCCTTAGTTCTTCTGAAGCCGAAGCTTACAGAAACCTGCTCGGGAGGCTCTCCGGCCTTGACAAGGAAGCTGTTGAGAGAAGAGCCTTACAGTTTGAGTTCTTCAAGCTGGGAAGGGCAGTGGAGACAGAGCATCCGCTGTTCAGGCTTCTCTACATCGACAGAACCCTGGGGTACAAAGAGTCTGGGGAGTACTACAAAGCCATCCGAGACGACATTGGAGAAGGAAAGATTGAGCAGGAGGTGTTGGGGGAGTTTGGGATGTCTTCATTTAGAGATGGGGACTTCGAGACCTCGTTTGAAGTTCTTTCCAAGTGTTTGGAAGTAAAGCCTTCCAACCACGCCGTTGTGATGAAGCTTCTTTGCGTGGTGCTCAACGACAGGATCAGAGGAACCTCAACGCACAGGGAGTTTCTCGAGGACTTCAAGAGCTTTGGAAGAAACAGGCTCTGCCTTCCTTCTGGAGACGGCACGTTTGAGGTGTACAGAGCCTTCTACCTCCTGAATATGCTCGACCAGAGGGGCGCGGGGGAGATCGTGAGGAGATTCTGTGAAAACTTTGAGGAGTCCACTTGGTTCAAGGACTTTGTAGAATCGAGGATTAAAGGCTAAATTTATTCGACTGTCTCTGGACTCCTTCCAATGAAGATCCTGGTTGCAGGGACGCCTGGGGTCGGGAAGACGACATTTTCATCGCGCATATCAGAGATGTTTGGGATTCCTCACATAGAGATGAGCAGATACATAGAGGAGAACAACCTGTATGAGGAGTACAGCGAAACATACAAGTCCCTCCTCTTCGACGACAGGGTCGTGAGGAAGTCTCTGGAAATGTATGTCATTGGGAAGGATTCATACATCGTTGACACCCACAGCTGTGGAATGGTGAAAGGAATGTCCTTTGACCTGATCTTTCTGCTGACTGCCCCGGTTGAAGTCCTCTACAAGAGACTCAAGAAAAGAGGGTATGACGAGGATAAGATCAAGGAGAACATTGAGTGCGAGATATTTGGGGTTGTGGAGGAGGAGGTCGAGGAATTCTTTGGAGCAGGATATTATCCCGTCGGGGAGGAGGAAGGAAAGCTCACCCCTGAAGAGGCCATCGATGTTATTGGCAAGAAGATGAATGGGACATCTGCAACAGCTGCTCCATAGGTTTATTTCATTAAATGATGCGAACAAATCCGCTATCGATCAGATGGACAATGGCGTTCTTCTTCATGAAGTATATTCTATCCTTCTTCAGCTCTATGAGATCTCCCTCGTCCATCACCACTCCGCAGTCTCTCAGCGTGATTACCTGGACAAAGAACTGGACAGGAGGGGCTTGCACCGTGAAGTCGATGTGCTTGAAAGGCTCGAGGTACTCTCTGAGCATGTTGCTGTATTTCTCTGCATGCTCCTCTTCTTCATGAGAAAGCATCCCAACCGTTTTTTTCTTTGAGAAGAAGCTGTCGAAGAGAGCTGCAGACCGGTGGAACTTGTAGCTTCTAAGTATCCTTTCGTTGCGCTCCTTGAAGTACTTCATCATCACGTAGTTCACAGAGAGCTCTTCAGATATCCCAGACCCTGCAAGCTGCTTGATCTCCTCCATTCTTGCGTCCAGATGTTCATTCTCGCCCTCGATGGCTTTGATCTCAAGGCGCCTGTAAGGTCTAAGGACATCTGACCTGAGATCCTCGAGAAGACATAGCCCAGCCTCTCCAAAAAGCATAGGGATTGCCCAGCTAGAGATTTTCTGCTCCCTGTGTGGAAGCTTCCATCCAATATGCAGGAAAAACAGAACAATTTAATATAACAGGGCCGTCTGTTCTATTAGGAAACAACCACTGCTACTCCTCAGACTTGTGCTTGGAAGCATGAAGGCGAACCCACTCCTTGGCCTTTCTGTTATACTCTGCCCTGTTGTTGCGGTACAGGTCTGCAGCCTCCTTGTTCAGGGGGTCGTCGGGATTCGGATCTTGGAGCAGAGAAATTATGGACAAGAGGATCTTATCTATAGTCAGGGCAGGACTCCACTGGTCCTTCAGGATGTCCAGGCAGATGTTCTTTTCAAATATGTTGCAGTGGAATATTCGCGTCTTGAAAGTCACCTTTGGGGGGCTGAACGGGTAGAACGGGGGAAAGACAATCAAGAGCTCGAATATCCCATCCTCGTAAACCGAGCCCGGCGGCCCCGTAATCACCGCAATCCACTTGTCCAGCTCGTTGGGGCTTATCGGGCTTGCACTGCATCCAGGAGGCGGATCTCTTGACATAGACTCCATCTCAATCGCTAATCTACTGTTCTTTCCATTGGTTGTTGCCATTCTCGAAATCGAGGGTTAAAACTTTTCAGAAACAAAACATACCTTCAGGCAGAGGGAGCCAATCCGCTCTTCCTTCCCTACTCTTCAGAAGGAGTGTCCTTTGGGTCCACATCGTCTGACGGTAACTCAATCCCAACTTCCGTTTTTAATGCCAGCTTGACATCACACACCTCCACGGTATCCTTTTGTCTGTGGTAGGCTAGTGCACACGACATGTGAATGATGTGGTCAACAAAGCCGTCACAAAGCTCGTAGATAAACGTCTTTGCCTCCTTATCGATGTTCCCGTCTCCGACCAGATCTTCTATGGTTTTTGTATCAGGATCCACTTCATAGCCAACGCAAGAGAACTCATTGCTGGGCTCGTCTCTGCCGTTGCTGCGAGAACCCGCAGGAGATGTCTTCTCATTCTCCTCTTTTTCCTTTTCGCTTACGCCACCATGCTGCTCCTCCTCTAGGTTCGGCGTTATGTCCAGTCGCCAGAGGTCGTCTCGGCAGGAAAGATGGCCCTTATCTCTTCCCTCGGAAGCAGATCCCCCGTCAGGCGCCGAGCACAGAGTGTTCTCCATGTCTCTATCGACCAGTGCCCAGCTCATCTTTCCGCCCTTATGCACGAGGCCTTGCGGATACCCCGTGGAGCACCACCTCTTCCCAGGATTCTCGGGGTATATCGAGCATGTTCCTGGAAACCGGCCTCGTCCCTGTGCATTTAAAGCCATGCCGTTCCTATAGTCTAGGTGGCTTGGCTCACCCCTGTAGCTTTCCGGGCTTGGACAGCGAAAGATAGGCCTAAGAACCTCCTCTCGCCTTCCAGGCAACACATGCAGTCCATTGCTCCCAGCCCATTCTGCAGGTGGAGGCATTCCACTTGCTTCATACCTCTCCATTCCGTGCAGGAAACCTATATTCGGGGACAGAACCCTTTTTCCGCCCGTCCTAAACTGCACTTCATCCCCAGGTACTCCATACCTGTCGACCAGTCTTCTCTTAGAACGCCCATCGTGAATACCATACACTCCACCTGCCATAATGCCCAGCCCCATCATCTCTTGCCCTCTGGCTCTCAATCCCTGATTCATATGGATCCCATACATGCCGCATCCTTCCCCAAAGTCCTTGCTTTTCACTTCCATGCCATATGGCCAGGCTCCGAAAAAACCGTTGGCATTCCTGCTCTGGCCGCGAAAGTTCACAGGCCTCCAGTCCCATCCAACGCTCCTCTGCATTCCCATGCTAGGATACCCCATAGAGCTAGGCCCCATCCACATAAACCTACCATGCTCCGTAATACCCCATCTGCCACCGGATACCCGGCCCTGCATGTGCAGCATCCCAGGAAACTCCCTGTAATTTACCCCATAGACTGCCCCGCATCCTACATCACTCATTCCACCCCAGTGGCAAGGCCTTTCCCTGGGTCCCAGTATCTCCGCCCTCCCCTCAGCACCAAGCCCACCCCCTTCAGAAAACATCGCCGATTCCCTCGTCTTGGCCTTGACAAAGTCATCCACAGAAAATATACCAACGCTATTCTTCCTTGGCCTGATAAACCTCGAATGCATCTCGAAAAAATGCATCAACTTCATCCTGTTCTCCTCATATGCACCCAGCATCTCCCTGCTCACGTTCTTGTTGTCAACAATTCTCCTCTTACTCTTCTTGTGCTGCTTCACCAAGTCGTCAAAGATCCCCTTCAACCGCTTTCCTTCCTCAAAGAAGTTCATCTATGGGTTTTAAAGCCCTGTAATACATCTGCTGGAGGCACAGGCGCCTAGCCATGGGACATAGACCAAATAAAACTAATCCCTTTTAATCATGACGAGCACATCGAGCAGGGATCATCCGTGTCGTTCATCGAAGACAGCGTCTTCTCAGCAAGTTTCTTGTCCACCGTAAACTTGATTGCTGATGTTATCGGCCTTGTTCTCAGGTAGTACATCCCAGTCTTCAATCCACAGTGATATCCATAGAAGTGCATCGACGTAAGCTGGGAGTACGTCGGCTTTGCTATGAAGATGTTCAGAGACTGCGATTGATCAACAAACACTTGTCTATCTGCCGCCAGATCTATCACAGACTTCATCTTTATCTCCCACGCCGTCTTGTATATCTCTCTGATCTCATGCGGAATCGACGTGATGTTCTGGATAGACCCCTCGTTCTCGATAACAAGGTTCTTCATCTCGTACGACCAGAGCCCTAGCCTTACAAGGTCGTTGACAAGATGCTGATTGACAATCTGGAACTCGCCTGCATGTGTTCTTCTAGTATATATGTTCGAGGCGTGCGGCTCAAATGCCTCGTTGTTCCCAAATATCTGCGATGTTCCTGCAGTTGGCATCAGAGCAATCAGAAGGCTGTTTCTGACCCCATGCCTCCTGATTCTCTCACGGAGTCCCTCCCAATCCCAGTTGCCCGAGGCCTTCCTGCCAGCCAATTCAAAGTGAAAGATCCCCTTGCTTATCGGAGACCCCTCGTAAGACGGAAATGGCCCTTCTTTCTCAGCCAGCTCGCAGGATGCTTCCATTGCAGAGTAATACATCGCCTCAAAGATGTCCTGGTTCAAGCTCCGGGCTCCGTCGCTCTCAAATGCAAGCCTCAGGATTGCAAATAGATCTGCCAGTCCCTGTACTCCTATTCCAATAGGCCTGTTCCTCATGTTGGACCTCCTGGCCTCCTCCACGGGATAGTAGTTGAAGTCTATCACTCTGTTGAGGTTCACAGTCAGTATCTTCACCACCCTCCTAAAAGCCTCGAAGTCAAACCATCCATCCTTGACAAACATCGGGAGGCAGATGGATGCAAGGTTGCACACAGAGGTCTCTTCTCCTGAAGAATACTCAACTATCTCTGCACAGAGATTGGACGACTTAATGGTCCCCAGATGCTGCTGGTTGCTGAGCCTGTTGCATGCATCCTTATAGCACATGTAAGGCGTCCCAGTCTCAATCTGCGCCTCTATTATGGCCTTCCACAGCTTCTGTGCAGGAACCACAGTCCTACTGATAGTCTTTTCGTACTTGCAGTACAGCGCATTGAACTCCTCCCCCCAGACATCGGACAACCCAACAGCCTGGCTTGGGCAGAACAGCGACCATTCCTCGTTGTTTTTGACCCTCTCCATAAACAGGTCGTTGATCCACAAGGCAGTGAAGATGTCTCTTGCACGGAACTCCTCGGGCCCTGTGTTCTTTCTAAGCTCCAGAAAGTCGAATATCTCCATGTGCCACGGCTCGAGGAAAATGGCTATCGACCCAGGCCTTCTCTCCGCCCCCTGGTTGATATATCTCTTCGTTGCATTCAGAACCTGGATCAGCGGAATAATCCCATTGCTACGCCCGCCGGTGCTCCGAAGAGACGACCCTTTGGATCTAATCCCGTGGAGGTTGAGCCCTATCCCTCCAGAGTACTTCGTTATGATTGCTGCCTGGTTTATCATGTGGTATACCCCCTCAATCGAATCCTCTCTTGGTGTTATGAGAAAGCAGCTTGCCAGCTGTGGGTTCTTGAGGCACGAATTGTACAAAGTTGGTGTTGCGTGGGTAAAGTAGTGTCCGGATAACAGGTTGTACACCTCCCTGACTTTCTCGAAGTCGGTCTTATGGATCTGAAGAGCAACCCGCATGAACATATCTTGGGGCCTTTCAATAATCTCCTCACCCACTTTTATGAGATAGGATTTCATTAACGTAAGTATTCCAAAATAACTGAACAGAAAGTCATTCTCATAGTTTATCATGCCCTCTATTGTCTCTCCATGCTCTAGTATTATCCCGTACATCTCTTCCGAAACCATCCCCCGATGCTTTTGTATGTACTTGATCTTCTCAACAAAAGAGTCCATGGTGATCTCGTGGATGTATGAGACAATAATCCTGGAAGAAATCTGTCCGTACTCAGGATGCTTGGTGATCATCGATGCAGCCGTTTCGCTGCAGTAGTCTATAGTCTCCTTCCTGGTCATGTCTTCGCACCACCCAGAAACTATTCTTTCCACCAGCTCGTCGACATCCACGTGCCTCAGCTTGAGGTCTTTTACATATCCCTCGATCCGGCTTCTGATAAGATCTATTCCGAGCTTTTCAGACTTGATCCTTTTGCTGTTCGAAAAATTCTCCATTTCAGGGTTTTGAAAACAGGTTAAAATATCCACGGGCGGGAGAAAGGCTGTTAAACATCGTCATTTAATCCCAAGCAGAGAGTCAATCTCCTGAGAAAAGTACCGCTCAATCAGGGGCCTCCTCTTCTTCGCAGTCGGCGTGAGGAGGTCCGCCCCCTCAAAACTCTCAAACCCCCGCCGCAGCACAACAACACGCCACGGAATCTCAAGCCTCGTTATCCTCCTCTGCTTGAACAGCTTCTCCCCAGTCTCACGCACATGCGCAAGAATCTCCGCATCGCTCTTCTTCGTCTCGGGGCACACAACAATCGCAACTATCCGGTCGCTGTCAGACCGCCGCGGAATGCACACGTCCTGGACAACATCCCCGTCCGCATACAGCACCTCAAGCTTCTCAGGGTCAATGTACTCCCCCTGCGACGTCTTGAACCCGTCCTTCACACGCCCAATCACAGAAAACACCCCCGCTGAAGAGTCAAACATCCCAATGTCCCCAGTCCGGAGCCATCCGTCCTTCGTAAACAGCTGCCCAGTCTCCTTGGGCCTCTTGTAGTACCCCTGCGTCACATTGTCCCCCCGCAGCAGAATCTCCCCAACCCTGCACCCGGGGTACCGCCGCATGTACTCAGACCCAAGCTCCTCGGGAATCTCCCCGAGATTCACCTCATTCGCAGGAAACGGAATCCCCACATTGTCGTACACGCGCGAGTCCAGCGGCTGCACAATCCCCGCACCCACATTCTCCGTCTGCCCGTATCCCTGGAAAATCCTGCACGACAGCACAGCCTGCATGTACACCAGAACCTCCCTCCGGAGAGGCGCAGACCCACACAGAATCCGGTTGATCCGCCCCCCAAACTCCTTGGCAATCCGGTCAAAAACAAGCCAGTCCACAAACCTGCTCCGGAGCTCTCCCTTGCTTACCCTCCACATCTTGTACCAGAGCGCCCCCCGGAATGCACACCGCGCCGCAAAGTTCTTCTGCTGCACCTTCTCCTCAATCTTCTCCTTGAACAGGTTCAGCACCCGCGGCACAGCAATAATAAACGTCGGCCTCACAACAAGGTAGTCCTCCTTGATCTCCTTCAGATTCCCCCTGAAAAACACTATCCTGCACCCAGACGCCATCGAGATGTTCATGCACACCCTCTCCATCACATGCGCAAGCGGGAGGTACGAGAGATACACGTCGTCCCTCCCAATCTCCACCATCTCCCCGGCCCGCGACCCCCGCGAGATCCCTGCAACACACGACACAAAGTTCCTGTGCGTCAGCATCACGCCCTTCGGACTCCCAGACGTCCCGCTTGTGTAGCATATCGTTGCAAGGTCGTCCCCCTTCGGGTACCGCTTCCTGCCAGCCTTGTCCCCCGAGGAGACAACGTCCCCGAAGTAGTACACCAGAACACCTGCATTCCGGAGCCTCTCGGCAACCCCCGCGTCCCTGTCCATCAGCACAATGCACGAAAGCCCCGCCTTGCTGTCCTCGAGCACAGTCTCCAGGAGCAGCTGTGCCTTGTCTGCAGATGCAACACACACCTTCATCTCGGTCTCCGCGAGAATCTGCCGCACATCCGCCGGCGAGAACGTCGAGTACAGCGGAACGTTGATGCACCCAGACATGTACGACGCCATCTCAGACACCACCCACTCGTACCTGTTGACGGAGTATATTCCGACCTTGTCCTCCTGTGCCAAGAGCCGCGCGAAGAGGGCTGCAAGGCCCTCGGCCTCTCTCCAGATGTCCTCTGCAGACCTGTACTTGACCTCGCTGCCGACTATTGTGCCGAGGAAGGGGTCGCTGCCCATCGAGGCGCAGCGTGCCCCGAGGAGCTCCAGAATTGTCTTTGACCCGTCCGGGGCACACACAATGCCCTTCTGGTAGTTCACGTGCTGCACAGACCCATCGTCCGTCACTCTTATTCTGCTCGTCATATCCTCGTGACAATTTAGTACCTTGTTGCCTTCAGCTTTCCCATGATTCGCTACAGCAGACTTCTCAGAAGCTTTCGCATCACCATTCTTAATGGAGGCAGAGCCATGTTCGGTATTACTCTTGAGCTTCTCGTTAAATGGAGCAGCACATAGCACCATTGTGGTAATAAAGAAAGGTGCTATAACCATGAACCTGACTCTTCCCATTAAGATGCCGGGCCTTTCACTATTATATATCTTCCAATTTACCATTTTAGCATTATTGACATTAACAGTGAAAAAATATCTTGCTACATCTCTGTCCAACAAGAGAGGCTACTGGATGAAATCTATAGGCTTCAATTGCCCTGGAATGTTCTTCAATGAAAAAATAAAGATAATGCCTCTCGGTGCAGGAAACGAGGTGGGGAGATCGTGTGTTATTGTTGAGTGCGGGGGTAGGACTATAATGCTGGACTGCGGGGTACATCCTGCATACACTGGAATGGCGTCTCTTCCTTTTCTGGACCTTGTGGACCTGTCCAAGATAGATGCAGTGTTCATCACCCACTTCCATCTGGACCATGCTGCCGCCCTGCCGTTTTTGACGGAGAAGACGAGCTTCAGGGGAAAGGTGTACATGACACATCCCACAAAGGCCATTCTCAAGTGGCTTCTGAACGACTACATCAGAATCATCAATGCATCGTCTGACACGGATTTCTACACGGAGACCGACCTGGTCAAGTGCTACGACAGGATCATACCGATTGACTATCACCAGGAGGTCAATGTGAAGGGAATCAAGGTCAAGGCCCTGAATGCAGGACATGTGCTGGGGGCTGCCATGTTTCTGGTTGAAATAGAAAAGAGCAAAATCCTCTATACAGGAGACTTCAGCAGGGAGGAAGATAGGCATCTCAAGGCAGCAGAGTCTCCTGGATGCAAGATAGATGCATTGATAACCGAGTCTACATATGGAGTCCAGTGCCACCTCCCAAGGGCAGAAAGAGAAGGGAGATTTACAAGTATTGTCCAGAATGTTGTCCAAAGAGGAGGAAGATGCCTTCTTCCTGTGTTTGCTCTTGGAAGGGCACAGGAGCTGCTTCTTATTCTTGAGGAGCACTGGGGCTCGAACACCTCACTGCAGAAGATCCCGATCTACTATGCATCTGCACTGGCAAAGAGATGCATGGGGGTGTATCAGACATACATAGGAATGATGAATGAGAGGATTCAGAAGCTGAGTCTTGTTAGGAATCCGTTTGCATTCAAGTATGTCAAGAACCTGAAGGGGATAGACTCGTTTGACGACGAGGGCCCGTGTGTGATTATGGCGAGTCCTGGAATGCTTCAGAGCGGACTTTCGCGAGATCTCTTTGAGAGGTGGTGTTCTGATAGTAAGAACGCGGTGATAATACCTGGATACTGTGTGGACGGGACTCTTGCAAAGGAGATCCTGAGCGAGCCCAAGGAGATAGAGGCGATGAATGGAAAGAAGCTTCGGCTCAACATGTCAGTGGAATACATTTCGTTCAGTGCGCATGTGGATTTTACACAGAACAGCCAGTTTATTGAGGAGTGCCAGCCTAAGTATCTCTTCTTTGTGCACGGAGAGATGAATGAGATGCAAAGGCTCAAGAATGTGATACAGCAGAGGAATGAAAAGAGGGGGGTTGAGATGGTACTCTATACTCTTCGGAATGGGGAGGAGGCAGGGTTTGATCTGGCAAAGGACAACGAGGCGAAGATCTTTACCGGGGTTGAAGGAGAGTTTGAGGGGATTATTATAGGGACTGAGGATGACATCAGGATATATAAGAGAGATGAGCTGATTGAGTCGAAATACAAGGAGATGTGTATATATGAGAGACAGAGGATTCCATACAATTCCACAGCCGTTCTCCTGAAGCAGGTTCTTGTGGATGGATTTGAGGAGCTTGTTGAGGTTGAGTCTGGATTCATGGTCGGAAATGTACATATTGTGCTGTCTGGACAGGAGGTCGTGCTTGAATGGAAGAGCAGCTATACGGATGATGTTTTGGCAATATCTATAAGCAAGATGATATCTGACATTGGGTTGAAGACCAAGAGTGTTAGGCTGAGTAAGATGGGAAAGAAGGAGCTATTGGTGAGTGTTTTGAAGAACCACTTCATGGTTGAGAAAGAGAACGATGATATAAAGGTTATGAATGGAGATATGATGGCGCGAATTAGTGGTGATGGTGTGACTGGAGATGCTGGGATAGTGGACAAGATAAATGAGTGTATCAAAAAGATAGAGGCGATATATTTGAGAGATTAGGGTTTATGGTATGACAGGATATTTGTTTGGAGGAGATTTCTAATAGCATGATCTATTAAAATTCTTGGTTTGAATCCCTATGGATATGGCGAGCAGAATAAGAGTGACGGACGATGGGTCTGTGCAGCACGTGAACTACCAGAAGGGCATTGTGTGTGCCCCGGACGGGTCAAAGACAATCCTGGAGCTCCTCGGGGCACGCTGCGCCTCGATGGGCAGCGACCCCTTCCTCGGCACAATAGTCGGCAGCGAGGTCAAGTACAGGTCTGCAGAGGACATCTGGAGAGAGGCCGAGGGCCTTGCAGCCCTCTTCGCGCGGCTCTTGGCACAGGAGGACAAGGTCGGAATATACTCCGTCAACAGGTACGAGTGGGTGGTGTCTGAGATGGCGTCGTACATGTCTGGGTGCATCAACGTTCCGCTGTACTCGACGTTCTCGCCGGCGGATGTGCGGCAGATTCTCGCGGAGACCGAGATGAAGGTGTGTGTTGCATCTGCAGACAAGGCACAGCTGCTCCTGGAGACTGTGCTCGAGGACAGCAAGGCGGGGCTTTCGTGCATTGTGCTGATGGACAGGGACGCGGGGGTTGCCGAGAGGCTCCGGAATGCAGGTGTTCTGGTGTACTACTTCGGGGACGTTGTCTCCTCGGGGGACAAGGCTGGCAGGAAGCGGTACCCGAAGGGGGACGACCTTGCAACGATATGCTACACAAGCGGGACGTCTGGGAGTCCGAAGGGCGTGATGCTGACGCACAGGAACTTTGTGTCGTGTGTTGCAGGGATCTCGCGGGGGTCGCGGGCCGGGGAGATGGTGGAGATTGGGAGGGACGACGTGTATCTCTCGTACCTCCCGCTTGCGCATGTGATGGAGAGGGTGTGCATGAACATCTCGATGGCGTCTGGGTGCAGGATAGTGTTTTTCAGGGGGAATCTGAAGGAGATCAAGGAGGACTACCTTGTTGTGAGGCCGACGTTTATTATTGCTGTGCCGCGGGTGCTGAACCTGTTCAAGGAGAAGATTGAGGAGAAGGTGCAGCAGAAGAACTTTGCGGCGCGGTGTGCATTCCGGGGGGCGCTCTGGTACAAGATGTGGAGGGTAAGCAAGGGAGAGCTCCGGAGCAGGTTTGTGGACTGGCTTGTTTTTGACCGGATTGCCAAGGAGTTTGGGGGGCGGATCAACCGGATTCTGTGTGGGTCTGCGCCTCTCCGGAGGGAGGTTCTGGTGTACATGCAGGCTGTGCTGTCGTGCAGGATTTTCCAGGGATACGGGCAGACGGAGAATGTGGGTGCGGGGATTGTGCAGCCGCTGGACTCGCGCGTGTACGACAATGTGGGGATTCCGTTTCCTGCGAATGAGGTGAATCTCGGGGAGATTCCCGAGGAGCTTGGGTCTGAGTACATGCGGCGGTACCCCGGGTGCAGGGTTGGGGAGATTCTGCTGCGGGGGGACAATGTGACGCAGGGGTACTACAAGAGGCCCAAGGAGACTGGGCAGCTGTTTACGAAGGACGGATGGCTCCGGACTGGGGACATTGGGATGTTTGACTCTTCAGCGGGGGTGTTTTCTGTGATTGGGCGTGTGAAGGACGGGTTCAAGACGTCGCAGGGGGAGTACATTGACCCTGAGAAGCTTGAGGTGCTGTATGCGGACGGGGATGTTGTCCAGGACGTGTGCATTCCGCGGCGGTCTGACAGCGACCGGATAGTTGCGATTGTTGTGTGCCCCGAGACGAAGAAGAGCGATGCGGAGATTCTTGCGCATGTGCGTGAGACTGGGGAGAAGCTGTTCAAGCAGAGGAGGATAACGAGGCTTGAGATTCCGTGGCGTGTTGTTGTGCTGCGGCGGGGGTTTGAGAGTTTTGAGGGGGCGGACCTCCTCACGCCGACTGCGAAGAAGAGGAGGCCCCTGATTGAGCGGTACTTTTCTCAGGAGATTGACTCTCTGCTTGGGATTAAATGACGATGTTTAACAGCCTTTCTCCCGCCCGTGGATATTTTAACCTGTTTTCAAAACCCGTATTCCTCAGTCCACGAGATTAGGTAAGCTATACTAAAAAGAAGGCTTTATTCCTTTTTTGTTATTTTGTACACAACAACAGCAGCAACTATGCTAGCAATCCCACCAACCAGCATGACCCTCATCCGAGAAAACCCAGACCTGCTTTCAACCCTCTTCTTTGTCTCAACAAACTCTTCCTCAAGCTTAACCACCTTTGGAAACAGGTCGTTGTTGACGATACTGTCTATGGTTTTACCGTTGGAAATCTTATCATAGAACAGCACCAGCAGGAGAAACGGACAGGTATTGGGACACGACAAGATTATTTCAAATACCTTGTGAACATCCTCCATTCTCGACAGATTTCTTAGGAAGAACGTCAGGATGGATCCCATGAACTTGTAGCTCTCTAGCTCTGGAATCCTTATGCCCTTCTTCTTCATCATCTCCACAAATATCCTCATGTTTTCCTTATACAGCTTGAAGTCGTCAACAACCAGTGGTTCCAGCTTTCTCCTGAACACGTTTGTAAGCACAATTCCAAGGATGGCCGTCGTGTCCTTGTGCCTCGAGACAAACCTTTTAAGCTCTACATTTTCGTCTTCTGGTGCCTCAATAAACTGCTCGGAAAATCCGTCGGCTGCAGATTCCTCTGCAGACTCTTCATCCGATCCGCTGGCCAGCACTCCCTTGGCCACCTCCTCCTCGACAATGTTCTGAAAGTAGTAGAGCACAAACACAGATGCTATCTCGCTCATCCCCTGCGTATACTTAATCGGAATCTTGTCAAGCTCTACAAAAAGCAACCTCTTGAGAACCTTGATCACCTTGCGGTTTCTCTTATCCACGCCCAGCAGCTCCGTGCGCCTGACATCATTCTCTATAACCTTCCGCTCGTTGTAGTCTCTTTCCACACTTACATACTCGTCGTCCTCTGCTTTCTTCTCAAAGGACCGCAACACATCAGCAAACTTGATTCCCTCCATCCGCAAAGGCCCTCAGGAATTTTTTTATTTAGAAGGGGGCAGCACCAATGGAACAGAGGCCTATCAGCTAACTCATTGAAGGCCTGTGGAGCTCATTTGTCTGCATGCCTGTCATCCAGCAATTGGACGCTGAAAATATAAGAGGGACAGCCTTGCATCGTGGATACACACAATGCTGGTTGCGCTAGTGGTTCTATTTCTTTCTGTGTTTATGGCCATGAAGTTTCTCTACAAAAGAATATTTGTGGCGAGTAGACTGAAGATGATCGAGAAGCCCTCCGAGGATTGGGAGCCTGCCAGCAGAGAGGCTATGATCGAGAGACTCAGGTCGGAGGTGTTTGACCTGGTGGTGGTTGGGGGAGGAAGTACTGGAGCAGGATGTGCACTTGATGGGGCAACAAGAGGACTGAAGGTGGCATTGGTGGATGCAGGGGACTTTGGGTCAGGAACCAGCTCGAAGTCGACAAAGCTTGTGCACGGGGGAGTAAGATACCTTGCAAAGGCGGTTAGCAACCTGGACTGGTCTCAATACAAGTTGGTCTGGCAAGCACTGGGGGAGAGAACAACCATGTTTGAGATATCGCCGTATCTTACAAACAGCATCAAGATAATGGTTCCGATATACAGCAAGATACTGATTCCTTACTACTATGTTGGGCTGAAGCTCTATGATTGGATTTCGGGATTCAAGTCTTTGGGCAAAAGCTATTTCATCGATAGAAAGGAGGCGGTGGATGCATTTCCACACATCAACAAGAAGAATCTCTGTGGGGCAATGGTCTATTTTGACGGGCAGCAAGACGATGCAAGAAACAATGTGATGATAGTGATGACTGCAGTCTGCCATGGAGCAGTGGCGGCAAACCACGTGTCTGCAAGGTCTCTGATGATTGAGGGCGGAAAGATTGTCGGAGTGCGGTGCAGAGACGAGATCACGGGATCGGAGATTGAGATCAGGGGTACTGGTGTTATAAACAGCACGGGCAACCTTGCAGATGACTTGAGGAGGATGGACGATGCAGATGCAAGAGAAATCATAGTCCAGAGCTCGGGAACGCACATTGTCATTCCAAAGGAATATGCGCCCAAGGAAATGGGGTTTTTGGATCCACTTACAAGCGACAACAGAATAGCCTTCTTCATGCCATGGATGGGCAAGACGATTGTGGGATCCACGGACATCAAGACGAAGACAGAGCTCTCTCCTTCTCCAACAGAAGAGGACCTGGAGTTTCTGATCCACGAGGTCCAGGCCTACACCTCGATGCATCCGAAGCTAACAAGGGATGAGGTTTCTGCCGTCTGGACAGGAATAAGGCCTCTTGTCAAGGACCCAGATGTTTCCGACACAGGCTCGATTGTCAGAAAGCACTTTGTGAGGATTGAGAAGAACGGGCTGCTGACCGTCACTGGAGGAAAGTGGACGATATACAGAAAGATGGCTGAGGATGCAATAGACCTTGCGATCAGTGCATTTTCCCTGAAGCCTTCGGGACCGTGTGTGACGAAGTATGTCCGAATACTTGGGGGCGATGGGTACACCAAGAATACGTGGGCCTCGATCCAGAAGGAGCTGGGGGTTCCAAAGAACGTGGCTGAAAGGCTTGCAAGGTCCTATGGCACCAGGGCTCTGAGGCTTTCGAGCTACATCAAGAAGAACAGGAAGAAGGTTTTGTCTGTAAAGTATTCCTATCTTATAGAGGAGGTGGAGTACTGCATAGACAATGAGATGGCCGTCAAAGTATGCGATGTGCTTTGCAACAGACTGATGATCGGCCTGATGGATGTGAAGGAGGCCTACCAATGTATTGATAAGGTTCTCGGGGTCTTCAAGAAGAAGCACGGATGGGATGCAGACAGGTGCAATCGTGAGGAGGCGGACGCTATAAGAATGCTCGATAAGTATGGCCTTCAGATCCTAAGAGGATGTGGCCAGGATGCCTCTTCTTTGCAGATGGAATGCCCTGAGGAAAAGAGGCACAGGGGCGAGCGTAGACTTCCTCCACAGGAAAAATAAATTCGCTGGTGTTTAATGGCATGAGGTCTACGGCCTCATAAGTCTTCCGAGTCTTCCAAGCAGCAGGGTTCTCAGGACTGTCCTGAATGTGGGAATGGTATCTCTCAGAAGCAGAAATAGTCCGAGGGTCTCCAGAAGAAAGCCAAACATCGGGAACCTATAAATCAGAAACAGTACTCCCATTGCAAAAATCACCATACCTTGTATTTTCTCCGGGCGCAGCAGAGCAAACATCCTGGACCTCGCCAAAAGAGAAATCCCTATGATCATCAAGAGGTTTCCTGATATCATCAGTGCCCTGTCCATTAGAAGAATGGCGCCTACAAGAAACACAGACATTCCTATTGATACAACCACAACTCCGGACTCTTTTAGATTCATTCCTCCTCGGGGGAGACAAGCGCCTTGAAATAAGCTCGTGGGGAAATCCCTCTGGCATGAAGAGGATAGGCGATCTTAAGGCCAGAAGCAAGAGGTGCTTGGTTCGGAGGGAAGTCCCTGGCCCGCCGCTCCGGATTTCCTGGGACCTGGCGTACAGGATGGCGAGGTATGAGCAGCGGCTGAGAACCCTTTGCGGATGCATGTCTCCAAGGGAGGTTTCTGTTCTTGTGCCGTGGAAGAAATCGTACGAGAGAAAGGGATACTATGAGGGGAGGGCTGCATTCGACATTGATCTCCAGCCATTTGTCAATCTTAGGGCCCTGAGGGTGAGTGACTCGCTCTCCTTTGATCTACTTTCGATCAACAACACGAGCATCAGGAAGCTCAAGCTCTCCAAGGTTCCGAATGTAAAGATGGGGGGTCCTGTAAACACCGTGCTACAGGAAGTGGTTCTGAAGGACAGCACGGTGGTGTATAAGGATTTGATGAACATTCTTGGGATAGAGTCGCTGATAGGCGTGTCATTGATAAATGTCGAGGTTTCGGGATGCCATGGATGGAGAAAGAGCCTTCTTGAGAGGCTCAGGGGGATGGACCGGCTGAAAAAGGTAGAGCTAACTAATATGGGGACTGATCTCCAGTGTTTTATTGATCTGTCCATTTCGAAGGGGCTTACATGGTTTAGGATTGCTGACGGAGACCTCTGTCTGGATGTCAAGCTGTGTCTCTTTGCAAGTGTTGTCCGGTGTGTAAACGCCTTGGAATACCTTACATCTCTCGATCTTGGGATGGTGGAGGCGATGTATGTTGGAGGAAGGGATCTGAAGCATATGAGAGAGAGTCTCCCTAGGCTTCGGATGCTCCATGTGAACACGGCGGAGATAGACAGCAGGGTGTTCAGGGAGATATACCCAAGGTATCCAGGTCTTGTTGGGCTCGGATTTGTCGGGTGCACCTTTGACGGAACCTCCTTCTACGAGATTGTCATGCATTTCAAGAGCTCGCTAAAATACCTGAACCTCACCTCGTCGAGGCTTCCCCACGACTATGTCTCTTTCCTGAAGAAGAGCCTCCATTCCTGCTCTGTGAGGCTGAAAAGCGGGGAGCTTGTTGCCATTGGAAGAGCTCTTACCGGGCCGGCTGTTGATGAGCCTGACCATCCAGGACCCAATGAGGTCTTTATGTGATTCTGTCTTTGTAAGAATTACCAGCCCCAGACGATACGAATAAACTTGTGGAGCCGCACTCATCTCTCCAGGCACCACGGCCCACAGAATCCAGCCTCTACTTGTATCTGGGCAGAACCTCCCCTGTTCAATGACAGATAGGGCAAGAGAGGTTCTTAACATGCTTCTTGGGCCTGAGAGAGATACTTACGATCCCTGCAGGCCTACTTCGACGAAGAAGGACGTGTGCATATACATGCTTGTCTCGTTCTGCCCATTCGAACTGTTCCGAAACACAAGAAGAAGTATTGGAAAGTGCAGATATACCAGCCATGAGGAGTACTACAAGGCCGAGTACAACAGAAATGGAAGGGAGAGGGCTGAAGAATACGAGTGGGAGTTTGTTCGCCTGCTTGTGGAAATTGTCCTAAGTGTTCAGGACGGGATCAGGGCACGGGGCCTCGAGGACAGAACAGATCCTGCTCTCTTTGGAAAGATCAAGGAGAAGGAGGAGCTGTTCAACAGAGTATATGAAAGCGTCGGAGAGCTTGGAATGTCGGGGGATGTGGAAAGGGCATGCTCAGCCTTCAACGAGTGTGAAAGGATAAGGGAAGAGCTGGAAAGAATTAAAGAGGCCTACTACGTAAAGAACAATGGAGCAGGGATGGAAAGGTGTGGCATATGCGGAGTTAACCTGGTTCTGAGCGACACAAAAGCAAAGGTTGACAGGCATCTGAACGGAAGGCTCCATAGAGGGCATCTTCTGGTTAGAAGCAAGCTGGCAGATCTTTTGAAGAAGTTTGGGATCTCCAGCGTGGCAGAGATATTTCCAGAGGGCTTTTCATTCAAGTGCTTGAGAGTCCATCCCTCCCGAGACCCATCCCTTTAGTGCAGCCAGGAGATTTGGTCTATATTCGGTTAATATTTGCATTGGGAAGTACCCACGGTAGATGTCTGACGAGAGCTTGTGGAGAAACATAAGCGGGGAGAACCACTGCTCGTTCAAAATGAGAACGGAGGAGAACACGCTGTGTAGGAACCAAAACAACGTGACCGGGCTTTGCGACCGATTCTCGTGTCCGCTGGCCAACTCGCGGTATGCAACGGTTCGGGCAGTTGGAGAGGAGCTTTTCCTGTTTGTGAAGGAGCCTGAGCGGGTGCATGTTCCCAGGGATGCCTATGAGCAGATAAGGCTGTCTTCAAACTATGAGGAAGCTCTCAAGCAGATAGAAGAGAGTCTTGAGTTCTGGGACGAAAAGGTCATCCATAAATGCAAGCAGAAACTTTCCAAGCTCACGCAGTATCTCAGGAGGCTGGGATACTTCAAGGAGCATGGAAAGGTGGAGTACATGGTGAGGAAGAAGAAGATGAATAGAAGAGAAAAGCTCAGAGCCCTGAAGACCCTGAACAGCATCAACTTCGAGAAGAACATTGGAGACGAGCTGATGCTGAGGCTTGAAAGTGGGATCTACGGGACAGAGCTCAAGGATAGATTCCACCTCGCTAACAAGGCGGCTACAGAAAGGGAAAAGAGGCAGAACAGAAAAAAGAGGTACGTTGCAGAGCTTGAAGAGAGCGACACTGTGCTTGAGGCAGAGACCCGTGATAGCGAGAAGAAGAAGACCAAGAAGAAGGTAGCAATGAAGTGGTGAGAAGCATCTGTCTTTAAAATTATTTTATTTGGCTGAGAATAAAGACTTTGACAGGAGGCTCGATTCTATCTCTACACTCCTCAGTCCTTCTTTTGAGAGGATTGCCTTTTCTCTTCAGATGCCGATAGCTTAAATCTTCCGATGATCATTGCATGGTCCTTTTCAAATGGTTCAAGAGTCACCTGCTCCTTCGGTCTGATGCTGTTCTTTCTCAGGATGTTCACCTCATCTGCAAAGACCGTCTCTGCAGGGACCGCCGAGTTAACACAGTTGGCCTTGATAGAGACATCAACTCCTCCTCCCTCCTTGAGAAAGTACTGGGCATTCAGCGCAACAATCCTTGTCTGGTCTGGCTGGGAAACATCTGAAAAAATGCAGTCAACAATCGGCACGAGCATCCTGTACCTCGACGGGTACCTTGCATCCTCTATTATAGGGACAATGTTGGGCCGCTTCATAGACATGTTTATCAGGTCTCTCCCGGACCTCTCGCTAAACTCCACGGCATACACTACCCCATCCTTCCCAACAATGTCAGACACATGGGAGACAGTCGTTCCAGACGAGGCCCCGAGATACAGCACTTTGCTTCCAGGCTCCATGTGAATATTCTCAGCTCCACACACAATCCCCGCTGCAAGCTTGCTTCTGTATGCATTCCAGACACGATACTCGACCTTCATGCCCTCGAGATCAACAGCAACCCTCTTTTCTCCATACACGCTGACCCCAGGGACCAGGTTTCTTGTGAGCAGGAGATCCTCCTTACCTCTACTGATATATACCCCCGGAAACCTCGGGTGGGGCTCAACCAAGACCTTCCTGTCAAGTCCAGCATTCACACTTCCCTTCTTCTTGTTGTTCATCCTTCCTCTTCCCTCGCCCTTGTCGGAACGAAATGGCTTGCCTCCTTTCTGGAACTTTCTCCCGTCGGGCCTCTTATTAGTCTTCTTCATCCGTCCTTTGAAAGGGCAAAAAATTGCAGAATAAAATCTAGGCTTGGAACTCGATCTCTATCCCAGAAACATGCTTTATTTGCAGTGGCCTTCACTTGTTCAACAGAGCCCTCAGGTCGCCCACCTGGGACTGGATCGATGCGTGTATGTCCATCGCTGCATTGTAGAAGCCGAATATCATCTTGTTGATTTCTTCTCTCTCGTAGTTTATCGAGTTGAGCGTCCTGTCGAGAACTATCCTGGCCTTCTGCAGCTTCTGCTCGCTCATCAGCAGAGACGTGTTCGACTCCAGATTGAGCTTCAGAAGCTCGTTCTCCAGTAGCTCCATCTCTGTCTTACTCTTCCTCTGCTCGTTCTCAGATATCTCCTTCTTCTCCAGATATAGCTTTCCTGCCATCACAAGCTTGTCACTGTAGTACCCAAGCCTACTGTTCAGCTCGCTGGTGATGCTCTCCTTCTCGCCCCGTGCCTCCTCGAGTATGCTTTTGTTCATCTCGGCAGTCACAAGGACATCGCTTTTGCTGTTCAGTTCCTCTTCCAGCCGCACAATCACCCCAGACATCCCGCTAAACACCTCACCACTCACCTCGTTCGCCACTCTGGGAACCCCTTTTCCATCCTTCACAATCCTGAGTGAAATCTCGTCTCGAAGGCCCTTGAGATCAAAGAAAAGCTTCTCAACCTCCTCAGCCCTTTCCTGAGCCTCTCTTTCCTGCTCACCCACCACCTTCATAAGACTCTCCTTCTCAGGCTTCATTCTCTCGAGCTCCTTGAATAGCTCTATCTTCTCAGCATTCATCTCCTTGACATCCTCAGGATTAATTCTTTGCTTCGTTATTTGTGCCCTCAGCCCGTCCTCCTGGGCCCTTAGGCTTTCAATCTCCTCCTCAACCTTTACAATCTCCTCAGACAGCCTGCTGATGGCTCCCAGATACTTTCTCTTCTTCCCCTCAAGCTGCTTCTCAGACGCTATCAGCATGTTCAGATCGTCAGTCAGCTCCCTCTTCTTTCTGTCCAGCTCTTCCCTGCCCTCAGACATCTTCCTGGCCTCACTTATCATCTCCTCAATCCTCCTAAGCTCCTCCTTCTTCCTGTCAATCTCCTTGAATATCCCCGTGTATATCTCCGTAACCCTCCTCTCAAACTCCTCCTCAAGTGCTGTGTCGTCTTCATCTCCCTCCATGAACCTCATGTATCCATCGCACACGTACTCGAAGAAGCAGCTCTCCACACTTCTTTCCTCCTCCTGCTGGAGAAGAGACGTCCCGTGGCTTATCAAATCCACCAGCCAGCTGCACATGCTCAGAATCACAGGCCATGTGTGCGGCGTTATCGCACTCAGTTGGCTCTTGGTGATCTCTCCACAGTATGGATACTTCAGATTCTTCATCACATTCACAACCTCGTCCTCAAACCTCGAGGAAAACGTGAAGTCGTCAACAAATCCATACAGAAACTTGAAGATGCTTTGGAAGTCCTTCGAAGACGGATTGTGCAGGATCTTCTGGGACACCTGTCCGTCATATCCATTCTCTACCAAAAACCTCAGGATGCCATCCACACACTGCTGCCTATACCCCTTCTCCCTCACCACTCGCATGTCCCTCCTTCTGACCTCCTCGGTTGCTATCGAGTGCCTTGGAAACGGAGCAACCTTCATCCCAGAAACCGGAGTCTTGACAGGATTCCTAGAGTTCGGCGTCATGGTGAACCTCCGAGTCATAGGGATCCAGAAATATTTTTTACTTACTCGCCACTGCCATTCGCCCACCGCAGTGCCCAGAAACACCCCTTCTTCAGAGCTCCTCAGTGCCCATATCTCCAATCTCTATAACAAACCAATCGCACATCAAGCCCCAGACCGTCAATGCTCTTCAAGGATAAGTTGGAAATGGTAAGTGCCGCACAACACTAATTCAAAGGTCACATCGTTCCTAGCACTGATCCTCATGGTGTCCACAGCCCCAAGGTATTTCTATGGAAACCAGGTCCTCGTAGCCATAGTAACATACTCAACATTTGTGTCCTTCATGAAGCCAATAGCAAAGAGAGGAAAGCTGTACTTCAGAATCGTCAATGGTAAGTGTCAACTTTAATTTAAGTCCTCCATGTCATTGCAAAGATCGTGACCCTTATTGCATTCTTCGTAGTCATGAACAACGTCTTTGTGATGAGAATAGGGTACAGAAACTGCAGTAGGTGCTCTGTCATGTCAATGCTGGACGTCGCCGCATCGATTCTGTTTCTTGCATACTACTCAGCATACTCAACTGCCTTTGTCTTCTTCTTCAGTGTCTCCAACAAGTGATTCAGAGCAATAAACCTCACACTCCCTGCGTCTGTCATCTCTTCTTGTACACCCGCGGCACCAGCTTGATCCGAGGGAGCCGTTTTGGGGCCTTGCGCGAGGTCTTCTGGAGAACAAACAGGACAAACTGTGCATTCGACACATCAACATGCTCGACATCAAACCCGAGGCTCTCAAACTTCCTTTCCAAGAGGCCTACACTGGGTATCCTGCTCCGGACCTCTGCAATGTACCAGTGTCCTCCGTTTCTCAGTATCCGATTGATCTCCTTCGTGGGAACTGCAATATCCTCAACCATCATGCTCAAGCAGCAAACGGCAACATCCACACTGCCATCGTCCAGAGGAATCCTTCGCCGCATATCACAGGGTATCACATCCTTCCCAACAGGGTGGAGATCCAGGGAAATCACATTTTCGAACTCTCTGGCGATCCTTGCTTCTCCGCACCCAATGTCTGCTATCACCCCGTTGCCTTCTCTCCTCTTTATCTTCTCAATTATCACATCAAGGGGATTGACAGGCCATTTCATGACTTGCAGGTTGTACAGCTCGTGGTAAAGCCTCAGGTCCCCCTTCCTCAACCCCTTCCCGTGGTACATCTTGTCATTCAGCATCCTGAACTTCCCTCCTTCCAACCTCTTCGTTATCTTCTCCTCCAGATCCATTCCAGGGGCTCAGGGAGAAGGATATTTTCCGCACAGGCAATCGCCACACTCCTATGAAAAGTAGTCGTATGGCCTAATCCCACATCCATCCACATCTACATCTTCTGTAGGATCAAACAGGTCCTCGTAGTCCTTGTAGTCGTCCTCAAGCAGAGAAACGTCTCGGAATAGCTCCACAAACTCCGAGCGCCTCTCCAAGGCCTGTCTCACCTTTTCATCCACACCCTCTTTTTTTTTCCTTTTCCTCTTTCTCTTGACAAACAGGCTTTCAATGTCATAGTCAATGGCCCTTAGCACCGTCCAATATCCTTGGTAAGCCAGACGCTCTCTTAGTCTTTTTCCGAGGAGACTCTTCCTCCTGTTGTTGACGGCAACCTGCTCTCTGTACATCTTGATGAGATGCTCTACACTTCCCGAAGAAGATGCCAGCATCTCCTCCATCTCAAGAAGGCCCTCCTCCTCGGTCCCTGAAGACGCCCTTTCATCCAAAAACCTTCTGCAATCATCGAGAATGTCCCCGTCATCCACAAGACATCCCACCAGACCCCTAACAGTGGCCTCTCTCCTGCTCTGGCTCTCGCCTCTGCTCACCATTTCAAGCCACTCCTCGTCGATAACCGTTTCAGAAACAGCTTTGACGAACTTTTCCTCATCTATCTCTGGGAAGTAGCTTTCGAGAAAGGCCTCAAACTCGCTATGCTGTATTTGGTTGGCTACGGGCCCCGCTACCCTGCCATCCTCCCCAGAGATTTCTGCCCTGGTGCTTCTAAGAAGACCATCCTCTTCGCTGTGTTTTCTCCTGTTGGCCTCCAGACCGCCCATGCCCCGGAATTTTTAGCACACAGAAATCTGGCGCTGTCCTTTCTTCAGATATTTGCAGCCAGAAGACATTCGAAACCCCCATTCCGGGCCACTGTAAAACAGTACTCCAGACAAAGGCCTCTCCAAGAGCTGGCACCCCAGATGATATGGATTGAAAAGTACAGGCCAAGGTCGTTCGATGAGATGATTGGTCGAGAAGAAGCCTCGGGTCTTCTGAAGAGTTACACCCTGGAGACAATTCCGCACATGATAGTGCACGGGAGGTCTGGGCACGGCAAGAAAACCGTCCTGTTGTGCCTGGTAAACCACCTGTATGGAAGCATCCCCGAGATGAAGATTAGGACAACAGAGGTTCTAAGCGGTGCAAAGAAGATAGAGGTGTCGTACATGGAGTCTGACGAGTATGTTGAGATTTCGCCGTCTCGGTATGGATATCACGACAGGGCAGTTATACAGAGCATAATCAAAGAGATGGGGCAGACAAAGCCTATACTGTCAATGCTTGCAAGGTCCCGGCGGGCACCAATCAAGCTTGTCGTCATAACCTCTGCCGAGGAGCTGACTCTGGAGGCCCAGGCTGCACTCCGGAGGACAATCGAGGTATACAGCGGGGTTCTCCGGGTTGTGTTGGTGTGCAACGAGCTTTCAAGGCTGATAGAGCCAATAAGAAGTAGATGCTTCTTCCTTCGGATCCCGGGGTTTTCAGACGAGGATGTCACATCAAACATGTGCAGGATACTGGAGAAGGAGAACTACACCGTTCCAAAGGAGACGCTTGTCGAGATATGCAGGGAGTCTGGAGGAGACATGAGAAGAGCACTCTGTGTCCTTGAGCTGGTCTGCTTCAACATGAACGAGTCTGAGGCAAAAAGAGCAAAGATCGGTGGCAGGGATCTGAAGCTTGAGTGGGAGCTGGCAGTCATGTCTATTGCAGGTGTCGTTAAGTGCAACCAGACGTCTAGTGGACTGGTTGAGATAAGAAAGACCCTGTACATGCTCCTGAACTCATGCATACCCCCCAGGACTATCCTTGTTGAGCTGCTGCGCAATCTTATTCTTGGGGAGGATTTCAGGACATTCCTTCTGCTGTCACAGCATGCACTGAAGTATGAGGAGAGAATAAGGCTTGGCATGAAGAGCATATACCACTTGGAAGGGTTTGTTACGTCGTCCATGTGTGTGTTCAGCGAGAAGAAGTACAGTTGAGAATTTAATCCCTTGCAGATGCCGGCATCTTGGCCTGGGCAGACTTTCTTTCCAGCTCCTCATACTCCATCGCATCTGAGAGATAGTCTTCGTCTATCGATGAAGAGTAGTCGATCGAGCTGACCATGTCGGATGGAATCATGTTCTTCAGCACACAGTAAACCTTTTCTCTGAGTCTTTCTTGGTTACTGAGTAACCGTAGCCTGTTTATGCTGATCAGAATGTCGAGAACCTCTGGGTTGTCTGCATTGTTTCTTAGAGCATCCTCTCTCGGCAGGTCAGTGCTGCCCACTAGCTCCATTCCCTTGTCAAGCAGCTTCTCTATCTGGGATTCTGCTATGGCCTTAGTTTTAGCAGCCTGCTCTGTCTTGAGTATTCTGCCGTTGATTCCAAGAGGAATGAATTTAGGCTGTATCTGCTGCAGAGCATTGAGCTGGAGCCTGACCTCGGGGTCCAGAAACGGGTTCTCGAAGTATCCACTCATGTATGCAAACGGGTTCTCGTTGTTGATGTACTCCTGCGGGATATCTGCCTGGGCGGGTGTGCTCATGGGGGCCTGGGCTTGAAAAAACATCTGCTTTCTCCTCCGATTCGGAATTGGAGGGCGTGCAAGCCCCAAACATCTGGAGATGGAGGCTGAGCTTGAGATTTGTTGCGGCAAAGCAGCACAGGACGAGGAGAAGAGCGTTTCAGAGGCCGGAGACGGGCCGCCCGGGTCCAGAATGGTAAGGATAAGATTTCTAGATCTGCTTGTGATTGAAAAGCCTTATGAGTACAAGCTCAGGAAGTACAAGGGCAGAAAGGTTCCCAACGAGTCAATGAGCTACGAGGTAGACGACCAGGCCAAGTTCAGAAACAGTATGACATATGCAAGGGACAGTAATACAACACTCCAGGCGCTTTCAGGGTCCACAAGGAGTACAGGGCTGAGGCAGTATCTCAAGAGAAGGCAGCTTGAGAAGGAGATATCCAAGAGGAAAGCCCTCGATGATTCCTTGAGAGAGGTTGAGGAGGTCAAGTATCCCTTCGATCTAGTTGAGTGGGAAAATAACATTATCTACGACTTCGACAGGGCTGGAGGCAGGATGAAGATGGATACAGTCACGACGGAGTTTGTGGACAGCATTCTGGAGGAGGACTGGGAGAGGTATGTGGTTGTGGACGAGAGCGACATGAAGAGCCGTAAGTCGTTTCTTACTCTCTATCTGGAAGATCCTAACCTGATTTTCGAGAAGATTGACGACAAAAGACAGGCAAAGCCCAAGAAGAAGCAGAAGGAGGTGTTTTCTGTAGACAAGCCTCTGAAAGGAAAGTACAATATCTCTCTTGACAAATACTATGGACAGGAGTCGAAGGCAAAGAACAGCTTGGGAACATTTGGTGTCCAGCACTCGCTTCCTGCCCTGCGGCTCGACCCGATGTTCTACAAGAACAACCATACGAAGGAAGAGCTTCGGAACTTCCACAGGCCAAGGTTTATGGTGAGGGGAAGCAACATAAGGTTCAAGACGATTGAGGCAGGCAGAAACAAGCCCCAAGGGATCATAAAGAAGGCTGGGGAGCTAACGGTCAGAGACGCCAGTCCGTTCTCGCTGTTTGAGTATTCGGAAGAGGAGCCGTTTTTCCTTGTGAATCCGGGGATGGTGAGCCTGCTCAACATCTATTATAGAAAGAGCAATGCAAGAGACGAATATGCTCCCGACCAATCGCAGTACACGGTCCTAGACCCGGAAGACCCCTCTCCTTTCTTCGGGTTTGGAGATGTTACTCCCGGGACGTCCATACAGGCCCTTACGAACAACCTGTTTATTGCGCCTGTTTTCAAGCACAGTTCTGGGGATTATCTATGCATAGTGGAGCCATCGAATAGCGGGGAAATGTCCCTAGTGTACAGAAGCATTGACAACCTCTATTGTGTGGGGCAGCAGTTTCCGTTGGAGGAGGTCTATGCGCCTCACTCCAGAAAGCTGAACGTCTTCTGCAAGAACAGGCTCAAGGTTGCTGCATTCCGCCTGTTCAACAGCAAGGAGGGAGGAAGCAAGGAGCTCAGGATTTCGCAGCTGGACGAAATGTTTCCCTACTTTAGCGAGGGCAGCAAGAGAAAGTGGCTGAAGGAGTATGCAGACTGTGTGAAGAAAGGGCGGGACAATGTGTGGGTATTGAGGCCAAGCTCAGCCCTACTTGGGGAGGAGGATCTTAGGAAACTCGTTACTCCGGAGAATATATGCCAGTACGAGAGCATGCTTGCAGGAGAAAGAAAGCTCCAGGACTCTGGGTACAAGACTGTTGTTGAGAGCGATGACGAGGAGAATGAGGAGGAGATGGCACCGCCTCCATGGTGTCTTAGCAGAAACTTTGTGAATGCATGCAACGGAAGAGGACTTCTCGAGCTGAGTGGGCCTGGAGACCCTAGCGGGATTGGAGAAGGATTCAGCTTTAGAAAGATCAGGCTGAAGAGGGGAAACGAGGTTGAAAACAGGAAGATTATCAACGAGCATCAGTCGAGGTACAAGGAGGAGATAGACAGGATATGGAGCAAGCAGCTTGCATCCTTGAGCTCTGTGGAGGAGATTCCGTTTGATGAGTCGTTTCTTGCCCGGAGACATAGAGAGGAGAGGAAGAATGCAGATCTGCTGAGTGAGACGACGATGTTATCTGAGGAGACGCATCTAACGATTAGGCGCACCTACGGCGAGGGAAGCACCTCCTATGTGGAGGTTGAAAGGGTTTCTGACCCTCGGGTCATAAAGGCATATCTGAAGGCCCGAAAGAAGAAGATTTCCGAGGAGAGGAAGGGGGTGCTGACATGTGGAAACTGCGGGCAGGTTGGGCACATGAAGACAAACAAGGCCTGCCCGAAGTTTGCATCCGCAACAAAGATGACCAAGAAGAAGATTGAAGCGGAGAAAAGAAAGGCCAGGGTGTATCTCCAGGAGGTGATGATCGATCTTCTTGGCCAGTTCTTCCAGATTCCATACTCGGTTGCATTCCACAGGCCTGTGTCCACCAAGAAGTTTCCTGACTATCCTTTGATTGTCTCTGACCCCATTGACCTGACAACAATAAAAACAAAGGCCAGGCATAACAAGTACAGGAAGTTCAGCGAGTTTCTGGAGGACCTGGAGCTGATGCGTAGCAACTGCTGCAAGTACAATGGAGAGGATCACTCTCTGACGAGGATTGCTGATAACATTGTGGAGGCTGGATATAAGAGGTACAATGAGAGGATGGAAGAGATTCTGGAAGCCGAAAGAGTCCTGAACGGCTCCTTTGATGAATAAACTAGGGTATTTCTGTGTTTTAGCAAATCATGTGCCATTCTCGATGGTGTTTGGTGCAGTACGAGACAAAGACTGCTCGCATGACTCACTGTTGTGTCGGCTAATGGAGTGAGCACCCCGGCTCTTGAAATATGCATCTAGTGAATGGATAATTCTCCATTTCCAGAGCCCATGCAATGAAGTGTATTCTGTTGAATCAGGCTGAGGAGCTTCCCATCGAGTTCCTCCCAAAAGATGGGGTTTACGGGAAGGGAAAGCTGTTCGATTCAAGGAACATGGAGATTGAGAACTTCACAGAGTCTGACATTCTGCAGGATGCACGGAGGGCGGCGGAGGCTCACAGAAGAGCACGCTACAGGGTTCAGAGCATCGTAAGGCCGGGGATAACGCTTCTTGAGATTGTAAGGTCCATAGAGGACTCCACCAGGACGCTTCTGAAAGGTGAAAGAAACAACGGAATAGGATTTCCTGCAGGGATGTCGATGAACTCCTGTGCAGCACACTACACAGTCAACCCTGGGGAGCAGGACATTGTCCTCAAGGAAGATGATGTCTTGAAGATAGACTTCGGGACACACTCCGACGGCAGGATAATGGACTCTGCCTTCACAGTTGCATTCAAGGAAAATCTTGAGCCTTTGCTGGTTGCTGCCAGGGAGGGGACGGAGACAGGTATCAAGTCACTAGGGGTGGATGTGAGAGTCTGCGACATAGGGAGAGACATCAACGAAGTCATTTCGAGCTATGAGGTGGAGATTGGTGGGCGGATGTGGCCAATCAGACCGATATCGGATCTCCATGGTCACTCCATATCCCAGTTCAGGATCCATGGAGGAATCTCGATACCGGCTGTGAACAACAGGGACACAACAAGGATCAAGGGAGACTCGTTCTATGCAGTGGAAACGTTTGCAACGACCGGAAAAGGATCCATAGACGACAGGCCCCCATGCTCGCACTTCGTGCTGAACACATACAAGAGCAGGAAGCTCTTCAACAAGGACCTAATAAAGGTCTACGAATTTGTCAAGGACTCGCTTGGAACTCTCCCCTTCAGTCCCAGACATCTGGACTACTACGGCCTGGTGAAGGGCGGATCCCTGAAGAGCGTGAACTTGCTCACAATGATGGGGCTCCTCACCCCCTATCCTCCCCTTAACGACATCGACGGATGCAAGGTTGCACAGTTCGAGCACACAGTATATTTAAGTGAACACGGGAAGGAGGTCCTTACAAGGGGCGATGACTATTAAAGACAATCACAGTTATGGCTCAAAGTTCTTTTAGATGTTTTGGGCGGCCATGGGATGCCAAGTGGGTAGATATTAGGCTTAAAGGTCTCAGAGATATCTTTGCATTCTCATGTGGACATTGCAGAGGGTGGGTTTGATCCCTCTAGCAAGCCTCAACCGAAAGTTCTCATCATCGACAGCATCTTTGGAACAAGGACATGCATCAGCAGATCCAAGGGCTTCATACATTAATTTTTTAAATTTCAATTTTGCTCATGCCTTTTGTGCACAGGGCCGAGCTTCTGGTCCGTCCCAAGCAGCTCGTCACCGTAGACCTTTGCAACAGCCTCGTTTTCGACATATGTGTATACGACTCTGTAGCTGACCATCATCCTCCACCTCTGCCCTAATCTGGGAGTAAGCCCTACGCCATTGGTGCTGCTAACAACCTTGTAATGGTTGGATACAACAACGGTGGCGTCGTTCTCGTAGATCAGCATCCAGAGGACATTGTAGATTCTCTGAAGATTCGTCATGGACTTGTCTGCAAGAAATGAGATAGAGTCGATGAATAGCACAAACCCTCTTCTAGATCTCAGAGATAGGAGCGTCTTCACGAACTTCCTGTACCCTAAGATGTACTGGGCATCTGCCACAAACCTAAGATTCCCAACCGTGTCAAGAAACACAGGATTGTCTGTCTGCCCGCCCAATTCGGCCATCATGTCGTGAACCCTCATATCTGGAAGCACGCATAGCTCTATAATGGTGTTTTTTTTCATCAGAACTCCGTCTACAACTAGCATTAGGCTGATTAGGGCTGCCTGCCACAAACCCTCAAATGGTCGCGCACAGAGCGGGCCCTGTCGGTTGTATAGAGCGGCTATCTGCCAAAAAAGTTAAGAGAAAAGTCCAAGTCCTTCCCGAGCTTCATGAGAAAGGTTGCATCTCTCCGTAACTTTCCATCGACGTATACGGCAAGATTCTTCTGAACGAGCACCTCCCTACCATCGGTCGTCCCCTTCCAGTAGAAGTCCATCTGGGGAAGTGCGCTGAGCACCTCACGATTAAATTCCCTGAGGCCGAGGTACCTACCAAGGTTCAGGCTTATCCTTGCATCTACCTTCCTTCCATTTACATCCTCAACCACCAGAGAGCAGCAATTGTCGTCCTCCGGCAAAGCACCCACCGGAATAGAGAGAATGAATCTCTTTGTGTACAGATGATATTCGAATCTGTGTCTATATATATTGTAGACTCCGTCGGTGCTCTCCTCGGCCACGGCCTTGAACGACGGGCTTACGCAATAATTCCCGTCAAAGACACACCGACAAGTGTCTGCAGAGCCCCTTTCAAGGACCTTGCCGTCCCCCGTCTCCATCTTGGCAAACATCCTGAGGTGGAGATAGAAATCAACCATGCTTTTCTTCTCTAAGAAGCGGCACAGGTAGAACTCAATGTACCTGAAGCACTTTGCAAGGCCCTCGTCGACAAAGGTGAGCTTCGCATTGGGCCCGGTTATGTCTATGATGAACGACAGGCCTGCAAACGTGTGCGTCAATGCTCCGTTCTCCTCGGAAAAGTATTGAAGGCCTAGGACAGAGCACATGGAGGGGAAGAGGCTTTTTTCTTCGATGTTCTTGTGCTCTAGAGCCTTCAGGAGGGTTTTTTCATCACGAATCATAGGGCTTTGCGAATATGTTTTTATTACCTCCACGATGTCTGTTTCCAGAGAAGTACGATTCCTTCTCCTTTCCTGCCAGACTTATATTTGTCTGCTTTGTTTATCCGATGGACGATGCAGAAATCAAGGATGCCTTGATGGCGAAAGACCCGGAATCTCTGGAGGGCATTCCAAACGACTACAGGTTTTCCGATGGAACAGGGCTGATTCACTGGGCATCGATGTATAACAACCTTGACGTCTGCCGCAGACTGGTGGGGTGTCATGGCGCCGTCAACAGTGTTGGAGGAGTGCTAGACAGCTCTCCCCTGTACTATGCGCTCTACAACTCAAACTACAGAGTCATGAAGCTCCTGATAGAGCATGGTGCAGACATCACATATGTAAACAAAAGCGGACTGGGGCTTCTACATACATGTGCCAGGTTCGATGATGTTCTTGGGATGGTTCTGCTTCTGAGCCACGGTGCAGACATAGGTGTCAGGGACACCAGGAAAAGAACGCTGTGGACATATGCAAGGATAAAGAGGGCCAAGAACGTTACAAGGTTTCTGGAGGTAAGCACGATGATCGGGAGGCACAGAAGATGGATGGTCGAAGGGATGTTCATAGGAATGCACTGGGTATCTTTTTTCTTGGGAAGGAGGTGGCAGGTTGGGGTTGCTGTTGCGCTTCTGATTTTCTGGGGGAGAGTGGCACACACGAGACTTCCAATGTATCTTAATCTATTTTATTCTTTCTACATCAGTTACAGGATCTTTGGAAGAGGCTACGAGCACATCATATATATGCTCGAGTATTTTTCCACTCTACTTCGTCTGGTCGTGTCTAAGCCAAGGTTTGGGCCTGTAAGCACATGCTCCGGGGCAAGGGAGTTGATATCCGCAATGATAGATCAGGACGAATACACAATGGAGAACTTCTGCTATACATGTCTGGCACGGAAGACGGGTGGGACCAAGCACTGCTCCATCTGCAACAGATGCATTCTGGGGTTTGATCACCACTGCCCCTGTATAAACAGATGCATCAGCAGAGACTCTGCAGAGCTATTTGGAAGCCACCTGCTCTCCACCCTCACGGTTGCTGTGAGTGTACTTCTCTCGAATCAGATTCCCGAGATGGGCCTAGAGCTAGTGTCTGTAGCAACCTTTATTATACTCGTTCTGGCTGCAAGGAGCCCCAGACCGGTATAAATTTTCTGCTCTGGGAGGCCAGCGAATGAAAGGAAAGAAAACGCTGTTTGATTATTTCGACTTTTCGAAGAAGAAGGAGCACTCTGGGGAGCCGTCGTGCAGGATGTCCGACGTGGAGAATGGTGTGAACGAGGCCCTCTCTGTGGATTGGGAGGAAGCCAAGAGAGCATGCCGGGCCTTGCATCCTGAGCATATGGGTGAGGAGGATGTCGGCAACGAGCCGGTAGATCTACAGGAAGATACGCAGACGCAGCAGGCGAGCAAGAGTGGCAGGATACTAATGGGAGATGAGGAGAATGAGAGGAGGAGAGTAGAGAAAGAAGAGAGATATAGATTTCTTGAGGATGTCCGAGACAGAAATGGACGGAGAAGGGGAGACGAAGGATATGACCCCTCGACCCTTCTGATACCGGAGCACGAGTACAAGAAGTTCACGCCCTTTGAGAAGCAGTTCTGGGACATAAAGAAGGACTTCTTCGACACCATTGTGTTTTTCAAGAAGGGGAAGTTCTATGAGCTGTATGAGAATGATGCACTTGTCGGGGCAAGGCTGTTTGACCTGAAGATTACGGACAGAGTCAACATGAAGATGTCTGGGTTTCCCGAGGGCAGCCTCGACTACTGGTCCAGAAAGTTTCTGGAGCATGGATACAAGATTGCCAGGGTTGAGCAGAGCGAGAACATGATTGGAAAGCAGATAAGAGAGAGGGACGAGATGAGCAAGGAGGGCAGGGTGGTGAAGGACAAGATAATACGGCGCGAGCTCAAGGAGATCATCACACAGGGGACGATCTACAGCATAGACTACATGAGGTCTGCGATGCCTATGTATCTTATGAGTGTTGCGACGGATGAGGTCTGCTACTCTGAGACGTGCAGCGGGGAGGTTCATACGTCTGTTGTGCTGTATGATGCAAGTATTGGAGAGGTGTACTTTTCGTCGTTCTGTGACGACAGGTCTCACCATGGGATCCGAACGATTCTATCACAGCACGATGTCAAGGAGATGATTGCAGACTTCAGCATTGGGGGAGTTCCCCGGGTTGTGCCTGACAAGACGGCGTGTGTATCGAACAGGAAGTACGAGTTTTCGAACGAGAGGGAGTATGTGTGTTTCCAGTACCTGATGAGATACATGGAGAAGCTTCGGAGGGCTGATGCTCTGATGAATGTGAAGATTTCAAGACTCCAGGACGAGGCGAGAACGATGGGGATTGACGACGCTACGCTCCGGAACATGGAGATATTCAAGAACAACTACAATGGAACGGACGAGAAGACCCTCTTCAAGGCTGTCGACTTCTGTAGCACACCGTTTGGACAGAGGCTGCTTAGGAGATGGATGATGGCGCCGCTGGTGAGGAAGGAGGATATTGTGAAGAGACAGGAGATGGCACTAGTGTTCAAGAGGATGGATAGTACTAAGCTAAAAGAGGCCTTGGGAAGGATAGGGGATGGAGAAAGGCTCTTGGTAAGGCTTTACAATGGAAACCCGACTGCAAAGGACCTAAGCAAGTTCATTAGATGTCTTGGGGCTTGTAAGGAGACGTTTGATGTTCTGGGGATGGAATTGAGGACAAGGAGATTGGAAGGTGCTCGGGATATTGTGGAAAAGGCAGAAGACTACTCTTGCCGAATAGAAGAGGTGCTTGTGTGGCATCGTAAGGTCTACGATGTGACCGAGGCAGGGATATCTCCGGGGGAGGAGAATGAGGACGAGCTGTGCCACCTGATGAGCGAGAAGGGGAAGATCGAAGGTGACCTGGATGCATATCTGCAAGAGCAAAAGACTAGGCTGGGATGCCCATCGATAAGGTTCAGAGATGTAGGGAAGGACGTCTTCCAGATGGAGGTGCCAAAGGAGATAGGCGTTCCCTCGGACTACTTCATAATGTCGTCGGTCAAGGGCGTCAACAGATACTATTCTAGGGACCTGAGGAAGCTTGTTGAAAGGTACATGGAATGCGAAGAGAGGATATTCCAGTCGAAGGGGTCTCTGCTCAGGAGGGCCATAGATGTGCTTCTTCCACATGTCATTTTCTTCCGGCAGGTGTTCTGCGAGCTTGCCCAGATTGACTGCTATCTTTCGTTTGCAACTTTTTCGCAGCGGAACAGGACGTCAACACCTGTCTTTTCGACAAAGCTTTGCTTTTCTGGGATGTCAAGCCCGATATACCCTGCGTTTGTGGAAAACGACTATGACGGATGCAGAAGAATACTTGTGCTTACTGGGGCCAACATGGGAGGGAAGTCGACACTGCTGAGGACGATATGCTTTAACGTGATTCTCAGTCAAGTTGGGATGGATGTGTGCTGCAAACGGATGGAAACACCTCTCTTTGACAGGATATTTACCAGGATAGGGGCTCGGGACGATCTTGCAAAGGGAGAATCAACCTTCATGATCGAGCTGGGAGAGACATCAAACATCCTGAGGCACTCGACAAGAGACTCGCTTGTGATTATGGACGAGCTTGGACGCGGGACCTCGACCAAGGACGGAGGATGCATTGCAAGGGCTGTTCTTGAGTATCTCAAGAAGAAGGAATGCCATGTCCTGTTCTCCACACACTATCACGGAATTATTGGAGAGGTTGAGGGGGTCAGTAATGGATACATGAGCTCTGTGATCAAGGGAAGGGACATTGTGTTTTTGTACAAGCTTGTGGCTGGTGTGTCTGGGGACTCCCATGGCCTGTATGTTGCAAGGATGGCGGGAGTTCCCGATGCCATTGTTGAAAGGGCAGAAGGAATAAGGAAGGAGCTTCTGAAGTCTTCTGTCGGCAGGAGCTGACGGTATTTGTGGAAATTAAATTTAATTAGAAAACCTTTTGCGGTTCTTATGCAGCCACGGCGGCAATTCTGCGCAGATGTAGCACAAGAGCCACGGGCAAGGACCGCAGGATCAATACGTGTGAATGGGGACGCAGCGCAGATAAGATGTCTTGATGTGTAACATGTTTGGGTGTGGAAGCCAATGGTGCCGGCGATAAACAAAAAAATAAGCCGAGGGCCCTTCAATCTGATGGAAACCAGGAACATTAAAAACTTTATAAGAGAAAACAGAGAGATAGTGCTTTTGATATGCGACTTTTACGAGACAAAGCACATTCCTACCGAGATGACCACCCTCAAGAAGAACCTGTCGTTGTTTCCTGTGGCAAACATACCCATGATTGAGTATGTGCTATCGAGTCTCTGCGACCAGAAGTTCTTCAATGTGGTTCTTGCGGGAAACAATTGCGAGGAGGTGATAGAGCATGTCAAGGGGACCGAGCTTGACGAGAAGATGAACATCATATCGTTTGACTGCGACGGAAAGTCTCTGGGGGACCTTATGCGGCACATTGACGAGAACGGGCTGGAGTTTGACGACCTGCTGATTATATATGCAAACCACTACACAAACTACCCGTTCCGAAACGTTGTCAGCAGGCACAAGGAGGACAAGAGCTTTGTCATGACTCTGTTTCTGCATCCGAACGAGAGCAACAGCAAGGTGTCGCATCTGTATGGATTTAGAAACAACGAGATTATTTTCTACAACAAATGTGTTAACGAGAAGCATGACAGCGAGAAGGTCAGAGATGCAATAGAAAGCGGCGGCACGGTTGAGTTTACGGCCAGCCTATCATCGCCGACGATAGCAGTTGTGTCGTCGGCGATCTTCCCGCTGTTTACAGAGAACTTTGACTTCAGAACTCTTGGGGACCTTGTTGGAGGGATTCTTGGGTTCAATGCATACAACTTCAAGATTATGTGCTGTAGACAAAGCGATATAGACGTATCTGGGGGTCTTGAGCACCTTAGCGTTGAGCGGAGGAACGGGTTTTATAGCAAGGAGATCATCACACTGTACGACTACTTTAAGTTTAATGAGGATGTTAGAGAGGGAAAGGCTGTGGATCTGCTTAGGTTCAAGTGCCGCAACTCCGGGGACCTCAGGAATTTTGTGCAGGTGGAGAGCAACTTTTTTTTCGACATTCCGGAAGTAGAGTTCCACGAGCCTATATCGAACACTGTCATTGGATGCGACCTGAGGTTCAAGATGGACTACTTCATCAAGAATTCTGTTGTTGGACATGGATGCTTCATTGGAGGAAACATAGACAGATGCATTATATGGGACGATGTTTCGGTGGAGGAGGACTTCATTGATCATATTGTCTTTTCTGAGGGCAGGGTTATCCATTACAATCATCTAGAGGAAGAGACGGATGAAGACGAGGAGGAGGACAAGCCGAAGAGGGGAACATCGTTCTTCGACGACGTTGTGTTGTATTTGCTATCTGTGGTTGGGCGAGAAGACTTGGACAAGGTGGATATGGATGATGTAGTAAAGCAAATAACTCTTCTCAGGATAGTGCGAAACGCCTCTGATCTAGACCTTATTGAGGCGTTTTCGATGTTTCTGGTGGAAATGATAGACTTGAACGATATAGATGGATCGACAATCAAATCTTCGATGTTTTTTTCTGTCCTCGACGGCCACATGGAAGAGACTGAGAAGCAAGAGATGCTCATGGATCTTATCATACAAGGGCTTGGAGAATGTCCGCAGGCAGCCAAAAAAGATGTGGTCTTCAAATACGGCTATTTATTAGTTGAGGATGGAATTATCTCCCGGTCTGTCTTCAAGAGATATAACTCGGTTTTGAAGACATGGGCTTCCTCGGATAGTGGGTGAGTGGTAATAAAGGGTTTAGAGAGAGACATCCTGTGTCTTTGTTTGGGGAGCCCCCCCCCCCATTTTTGAATCTTCTGAGGCCTTCCCAGTTTTGATGGGATGCAAGGGGATTGAAGATGTCGCGATGAACGGCAGGCTGAAGAAGGAAATTGAAGAGAATGGGTTCGGAAAGATGACCGAGGTTCAGCTGAAGTGTATACCGGAGGTGCTAAAGGGAAAGGATGTGGTGGTCCAGTCTCCAACAGGCACTGGAAAGACTATGGCATTTCTTGCTCCGATACTCAGCTGCATATACGACGGAAAGGGAAGAGGGAGGCCTGGTGTTACGGCCGTGGTCATCACGCCAACCAGAGAGCTTGCTCTGCAGATTAGGGAGGTGGCAGGCTTGTTTGATGTGAAGTGTGAGTGCTTTATAGGCGGGATGAGCATTGAAGAGGACTACAAAAGGATGAAGGAGGAGTTCAGCATTGCCGTTGGGACTCCTGGGAGACTCTTGGAGATTGTGGGCAAGGAGACGAAGAAGTTTTCATCTCTCAGCCATCTTGTCCTAGACGAGGCAGACAAGCTCCTGGGCTTTGGATTTGAGGAGAAGCTGATGCAGTTGCTTGCAAAGCTTCCAAGAAACAGGGTCACAGGGCTGTTCTCTGCAACGAGAAATGACTCTGTAGATAAGCTCTCCCGGGTCTTCCTGCGCAATCCTGTCAGCATCAACGTAGGGAACAACGAAATGCCCGTTGCTCTTGAGTATATTGTGGTAAGCCCTATGGAAAAGCTGCTCGTTCTTATGGACATTGTGACTGGTAGAAGATGCATTGTCTTCTTTGCAACATGCAGCGAGGTCGACTTTTTTTCTGGCCTGGTTTCAAGGGCCGGCTTTGGGAATATCTGTAAGATACATGGAAAGATATCGCAGGATGAGCGGAACAGGGTTTACGAGGAGTTTTTTCAAAGGGATGGGCTTCTCTTCTGTACCGACGTTGCAGCGAGGGGAATAGACTTCAGAGGCGTGGATTTGGTTGTGCACTTTGATGTTCCAAAGGAATACAGCAGCATAGTCCATAGAAGCGGTAGAACTGCCAGGAACGGAAGCAAGGGGGAGTCTGTCCTCTTTGTGATGCCGAACGAAAGGGCGTATGTCGAGTTTCTGAAGCTGAAAGGGATTCCCGCAGTGGAAAGCAGCTACAGAATGAAGTCCTCGCTGTCCTACCAGGACATAAAGAGCATGATCAGTCCGGAACTGCTAGGTCTTTCTGTCAAGGCATTTGTGTCGTACATAAGGTCATATAAAGAGCACTTTGTGTCATACATACTGGACTACAAGGGCTTAGACTTCGACTCTCTGGCAGAACTCTTTTTCCTTGAGAGGATACCAGGAATGGCTGAGCTAAGGAATGTGAAGTTTGAGAAGTTCACTAAGCCTGCAAGGGATGGGAAGAAGAGAGCCTTGCCCAAGAAGAAGTACAGAAAAAAAAGAGCAATAAAGTAGGTATTTAAGGTAAGCCATCAGGATTTCAGAACCAAGCCTCCTCAACAGCTGTGATGTTCTTCATATATAGCTTCCCCTTGCTGGAGACCAGACTTTCAAACACAACAAAATCACCGTTGCAAACAGAGATGCTATCCCTTGATGCAAGAACCTCTTCTGTGCGGAAGAAGTGGGAGCCCGACGAGGGTATGGCCAAGTGGTCAACAAATCCACGGTATATTATGTTTCTTATTTTGAGGCACGTATCTGGAGACAGGTCCAGAGACACGTTCCTGTCTGCCGTGCCCCCTGAGATATTCATCAGATACCCCGTCATTTTCATGGCTTCAACTGCCGTTGTATAGCTCATGCCCATCTCCTTGCAAAACGCCTTTCTGCTCTTGCTTTTCAAAAAGTCGCTGTAGATACTCAGCTGAACCAGGAAATCGCTCTTCGAGCCCTCAAAATACCTCTTGTTGCTGTGGTTCCTTCTCACCTCGGCTCCAGAAGAAATTAGGCTTACAAGGACGATGATTTCTGTAGATATGTCGTCAAGCCCCTGGGCACAGAGAAGCCTTGCCAGCCTGGGCTCCACAGGGTACCTCGACATTTTCTTTCCAGTGCCTGTCAGCTTTAGATCCTTGTCAACGGCGCCCAGACCTTGAAGACGCGCAATGGCATTGTTTATGGATGTTGTTCCGGGCTTTGACAAAAACGGAAAGCTATATATGTCTCTAATCCCTAAAGACAGAAGATTCAGGACAACGCCATCAAGAGGCTCTCTCAGGATTTGAGGCTTCATGGACTCGTAAAACCTCTCATAGGCCTCCCCAGAGTACAGCCTATAGCACACTCCGGGCCCAGTTCTCCCAGCCCTTCCCGTCCTTTGGATTGCATTGGACTTCGTAATAAAGTCAATGGAGTACTTTGTGACTCCTTCAGAGTCGACCAGCCTGTTTTTAACCTTTCCAGAGTCAACCACAAAAACAACATCCGGTATTGTGATGCTGGTCTCTGCAATGTTCGTGGCAAGAATGACCTTCCTGTTGGGCATCTTGTCGAACACAAGCTTCTGCTCCGACTTTGAAAGTGACGAGTGGAGAGGAAGCACCGTTATATCCATCCCTGAGTCCTCCAGTCTGCTCTTGAGCTGGTATATTTCCTGTTTGCTGGTCAGGAAAACAAGAATCGAAGCAGACTTGTCGTTCAAAACTTCAGACCCAATGATGTCAGACCTTCCCTCTCTCACCCTCCTTCTTTTTCGGGCTCCAGAGCTGGAAAGAACTATTTTTTTTACTCTTTCGTATGCAGCATCCAGATAGTCTGCCTCCGTCTTTTCCTCGTAGAATGTGCTTACCCGGAACCTTTTCTCGGGACACACAAACACCGTCACGTCCCCGAGAAATGCCTTGAATTCATCAGCATCCCCAGTGGCACTCATCAGAACCAGCTTGAGATCGTCTCCTCTTGCCCTCCTAACCTTCATGATCCTTGGAATAATCGAAATCAAGAGGTCGATGTTGGTGTTCCTTTCATGAACCTCGTCGACAATGATGACCGAGTACCTCGACAGAAGAAAGTCGTCCTGAATCTCCTTGATCAGGACGCCATCGGTCATCACCTTGATCCTTGTTTCCGAAGTGACCGTTGATTCGTACTTGATTTTGTATCCGCAAAGATTCTCGTTCATCTCCTCGTTGATTCTGCTGGATATCGAGGTTGCCGATATCCTCCTGGGCTGTGTGACTCCTATCATCTTTCCCGCTGCAAGCCCGCCCTCGTAGAGAAACTGTGGAATCTGGGTTGTCTTTCCACATCCAGGAGCCCCTGTGACAAAAACCACCGCCGACGTCCGGACCGCATATACAATCTCGGCCTTTTCATAGTAGATCGGCAGTGTTTTTCTATATTCCTCGATGTCTTTTCTTCTGTTTTCAAGGGCTTCCGTCTCATACTCCCTGGGAGCATCTTTTCTCTCATCCTCTACACTCCAGGCACATTTGTCTTCTTGAGCAAAACCCTGGACAATGCCGTCGCAGCTGGGGGTCTCCGAGCCCACAGAAGACCCAAAGGTCACCCCAGACTTTCTGTCCACATTTTTTGCGTGCAAATCCCACCAGTACATATCTACCGTTTCTTCTCCGTCTAAGTCTTCTACCGCTCCACACTCAGCACTCATCACCTCTCCCGTCGTGGAACTGCTTTCCTCATGGCCTGTACCGCGTGGAAGGTCTTCAGAAGCCGGTTCCAGGCTGTCCCCTACATCGCACGAGCTTTCTTCAACTTCTCCCGTGTCTTCCAGCCCAGATCCTCCCCGGCATCCAGTCCCTTCTTCAGGCCTCTTCAATGCAGCTATTTGTGCATATAGCTCATCTCTGTTTCTCTGCTTTCTTTTTTTCTCCAAGTACTTCTCCAAAAGTCTCTCCTTCTTGGTCGCCATCGCACCCAGGATTATTCATCTAGAACAGAAATAATGGTAATACAGAGGCAGCAGGCATGGGAAAGATGCCTGTGGAGCCAAAGAATTAGATGGTTTCATCAAAAAGCGTTTATATGCCGTCACACCCTCGCCTCGTTTCGAACATACTCTCCCGTGTCTGACTGTCTCAGTATAGCAAGCGCATGCCCCTTTGCAGCAGAATATCCCTGTGGAGACAGGGCAGTAATTCCAAACCCTAGAGGAACGTCGTGCTGATTGAACACAAAGACACCCGAGTTTATGGGAATTCCCTCTGAGATCCGGAATACGTGGGATTTCAATGCGTTGTTTCCATAGACATAGTTCATCTCTGCACTATTCTTGATCCAGACCTTATGTATTGCCCACCGGGAGAGGAGATTCAAGGACGCTACTCCCAGCCTGAAACTCCCGCTCTTAGTGAACTTGCCTATCACTGTTCCGACCATGCCGAGGTTCTTCCTGGATATCATAGATGTTGCTGCCCTCATCCTTTCAGAAAGAATCATAACACGCTGGTTGTGCAGAAAAAGCCTGTCTTCTCCAGAAAGAATCCTGTGGACATTGTCGCCGATGAAGAACCTAAGCTTCTTGAGAACCTCCTTTTCCTCCTCTGGCTTTAAGTCTCTCATGTGGAGGGAAGAGCCGATTTCCTAAAAATTTGCACATAGAAGCCTGGCATGAGACTCGAGGATGTTTGTGTGGGATTCAAAGTTCCCGTCAGGAAGGCCGTAGATGGAGGCGAGGAGGTATTCAAAGCAGAGATTCTGGGGAAAAGAGCCGGCAAGTCTGGACTGGAGTTCTATGTACACTATGTAGAACTGAACAGGCGGCTCGATGAGTGGATCGACGGATCGATGATCGACTTAGGCGACCCTGCCCAGATAGAAATTCCAAAGAAGAAGAAGACAGAAAAGACAAAGAGTGAGAAGTCGGAAAGGGTCTCAGAGAAGGAGGGTGAGCAGAGGGACGAGGAGCCAAAGCTAGAAAGGCCGCCGCAGGACGAGGAGTTCAAAATGAAGAATGTTAAGAAGATCATGCTCCGCAACTATCTTGTGGATGCCTGGTACTTCTCACCATACCCAAAGGCAGTAGCAGAGAGTGACATTGTTTATATATGCGAATTCTGTTTGTACTACTTCAGTGCAGTGGACAGCCTGGTTTTACATGCTAGGCAGTGCAAGCTCCGGCATCCTCCCGGAAGGGAGATATATCGGGACGGAGTCCTAAGCTTCTTTGAGTGTGACGGGCATATCCAGAAGAACTACTGCAGAAACCTGTCGCTACTATCAAAGCTATTTCTGGACCATAAGTCACTCTACTACGACATAGACGTGTTTATGTTTTATGTGCTTTGCAGGCTGGAGGACAACGGGTACCAGATAGTGGGATACTTCTCGAAGGAGAAGATGTCTGAGCAAGGATACAACCTTGCATGCATCCTGACTCTCCCCTTTGAGCAAAGGAAGGGGTATGGAAAGATTCTCATAGACTTCTCCTACCTGCTCAGCAGAAGAGAAAACGTGGTCTCCGGGCCGGAAAAGCCTCTGAGCGATCTTGGGCTTCTCAGCTATAGAGCATACTGGATGGAGGTGATTGTGGAATATCTTTCAAAGCACGACAAGGCAAGCATTAGCGAGATTTCCCGGGAAACCTACATATCCGAGGACGATGTGATAGGGACTCTGTGTGCATACAAGATGCTGAGGATGGAGGGAAACGAGTTTATTTTCACATACGCCGAGGACCAGCTGCACAAGGCCCTGAGATCCAGGAGCAGGAGTGTAAATGCCGCCCTGCTTAAGCTAGGCTGATGTGCTGAGAGTCAGCCTGCATCTGTACTTTGAATAAAACCATCACTTCTGAGCCGCCTCCAGTCCAATATGTACGATTCTTTTTTGCCATCGAAGTAGCTTAGATCAACGTCAGAAGCAACGCCACTGAACATCACAAGCAGGTAGTTGACAAGAGATGCCTTTCCTCTGTCCGAAAACCCCATCCCAACTATCTTGTTTACCTCCTCTTCGACTCTTGCCTTTACATCTTCCAAGAGACCTCTTGCCATATCATCGTTAGAAATAAGAACAGGAAGTCCCTTCTCCCTGTAATGCTTGTATGATGTTAGCTTCACCAGGTCCTCCTCCGAATTCCCGTAGAGGCCTTGGAGTATCTCCAGACCCATCTCTAGCTTCACGCCAAGAATGTATGACCACATCATCCTTCCATTGATCCTTGCATGGAATTTCTCCGAAAACAGCCTGTCCAGCGGCTCACACAGACGCTCGTCTGCACCAACTGCAACTCTTTGGACTCCGTTGCTCTTTATGTCGATCTCTCCGCTATTTATATCGAAATAGACATCTGTGTCTAGTGTAGAAAGCTCTTTGGAGCCATCGCCTAAAACTCTTCCGTAGCAATATTCTGCAGCTAGGAGGCCATCCAGGCACTCACAATCTATCTCCTTCTCAGCTAGTCTGCTAAACATCTCTATCTTCTTTTCCCTTGCCAGAGAGACGAGCCTGGATATTCTGCAAGAGACAAACGCCAGAAGGTCCTCTCGAGAAATCTTGTCTACTACAGGCTCGCAGGCTGTGAGGGCCTCTCTTATTTCCCCAATGTGAGAGGCAATGAAGGAGTCCATTTCATCAACAAGAGCATCCCTCTCCTTGATGTGTGTCTCCCTTTCCTTTCTTAGTGCCTGGACATCCATTACCAAGGGCATCCCCATGATGGCTAAGGTCCTCATAAACATCCGTGCTATGCCCTCTAATGGACATAAACAATGCGCTTTGCAGTGAAATCGATAGAGTTGCAGATAAATTGAAATCTCTTGGAGACATCCATGAATGGATAGTAGACCACAATGGCCATGCCTATCCATACAGGGGCGAAATGCCCGACGAGTTCGGCTATATAGTCAAGCATGGGAAGGACGGGCTTCTGATCCTCAAGGGCGGGCACGAGTTCATAGTGGATGCAATATCCAGGTTCATGATACCTGCTGCAGCATCCAAGCTTAGGAAAAACACCCTTTCTGTTGCTGCAACCAAAATGCTTAGGTCGTTAGAGCTCCACATCAAACAAATGGAAAAGATCGTGGGTGGAAAGACCTGCAGTGACAGTAAGGGCATGGCCATGGAGACTCAGGATGTGGCCAGACTCTACGAGAAATATTCCGAGGAGTTCCATAGCGGACTTGATCTGGGGAAGACACTTTTGAGCCATGAGCTGGAGCTTATCTTCAGAAGTGGAGAACAATGGGTTGGATGCATGAGGAAACTGTATGAGTCTGTATGCTCCGAAAGAGACGGGTTCTACGAAGAAAAGTCCTTCTGGAGCAGGTTCCATATGGAAATGTGCCACATAAGAGAGTTCTGTAGAAGCAAGGCGTTCAGGTTTGCCTGTGATGTTTTAAGGAAAAGTGGGAAGTATGTTACCGTGGCAACACTGGACAGCCTGCTATCGTCATCCAAATACTCTGAGCTTGGAAGAAGACTCCACGACTTCTATGCAAACATGGATTTCAGTGGGATCTATTTTCCAAAGAGCTTCTCCGAATTCAAGGACTCTGTCATAAGCGCCACCCAGGCAGTCAGTAGAGACATTGGAAGGCAGTCGAGGATGGCTCGAAGACTGATTCTTGTCCAAATGGACAGTCTGGCTAGGCTGATAGTAGACCGTATATGTGAATATGTCTCGATAGAGTGGCTCGGGTGTTGTGAAGAGCTGCTTACATGCAGCATGGAAAGCATGTCTTCGCTTGTGAACTCCTTCGATGGAGAAGAGTCTGAGGCAATGTCCCTGGAGTCATCGCTGTTCTATGAGTTTAGAGGAGGAGAGCATCTGGCAGGATTCTACTCGGCTTTTGGAGACATCAAGAGGATTCTTCTCTTCACTTGGTCATTCAAGAAGCTTGGAACACTTCTTCCAAGCCTGCCAGGATACTCTTCAGGCGGGATGGATTACGGAGAAGAGTACAGATCCTTATTGTGGGAGTTGGGGTCTGAGGTTGGGGATCCGGACAGTGGACCTGTGAGGAAATGGATGAGAAAAGATCTTTTTGATGCCAAGGTTAGATCTGGAGTGTCGTTTGGTAAGCAAGAAGAATTTGTTTCGGACATCTTCAACATAACCTTTGAAAGGATTCATGGAATGGACCCAACAACCTTGGAGGATGATGAAGAGGACACCCCAGCTCTTGCAATACTGCTTGGCCAAGAAGAAGCTGGGAGGTTTGTAAAGCTGTGCAAAATCATGAGGATGTTCTCCTTTTTCAACTCTCTTGAAATGTTCTCAAGAAGAACGCTGGCCAACAGGATGGCGATTGTCAAGTACCTCAGCTCTGTTGTGAGGACAGGGCCTTTATTCTTACAGAGGGACTTCTTCGGTAGGATGTCCGAGCTTCTTATGGCACGTGACATGTTCATGGAGGTTGACGGCGTTTTAAGGCTATTTTTTGGAGGGGAATGGAGTGGGATAGTACAACTGTCTGGGATAAGGAGGGCAAAGAGGTGTGTGGAGAGGCAAATAGACGACGAAATACGCGAATGGTGTAGCTCTGTACTTTCTGACGACTTTCTTGAAGAAAGAGCAGTGAGGGTTGAGAGGGGGGCTGACGGAGCTAGAAGGCTTAGGGCCTCATCCGGGTCACCCGTCCTAAGGAGGCTGGACGAGTACCTGATGATGATGTCTCTAGAGGATTTGATGCCTCTGATTCCCCATGCTGTTCACAGGAAAATGTCTCTAGTATCTGGAGTCAGGGGGATCTATAAGAGGGTTGTCTCTGGATGTGAGGCGATTAACACGATACTAGAGGATGTGGGCGATGATCTAGACCTCTTCTACAAAGAGATGGATCAGGTGTTTATGTCGATAGAGAAGGTCTTGGGCCTGAGGTGGAGGGAAGTAGAAAGAGCAAGCGAAGTGGAGGAGCTTATGGACAGAGTGCGGGAGCTTGAGAACAGAGTCTACTCCTACAGATTCTTTGTGAAGAAAATAGCCAAGGAGGAGATGAAGACGGTGTTTTCGAGCCGGATCCAGAAGAAAGAGCCGTTCTCGCTTGACTCGGAAGCCTATGTGGGATTCTTTAGACTCTACGAGAAGAGCATTGTGATACGGGGCATAAATAGGTCGATGGGCAGGGTGCTCTCACAGTACCTTGAATCGGTGCAGGAGGCGCTGGAGATAGAGGATGGTAGCTTTTTTGTTTCGAGACACAGAGTCCGAGATGGGGGGTTGGAGAAAGGCAGAGGATGTGATGCATGGGAAAATTGCTTCGACCCGCCCCTTTCCGAATACTTCAGGATCCTGGAGAAGATATTTCCTTCTGAAGAAGGATATTTCTTTGACGAGGTCCTCAAAAGACTCGACCCCGGTCACGAAATAAAGTCCAGGATAGAAGAGATAATCAGAATGGTCACAGTGAAGTACGACTTTTGTCTGGAGGTATTGGGCTCTGTTTCGATCTCCGAGCTTCCACAAGGTCTGTACAAAAGATTCATAAAAGTCAGGAGCTCGTACAGGAGTGCCGAGATGTTTGCTAAGAACACGATCCCATTCTTTGTTTTTGAGCACTCCATGGATACCTCTCAGCACCAGAAGCTGTTTGAAGCAGTGTGCGATGAAGTCTGTAGGTTTGTAGATACCGAAAACTCTAGAGTTTATGGCATGCTGGTGGCAGGAAAGGGCAGGATCTATGATGGTACGGAGCCCAGGAGCAGGATTGAGGCAGGCCCCATATGTGAAGAGGAGAGGGGAACAGAAGAGAGTGCCCTATTAGATGAGATATCTAGAACAATACTAGTTGACGAGTATCTGAACTCAGATGAGTTTAGGATGCTTGAGGAGCTGAATAGTGCTGTTGTTGAGCATGGATTGAAGAGCCCAAGCACACCAGTGGAGATGATTATAAATGAAAGGAATATTGTTCTGGAGATAGGTAGGAGAGCCTTGGATATGTTCCTGAGCAACATTCCATTTGGCGCCATAAAATCGAGGCGGGAGTCCTTAGACAGAGAAATCGGGGCTTTCAACAACGAGGTGGATGGTATAGCCAGGGAGGAGGACGAACTTATGTTCTATCCTATGTTCAAATCGCTTAAGGCCAAGCACAGGATGCTTGAGGAAAAGACCGAATACCTCAACAAAATTCTTAGCATCACAGGTCTTCCACTGATTTCTGACACTCTCCGAGAAAGAATAGACACGCTAGATGCCGAGTGGGACAGCTTCTGCAGGATTAGTGAGTCTCTTAAGAAATACGAATCTCAGCAAGTAAGTGGTCTGGATGTTGCCCAGTTTGTCTCGTTTCTGAGGTCGGTTGATACAGGTGCATTCCATGCCGAATACTTTCGAGTGTTTCTTTGCAAGATAAAGCACTACACGGATGCATGCGATTATCTGTGGCATGTGAAAAGTCCCTATGTGAAGAAGAAGTATTTTGATGCGGATATGGAGCTGAGGCAGTTTTTCCTGATGTTCAACCGGGAGGACATGGAGGCGAGGCTAGCTGATTCGAAGATGGAGTATGAGGTTGAGAGGTATGTGGAGAAGACTAAAGCAGAAGTATCTTCTCTCAAGCTAGAGCTGAGTTCTGTTGGGGAGGGGCAGGTGGTTGTATCGAACCTGGGCAGCATTGGGGACAAGGTTGGCAGGTTCCTGGTGGAGTATGATTCGATATCAAGGCTCAACACAAAGGGAGTTTTTCTTGACGAGCTTGGTGATACTAAGCGATACATAGACGAGTGCCTTGACTTTGTGTCCTGCTTTGAGGAGGTGCAGAAGGAAATAATGGAGCTTTCAAATGTCTTCTGTGCTGATGCGCTTCGGTTTGAGGCCAAGAAATATGCAGTTGTAAAAGAGAGGTTCTCGGGAGTTCTGGCTGGATCTGATGCTTCAGAGTCTGCAGGGGGAAAGAGTATTGAGCTGGCTGCTATCTTGGAGCATAAAGACGGGATTGTTGAGATGAAAAGAGGCCTCAACGATGTACTGAAAGGGCTTCGGATCTTCCTCGAAAAGTGCAGAGAAGAAACGCCCAGGCTCTACCTTATTTCTGACGGAGACCTCATCAAGGCACTGAACAACAGGTCGTACTATGAAGAGATGCTGAGGATGATGTTCAACATAGATGCTGTTATTACCAACAATGGCAGCATTGCCGGATTTGAAAGCCGTGGGGAGAGAGTGATGCTCCGAAAGGAGGTTCTGACTGACCAGAGCATTGGGGGCTTTGTCGACTCATTTTCGAATGAAGCCAGGAATACGCTCAGGTCTTACTTCTACGATGGGCTAGAGGGAATAGAGGAGGGATGCCCATCGATCATCTCGGAGCTGATTACCGAGTTCAAATACTTTAATAAGAAGACCTGTGAAATGACGCCGAAGCTCCGAGTACTTGAGAGGGAAATGGAGAAGTATCCGAACGGCGTTGTGCGGCTATATCCCAAGCCTGTGGTGGAAGACGGCGTGCTCTACATGGAGTCGATTGAGAAGATGGAGTATGGGTTTGAGTACTATCCTCCAACAGACATTGTATTTACACCCTTGGTGTGCAGGGTGCTTTCGAGCATAGCTGTTTCGCTGAAAAGCCTATGCGGCGCGATTCTATATGGAAGAAGCGGAACGGGAAAGACAGAGTCTGTGAAGTACTATTGCAGGCTTATTGGGAAGCCTGTTTTTGTTTTTTGCTGTAACGAGGACTGCGAGCTTGCAACCCTAAGAAATGTCATTGAAGGGGCAGTGCTCATGGGTTCTTACCTGTGCTTTGACGAGTTCAACAGGCTGAGCGAGGAGACAATGAGCGGAGCAACAGAGCTGATTCTCTCGAGCAAGGACAAGACGAAGTTTTTTCTTACGATGAATATAGGGTATAAGGGTCGGTACGAGCTTCCCAGGAGTCTAAGGGCGATATTTGGGGAAACAAGGATCGACACGCCCGATGTGAAGGATATTATTGACTACTACTGTGGTGGGATTTCTGAGAAGATCTACAGGCTGATGCAGCAGATGGAGTCCAGTACAAGCAGGCAGGACCACTATGATTTTGGACTGAGGGCAATAAGAATGATCGCAGGGCATGGCGGGGAAGCAGAGATTACAAGGTCAATGATCTACTTCTTCATGGCATGCCTTCTGAAAAAAGACAAGGCCGTGTTTGTTAAGGAGGTCCGGAGGATTTTTGGATTGGATGTGGAGGCTGTGGCATACAAGGATGCGTTGTTGCATGGGCTGGACAGTAGAAGAGGGGCCCTTGTTGTAGGAGGAAACGGGGTTGGAAAAAGCGTGCTGATAAGAGCAGCATGCGATGCAAGAGAGGCGGCCTGCTTCTACTATAACCCAAGAAACATGAGGGAGATATTTGGGCATCGAGATGAGCTTACTGGAGAGTGGAGGGACAGCAGATTTGTCCAGGATCTGAGGAGAAACATCCACGGCGGCAGGGAGTGCTGGTTTGTGTTTGATGGGCCTGTGGAGTCTTCCTGGATCGAGGACTTCAATCCGATACTAGACGAGAACAGGTTTTTGTGTCTGAGCTCTGGAGAAAGGATCAGGATTCCAGAGCACTACAGATTTGTGTTTGAGAGCACATCGATGGAAAAGATAACGCCGGCAACACTGACCAGGGTGTTTCTCGTGTATATGGAGGAAGACGGGCCTTCCTCTGCGTGCTGTTCACAAGACACCAGTGTCTTGGCAGGCATACGCTATGATGGGCAGAAGACCCTGGAGTTTCCGTTCAAGAAGCTTATTGCAACCGAGGAGCAAAGCTTTTATGCAAGGTCCATTGAGACATTGTCAAGGGATGGCGGAAGAGTCTTTTTCATCCGAGGGGAGGCCGGAGTTGGAAAGGGGGCACTGATCAGCGAGGTGTTTGGGGACGATGCTGTTGTGATTGAAGGAAGAGGGTTTGAGATCTCTATGATTGAAGGGAGTCTGGGAGAGGATAAGATAAAGAAGATCGGAGGAGGCAAAGTGTATGATGCAAGGTGTGTGATTTACATTGAGGAATTTGACTGCACAAACGTCAACCTGGTGGAGGCGGTCAGAGAGTATAACGAATACGGAAGGATGGGAGAGCTACAGATGAGAAACACAGTTGTGATATGTGGAGTCAACGAAAGGAATGGAGATGATGCAGTTAGTGGGACCCCTGGAGAGAGATTGGAAAGGAAGGTAAGGTCTGTGTTTGTGGAGGCACCGAGAGACATGCCATTTTTACTTGAGGAGGAGGTTAGAAAAAGGCTGGGATCGACAAGACACTTCAAGAGCTCCAAAAAGGTTCTGCAGGCTGTGTTGTTTGTCTACAAGAACTTTGGTGCCTCTCTCCGCAAGATTACAGACTTTATAAGAACATTGGGAGATCTGTGCACGGAGGATGGAGATCTGGGAGATCTGATGTATTTTGAGGCAAAGATCTACTTTGGAGAATGTAAGAGCCTACGGAACGAGATGCAGAGGATCTTTGGAAAGCAACCGGATGAGATTGAGTTTGATCTTGAGGCTCGGAGGTTCAGAAAGGCAAGGGAATGCAGCGACATTTCCTGCGTAGGGTCTATTCTCCACAGAGGATACAATCTTGTGGTTGAGGGACCTCGGATGTCAGGAAAGCGCTGGTTGGTGAGGGAGTGCACAAGACGCATGAGGATAGATGTAAAGATAGTCGGGCGTGAAGACGAAAAGAAAATCGACGGGCAGACTGCCTTCCTGGTGGAGGACAGGCTTACCCTTGGGAAGGGGTTGTCCAGCCGATGTATGACTTTTAAGCTGAGAAGGCGCTCTTACTACTCCCTGGACCTGCTTAGAGTGCATGGGAAGATTGCCGACGGGGACACATCTCACAAGGATGTGTTGAATGAATGCTTTGTATCTGAGATTGGGATCAACATTGATTCAGAGGGTGGAGGTGTGTTTTCTGAAGTGCCTTCCTTAATGGTGGAGATTGACGAGGATGGACATCCTTCCTCATGCCTACACCCTAGCATTGTGACCACAGGCTTTCTTTGTAAGGCAATTGAATTTGGCATGAGCTTCATAAGGATTTCAAAGGAATTTAGGGACAAAGAGATCAGAAGAAGACAATTCCTAACTGAAGGCCTGCAGAAGATTGAGGACTTCAGAGAAGAGGCGTGTTCCTTAGGGTCTGAGTCGTCGCGGAAAAGGAAGGACCTCCAAGACTTAACGGCTGTGCTGAACAGCCAACTCGAGAAAATTGTCACCTCTCAAAGGCAGATGGAGGACGAGAAGAAGGCTATTGGGGGCAGGAAGCGCGAAATGGAAGAAGCATTCGGCCTGAGCCAGAGGAGAAGGGAGGCAGTGGACAAAAGACTTGGGGTGGCCAAGGCGCTGCTAGAGGAGTCTGGGAGAGGGATCAAGGAACTCTCGAAGAGTAACCTATCGGAGATTAAGGTGATGATTAACCCTCCGGAGATAGTTAGGAGCACTGTTGAGGCAGTGTTCTGGTTGGTGGAGGGGAGGTCGAAAGGGGACATGGGGAGCATTGAGTGGAAGCAGCTAATCCAGTTCATGAAGAGGGAGGACTTTGTCTCCAAGGTGCTGGGCTGTGAAACTCTAGAAATTCCTGATGCTCTTGAAAAGCTGGTGTCTGGGCCGTTGTTCGTCCACGAGAAAGCATTGAATGCAAGTAAAGCCTGCGGGTCTCTTTTTCTGTGGGTGATGGCAAGATACAAGTATGCCAAGATCATGCTGGAAATCTCACCGATGGAGCAGGAAATAGCGGCGCTTGAGCACGACACCAAGAAAAGCAGGAAAGAGATAGAGGAGGAGGAAAGAAAGCTGATGGAGATTGAAGATAGAATTGAGGCCATGAAGAGCGAGTACAATGCATCGGTGGCTAGGCTTGAGTCTATAAGAGTGGAGATAGCGATGTTTGATGAAAAGGCCCTGATGATCAACAAGGTTATTTGCGAACTGTCGGATGAGGTTGAGAAGTGGAGGAGAATGAAATACCTGTGTCCCATAAGGTACATGCTCATGAGCTCTGAATGGATACTCGATCACAACAGGAGTGGGTTTATTCATCGTAGTGATGTTTCAAGGCTTCTCAGGACAAAGCGGTTTGTTTCCACCAGTCTTGAGGATAAGAACTACAGGCAGGTTCTGTCTAGCTGCAGCTACTATGGAAACGACGTCATTGTTCATGGATGTGATAGGTTTGACAGGGATGTCTACAGAGCTCTGAAGCATCAGATGGACAACAGAACACACTCGATTATATTGACGTCAAACTCAAAGACAAACCCTTATAAAGAGTACACATACAACTGCAGCTTTGCAGAGAAGTTTGAGGTTGAGGACCCGGGAGATCTAGAGAAGCTGGAAGAAGGACTCCTTGAGTTGATAGTTGGGCATGCACCGCTGGACGAAATATATGCCCATAAGAAGTCCCTGGAAAACGAGAGGAATGTTGACAGGCAATATGCCAAGAAAAGGGAGGTTTATGAAGTGCTCAACTCGCTCTTTAGCAGGAAAAGCAAGAGCTTTTTCGAGGTATACGGAGTCTCTCTCTCGTTTGGGATCTTTAAGAGGTATGTGGAGGACGTGGTGTATCCCATCCTAGCCAGTAGGGTATGCGGGGATGTCAAGAACATGTGGACCAGCATGGTTGATGCAGACATGGGCACTATTCAAGACATAATTGCAGGGAGCATAGATTCGTTCTACTCGAGCACGTATCCAGAGACAGGGTGTGGGTATGCGGATCTTGTGGACGAGATTGATAGATACCCGTTTGACTACACACTTGTAATTGCCTGCGACGATGCAACATACATGGTTGAGGAGAAGATGGCAGTTGCATCTGTGATATCTGCAGGCCCCAAGGAAAACAACGAGGAAATCTACAGGATACTAGGCGAGAAGACGCAGGAAAGGAAGACCCATCTCATCAAGAACATCCATTTCTTAGGAAATGCTAGGAAGACTGGAAATAATAGGCTGATATTCACGATTGAGGAGGGGAAAAGACACTCTCTGATGGAAGATAGCAAGGTTGTTTACTGCAGAGGTTACGGGGCCCACGAAACAAGCAGCAAAGCCCTTGCTTCAGTTCCTGGCGGAGACCCGGAGCTGGTGAAGTTCCACATGGAAATGATGTGCAGGAGTAGCCAGTTCGGCCTGAAAGACCTTGCTCTGTGTGCGGAGAACATGGGGCACTGCGACAAGGAGTACCTGAAGGCCATTGTGTACAGCAGCAGAATCGATATGTAAACCTACTAAATAAAAAGCCTTGCATAAAGCTTTATGTAATGAATTTGTCAAGAAATCCTGAAAATACGAAATGTTCCTTCTTGGCTATGACCTTGGCGAGATCAACTCTGAAGAGGGATCCGCGTCTTCTGGACTCTTGGCAGGATGCTTGGGTGCTTTTTCGCTCTCTGGGCATTTTCCTGCACCTTTTCGGCTCGTAGTCGGTAAGGAGCTTTTCCTCGGAACCTTTATCCAACATAAAAATTTTAGGCCCAGACATGAACCAGCTTTTTGTGCAGACAGAGAAGATAGTCGACCCTCGGGAGGGAAAGCTCCAGGTGGTGTCGAATGTGGATGTGTGCACCAAGATAGCAGAGTTCTTGGAAAGTACCCTGGGGCCTTATGGAATGGACAAGCTATTTGCAGGAAAGGAGATTGTTGTAACGAACGACGGGGCAACGATACTTAAGCACATGAATATAAGACATCCTGTGGGAAGGCTCTTGGTGGCCCTGTCTGAGTCGCAGGACAGCGAGGTTGGAGATGGAACAACTAGCGTTGTGATCCTAACCACCGAGATACTAAGCTGCTTGAAGCCGCTGATCAAGGACAACTTCGACCTTGGATGCATCAAGGGATGCCTTGAGGAGCTTCGGATGATGTGCATTGAGCATTTGGAGAAGATGGGGATGGAGCTTGACGACGAGGTGCTCTACAAGCTAGCAGGGACATGCATTACTTCGAAGAACATAAGGCACGAGAAGGAGTATTTTTCACGGATGATAGTGGATGCAGTGAAACAAGCAAAGATAGACGATGCAGAGTCGATTGGGGTGAAGAAGGTGCAGGGCGGGAGTATTGGAGACTCGGTTGCTGTGAATGGAATTGCATTTGAGAAGTGCTTTACCTATGCGGGGTATGAACAGCAGCCAAAGAGGATTCTGAATCCAAGGATCCTCTGCCTAAATGTTGAGCTTGAGTGGAAGAGCGAGCGTGACAATGCGGAGATAAGGGTTGGGGGAGTTGAGGAGTACCAGAGGGTTGTCGATGCTGAGTGGGCTATTATCAGGAGGAAGCTGGACGAGATAATAAGCAGCGGAGCGAATGTGGTTCTGAGCTCTCTGTCGATAGGAGATTATGCGACTCAGTACTTTGCAAAGCACGGGATATTCTGTGCAGGGAGGGTTTCGAAGGAGGATCTTGGACGGGTTGTAGGGTCTTGTGGAGGGAGTATCCTTGGGGCAACGGATTACCTGGAGGGCAGCCTGGGGGCATGCGCACTTTTTGAAGAGAGACAGCTGGGAAAGTTCAGATACAACTACTTTGAGGGAGGAGGGACGAGTGCATGCACCATGATACTCCGAGGGCCTGGACAGGAGGTTCTCGAGGAGATTGGACGGTCTGTTCACGATGCAGTGTGTGTTGTCAGGACAGCACTGAGAACAAGAAAGGTTGTTACTGGGGGAGGATCCGTTGAAATGGAGCTGTCCAGGATTATCAGGGAGAAGTCTATGAAGTATGATGATAAGAGGATGTTTGTTGCAAAGGCTGTAGGGCAAGCATTTGAGAAGATTCCCCTCCTTCTGGCCAGGAACTTTGGGCTTGACACGATCAGCACGATTCAGGACCTCAGAAAAAGACATGCCAACGGAGACTCGTGCGAAGGAATCAGCATTGATGGGGCCCGGGACATGCAGAAGCTCGGGATATACGAGCCTCTTGAAGTCAAGAAGAATATGGTCAAGGCGTCTTTCAGCGCGGCAGCCTCGATTATCATGATTGACTCGACAATCATGGCCGAAAAGAGTCAATAAAGCTATTCCGAGTAGTTGTGGGCCCCTCTCCATCGGATAGGAATGCGATTCATCCTGAAAATTTTTAAAAAATATCTAGGATGCCCTCATGAGAGAAGAAACACGGCAAATATTTCTGCAGACGATCGACTCTGATGCAGGGAAGAGAAGCATAGCGGAGGCGATGCTAATGGATTTGGAGAAACAGCCTGGATTTGTGATGTCTCTTCCACACACCTGCATGAAGGACGGGGACCCCATAGTCAAGAGGGTGGCAGCCATCTACTTCAAGAATGCAATAATCAAGCAGTGGAGAAGCAACGAGTACTCGGAGGCCCGGAAGTATCTTGTGGAAAACATATTGGACTTGTTTTTGTATGGGGATGAGGTGACTAGGACGGCATACAACGCGATCCTTGTGAATATCTTCAACAATGAGAAGCTAAGCGACTTGGATGGGATGTTCCGGAAGGCAGCGGGGTTTATGAGGACCTCAGAAGCAAACCATGTGCTTACAGCGCTGAACATGTATGAAAGGGTGTTTGATGCAGAGAAGATCAAGTACAATCTTGAGCAAGTTCTGGGCCTTATGTTTGACACAGCGGGAAAGGACATTCTGGAGAAGGTGTATGGATTTCTAGAGTCTGGAAACTACGGTATGGTCAAGACTGGGATGATTGTGCTGTCGAAGTCCTACTGCTACTACTCAATACCAGACTTCCTCTCTGCAATAGGAACCTTTTCGTATGTATTCAATCTTTCTCTCCGGATTCTGAACCTAGAGGGCAGCAACGAAGACCTCCTTGAGAGCAAGAAGTGGGCGGCATACTTCATGTACAAGTCGTGCAGCAAGGGGATCAAGAAGTTTTACAAGAAAAGCGAGCTTTCCGAGTATATCACGGACATGAACAGGTTTCAGATGGTGTACGCAACGTTTCTGAAGATCATACAGGAAAGGTCACAGCAGACCATCGACATCGAGTTGTATGCCATAGACTTTTTTGTGCTGCTGACATCCGATGCAGATTTTTTCCGGTACATGGAGCCGAATCTGTCGTACTTTATCTCTGGATACATCCTGCCCTTGTATTCTCTCTCTGACTCTGAGGAAGATGACTTTGAGAATGACCCCGATAAATATCTGAGGGAGAAGTACAACTTTTTTGGCAACGGCCTGAGGAGCAGCCTGAACACCTTGTTTTGCGAGATTATATCGAAGGTAAAGCAAAAGGAGGAAACTTTTCAAGGGATCATCAGCTACCTGCTCTCGATTCTCGGAGGCAGCAAGGAAACCCCAAGTAGAGACAACATAAGAGCGGCATATGGATCTTTCTTCTTGTTGGCAAGCATAAAATCTACTCTGATGAAGAAAGCAAGAAATGTGCTTGAGTACATTGTGGCCAACCATGTAATTCCAGCACTTCGCGGAAATTCGTGTATTCTGAAGTCCCAGGCTTGCTACTTTCTGTCAACAATAGAGGAGGATCTTCCGATCAATGGCCTGGCCCTTGAGGCTTTGGACAACACACACAAACTCATGAAGTCGAGCCACAGGGCGCTTATGGTTGAGAGCACACTTGCAATGTCGTTCTTCCTGTTTAATGAGGCATCCTCTGAGAAATTCAGGCAGCTGATTCCCGAAACTGTAGAGTCGATACTCAGCCTCTCCAACACATATAATCTTGAGCCTCTGACGATGTTGCTGGATTCGATCATTGGATACTATCCCGAGGAAATATCGAAATACGCACCGGAGCTTGTAGGGTCTATATCAAGGATCACGTTGTCGCATCTGATGAACGAAAGCGATGTAGGAGAAGACAAGCAGATGGTTGTCTCTGGCTTCCTTCGAAGCATCGAGAGCCTTATTCTGTCTCTCGACCAGAGGTCTCTGGTGCTCAAGTACTCATATGTGAACTCTTACGACGTTATATCCTTCATTTTAAAGGAAGAAAAGTCTGACTTCTACCAGGAGGCCCTGGACATACTGAATGGATATGTGTATATGATCAAGGAGATAGAGGGCTCCATGTGGGGCCTGTTCCAGATGGTGCTGAATCTTCCGATTGACGAGATAACGGTATACTCGACAGAAGTAGCAGACTTGATCGACAACTTCATAACATACGGGAAGACAAGTGTCATGGATGCAGGCATACTGGGAAGCATCTGCTCTGTGATATCAAAGCTTTGCCTGTGCAACGAGGAGAACTTCCTTGACGAAGACTTCATAGGAGGATGCCGGATCATTGAGTCGATTATCCTGAACATAGGAAACGAGCTTCTCTCGAAAGACCCCTCAAGACTTCCGCTTTTCATCTCTGTTGCGATCTCTGGAGAGAAGATGATTGATGAAGATGGCCCTGCAATTGTATATGCGCTTGAGCTGATAATGAACTGCTTCATTCTGCGACCAAAGGAGACCATCCGGATCCTTAGGGAGCAGAAGTATCTCCAATCATTCTTTGAAAAGCTCTTCAGCCAGAAAAACAAATTCAAAAGAGTGCATGACAAGAAGATATGCATGCTGTTCATAGGAACCATTTGCAGGCTTCAGGACGGAGCTCTTCCTGAGCTTGACGTGCACGGTCTTGGCGAGGTCCTTGTGGCAACGGTCACCTCCCTCCCTGAAGCCATAAGACTAAGGAACCAGATGAAAGACGACGAAGACGCTCCACCGCCACTCGTAAACACAGAAGATGATCAATGCCTCGATGCAAGCGACATCAGCTGCACGGACATCCTAGAAGAAGACATTTACTTCGAAACTGAGCTGGACAAATTCGAGCCGTTCGGATACATCTCCTCGATACTCTCATCTCCTGCATCCGGCACCTATGCAGAGAAAATCATCTCCACAATGACGGATGAGCAAAAAGACTCCCTCTCGACTGTTCTAAATGGTGAAAGGATTATCCAGAAGATATGAAGCATTAAAGACATTTATTCTGATTTGGATGCTCAAGGCTTCCACAGCACTCGAATGGTCTCCAAAAGCTCAATCAGCTCTGCTTAGATGAACATTGAATATCCTGCTTTTATTCAATAAATCGTCAGCAAGCACATCAAGGTACATGAATGTCCTGTTGTTCTGTCCATCAACCACAGGTATCTTTCTAAAGTCTGCGAGAAACAACCCAATTAGAGGCCTGTACTTGTGAAACCTCTTGGAAAGCCTCAGATAAAACAGAGAAGCGGCTATAAAATACACGTTTCCATGAAACATTTCTGCCGGAGAGCCCAGAGGCTTAGGCTCGAGAGGCTTCAGATTCGCCAAGTCCACAGCAACAGCATCCTCACTCAGAGAGGTGGCCCCCATCTTCTGGACAAGACACAGAAACTTGTGCGGAGTGCCCCTGATAAGGCCTCCTATCGAGTCCAGAGAGCAGATGCTCTGAATCACATCCGCATGTGTGAACGACCTCATCCTCTTGAACTCCTCCGAGCCGAGTATCTTTTCTCGCGTCATTCTGTTGATGCCTTTGTACTGCATGGGGACAGATGCATACAGACCAAAATATCTCCAGGCCTCAAGATTTATTCCACTACATTTTTTCAATCACACCAAGAAGTCTTTTCGACTCCTTGAGGATATCTAGGTTTTCTACGCTCAGCCCACTGTATCTCATCCTAATCTCATCATTGTAGCTGTCCTGCTTTGATTTGATTCTGAACAGACACTCCCTGAAGTACATTCTCCTAATCAGCGCCTGTAGCTCACCAGGGGCCTCCTCGCTCATAACCTTCATCTCCCTGGCGGATATCCCAAAGAAGCTTGTTGCTACCTCGTCAAAGAGGCTTACCCACATCTGCCCACTGAAGTCTCCAAGATGCATGGTCACCATGTACCTGTAGTCACAATCTTCGTATGTCATGTTACATCTCTCGCATCTGTAGCACCCGCCGTCCTCCATCACAACCTTCTTATTGCACCCCTCGCCCTTACATGACGTGTACCACAGCCCGTCTTCCTTCAGAAACATCACCGTTCCTTGGACCGTTGAATATGTCAGATCGCTTTCCTTAACCTCCTGGATCAGTCTTCTCTTCTCTTCTCTTCGGGGAAGAGTCACCTGCATGTCCTTGCCTATCGACTGGTACCATCCTTCAAGCTCGTGCGCCTCTGCAATGTCCGGGTTGGTCACAACCTGAGACCCTCCAGTCGTTGATATCGAAATCCCGTTGAACTCGCTGACCTTAATGGACTTGAGTGCAAGAACCATTCCACTTTCAATCTCAAGCTCAGCCTTCGGCCCCCACAGCGTCAGCCTCACACTTCCGCCATCGTCGACAAGAACAGCATCCCTCTTGAGAAGTTCGCTCTGCGTGCTTCGCACCATCACTGTCGAGGGTGCATACACTTCCTTAACAACCCCAATCGTGTCGCAGTATGCATTTCCAAGCGTCAGGTCAGAAATCTTGACAAAGTTGAAAAAGTACTTCGGAGACCCGTCGTCGGCAGCACGGTGGACCTCAGAGCTCTTGTCCAAAATAATCTCATAGTCAAATGGATTTGTGGAATATTGCTTGTTCGCCATCTTAACAGTTCCCTTTGCAATGGTGTAAACCTTCCCCACCTCAACTATAGGGAAGAAGATGTCCACACAATCAGAAAAGCATATTATCTTCACCTGTGCAGTTCCGTCCGAAACCTCGAAGTTGAATACCTTGCCCTCTCCTTTCTGGTTGGTGAACCTTCTTATGTCGCTCTTCATCACCACCCTTCCCTTTATGGCCCACTTGTTGTGGAACGGATTCAGCATGTTTATGGCCGTAAACTCTCCTTCATCCTCGGCATCTCTCTTCACCCTTTTCTTGTCCTCCTCATCTGGTGCTCTGCGATGCTGGTTGACCCCGTTCGTATGCCTCTGGTTTCCGGGACTTGCCTGATTGTCACTGAAGGATGCATTTCCGGTGCTTATGTTCACGGGCTTCCCAATCTCAACGTTGCAGTCCTCATACGCCTGGATCTCCTGGATGTATATGTACACGCTTCCGTCCTTGGACCTTACACTAAACCTTCCAGGCCTGATGAGGCTGTATCTGCTCACAAGCCCCTTTTCAAAGTGAGGCGTGAGCTCGCTGGAGAATATTCCCTTCATGTAGTTCACCCCGTCAGACAGGTTAACTCGATATCTCTGCTTGTCTCCAATCGCAACAGATAGCTTTCCCAACGATGTGATCTGGAGAACAGGATTCTTGTACAACGGATTGTTGGCCTGGCTGTTGTAGAGGGCTTCGACTGTTCCCGGCTCGAGTTTCATGGGGGATCCAGAAGTAGTAATTGAAATACCCGTTCCCAACGGCTGCAGTTTCAGATGGTGATATATGTGGAGATACCAAAACACCAGGAAATATAGGCCGATGGAAGAATGGGATGGCGATGTCTTTACATGGAATGCAGGGAAGGAAGACATCTACACACTTATTGAGAGCATCTTGAGACTGCTAAAGAATGGATGTAAGGGCATGGAGAACATGGTTGTAAAGTATCTGGGCACTGGGGCTACAGACAGCTTGTACATGTATTTCCCTTGGCTCAGAGGAAGAGACTTGGAATCCAGACTGTCTGTTGAGCATCAGATAGACAGATTCTGGAAGATCAGGTTCGAGCTCCACGAGGAACGGACCAACTCCATGGATAGATATGAAGACATTGTAAGCAGCTTTCTTGCACTCGACACCAAGTGCGGGATACTTGGAAAGCTGGAAGGACAAATGGCCCTGGTTGATGAAATCAGGAGAATCTACAGCATAACGTCCCAGGGGTCACCCAGGAAAAAGAGACTAAGGGAGTACAGATTACATGGTACACTGTGCCTCCACCCCGGAGCAGGGAGCATGAGATTGTATGCCTCGTTGTTTAGCCTAGATGCAACGGTGAAAGAAATAATCTTTCCGGAGATCGAGATCTTTCCGTCGTCAACGTTTCCCATTCTTGTGCCTCTGAGAACAGACAGGGGGGTTTCGAGGATTATATACAAGAAAGGGGACGACCTAACCAGGGACTTGTTTGTTCTTGAGACCATAAGATATATGTCCAGGCTGATGGGCGTGGATTTGGTGACATACAAGGTGATACCGCTGAGCAGAAAAGAGGGGATTGTAGAGGTGGTGGATGGAATAGACTTCACAAGGATCAGGAGCAGAAAGGACCTGGAAATGTATATTGAGGAGGACAGAGACCCGAGACACCAGGAAAGCTTTGAAAAGAGAAAGGTGTTTGTGAGCACCCTGTGTGGGTATTCGGTTGCTTGCTATGTGATGGGAATTGGAGATAGAAACCCAGGAAATATGATGGTAACAAGAGATGGGAAGTTTTTTCATATTGATTTCAGCCATGTGTTTGGCAGGGATCCAAAGCCCATCTCCTCCAGAATAACAATTGCCAGGCCCATACGCGACTACCTTGTAAACGATGAGCTGATCTACCAGGACTTTCTTGCAAGATCCGGGGAAGCATTCCTCCAGATAAGGAGATCGTGCCGCAAGATCTTTGTCCTGTGGTGTATACTGGCTCAAAACAGGATCTTTCAGTTTGACCTGAATGAAATCATCCCGTTCGCGCAAGCCCGGCTGAGGATGGAGATGTCAGAGCAAAGGGCGCTGGAACTTTTCGAGAAAGAGATCAGGGGTGCCGTCGGGAGCCTTAAAACGTCAGTAGCACATCTTATAAACAGAGTGGGAATGTTCTTAAGGAGATAGATTATTGAATGTCTGTGTCCTGCCCCTGATGGACTTTGGGCAGCTTCGCAGAGCATTCAGGGGCAAAATCGAAGAAAAGAAGTTTCCTTTCATAACGTCGTCGGCGCTATCTCTGGGTGTAGGAATCGCCATTCTCGGAAGACGGGGTGGATCTGACGACCAGAGCATTGTGGGGTACGTTAGACGAGCGGGGGCAAGGATATGCAGTTTTCTGAGGGAAAGAAACCAGGTGATTCCTGTGCTGCCTCCCCAGGAACGACCAAGGCCCACCGTTGTCTTTGACTGCGAGGACTTTCTTGTGAAGAAGAGGTTCTCGTTTTTCAATCTGGACTTCCTGGTGACCGGGAGGGCATTTGCAGATCTTTTTCTTTTCCATGCTGCTCACATATATGAGTTGGTTCATGTTTCGGGGTCGCCGGGAAGCTTCTCTAGGCTTCTTCTGCATAGGATAGATCCGTATGGCTGCATTTCCTACAAGGTGTATTGCAAGGACAAAAAGACGTTCAGCAGCGAGCATCTAAACAGGCCTCTCCAAAGAGTTGTGGTTGTCTCAACAAGAGAGAATGAATACCACAAAGACTTCGATGGAAACACCATAAAACTCGAAAGATGGTCAGGAGATCCCGAGCATGGGCTATTGGATCTCCTAAACTTTCTCCACAGCCTCCATTTCATGGGAATAAAAGACTTCAGAGGTACGCTGAGATCGTATCTAGGGAAAGACTTTTGCAGCGCCTTTGAGAAGGTGCAGAAGAGCATATTTGTGCAAAGAAACATGTTTTCTTGGGACGTAGGAAGAAGATACAGAAGTAGGATCAACGAAATCAATGAAAAGAGAATGAAGGACTTCAAAAGAGCAAAGGAAATTATGGACACGGATCTTCCGAGGCGGGACACGATAGAGGAGAGCTCCATTCTCCAGTATGTCTTGGGCCTGGCAACCAGGCTGCTCATCTGACAGATGCTAGGCATGAAATAAAACTTTGGACTATAAGCCGACTTGGAGGGCGTCCAGGATTTTTCAAGCTTTCAATGCCCTCAAAATTACCGGATAGAAACGCCCATCGGATGATAAGAAAGGAGGATATAATGTGTGTCGAGAAAACGGGCTTCGGGCCGTTCTGGGAGGAGTTTCTTGTGTTCATAGAGGTCGGCGAAAGGATCGGGGGTCTTTATGGCCTCAGGGTAATGAAGAAGAAAAAGATAGTGGACTATGGAGAGCAGAACATGATGCACCACGAATACTATGTTCGATCGAGGATAAGGCATTCCTTCCTTATCAATACAATATGTGGATTCCAGGACTACGAGCATCTATTCCTGCTCTCTGAACAGTCGCAGAACTACCTTATCAAGCTGATCAACTCTGAAGGAAGATTCTCGGCAAAGGTGTCCAGGTTCTATCTGGCAGAGATTCTGCTGGCAATCCAGCATTTGCATTCAAAAGGGCTTTCGTATGGATTTCTATCGCCAAGCAACATGATGATAGGAGACGACGGACACATAAAGCTGAAGTACGACTTCCTAAACAGGATAGATTGTGTTGTTGGGGATCCCGAGCGCAACGTTGAGTATGCATCGATAGATTATAAGGAGAGGGGAGAAATCAGCCCTGTGTCTGACTACTGGTCGATGGGCATAATACTATACTACATGCTTGTCGGGGTTACTCCGTTTGCGGCACCGGACACTGCCCTGGTCGTTGCGAGAATTAAAAGGGGCAGGATCGAGTTTCCAGAGTTTCTCGATGAAAATGCCAGGGACCTGATATCGAGGCTTCTGGCTGTTTCTCCTAGGGATAGGCTTGGATATGCAGAAGGTGATGCAGAGACTATAAGAAGACATCCATTTTTTGGCGGGATGAACTGGGAGGAGGTTCTGCAGAAAAAGGTTGCACCGCCGTTTCTGTTTAATACCACAAGAAAAGAGTGCCTTTCGAGATCTGCAAACCTCAAGGTTCTTTATACAACAGACTATCTTCCCGATCAAAAGGATGGATATGGGCAAACATTCCGAGGATACGGTGCCACATATGCACCAGACACCTATAGAAAGATATGGAGATGCGGCTATATCTGATCCTAAGAGCTCTCTGCTGCCGGGGAGGTCTGATGAACATTGAAATGTGAACTATTCATTTTTTTTCTCAGAGCTGTAGAATACCCTCCTTGTCAGCCTGGTGAGGGCATCCTGAAGAAACATGGGAATTCCCCTTGACACAATGCTGATTGGCTTGAATATCCAGGGTACGAAGTCCTCTCTGGCGCCATTCTCGATGTCCCTAAGAAGCCTTACAGCAACATAGTTTGCATCGAGCGTCCAAAAATCCTTGACCTCGCTGAACAGTGAGGTGTTTATCTTGTAGGGATAGATTATCATGGTGTCCTTCCCCTCTCTCCTCAGCGACTGGTTCAGAGTATGGATGAATGACTTGGAGGCACAATACATGGAATATCCTGGAAGCCCTTGCTGGGACAGCACAGAGTTGACAAAAACAAACTTCTTGTACCTAGTGTTCTTCAGAAGCCATAGATGCAGCTCCACATTTAGCCTCAGCATGTCCATCACCTCAGCATACTCCATGTCGTCGAACTTCTTATTTCCAACACTTGTCCCCAGGTTTGATATTACAACATCGAATGGGATTGTGATATTGGGCCTTTCATTCAGAAGATCCACCTGGTGATACTCCATGTTCTCGTGGACAAATGGCCGTGGTGACCTCCCAAACACATGAACATAAGACCCTCTTTTAATGAGCTCCTTTGTGATTTCCAGCCCAAGACCCTTGCTGCCGCCGGTGACGCAAACAGTTGTTCCTGCAAAGTTTATTTTTGCCATGGCAAGGCTCTGTAGAATTGTAAAAATATACAACATCCCTAAATGACAACACAGGAAGAGGTTTCGAACATCTTCAACAGCGACGGCAAGCTGCTGCAAATTGAATACGGCCTGGAGGCAGTGAACAACGGGCTGCCTGTTGTGACTGCCAAGTCCAAGGACATGATTGTCTGCGTGTCGAAAAAGATTCCTCAGGACAAGCTCGAGGAATCTGAGGCCACGAGCTTCCACAGAGTGTCTGAGAAATGTTATGTGGCAATTACCGGACTTCCAGGAGACACAGACTATGTTGTAAAGAGGATTAAGATGGTTGCAAACAGGAAGGCATTTTCGTTTGGGTTTGAGGTGACACCAGACATCCTCTGCAGATCGTTTGCAGACAAGGTCCAGCAGCTTATCCAGAGCTCTGCAGAGAGGTCGGCTGCATTCAATGCCTCTATATTTGGCTTTGACAAGGAAAGGCCGATGATCTATCAAACAGACATGTCTGGGATTTCGTATCCTTGCTATGCGACTGCGGCTGGGGAAAAGCATGGGAAGATGACTAAGTTTATTGAAAAGAACTATCGCAGCGACATAGACGACAAGGAGCTTTTTGAGGTGGCTGTCGGTGCACTGCTTGAGTCCATTGGAGCGGACTCCGGATGCTCCGAAGTTGAGGTTGCCTATCTAAAAGTGGGCCAGGATCTGTGCCATCTGTCTGCGAAGGAAGTAGATAAGATCCTACAGGACATAGCAGAAAAATAAAGCCATTCTTGTAAAACTTGGATTCTGTGAATTTGATTGGGGCAGACTTCATTTGAGCCCGGTATGGTAATGAGGATGATGCTTCTAAAACACTGGCTGCCGACTTAGGACATGGGCTTGGGCAGAGATGGGCCGGAACCTGGCATGGAAGAGAGGCTCTGGGTCTTCTGAGGGTACTTTCTAATTCCAGGCAGATCTTCAAAATTGTAGCATTCAGCAAAATTTTCACTCCTATATAAAAAAAGAAAAAATAAGCCCCAAAGGAATGAGCGAAATCGGATCTTCAGTTCCGGTGAATGAAAATAGACCTCTTTTGACAGAAGACGAGGTTGAGGCGCAGGCAAACTCATCTACGGTGTGGCCTCTGAGCCGCATCAGGGTAGCAAGATGCGAGTGGAAGCTCTGGGGTTCGTTGGCATTTATTTTTGGGGCTTCAGCTTACATCTACTCATTTTCAAGGGTGATGAAGGATTCGTTTGTACTGTCTAGACAGCTACCCATTGCCATTTCGTTTCTCAAGACATGCTTTGTCCTCCCGATATCGGTTATTGTTACCGGGATTGTGCAGAAGCTCTTGGTGACACGGACGATATCGAAGGTCTTCGACTACACGCTGATTGCATTTTCGTTTCTCTACCTTTTGATTGGGATGGTCCTCCTTCCCTTCGCAGAGAAGATCCAGCCGGGACTTTATTTCTCTCGGGACATCTTTGCAGACGACAAGATGGCATACAAGGGATTTGAGTTTCTGTTTGCAATCTTCCTGATATTCAACGAGTGGACGACAAGCTTTGTCTATGTATGTGCGGAGCTGTTTGGGTCGCTGGTGGTGCAGTTTATGTTCCTAGCATTTGCAAACGAGGCGCTTACGATCAGGCAGTCTACGAGGATGATGCCACTGTTCTATGTGATCTCCAACATCCTTCTTCTGCTGTCGTCTGAAAGCACGAGCTTCTACTCGAAAAAAGTGAGGGAGTGGGACTACAAGAAGACATGCTTGATCACAAACTCCTTCTTTGCTGTGTTCGGAGCCATGATAGCTGTTACATATTTGGTGAAGAAGTATGCAGAGAACACGATTCTTAAGAAGCAGCTTTTTATCCGGACTGAGGGAGTTGCCAAGAAGAAGGGACGCAAGTCTTCTGCTGGCTTTTCCGAAAGCATGAAGCTTATGGCGCAGTCGAAGTTTCTGGTTGCCATGGTGATGAATGCCCTTTTCTACTATGCAGGCACCAACCTCATTGAGTCTTCGTGGAAAAACGGAATAAGCGTTGCAGCAGATGCCAACAACATGGAGAAGAGAGCATACTCGGCCTCGATTGTGTCTGGGGAGCAACGTGTTGTTGGGGCTCTGGTTGCAATAATACTGCTGACGCCCATATCCACCCTTGTTCAGACACACGGATGGATAACCATGGCAATTGTTCCTCCACTAGTCACATTAGTGTCTTCTCTGGTGATATTTGGATCGGCATTCTTCAACTACTCGAATTATCCGGAGGGGAAGACAAGCGTGATCCTTTCCTCACTGGTCAAGGGATATAAGCCAAACTTCTATCTAGAATGCAACATAGGGATCTACTGCGTGAGCGGAATGAAGATTGCTAAGTATGCCTTCTACGATATTTCAAAGGAGGCTATTTCCCTTCAAATTGACCCTCTATACAGGCCTAGACTGAAGGCCGTCTATGATGGACTCTGTGGCAAGCTTGGGAAATCAATAGGATCGCTCTACGCAATGTTTTGGTCTGTGATGGGATACAACGATGTGAGGGCTGCTGCACCGATTACCCTTGGAATGTGGCTGATAATATCGCCCATCTGGATATACTCAGTTATATACCTGAACAGGAAGTACAACCAATCCATCCAGACTTCATCCCCAATTGATCTCGATCTTTTCTCTGGTAAAAAGGATCTTGAATAAATTAATAGTCCACTAAAACCTCTTGGGGTGTCACCTGTCCTTTCGTCTACGTAGGATGGACTGATAGCTTTATTTCGTTAGGCCACCCTCTTACACTTGCCACTCGACTGGTGATTTGCCGTGGTCCATGAGATACTTGTTGGCTTTTGAGAAATGCTTGCAGCCGAAGAAGTGGCTAGAGCTAAGCGGGCTTGGATGTCCGCAGGTTAGCACCAGGTGTTTGTTCCTGTTGATGAACTTGCCCTTTGCCTGTGCATGCCGCCCCCACAGCATGAACACAACATTAGTGCATTTCTCGTTTATAACCTGAAGAATACAGCTTGTGAACTCCCTCCATCCGATGCCGGCATGCGAGTTTGGTCGGTTCTTCGTGACAGTGAGAACATCGTTCAGTAACAGAACTCCCCTTTCTGCCCATCCCGACAGATCCCCATGGGAAGGAACCTCAAATCCCTCGATGTCAGAGCTAATCTCCAAGTATATGTTCTTGAGACTGGGCGGGACAGGTATCCCCACCGGAACAGAAAATGACAGCCCCATCGCCTGGTTATCGTTGTGGTAAGGGTCTTGACCCATTATAACAACCTTCGTCTTCTCCAGCGGGAAAAATCTCGAGAATGTAAATATCTTGTCGATGGGCGGCAAATGGTTTCTGTTTTCATGGAGAAATCTCTTGACTCCCCTGAAGTAATCCTTTCCAAACTCAGGCTTCAGATGCATCCTCCACCTCGGGTCGATCTTCTCTTCAAGCCTACAGTATTCGCATGGCTGCGCACATCCTTCGTAGGTCCAACCTGCTTCCAAGCTCTTACTTGGGCCTGTGCCTGCTGAAGTCTTCCTTTTGGAAAACATATCGTCTAGGCTTAGCTGCCTCTTTCCATGGCATCCCTTGCTCTCAGAAACGGAAAAGACCCCAGGAAGATCTTCTTTCTTCTCTCGATCCATTGTCATTCGTCAGGATGGACATTTGCTAAATTAAATAGCCCTGCCGTTATATAAAAATACACAGCTGCCAATGCAACACCTGTCCAGTAATTGAACCCCATGCCCTAAACATCCCAACAATTATTCCATAACAGTATTATTGGCCGCGGGATAGGGAGTAAGATGTTTGCTAGATAGAGATGATAGAATTATCCTTATTTGAAAGGACAAATTAAGTTATTCGCGCCCAGCCCTAAAGGAAAATTCCCGCTTTGTCCATAATACAGCCCGGTCCCAAAAAACTGCTTTCCATCGATTTTTATCAACACCGTTCACATCCCTAAATGAGCACATTTCAGCTATCGGCATCTTCTAAAGATTCTTATCTCTTCAGAACAGAGGAGGAGCTGGAGGAGGAGGTGTACGGAAAGACTGGCTTTTTCAAGCACATAAGAGTGGCACGAAACGAATGGCCTAGGGTTCTGTATCTGTCTCTTCTATTTGGAGTCATAACAATGGTGCATACAATAATGGGAAATCTGAGAGAAATGGTTCTTATGGGGAGGCAGGACCCTATGTCCATGTTCTTTATCAAGTCTATCTTTCTTCCGCCATGCTCTCTGCTCTTCATCTGGGCCATTCAACTAGGACTGAGCCTCTTCACTCCATCCAAGATGTTTGACATCACCCTGATCCTCTTCTCCGGATGTTACATCCTTTTCGGGCTAGTTGTGTGGCCGCTCAAGGGATACATACAAAAGGACTTCTACTGGTCAAGAGACATCTTTGGGGACGGAAAGATGGAGTCTCTCAGGATCCATTTTCTGTATCCCGTCTTTCTGGTTTTCAACGAGTGGACGTCTTCATTCCTCTTTCTGTGCTCGGAGATGTGGGGAGCTCTAGTAGTGTCATACTTCTTCAACATCTTTGCCAACGAGGTGTCGACAAGGAGGCAGTCCCAGAGATATATATCGGTCTACAACATATCGAATGCCATATCTATTTTCCTGTCTGCCGTTCTTACATTGGTATTCAACAAGTGGCGAGATGGGGTTGCATTTGAGACGAAGGAGCTGGGATTCAGGATACTGATCTTGGTGCTAGGCTCCACGGTGATCGGGATTCTCGCATTGAAGAAGTACATGGAGAGGGAGATCCTCCCAGCCCCTGTGTTTCTGATCAGGGAAGTAGAAAAGACGAGCACCGAGCGGAGGAAGCTCAAACTGGACGAGGCTCGGCAGACCCTGTCCCGATCAAAGCTGCTGATTGCCATATCCTTAAACGTGCTTCTTTACGGAGTTACCTCTACCCTGGTCGAGGCAACATTTAAAAGTGGGATAGCAGCAGGAGCCAGATACACAAACAACTCAAAAGAAACATTTGCAAACTTCTACAACGGGCTGGAACAGATAATAATTGCCATATCTCTGCTGGTGGTTATCAATACACCATACTCTGCCCTGGTCAAGAAGGGGGGCTGGAAATATCTAGCGTCTCTTCCAATAGTGATAGCCATGTTCTCGCTCTTTTCTGTGTTTCTGATTGCCTTTTACAACGTAGGAGCAGACAGTGGGGGGAATGTGCTGTTTGGATCTCTCTTCAAAAACAGAATGCCTACATTTATCCTCGAAAATACTCTTGGGCTTGTAACAAATGCATCCATGAAGATAGGGAAGTACCTTGGGGCAGATGTTTCAAAGGAAGCCATTTCGATGCAGATAGATCCCCTGTACAGGGCAAAGTACAAGGCTGTCTACGACGGGCTCTGCGGAAAGCTTGGGAAGTCTCTGGGATCCATAATATGCACGGTTATGACAGGGCTGTGGGACATAACGGACATCCGCAGGGTGTCAAGTGTGTCAGGAATCCTTATTGTTATCATAATTGCAATGTGGTATTTCATCCTAAAATACCTGAGTAGACAGTTCCAAGCTGCTGTAGAGGCCAACACCTATATTGAACTGGATGAATTTTGATGGGATGGCAAGCTCCATTTGACATCGCAAGTATGAACTAGAAGCCTAACGCCAATATAAACCTTATGAAACATCTTCTTTGCTTCTTATTTGGACTTCTCCCGCTGGAATACTACCAGAGGATATCCCTCATCCAATTTCCCACGGGCTATTAAATGGAAGCCTTGTTGAAATGTACAAGATTTTACCCCGGAGATGCCTGCAAAGAACATGTTTGGAATCATCGGAGTCGAATACCAGCTTCCCTCGCTTTACATCAGCCAAGAGGAGGTTGCCAACAACATCGACTTTGAAGTTGACAAGATCAAAATAGGGCTGGGGCTGGAGCAGATGGGTGTTCCGTCCCGAAGAGAAGACGCCATTTCCCTTGCACTGAATGCAGTCAGCAGGCTTATGAAGCGGTACAACGTCGATCCCATGGCCATTGGAAGGCTCGAGGTTGGTACAGAAAGTAATCCAGATGGATCCAAGTCGATCAAGTCATATCTTACAGACCTGTTTCCCGGAAACACCTCTATATGCGGCTGCGACAATGTACACGCCTGCTACAGCGGCACAAACGCACTACTGAGTGCAATTGCATGGATGGAGTCGTCTTTCTGGGACGGAAGGCTTGCAATCGTTGTTGCCAGCGATGTAGCCATGTACAAGGACAAGAGCTGTCAACCAACAGGAGGGGCCGGGGCGGTTGCAATTCTTCTGGGGCCAAACTGCATCTACAGGGTTGTTCCGTCAAGCGTCATCCACTACTTTACGAACCAGTTTGACTTCATGAAGCCTAGGGAGCTACATCCGTTTCCTGTTGTCAAGGGAAAGGAGTCGATAGAGAACTACAGGACAGCATTCGAGATATGCTATGGAAGGTTCAGGGAGAAAATGGCAGAGGAGAGCTCCTTCGACTACATTGTGCTCCACTCCCCATACACAAGACTCCCGGAGAAGATATGCATTGCAAACCATATAGACAGGAAAAAGCTTCTAAGGTCTTTGGAGGCGTCCAGAAGAAACGGAAACGCATATTCGGCCTCCCTGTATTTGTCACTAATCTCCTTGCTTGAGTGTCATGACGGAGAGGTTGGTGAGAAGATCTTGATGTTCTCGTATGGATCTGGGGCCTCTAGCTCCATGTTTTGTCTAGAAAGGATTTCTAAGGGATGCATGGTTACTGGGTTCCGGGAAAGACTATTGGAAAGAAAAGAGATATCCTACCAAGAATTCACGAAGATTCTCGAGGAGCCTGTGCCACAGGACAACTACGAGGCCCAGGAAAGAATCTACTCGCCTGGTTACTATCTGAAGAGAATATCTTCGTTTGCGAGGTATTATGAATACTTAACGGAATAAATCCTCTGTCCAGTGTGCTATAGCTCCAAAGAATGTTATTATTTTGCGCAGAAGCCCTCATGTCGCTGAAGGATCAGTTGCTAAGATTGAAGAAATGCAGAAGGGCACTCCACAGCGGAGAAAGGAAGAGAGTGCAATTTGGAGACACCGAGGACATGGACGACGAAACGATTCTTGAGCTCATTCCGTTCCGGACACCATACACAAGAACCAAGAGCCTGCTTTTTGACCGGCAGAAGCAAACGGAGGAAGAGGAAAGAAGGTTTAACAGGAAGTTTTCGGGGTTTTTGAAAGAGTTGGTGAGGTATGGCGAGACAAAAGACATAGAATATCTGCTCGACTATCTCGTTAGGAGGTACTCCTGCGATACTTTTAACCCAAAGGAAATGATTTTCGCTCTTCTCCCATTCAAGCAGTACTACAGGCAAGTTCTACATATAAGTGGGAAGTCCGATTTCAACTACTTTACCGTGCAGCCGACCTACTCGTACCAATTTATCGGGAATCTCTGCTTGAAAGAGAAATACTTTTTCGACTTCTTTGTGGAGTATTTCAAGCATTTCAGATACATTCGCGGATTCTGCCTTAGCGTGTTAGGATACATAGTTTCCGGACTCAGAAACACAGACAAAGACTTTTCGATGCAGCTCTTCGAGATATTATCTCATCTTGTTAGGTCGGGAGAGAACAGTACGGCATCTGACCTATTTTTTGAGATAAGAGATTATGTGGAGGAGGCTCTCGATGAGTTTGTTGGATTGCTAGCACCTTACTTCAACAAGGAGTACTTGATGTCGAGAAAACCTGAGAAGATGGAGCATAAGGCGGCTATTCCGCACGAGGAAGTAGCGTTTTTCAGTAGCATATACAGCAGTGGAAAGGATAGAGAGATTTTGGGGGACTGCAGTAGATACAAAAGTTATGTGGTATGGCTCCACAGGGAAGGATTGGCCCTTCGATCTATCAGCGAGCATGAGTTCAGGGCTCTGAAAGTTTTGTGTGGAGTTGAGAAGAAGGATATTGAGGGAGAGGCTTCTGACTATTCCGAGCTGCTTAAAGACCTGAAAGACAGGAAAAAGCTTGTTGAATTGCTAGCCCGGAGATTTCCAAGGGACATTTCTGTGCTTATCCCACACATGGGAGATGACGACAAGGCACATGTGTCTGGGCTGTTCCCAGGGCTGTGGAGAAGCTTGATAACTGAGGACAATCATGCCATGCTTATCATGAACATGCCGAGAGGAGCTGTGAAAGAGGACTTGATTGACATCATGGCGACTTGCCTGAAGTATGTGAAATACGATGCATCCGTATTTGTGGAATATTTAGATAACGAGATGCTTCTGGCGCTGATGGAACAGTGCTCAGAGGATCTTTCTGTGTGGAATATCATTGAGACATCGAAGCTCATGGGGACGGACCTGACTTCTGCCATCATTCAAAAGAGGCTTTACGCCAATCCGGCGTACCTGAACTACCTTTCCGAAAAGCCAAGAGGTCTTGCAATAGAGGTAAGCAAAAGAATATTTGAGAAAGTTGTTGAGTCTCCAGAGAAAAGATGTTTGGACGCACTATGCCGGTATCTACATCAGATAAGCGATCAGGAACTTGTGAATGACATTCTAGGATGGCTTGTGGACAAAGCGTGGTTCTATCCTGCCCTCTACTCTGGGTTAACTGCTCACTTGGAGTTGTTGAGCGAAAAGAACTGTGAGAGGATTCTGGACCTAAGAGGATTCTCGGAGAAAAACTATTTTGTTGTTGACAGGCTGTACAGATACAGAGAGAATACAGTTGACGAGTGTCTTATGGAAAAACATTATGGTGCCCTCCTGTTTTTGTGCAAAAGATACGGGTTTTCTAAGGTTCTTGGAGACAGGAGGGACAAGTGCACAATGGATTTCATTAGGGATGCATCGAAGCAAAGTCTGTCTCCGGAAGAAGCTGACGGATTTGTCCAGTATTCCTCTTCTCTTATTGGATCTGGAGATGGTAGAGTAATAGAGGCACTGCTCCAAGGTAAGTACATCCCTCATCTCATCAAATGCACCATGCTAAAGGAATGGAGTGCTGTAAAGATCATTATCATTGAGCTCATTCTCCAGTACCCCCAGCACAGGCAACTCTGCTTTGACTATTTTCTCAGCAACTATCTTGACTTCAAAGACGATTTTGATCTCCTAGAGGTAGTTGCTGGGGATGAGGTCGCCATAGATTATGAGAAGCTTGTGGAAGTCTTCCGGGGCTCTGAAGGCTATTTCAGAAGCAGACTTTCTGACATCCTTCTGAAGAACTCTTCATTCGACTCTTTGCGGTTTGTACCCATGATTGTGCCAAGTATGATAGAATACAAGAGAGAATCCATTGGAATACTCTTTGAGAAGCATAAGGACATTATGGGTCCTTACGTTAAAGACGTTCTTCTGGGTTTCCCGGAAATAGAAGACTGCATGCTGGAGGTCAATCCGAGGCATCTCCTTATAGGATCTGTTGGGGCATATGCAGATTCGCAGGATGAGCATCATCTTGACTTCATGTACAAGGTGCTCAGCATCCCACATGCATCGGTCTCACTTCCTACACTCGAGAGGGTTGTGGAGTTCCTTAGATCAAATGTTTCAAGAGTGAAAGACAAGCTCCTCGCGAAATTCTTCGAGGTTTATCTGAAAGCACACCCTGAAGCAAGCGAAAAAGTTCAGACTCTTCTGAGAACCATTTACGAAAGCAGAAGAAGCGCCTTCTTCGAGATATCTAAGGCATCGCTCTCTTCCTGCTATGGGATCTTCAAGCCATATGTTAACATCATGGTCGACATGATCGAGGAAAAAGACAGGGATGCAATAGCATTCATGGCGGACTACCTATACTGGGACCTGGAATGTTATGTTCCTCACAGAAAGCTATTTGAAATCCTCTTTGGATTTTATTGCAATGAGCCAGACGTCCTATATGCGAGATGTATCGGTAGCATCCTCAGACACTGCCCAGCTGAAATTGAAGACGCCAATGATCTGATACTTAGTCACATGAGGGGAGACAGGGTTGTTGTGATTCTAGAGCTACTTCAGGTGTTGTATCAAAAGGTCTATCACTTCAAAAAATGTCTTGTCAAAAGCTCTCCATACTTTGCACTGGTTGTGGACAGCACAAGGAAGGACATCTCAAGTGCTGCTAGGAAGCTACTTAGCATAATTGAGAGGAAGCACAACAAAAGTGGGTACCAAGTGCTCCAGCTGTAGCACCTGCACTGCTTAGGTACTTGAGAAGCGCTACTTTCAAACCAAAAGGTTTAATGGGCTAATAAACTGAACAGTCCTTGCTCTATCTCTCTGTTACAAACGAAATCTTGTATCCCAGTGCTGTTATATCTATTGTGCCCGACATCACAAGATCATATATTAGCTTAGAGTAGAATTCGTTTATGCTCTCGCTCGATTCGGTAATCTTGTCTGTATTCTTGATTCCTACCTTCATTGCCTCTTTTCTGCTCAGCGCTCTGTTTTCCACAGTTATCAGCACTGCCCTGTAGAAATGCCTTATTTCGTATCTCGCTTGGTTTGCCTCAAGGAGAAGAACATTCTTGTCTCGGAAGTAGGCGTTTAGATACGAATAAGCCAAATCCTCATGGGTACAGCCATTTGGAAGAACCTCGTTGTAGAACAATTTCCTGATGGATGAATCGTTCCTTCTGCAGCACCCGGGGAGGTCTGCGTCATTTATGAGAAGGAAGAAATCCGACAGAAGCAGCCCACCTTCCCTAGGCCGAGGAGTGAGGCCCAGCATGGTCTTGAATTCGCAGTTGTGGCATGACCAGCAGTCTATCAACTCCTCCCATCCCTCCTGGGGTAGCCGGTTCATCGACCTGTGGAGTATTTCATTTCCATGCAGACATCTAAATCCATCCGGAAGAGTCTCCCTCGCCCCCTCGCCATCAGACCACAGGAGTTTGTCTTCCAGCACGTTAACGGTTACAATCCTTACTCTTCCGTGGTCCTCTGTGTACAAAGAATCAAGGCCCACATGATCTTTGAATGCGCCGAGGCCCTCGCCGTCCATCAGATACAAAAAGCCCTTCCGGCTGTTCGACGGTAGCTCCAGCATCAATGGGCCAAGCAAAATTTACTTTACTGCGGAAGAGAGCAACATGGAGAGCCAGAAGAGGAGTCATTGGAGGCTCTTTTGATGGTATATGCCCTCGGCATCAAAGGCCTTTCCAATCACCTCTCTAAGCCTCATTGCCTCTTCCTTCATCTCGTTGTACTCCCTTGCAGGCCTATCCGCCGAATCCAAGGCTCCTTCCTTATATATGTCATTGTTGTCCTTAAGATCCTGAGCCACTCTTGGAACTATATGGACATGGGCATGAAATACCGTCTGGCCAGCACACTCCCCATCCTGGATGTTTATTGTAAATCCGTCGCAAAGCTCCCTGAGGCCCTTCATTGCAACCCTTACGCTATTGAATAGATCAGACGTCTCCTCAGCCGTTAGCTCATACAGCCTTTGCTTCCTAGATATGGGAGAGGCCAGAATGTGCAAGGGAAGAAACGGCCTGATGTTCGTAAAGATGAAGGAGTGTCTTGTCTTCACTATCACATGGTCAAAGGGAATCACATGATCTCCAAACTCCATAGGTTACAAGGGGATTCGGCACTGGAGAATTATACATCTGTCCAGACCTTCAAGCACCGATATCGGGCAGAAGTATAAGGCTTCTGAGCAAATAAACAAAAGAAAACACAAGGTGCAAAAGCCTCGGGCGTCACCGAGAATCGAACTCGGGTCACGTGCACCCGAAGCACGTATCGTACCATTGGACCATGACGCCTCCGGAAATAAGCCCACGCACCACGCAAATCCTGCACTGTGGCCAACCACATAGTCTAGTAAAATGTTTATTGTTGGAAATCACTCGTTAAACGTATATGAATTTAGATATTCTATTCCCTGCGCCTTCATTTCTTTCTCTAGTATACTTACAATCTCAATTCTTCTGTCGTGCTTCTTCTTGACATCCTGGAAATTCGACTGATGCTGGATGGCAAGGCAGATCCTGACATGGTCCCCTTCTGCCCTGAACTCCCGAATGTAGATCTCCCCAGAAAACGACTTCGACTCGGAGAGCATCCTTGCAACACGGTCTTTGAGTCTAAGCGCTGCATCAAACGAGGTCATCTTGCTCACTAGGATGTTGACCTCAGAGGACTGCTTTCCAGATCTCCTTATGTTATGGATCTTTGCCCTAAATAGGGCCGATGTTGGTATAAACACTTGCCTCCCATTTACTCCGGTAAAAGTCGACGACAACAAGTCAACAGAAGACACATAGAGCTCCTCCCCGTCTATCACAACTCTGTCTCCGAAATCGTAGGGATGGTTCACCAGAAGGAATATAAAACAGTTGTATATCTCCTTGATAGTGTCAGAGAATATCCAACTGAAGGTCACAATCGATGGAACAATCGCTGCAAGCATCCCCGAGTAGTTGATTCCTAGGAGAATCATCACCACCACAACCCCAAAATACATTGCAATTGCAACAAGGATTATGTCCAGCTTGTTAATGACGATGTCTCGAGACTGGAGGGTTCTTGATATGTCCGTTCTCTCCTTGTACAGGGCAACAGCCTTGGCCTTGAGATCTTCAAATGTTATCGGAGGATTGTTCTTGTCCTTGATCTCGGAGTTCTCTGCCAGATACTCATACACTTCGTCGTGGTTGTTTGGAAAGAACTTCACAAGATCCTCATATATAAGCGTCCGAACCTCCAGAAACCCGAAGATAGACTCCGCAACAGTCTCTGCAGCCTCTACAGAGTTCAGCTTCAGGTCGCTGTACTTTAGATAGAACCCCGGATCAAGGTCCGGTTCCATGGTCTCTGCAAGCTCCTTCCTCTCCCATGGATGCGCCTCTGAAATTGCTGCCAGCTTCTTGAATACAAATGTCTTGTAATTGATATCCCATATCCGGTCTCTATACTCTTTTCTCCTTATCTCGGAAATCATAAAGCACATGAAGAACTTCTCTACAAATATCACCAGCATAAAGATGGAGTACATAAGCACCATGGTGATGACCTTGTACTTATAGCTCCCATCGTTATCTCCAAACTCGTACGGCTGTGAGGTAATCGATGCTGCAAGAAAGATCAGAAATGCTATGAGAGACTGCTTCCAGCACCATGACGTCGAATTTATCACTTGAATGACTTCTATGGTGTACTCATCAAGGTCAAAACTGAAAAAATTTAAAACTGCAACGATAATATACAGAATGTTGCTTGCAAACAGAGAAACCACCACGTAGATCGAGTAGCTCATCGATATGAAAAGATTGATCCGAAAGAACAAATATGTTGGCCCCTTCCCTGTGTTCTGAAATACCTGAGCCGGAAGGCGGGTAGTTTCATTTCCCCGTTCTAAGAAGCCAAGCATCACAGGAAACACCATGAATAACGTCACTACAACAATAATCTCTAGCAGTCCTCTAATCGTCTCCGGAATATAGCTAAATTTGCTGTGCAGATAGCTGTCTATATTCCAGAACGAGAGCTCCTCCTCATCAAGAACCTTCGCTTTCGAAAACATCATCTTGTTCTCAGGCTCAACGGGCTGCACATCTACAGCGTTGTTGGCGATGATGTCGTTAATCATTCCTTCGCCATCCTTCGCGTCTGTCTTTTCTTCTCCGTTGCCTTTCTCCTTTGCCTCCTTCTCTTCCTGTGGTACCTCTATTTTTGGACCAGTACCCTCTGATGCCATTAGCCTAGATGTCTAAGACAAGTAAATACTTTCAATGATCATTCCGGCTCTAACACATTGACACTGTGTTTGGCATGGTTTCATCTCTCTGTTTTAACTTTCGTTCCCCACCCTGAAAAATAGATGATAGTTATGGATTCCTGAAGTCAACATTTAAACCGTTGCCGCTGCGATATCCAGGTAAGACAGGGCAGAACACACAAAATATCGAAGAGCTTTAATCCAGTCACAAAACAGACGCCCCCGTCATCTCCGTGCTTCCCTCATACACCCCATGGCAGTCACGCCCACACACCCATGATCCAAGGGTCACAGCGGCCAGCGTCATCACAAACACCACACTTCCAACCGTAGAACTGTACTTCTTGCCTCCGCTTCGCCCCTTCTCGGCATACGACACAACAACCAGCAGAGCAACAAACACAACAAGCCCAACACAGATGCGCTGGCTCAGTCCACACGCCCCGGGCATGAAGAGCTTCTTGGACCCAGCAAGGCATGCCACCGCCAGCACGAGATTCCCACCGCCAATTGCACACACCTGCTTCAGGGACATCCCAGACCTCATGGCATCCTGCACATACAGCATGACTGCCCCAGACGCCGCCATCGTCAGGCTGTACACACCACTCCGGATCATCCCTGCATGAGGAAGCCCAACCATCATCGGCACCATGCACCCAATGGCACTCCAGTCCTGCCTCAGCATGCCAGACACTCCTTCCGTGCGGTAGCTTCTGCTGAGCACCCACAACTGGTATGCAATGATCCCTGCCACGGCCACCGAGTAGAGTGCAGTGTTCCAGGACACCCCCACTGCAGTATCCAGCTGCCCAAGGCCCCAGAGGAGGGCCTGGATGCCTAGGACAACCATAAACACAAGGCATAGGTTCCCAAAAAAACTCCCTGTGCCGAGTCTGCTAACAATCTTCATGCCAGAGAAGGACCGTTCTGTGCGAGTTTCTATGTCATCCCTTGTTTCGGCAGCCTTCCTTTGAGAGTCCCCCGTTTCAGAGACATTACCTAAGGAAGCATCCATGCTGCTTTTACGTGTAATGTTTCTGATCCCTGTTGAAGAAAACTCCTCCATTCAACCTTCTTTCTGTAGATACAATAGAGATCTAGGATGCTCTTCCGCATGGCTGTTTCATGGACTTACATCCCATATGATACTGTTCCATCTCCCTTTTTAAGGTAGAAGTGTGTGCATATGTACTAATCCGACGTATCCCGTTCTCTATTTTATATCACCGGAAAAGTCTTATGCAGCTTCAAATTGGAATTTTATCTGTTTTACTTGTTCTCATCCCGTCTTTTTGCCTTCCCTTTACGATGGCCGGTTGTTTAATTAGTGTCTTGTCAAGAAGATATCCGTAATATACTATCGCAATCATCAGCGGCCAATTAGCCGCTTCCGGAAATCTGTTTAGTATATAAAATTAAGTAGGTACTAACCATAGCGATGGAGCAGTTACAGAGCATTCAGAATACTCTTGATGAAGGACTTGATGTGGAAAAGATTACCGATAGAGTGCATGCCTTTCTCAAGGCGCTCCTCTTCTATGAAGAAGAGGTTCTTACCTTCTATGAAGAAGAGGTGCTCGAAAGACTAGGGAGTTTAGAAGATGATGCATTGAAGAAAGCTAAAGATGCATTACGGACTGCTAAAGATGCATCGAAAGATCTAAGATCTGTCACTCAACCTTTTACCAGGTATAGTGGTCCTTCTAGGCTAGAAAACATCATCGAGTATATTAGTAGTCTGATAGAGAAATCCAAAGAATCTTACAGATCATTCATTGATGCGCTTGGGAATGTTGTAAAACATATCGATAGCAACATGGAAATTTCTGTGGATGTTTTAGGAACGGCAAAGCAGATATCTGCAAAAGATGCTATTTCCTCTCTTCTCGGAAAAGAAGAGTCTTCCATTCCTGCCATTCACAGCATCAAGTCCTTTACTGAAGATATGCGTAAAATAGGTACCGGCTTCCTGGAGGAGCATCTCAAACCTATCAAGAATGCCATTTCTGAGAATATATCTAAGGTAGAAAAAATTAGAGAAACGATTAGGGACAAGGAGGTTTCTTACAGTCAAAGTGAAGCGATCCAAGAGGCCTTGGTTGCTCTCCAGGAAAGTCGTACAAAGATTGAAGAGTTAGATGCAAAATGGAAAGAGATACTCTGCAATACAAAGGATTATAGTGGGGGGAGAGGGAAGGCAATTCTTACCGCCATATTTGAGGAACTAAAGGAAAAATTAAAGGATGCGAATAGTAAAGCATTGGGCTTGGAAAGCGTGATTGCTTCCTTAGGTAATGCCTCTGAAACGGGAGACTCTCAAAGGGATGGCAGCATCTCCCAGGAAGATGATTCTGCGAAACTTGGAAGCCCAAGTGCAGGAAGTAGCGTCCCTTCACCTTCTGATACAGCAAAACTGGAAGTGGGTGATAAGGCAGCACTGGACTTAGAAAGCATGGATGTTTCCTTAGGTAATGTCTCTGAAACGGGGGACTCTCAAAGGAAGGCTGCCGAAACAAGGGATGACATAGAAACTCGCACAGAACGGTCCTTCTCTGGCATGAAGATTGTTAGCAGACTCGGCACAGGGAGTTTTTTTGGGAACCTATGCCTTGTGTTTATGGTTGTCCTAGGCATCCAGGCCCTCCTCTGGGGCCTTGGGCAGCTGGATACTGCAGTGGGGGTGTCCTGGAACACTGCACTCTACTCGGTGGCCGTGGCAGGGATCATTGCATACCAGTTGTGGGTGCTCAGCAGAAGCTACCGCACGGAAGGAGTGTCTGGCATGCTGAGGCAGGACTGGAGTGCCATTGGGTGCATGGTGCCGATGATGGTTGGGCTTCCTCATGCAGGGATGATCCGGAGTGGTGTGTACAGCCTGACGATGGCGGCGTCTGGGGCAGTCATGCTGTATGTGCAGGATGCCATGAGGTCTGGGATGTCCCTGAAGCAGGTGTGTGCAATTGGCGGTGGGAATCTCGTGCTGGCGGTGGCATGCCTTGCTGGGTCCAAGAAGCTCTTCATGCCCGGGGCGTGTGGACTGAGCCAGCGCATCTGTGTTGGGCTTGTTGTGTTTGTTGCTCTGCTGGTTGTTGTGTCGTATGCCGAGAAGGGGCGAAGCGGAGGCAAGAAGTACAGTTCTACGGTTGGAAGTGTGGTGTTTGTGATGACGCTGGCCGCTGTGACCCTTGGATCATGGGTGTGTGGGCGTGACTGCCATGGGGTGTATGAGGGAAGCACGGAGATGACGGGGGCGTCTGTTTTGTGACTGGATTAAAGCTCTTCGATATTTTGTGTGTTCTGCCCTGTCTTACCTGGATATCGCAGCGGCAACGGTTTAAATGTTGAATATTTCTTTATTTGGATATTGTGAAGACGCTGGTATCCATCTATGCGGGCGGATACTGAAAAAGATTACCTTTTGGTATCTCTACCCAATAAACAGGATTTCTACCACCTTCGGGCCCGTTGCCATTGATAACTACCATCTTAAGGATTTTAAGGCTGGGAAAGCACGTAAGAGAAGATACATACAGGGGAGGAAGATCGTATGGTTTCTCCTTGCAATCGTCGTTGCGGTAGTGAAAAGAGCATCCCATGTCCCCAAAGGGCAAACCTTCTTCGTCCCATGAAAACATCTGCAGGTGTTTATTATTTATTAAATAGAATATTCATCATGGCCTTCTGTTTCTTTTTCTCTCCTCCTTAAGAGTCTCTTGAGCTTCTTGGATGGCTTCTTCGATTCTTGCACAAATTGTCCCGAAGTTCTTCTTCATCATCTTGAATTCCTCCAGCTTTTTTTCTAGTGTAAATTCTATCTTTTGGATCTGTTCAACATCGTACTGGGTTACAAGCGTGATAGCAGTTCCAGATCTTCCAGCCCTTGCAGTCCTCCCGACCCGATGGATATAATCCTTTCCGCTCTTCGGGACATCAAAATTAATCACCAGATCTACATGGCTTATATCAAGACCTCTACTTCCAAGGTCAGTGCAAACAAGAACATTAAACCTGCTTTCCTTAAAACTTCTCATGGCCTCTTCTCTTTTTTCCTGGCTCAGCTCCCCATGTAGCGCCTCCGAGCAGAACCCAAGTCTGGCCAATGCTAAGGACATTACTCTGGCAGTCACACACATCGATACAAACACAATAACAGACATTCCTTGGCTCATTTCCAGCAATTCAACCAATGCAGAGTTCTTCCATTTCATGGCCACAAAGAGGTAGTACTCTTTCAGGGCAGGAACCGTCTCATACTTCTCTGCCGTGCGGATGGTTTTCGGTCTTTTTAAGATGGAACTGGACAGCTTAGATATTTCGTCGGACATCGTTGCCGTAAAGAGAAGAGTCTGCCTTTTCTCCCTCAGACTCGGAATAATAGTCTCCAGATCTTCTACAAAGTCTTGCTCAAAAAACCTGTCCGCTTCATCGAGAACAAACTTCCGAACTCTTTCTGTTCTGAACGATTTTGTTTTCAAGACATGTTCCGCTATTCTTCCGGGCGTTCCAACAACCACGTGGGGACGCTTAGAAAGCTGGTTGGCCTGAACATTGAAGTTGGCTCCTCCGACCAGCAGACAGACCCTCAGCCCCGTGGCCTGGAACATGTTAAAGCACTCAGCTATTTGTGAGGATAGCTCTCTTGTGGGTGCAACGACTAGGCAATAGAATGATCTGTTTTTCTGCAACAGATGGGAAACTATCGGAAGGACAAACGCAAGGGTTTTTCCTGACCCAGTCTGCGAAACCGCTATAACATCACCTCCTCCAAGCACTGCTGGAATCACCTGTCTTTGGACCTCAGTAGGCCGTGTAATCCCCTTTTCCTGGCATGTCTTTATCAAGGACTCATCAATTCTTAGATCACCAAATTCCATTTCAGAAGTTCAAGCCCAAGGCTAATAAACCTCGGCTTATAAAAATTTTATTTTCAGATCGAGTGAAGGACTCTGCTCCAGATTCCATCAAAAAAATGCTTCTTCGTCCTTCTCAGCCGTAAGCTCGTCGTCCTCCTCGTAGAAGTTGTCTACATAGTCGTTCTCAACATCACTGCTATCCTTGATTTCGTCGGTCTCATCAGGCTCCTCTTCGGCTGAGCTTTCAATCCTTTCAATGTCCTCTATCTCTTTTTCTTTTCTTCCAAACATTCTTGAAATCTCTGGAGGCATCAGCTCAGCACTTACCGTCTCTTTTAGTGTGCTTTCGGAGAGGAGATTCCTGAAGCGTTTATCAGAGTATCTCTCAACTTCATTTTTGGTCGGCAAATTCAGGGAATTCTGTCTTATATGCAGCTTTATCATCTTTTCCAGCTCGAGAGTCCTCTTACAGTCCAAGCTGTGTTCGATCTTGAGATTCTTCCATTCATCGCCCATTGCCGGGACCACGGAGAGCAATTAAATTTCTTCCTCCACAGGCCTATATTCTGAACCACAGATGCACTTCCATTAATATAAACATGCTTTACATGTTCAATCAAAGTCTTTAACAACAAACCCATTTAATTTCCCCAGGATGAACACCCTCTAAAATGTCAGAAAATAGAGAAATTGATGCAACAGATCGGCGGGACAAAACGTTTGATAAAGAAAAATTGCGCCCTCATGTATATTCCAGTGTGGCTGGAGGAATGCGGTCCACCAGTGGAGACACCAAAGCAGTTCTTCTTTTCAGCCTTCTCTTTGCCCTGCTTTCATACATCGATGCGTTCCTGTATGTTCTGGGCGATATGGTTATGATGAACACTCAAATGCCCAGCTCGATATTGTTCATAAAGTCTGTGTTAGTCTTACCGATGACTTTCTTTTTCATCGTTATTGTGCAGAAGGGACTAAGATATCTTAGCCAGCCAAGAATGCTCGAGGTCATCCTTATTATCTCATCTGTGTTCTTCCTGCTATTTGGATTTGTTATATGGCCCTACTGCAAGAGGCTTCAGCCAGACTTCTTCTGGTCGAGAGACATCTTCAGCGATGGAAAAATGAAGACCAGGCATCTGGACTTCTTTTTCCCGATCTTTCTTGTATTCAGCGAATGGGCTTCAACAATGTTGTATCTCGTGGCTGAGCTATGGGGATCCCTGATTATCTCCTTCATGTTCTTTTCAAGGGCAATTCATCAGTGTACAGAAGCCCAAGTAAAGAAGTTCCTTCCCACAATATCACTGATATCGGCGGTTGTCTTTCTATCCTCCGGACTGCTTACAAAAAGCCTGAACAGTCGCAGAGATGCTCTTCCATACCATGAAAAGGAAAGGCTGTTTTCGCAAGTATTCATTGTGACCTCGGCACTTACAGTGATGTCTGCCATAACGAGCTTCTTCACAGATAGAGCCTTAGCAAAGGACGACCCCAGGCATAAAGGCAAAAAGGAACACAAGGTTCGCAAAATAGGGTTTGCCGGATCCCTAAAGATGATGCAGAAGTCGAGGTTTCTTCGGGCAATGACAGAGTCTGTGGTGGCAGCCTCTGTATGCTCGAACATATTCGAGGCAATATACAGGGGAGGAATAGTGCTAGGAGCAGTCCAATCCTCCACGTCCAAGTCTTCATACATGAACAGGCTGAATGCCATGGCACAGATAATAACCTCCATCTTTCTACTTGTTATGTTCTTCAAGCCGGCAACTCATCTCATAGAAAGAAGGGGGTGGTTCCCAGTAGCAATAACAGCGCCTATTGTTGCCATTATCACACTGGTTCTGTTTTTTCCAATGGTCTTCTTCAACAACATTACTGAGGGCGATCTAATTGCTTCTGGGGAGGAGTATGTGGGGAGCTTTGTTCTTGAGAACTACACCGGGATGTTCCTGACGACAATCATAAGAATATCCAAATACTGCTTTTTTGACGTTGCAAAGGAGGCAGCGTCCATAAGAGTGAGCCCTGTTCACAGGCATTCCTTCAGAGGAATACACGATGGACTGGGAATAAATATTGGGAAAACAATAGGGTCTGTGTACTGTACTCTTGTCACTGTTGTATTTGATGTCAGGGATGTCAGAAACGTGGTTTCTGTATCCACCGTGTTTGTGGGGGTGTTCTGTGTAATATGGATCAGGTCTATTCTCCACATCAACAAGAAGTATAAGGAGTCGATTGAGAGGAATGATTTCATCAATGTGGAGCTGGCTGAAGGCTGAGGCGAACGACTAATAAATTGCACTTAATGATTATTTACACCTGTCGTGCAGTCATCTCGCATACGTCTTAGCAAAGATCTTTCCGGTAAATTCGTAGCGCACGGATACCCCTAGGATGCCAGAAACTATTGTTGTATTGCTTGATAATGGAATGGCCTCTCAGAACCAGGATTACCTTCCAAGCAGGTTCATGGCGCAGAAGGAGGCAATAGAGTCTCTGATATCAAAAAAGTTTGAGGACAGCCAGGAAAGCACAATAGGAATAATTCCTTTGGTGCAAGCCCAGTCTAATGATATCATCACGCCTACGAAGCAAAGGCCATACATAAAGACCTTTCTTAACGGAATAAGGTTACACAGAGGCGCAGACATTATGAGATGTCTTTCGCAGTCTCTTCACATCTTCAACCAAAGAGATTCACCGGGGTGTACATTGGTGGTCTTTCTTGGCTCTGAGGCCCAGGAGTCCGAGAAAGACGAGCTCTTTGCAAGGATATACCAGCTCTTAACACTCGGCGTCGCAATCAAGATGGTCTTTTTTGGAGAGGCTGCCGAGATGGCGGGTGCCTTCGAAAAGATTGATTTTACAAACTTCTCCTGTATAGAAGTCAAGCCAAATGAGGAGTTTGTCGATCGCGTCCTTCCATTTATAAGCGGAGATGATCTTCTTGAAGAAGACGACCCTGAATTAGCAGAGGCAATCAGGCTGTCACTTGAGGAACAGAAAAAGCAACAGAAATAAATGTTTTCCTTACTTAACACCGCAGGGACTATCAACTAGATTTTAATCTCACCTTGAAGGCTTCTCCTTCTTTCCCGTAAATATGGCATGGAGGGATACGTTCTGTACCTTGCACACTTTGAATCTGATTCCAGGGATATCTCCTACGCTTCTTCCCTTCTTACCAAATCCTTCCACAGTTACTTCATCGTTGCTTTCGATGTATGTGACAGACCCGTCGTAAGGAACGAACGCAGTTATCTTCTTTCCTGTTGCAATCAGCTGGCATCTAACGGCCTTCCTTATGGCAGAGTTCGGTTGCTTGGCCTCAACCCCGATCTTCTCGAGAACAATTGCCTTTGCCTGGGGAGCTCTCCCAAGCACACTGTGCTTATACTTTGTCCCAAGCGCCCGCTTCCTGTAGGCAGTGTCTGCCAGCCTCTTGGCCTTTCTACTCTTTATTAGGTTGTTGGCAGAAAACAGCCCTGGCATGTAGGGGGCTCGATTTGTTTTTTTCTAATTGCAAGACGATAAAATTTTTCTATCGTCCATGCCTATGAGCGCAGATAATCCCCAGGCCGGAAGGCCCAAGCTGGAGTTCAATGCAGTCGACGTAATAAACAAGACATATGCAAACTCCACCGAGTACGATCTGAATGATGCATTGATATTCTTGACAAAGGCAATAAATAAGACAAAAGTCAGGAACAAACAGCTCGTAAAGCAGCATTTTGGGAAGTTTGTGCAATGCAGAGCGGTTCTGGAAGAAATATGGACGGATATTAAGCAAAAAGGATATGACAAAGAGTTTACTTCCGACCTCGAGAGCAACATCAAAGTAATAGAGGAAAAGTTCAAGGACATAACTTCCGGAATATCCGATGATGGCAACAATGAAGTAAACAGAAGTAGAAGGGAGTACTACACGAAAAGGTATGCCTTGCTGTTCAACATCAAGCTTAATCTACGGAGGAATCTGCACAATCTCGAACGATTTGTTGATATATACAGAGACGCTGCAAGGATGTACGAGGAGCTAAGACACTCCGTGTATGCTCAGAAGATTTGGAGTTCTATCCATGACGAGAGATGCGAGTTCCTGGAAACTATCTACAGAAGTATCCAAAGGCCTGGATGTTCTTTCCACGAGGCACTCTACTACTTTGATCTGTATTTCAAGGTTTGCGAGCACAAGTCTGAGCACAAGATCATGAACACTCTGCTGGTGAACTTCAAGGAGAACAGTGCCAGAAGCCTAGAGTTGTCTTGCCTTGACGAGAAGGAGTGTCTAGACGAAGTCACAAAGCACTATCTGAAACTCATAGGAAGGGTCAATGAGAAGATCCAGATTCAGGGAACCGACTACTACTTCTGGTGCATCGAAAAAATTCTGTACACCAGAGGGCTATTTTTTTCTAAGGTCTGGATAAAGAAACTGAGGGAAAATGTCAGGATGGTTCAGTTTTCAACGGATGCAAGGGCAGTCTATTTCTCCCATCTCAAGAGAGTAAAGACCAAAGTAATCGATGGTGGGTTCCAGGACATCCCTAATGTGACGGTTGACACATTTGGAGATGCAATGGAGCATCTGCAGGATATCTTCAATCTCTTTGCGGATATTGTTTCTAAAGAGGAGAAAAGATACCTTAGGAGCAAAGTCTTGGAGTATGTGAACAATTGCTACGAATCTGTGGAACTGAAGAAATTCTCCGACCTCGATACTGTAATAAAAAACATCTACGGAATAAGACATCTGCTGGGATCGCCGGACTCGGAGGACGTCAAGGACCTATACAGGATGATAGCCAGATACATGGAAAACCACACCACAAGAATAGTCGGGTTGATAACAGAGATGATTGGAAGGAAGGCGTCAGATGTGCAGATTTTGATGGAGGTTGTAAGAATTATAGAGGAGATGCCAATGGAGCACCTACGCATAATAAGACGCATAAAACCACTGGTGGAAAATCGTCCTGTAGCTATGTATTACTTGTCCAACATACTCTCGCTTGAGCCTCCCAGACTATCCAACGATCTCAGGAAGAAGGTAGACGAGATTCGGGATCAATTTGGCTTTTTATTAAGCGTCTGACTCTGGTACTAGCTTCCTAAAGACCACAACCTCATAGATCCCGACAACCTCCGACTCCTCTCTTGTCAAGCACCCGAGCCCCATCTTCTTCGACAGCTCCGGATTTCTTCTGCCTTCGTCTTCATAGAAATCAATAAATCCCTTTCTTTCAACCAACGACAGCCCAAGCCTCTTGAACCCATCCACCATCCTTGTAAAGTCGACAAAGTATTCGATGCAGTTGTTTACAGAGTCCAGTAGAGTAAATCGATATTCCCTTACGCTCTCCATCGGAACGTCCTCCATTTTCTCAAGCTCGATCTTATAGAAATCATTAGACATTCTGCCCTGTTTGTATCTCTCGAGGATGACGTCGCGGGAAGGAACCGTCATGATGAAATATCCTCCAGGCCTTAGATGGCGTGCAATGTTCCTTTGGGCTATATCCAGGGATTCGCTGGTAGAGAACGCGTAGTGAAAGCTAAACTGAGAGGATATTACGTCAAACTCTTTCCCAAGGTCCATGTGCCGGCCGTATGAATCCTGCGCCCTAAAAAACACCTTAAATCTCCTCTTCATGTTCCTGGCTCTAACTCGAGCATCGTTTATTGATACTTCGGCAATATCAACCCCGTAGTATTCCCCAATCCCTGCCCTCTCGTATTTCAGCAAGTCTCCTCCCTTACCACACCCGAGGTCCAAAACAGAATCCCCCCTCTTCGTATACAGCCTTATCAGACAGGCTTTGATGAAATTGTTGGCGTTCCTTATGTTTATAGTCTTGCTTCTTTGTCTGCTCTCTCTTCCCCTCTCTCTAATGCTGTTGTAATGCTCTCTGATTTCCTCTTTCTTTCCCTCCATGGCCTGATCCTTCCTAAAAGTTTTAAGAGGGGATGAGGAATCCATGCTTCGGAAACGAGCTTGGATAGAGTGGACGCCTGCCTACTCCTTGGAAAGCGTAGGAGCATGCTTCTTCTGCTCGAGAAAGTTGCCATAGGCATGGTCAAACATATGCCTCCTTTGCAGCATAACATCCTTGCCTAGAGCATCTGCGGGATTGATGCTAGCTGTGGGTTTTGAAGCCCTCTTTCCTGTTCCTCTCTCCAGATCGTTGAAGATCTCCAGAAGCTCCTTGAAGGAAAACATTCTTTCCCCGCCACTTACAGCACCGTGTTTCCCTGGCCCTGTCCTGAAGGTCGGTCTCTTACTTTCTACTTCTTCTTTGCATTGGGGCAGCTGCGTCAAAGCCTTCTCATCCATCTTCATGACACAGGAATTGTCAAAGAAAATGACCTGGGTCTTGCTTTTGGTAAGCCTTCTCAGCCCTCTGACAGACCTTATGTTTGTCTCATGACCCATCTTCTTTGCACCACAAACAGAAATATTTAAATCATCAGTAACTATGTCCAGGCTGTCGACGACGCAAAACAACGTAATAATAAAACATTTATTTCATCCGTGATGCAGCACACTTCTCTGCAATGTTCTCAAAGATGAGATCGGACTTCTTCTTTATAGGGATGTGGACGGAGATATCTAACAGCTCCTTGAGATTCAGGGCATTGGTGGAGTAGGCAACCTTCTTGAGCGGCACAAGATGCTCGGGAATGTAAGAAATCAGACACAGTGTATTCTTCTGAATTCCATCATCATCAAAGTGTATGAAGTCATATACTACAAGGCAAGGATCTTGCTCGTTGACACCCGCTGAAAATTCTTTGAATATCCCCTGAAGCTCCTCTACAGTGTATTTCCTCTTGTAATCAAAGTCCTTGACCTTTCCTCCGCTTCTGACTATTGACAGGGATATAGGCTCCTTCGTCGATAGATCGGCAATAGTGTATCGAAGGTTCCCGCTTTTTATCTCCTCGATTTCGCTCCTTATGAGATCTAGTCCAGGTATCATCAAGTTCATTTCCGGGGGTTAATGTTTATAGGGATTAAGGCCAAAAGCACTGAGCTTCCCTGGAAGGCTTATGTCTTCGAAGAGGACGCACCCCACCAATGGCAAGAAAGATAGCAAATGAACTCCAGGAGTATATGAACGAGATCGAGAAAATCATAGAGAGCGATAAAACACCCAGGGAAAGGATTAACTCAAAGAGAAGGAAAATGCAAAGACTTGGCGGACATGTAAAGAAGCACCCCACTCCGCTCAATCGCATACTGGAAAGGATAGAAAGAAGAAAGGCAAGTGTGATTGCCGAGAGGGAGAGGATGGAGTCCATGGGGATTTCCAAGAAGAAAAAGAGAGCTAGATGACCATAGACACTTTGGCAGACCATCTACAGCCCTAGGCTGCAGACTCTGCAGTGCACACGCCCTGTCAATGCTGCTTAAATTGTTAGGTTGGTAGCCTCCTTACTTGAGGAACCTAAACCAATTATGTGTTTGGAACCAACCACTGGTGTTGTTGAGGAAAAGATGCAGACCTAATAAACAGGAGATCTCCTTTAAACTCCGTATAAAAAAGAATGAAGGAGACAAACTGGATAATGAACAGTGAAACACACCGATCTGGAAAAGTTGTCATTGTGGGAGATGGAGCCTGCGGTAAAACATGTCTGCTCGAGGTGTTTAGAAGAAACCAGTTTCCTGAAACATACATCCCAACCGTTGTCGACAACTTCGTGAAGGAAGTGAAGGTCGCTGACGACAAATATGTTTCCTTAGCCTTATGGGATACTGCAGGGCAAGAGGATTATGATACAATCAGGCCTCTTTCATACAAGGAGACAGATCTTGTACTACTGTGCTATACAATAGAAAACAAGAAGAAAATCCCAAACATCTCAAGAAAATGGCTGATGGAGATAAAGAACTACTGCCCCTCGTCGCAATTCTTTCTTATCGGGTTGAAGAAGGATATAAGGGATATGGATGATCCGACAATCGACAAGTCGTCAATAGTCACGGAAAGCGAGGGTCGGAAGATCGCAGATAATATCAATGCTGCGAGGTTTTTTGAGTGCTCTGCCCGTACCAGAGAAAACGTGAACCTTGTATTCGTGGAAGCCGCAAAGTATATATGGGACACGAAGCAGGCTGCTTCTGATGCCAGATCGTGTGGCTTTTTTTCGTGCATAAGATGCTGCCGTTATAGATAGGGATGCTTCGTAGAATAAATATCTTTAGTAATTCCTCGCCTAGCTCTTTGAAATTGGGCCGCAGCATTCATCAGAACTTATCGGAATCTTAAGAGCCTTCAGAACACATGCGAGGGCGGCTTCCTCCTCAGTATTTTCATTTGCAAAATGGTCGATACATGCAAACAGAAACGCTGCAGAGATAACCATAGATTCTGACAGCAGCTCCTTCGCCTCCCTGGTGCACTTAACACCAACCTTTGAAATTGTGCTGTTGATCAGCGATGCAGAAAGCTTCAGTTTCTTCAGACCAACCATTATGGGGCTGCCTATTTCAAATTATCTGGACAGGAGCCATAGATCAATGGGAAATCAAACATCACACAGACTGATCCATCATTTAATAAACTCAAACTGATGAACACATTCAGGAACCTCCTCATCAGACAAGTCCTCTTGGATGATTGCAGGAGAGTCAACCTTATCCATGAGAGTAGAATTCTCCTTGCAAATATTGGTGTCACTCTTGGAATTTATCATTCCGCACCAATTCTCATAGGCACTTTTGATAATGCCCACAGTAAACTTCTTGTCCATGTACTTCCCATCCAGAGCAAAGTTGTTCTTAGGCTTCCCATCAGGAACCTTGTAGTTCTTAAACCAAAAAATCGTTTGCTCAAGCAGTCCTTCGTAAACCTTTCGGACATCCTCGATATCATTGATTTCCTTTGCTTTTTCGTCGTTGACATCAATAACTACCACTTTCCAGTCACACTCTCCCTCATCAACCAATGCAATGCTTCCAAGAACCTTTGCCTGATAAACCTCTCCAACCTCCTTTCTCTTTCTTCCTATCTCAATAACATCCAGTGGGTCATTGTCACCCCTTGCCCCGGTATGCCTATCAACCTCATGAGGATTCTCCCATGTTTGTGGTAGGGCGCCATAGTTCCACAGATACCCTTTCATGGGAAAGACATTCTTTACAAACCTTGGCCATCCCTTCTTAATATCCTGCTTTATTGGATTGAATGCTTCCTCTTTGTTGATCTCAAACTTTCCATTCTCAAACCTAGGTATCTCATTGACGACAGACACAATTTCCCTGTTGCCTGACATATACAAAGGAATGTCATGAAACGGCGATACTATCTTCCCATCCTGTGTTACATACACCTTGAACGAAGGCGAGTACTTCTTTCCAACTCTCACTGTCGAATAGGCAGGCATTTGTGGGCAATGACCCAAATGTTTTTAAAACAACATCTGAAACATTGTTCTCTTAAGTAATAATAATGATTTTGACATCCGAAACACCTTAAAAGCCCTTGCAGATCTATTGCATCCAGTCAGGCCTGAAGCGCGGCTGATAGTTCATGGAAAGAGAAACCTTCAGACGATTCTTGTTTTTTGCGGACTCATTTCTATCATCTTGCACCAATCTTCTTACAAGAGTGGTTCTTTCCCTCCTCTCCAGTCTCGGGATGGGCTCTTCTTCTCTCGCCCGGAGCCGCCCCTTTCCTTGGATAACCTTGCCGTTTTCCAATATGAGATTCACGCCATCGGTTACCACATTCCTGTGCTTTCCGGAAGAAATGTGCTTTCCAAGACTATCACGCTCGCTGAAAGCTTCATAACACACATAACAGACCTTGCTACTGATATATGCAATTTCTTCGTCAGACAGGCCATGCTCTCTGTAGTGGTTGTCACTTTCTGGAAAATTGCAAAACAGGCATGCAACTTCCAAAGTGTTTTCTGGCTTGGGCAGACTTCTCTTTTTAGCATACCTCTTGAAAACACTCTCTCCAACCTCAAGGCCATTAATCTCCAAAGACACATCATCGCTCAGATGGTCCCCATTGATTTCCTCAACCGTTATCGGAGGAGCACTATAGATTTGTCTCTTGACATTTATTTTATGCACTTCAGAAGCATAGTGAGTTTTGATGTCTTTGTCTATCTCTACTTGGCACGCAGAACATTTCATTTCCAGGGCCAGGGGAAGACAGTATATGATTCTCCAGTAAGACCATCTGTTGGATGATGTCTCGAGTTATTGGGCAGTCAAACTTCTGGAACATACAGTCTCAAGCGAACTACTAAGATTGTAGGATGCTGAAGCCCACTGACCTATCAGCTGGATCTGTTCGTGCAGCTTCAGATATGCATAAAGCACACAGTAATCTATGGGACAACACTTAATATGCAGGTTTGGGCCCTTTGAACAATGAGCTCAGGAACTCAGCACAGAATAGACGAAATAAAGGAAGTATTCAGCGAGATCAAAGAAAACATTGGCGAGAGATCGTCAAATAAAATTAGGAAGAACTCCGTTCTGCTGGAAGTATGTGTGCCTGGAACCTGTGGATACGACGGGTGCAGTAAGTCAGCAAGAAACAGAGAGTCCGAGCTCCTTGAGAGAATAAAGGAGTTGGAATCAGTGATAGCAAAATCAAGCAGAGTGACCTATGACGATGGAGGATGTTCGAATACTGAAAACATCAAAATTGCAGTGGATGAAAAGAACACTGAGATCCAAAGGATAAGAGAGGAGCTCGCCAGGATCATGTCCGTGAATGATGATCTCCGGAAAGACAATGCAGAGATGCAATCCCATCTGTATAAATACAAGGAAAAGGCAGAAAGGCTGGAGGAGGTTGAAAAGGAGTATCTGAAATACAAGGAAGCTGTATCAAAGCTTAAAGGCGAAATAATGGACCTCAAGGGATCCATCCGGATGATTTGCCGCATAAGGCCCAACATGCCCGGTGGAACAGGATCTCGGATGGAAATATCTGACGAATCTCTGAGAATTGAGACGAATGGAAAAGAGTATGTTTTTTCATTCGACAGAGTATTTGGGCCGGATGCAACCCAAAGGTGTATATATGGCGAGGTGGAGATGACCCTCCATTCTGTATTAGAAGGATATAGGGTTTGTGTGTTTGCATATGGACAGACAGGGAGCGGAAAGACATATACTATGGAAGGCATTGGCGATGATCCAGGGCTCATTATTCAAGCAGTAAGAGGCATCTATCGAACTGTCGGAGAAATGGAGGCCGCAGGATGGTGCTTTGATAATACATGCAACTATGTGGAGATATACAACGAGGAAATAATAGACCTGCTTTCTGAAGACATGAGGAAAGTTGCAATCGTCCATAAAGGTACAGATGCTAGCATAATGGATTGCAGCAGCATACCTATTCATGACATATCCGGAGCCATCAGTTCGTTTCAGGATGGGGCAAGGAAGAAAAGAGTCGGAGATACCAGCTGTAACTCGAAGTCAAGTAGGAGCCATGCTGTTTATATCCTAAACGTAAGGATGAGGAACGAGACTTTGAAGCAGCAGAGAGAAGGGGCCATGGTGCTTATAGACTTAGCAGGGTCTGAAAGATTAAACGCTTCAAAGGCAGAGGGAATCAGACTAAAGGAAACACAGAACATAAATAGAAGCCTATCAGCATTAGGGGATGTCTTTAATTCTATTCTTAGGAAAGACAGCCACATTCCGTTTAGGAACTCAAAGCTTACGCATCTATTGCAAAGCTTCTTGTCTGGAAACTCTAGAACGATCATGCTTGTCAACATCTCGCCCGCTGCAGACCACTTCAACGAAACGCTGTGCTCGCTGAGGTTCGCAGACAAGGTTGGACGATGCAAGCTCGGCTCCATCAGGCGCAAGGTAACAAGCACTATTTCCGAATAGGGAGGGATCATAAAACAGAAATGTTTATCCTAGACCACGGCTTGCATAACTTTCGTATTTACAAAATATAAATGGCCTGTTTCGTCTTTTCCTGAAGCCTCCCTTCTCCGATTCTTTCTTGGCCCCGCAGCTGCAGAATGTTTTTCTTTGACGGTCTCCAAGAGAGTCGCCCTTGCTTTTATGGTTGGCCAACAAAAACTTTAGTTCTGTTTGGGGAAGTCCCTTGAGCCTTAGGTACTCCTTCAAAACCTCATTCAGAAATTTCTTGTAGGGTATCATGGGTCCAAAGTAGCAATGGCTTCTTAGCGATGAAGAGTCGATGTTGTCGTCGCATAGATAGAACTTCCCCAGCTCTGCATCAAGAGCATTGGTTCTATCCAACGAATTTGACACAACCCTTCCATATGTTATTAAATAGGATTCCCCCAGAATCTCTCTGTCCTTGATGGCCGGACTGCTCTTGAGGAAGCCGTTCCACAGGGTGTTCCTCAGTCCTGCCTCCTTGGAAATGATGGTCTTGACTCTATGAGAAAACTGTGTGGAAGTCTCGTCTTTCATTATGCGGACTGGCTCCATCCATGTGATTTCGGCTTCAAGCCTCCACCTGGTCATGAGATAGAACATATGCATGGTAAATCCATGGCTTCTTCTGTTCCAGTAGGGATCAAAGAGCCTTCTTTGGAATCTTATTGCGACAGGACACACAGCCACCCCAAGCTCAAAAGGTCCTTTCTGGAACAGCACTGAAAACTTATTATTGACGCATGTCCCCTCGGGAAAAATCAGCATGGGCGCACCCCCAGACCACACATGTTCCTTGACCTTCTCCACAACCAGCTGCCTATCGATCTTCTCGCTTCTTTTGAATGCAATCGATCCATTTCTTATTAAAATCGACTTGAATAGAAATCCAAACAGTCCTCCGTGCCTTTCGGAAACACATGCGTGGGGAAACCTGTGGCTACTAAGGAGGAAGAGATCCACAAATGATGTATGGTTTGCAACATATATGTGGGGCTCGGAAAGCTTCTTCTTTTCTCCAAGATGTTTTATCCTTGCATTCATTGCAAGCGTTAGAGATTTCGCTGCAAACATCAGTGCGCTCTCCAGATGAATGCTCTTCTTTGTAAACGCCGCCCTAAGTACCATCAGCAGAAAAATCATCACGCAGAGGGCAAGGAATACCAATCTTATTGGAAATAGGATGAAGTATCTTATCACAAAGGAGAATGTGTAGAATATCCCACTCGTGTCCATTTCTATTGTCGACACTGGTTGGAAGCATCTTGTGAAGTCGTCATTCTCAAGTGTGTGGCTTCCCATCGATACCATGTCCACTGCATCATGCAAAAATGTTCTTTTTTTCACCACCTCTTTCATCTCTAGGCCTATTTATTTGTTTTTTATGGATCTGACGGTCTCTGGGATAAACATTCAATTCACGGTCAGGGTGGTTCTGTAGGACCACACCCCTAAGTGTGGCATTCCTTTAGATACAGAGATCTGTAGTACAAAAGCATCACAGAGGGTTGCCCGATGACACAAAATGCTCCCCAAAAAAAGAAGTTTCCCAAACTCGGAAATCTCTTTTTAAATGACTCTGTGACATGGATAAGAGGAACTTGAAGAAGCATTGTTATCAGAAACCACCCAGTAGCCTTCTTTATCGAGATGGAAGCGACATACTCATGGACCAACCCGGATATCGTGAATATGACCAGCCCTGCCTTTTCCTTGGACACTCCTCTGCTGATCATGGGCGTATAGACGTGCCTTTTGAACCAAAGGTACACGGGCCTGTTCCATAGAGCCCAGAACTCCTTTGCAGAAGATGCATTCCACCACTCCTGGTAGAAGCATGAGTCATAGAACAACGTTATGTCAGCAACTGCATCCAGAAAACAGTAGAACACTGTGTAGAAGAATATCAGAAACAGGATTATAGTGCTTATCGAAAGATTGATTATGTTTTCGATCACTATTGTTACGTCTTCGAAGTCAACTATTCGGTATATGCTGGGAATTGCATACTGGTCCATAACAAGGACGAAGAGAAGAAAGCCCAGTAGAAGCTGTGCAGTCTTCAAGAGGATGTCTCTGGTGCTTCTCCTGGCTTTCATAGGGAAGTCTAGTTGGAAGCAGAGCGTAGGGACAACCAGGAAGTACAGAAAGTGCCTGACTCTCAACATCCCTGCTGTATTGGCCTTTTTATCTCTTCTGAGCTCCCAAACAACAAGATGGAATGATATCAGCTTGGCTATGTAAACAACGTCAAGTATCATCGACCATCCTGAGAAGTAGATGTGCCGTATATATTTTAGATTCAAGTATGCAACGAGTACCTCGAAGATACCTAGATTCAGACATATGTGCAAAGTTCCAAGCTCTCTCGCCTCTATATAGAACCCAAGGAGTGAGCGCACAAAGCTCATGAAAATCGTCAGAAGAAAACACGAGCATTCCGTCAGAGAAAGTGTTTGGAGAGGCAATGACATAAGAAACCCAAACTCCCTATTGTTGTCTATTATGAATCTTCCCACGCTCAAAAATGCAATTATTACGGCCAAGTTTTTCAGCCCGTATATTTTACTTTTGCCTCTATGAATTCTTCCCGTGGTGTGCACAGACAGCGAGTGGGAAGAAGCATTTCTTGGTGATGCAGAGGGATTGTTCCTCATCAGGGATATGGAGAAATAGTCTTTTGTTTAAGCCGTATCAGTCAACATGGCAAGTTTTATATCCTACCCTCGCATACCAGTAAAAAGAGCGACCTCGGCGAGATTCGAACTCGCGCTCCCAGAAGGAAATAGATTAGCAATCTACCGCGTTAACCACTTTGCTACGAGGTCTTAGCCTGCGAAGGCAACAAAATGAATACGGGCACGATGCATTCATTCTAAACGCCATTCGAAAGCCCATCGAATGCCAAGGTACTTCTGTGAGTTTTGCAACAAGATGCTTCTAAACGATAGACTAAGAAGCAGAAGAATGCATTGTGGGGGTGCAAAGCATGGCTTGATGAGAAAGGCTTACTATATGGAGATGTTTGAGAAAGAAGACATAGCAGCCGAAATGGCTTCCATCCTGAGGGATATAAAGACTGCAGGAGAAAAGGTTGAGTGTGAGGGCTCCAAAAGCACGTCCTATCCCCCTTTTCCTCCAGGAGACTTTTATTTGAACCTTGCTCTACCGGAAGAGCCTAAGGGATTTAGGCTTCCATCCGGATTTGACTTTCGAGACAAGAAAAACTTTCCAGAGAACATCACTGAGGCAATAGAGAGATACACGTAACTGCTCAATAGGATCGATTCGTTACACACAACGATTCTGGTATAACTTCCATCTAAATAAATTTCTTGAAATAGTCCTTCTCCGATGACGTTTCTATGTGATGGAAGAATCCAAAGCTTCTTCGAGACCAACGGAAGAAGAAACCACAGATCTTTTGTCGTTTTGCTCGGAGAGAATGCAAAACTGCAGCTTCCGACCGTCCACAGGGTTCTGCAAGGCCACTCGCACGGCCCCGTGGAAACAGTAGTCTGGTGCCACAAGAATGACATAACAAAAAAGGTAAGCCGAAAAGCCTCTGGGAAAAAGCAGAGGGGAGCTGTACAAAACGAAGAGTCCGAGGACGACTTGTCTCTGTTCATAAAATCTAACGACATAGAATTCATTGAGTATAAGGAAAGTGAAAGAATCTTGGGAAGAACCGTCGACATGCTGATACTGCAAGACTTCGAGGCCCTGTCTCCCAATCTGATAGCAACGAGCGTGGAAACTGTTAGGGGAGGTGGAGCTATAGTGCTTCTTTTAGACAGCACATGTTCTATGGAGACACTTATATCTCACAGAGTCGACATTCACGAGAAGATCGGAGAGTTTGAGCCGAGATATAACAAAAGACTGTTCAGATCACTGATGAATTCAAGGTTTGCGCTGTTCTTGGACGATAAGCTCAACATGTTAGATGGCGTGAGCATGCCTGACATCCAAAATCCGGGTGTCGTCGAGAGGAAAGCTACTCCATTAGAACCCCACAGCTCCGGCAATGAGGTTTTGAAAGGCCTTGGGAAAACCGGAGACCAGATACGCATCATCGAGGAACTCTTTAAAGCCTTGGAACTAAGAGAAAGCAGAACGATATTTTCCATTACTGCATCAAGAGGAAGAGGAAAGTCCGCAGCACTGGGCATTTCAATAGCCCAGGCAGTGAATCTTGGCCTCCTGTCTGTGTACATTGCATCCCCGGCAATTGAAAACGTCAAGACAGTTTTCATGTTCCTTATCACTGGTCTTGAAAAGCTGGGATATAAGAGATACGTTGACTTCAAGATTATATATCAGTTTAGGGGAAACAAGAGGTTTATGCAGAAGATAGAGTTCACTGGTGGAAGAAAGCAGATTATAGAGTACTTCAACCCGCTGGATGAGCTCAAGTACTATCCAGACCTGCTGGTGGTCGATGAGGCGGCAGCCATTCCTCTCACATACCTCATGAAGCTGATATTCCCAAACTTTGTTATCATGGCCACAACAGCTAGCGGGTATGAGGGGACAGGAAGGGCTTTTTCTGTCAAGCTATCGGAAACCCTCAGAAAGAGCAGCATTGAATCAAATTCCTTCGTATACAAAGAGCTGGCGATGAATGAGTCCATTAGATACGGCCAGAATGACCCCGTGGAAGACTGGCTGTACAGAGCACTGGTGTTGGATGCATCTATCCCAAAGATTGAGGGATGCCCAAGTCCGTCGGAATGCGAACTTTTTTATGTTGACAAGAGCATCCTGTTCTCCGGAAAATCCCCTGCAGAAAGGTTCCTGAACGATCTGTTCTCTCTGTTCATTTCCTCCCACTATAGAAACAGTCCCAACGATCTCCAGATCTTGGCTGATTCTCCAAGGCATGAGATATTTGCCCTTGTAACCCCAGTGGAAGACAACGGAAGGGACATTCCAAAAGTGATTTGCTCTCTTCAGATCTCTTTTGAAGGCAGGTGTAGAAGAACCGAGCATTTGAGGGAGGGTAACCTAATCTCCTGGGTTGTTTCCGAAGAGCACCTAGATGCGTCGTTCTTAGATGCATATGGTGCCAGGATAGTTAGAATAGCTGTTCATCCTGAATATGTTGGAATGGGATATGGAACAGCATCCCTGAACTTACTAATCAAGCACCTTTCTGGCCATGGCGAGGACATCCATCTCGCTAAAACGAAGGGTGGAGAAGAGGGTGTTCTTTTGTACAGCTTGTCCGATGTATCATTTCCCCGTGTCGACTGGATGGGCGCTTCGTTTGGTATGACGGAAACTCTGTACAGATTCTGGACAAAGTGTGGTTTTGCACCCGTGGGGATAAAACAAACAATTACACAGGAAACCGGAGAGCATTCTGCAATCTTCATTAGATCCCTATCCCCCAATGAAGATAGCCGAATACAGAGATACAACCAAAACTTCATGTCCAGGTTTGTCGGGCAACTTTCAAGTAGCTTCAAAGACTTTACTCCATCTTTGTCCCTATCTCTGCTGAGCAACCCTGTGACGGGGAAGGGGCCGACGACATACTTCTCCTCAGACGACATTCACAGGATCAGAATGGCGTCTACTGGAAGAGTGGATTTGAGCCTTGTGGTGGATCTCATCCCGGATATATCCAGAATGTACTTTCATGGGAAGCTCCCCCAAGACCTATCGGTTCTTAGAAAGTCTGTGCTATTGATGATAGGATGCCAAAATAGAAGCGTTGAGGCGGTTGCAGAGCTTCTTACTCTCAAGCCATTCCAGGTTGTCAACATTCTGACCAAGACACTGTCGATTCTTCTTGACGACCTTGAAAGAAATTACGTGGCTAACTAACATCCTCGGCCTAAAAGTACTAGCCTACAACTATAAACGAATAAAGGCAGTGGATTTATTTGGCGATATTTTGGTAAGTACAAGAAGCCTTCCATTTGGCACTACCATTGCAGGACATCAAGGAGCTAGTCGGCACAGAAGGGAAACTTGGACCTTAAAGTGTATGCCTGCGCCTCTTTGACATATTTGAGGAAATCCCTTGCTTTCTCTATGTTTGTCTCTGAAATGCCCTCGAATGAGTGGGTGGACAATATGTTCTCGTCCTTATCAAAGACAACAACTTCTTCCTCGTGCATAAAGGAGCTACTAGCATAAAACATCGACCTGAGGGGAATTCCCCCGTCTGCGAGTGCTAAAAGCGCCGCATTCACAGCACAGAAAAGGGTGTTCCTTGTTTCTCCTACAACGTTGAAACTTATCTGTATGACCTTGCAAGCATCCAGCTCCAAGATGATGTTTTTGGAAAGAATTTTCTCGATTACTCTTGAAAAGTACTTATCATAAACTCTTCCGTTGATAAGCACCATGTCCCTCCACCGGACATCCAAAATAGCCCGGTCGGGGTCTTCCTGCCTGGATATGGCATCTGATGGCCCATGAACCACGCAAAAGACGGTTGTATTATTATACGAGAATCTTGAAGACCCGGTGCAGTGGGATATAACACTTACCATTGACTTTATTCCGTCCATCCACAATGGGTTAATGGCCGGCTAGAATAAATTCTTCCCTGCTGAATAAGGATAACCAACTTTAATTGATCTGCTCAAATTCACTCCATACAAATTACGGTTTTCTGTAGTCAAAACCTCGGGAATACTTCCTAACCCTTTCATTTTTAGCAAGCTCTCTATACTGAATATAATACTTCCTGGCAAGCTCGGCATAATAAGGCATGTCCAACTCATCCATTGCTCTTATCAGATCTTCTCCAGTAACAGTCTTCCGGGCCTCGGACTCGCATATTTCCTTAGCTCTGCATGTTATTATAGCTATAAACTCCCCGGCAGACTTTTGCATTATCTCCTTTGCGTCCTTAGCAACTTTTGCTTCCTTCGGAATAGGCTTCTTCATGATCTTTGATATGTTGGCTATTGGAAGAGACCTGTCTGTGGGTCTCAACCCTCCGCTGAACTCATCCATTGGCTCTACCTCTCTGTTGACTTTTATAGATCTGTTTTATTTTTGGGGTCCTTGGTTTCAAAAGTAAGATCGTTTCACGACAAAGACCTTCTCAGACTTATGAAACCTGTGGGGCAGCTTGGGACTCCAGTAAAGAACAACGGAACATTTTTATTCTTCAAAGCGAATCCTTGGTGCGATATTCATTCCCATCAGCTCCTGAATCAAGAGTTTGAAGGCATACGGAATCTCAACCATGCTCACATTCGTGGTGTTGTTACATCCCTTGCATTCATTCACCTTGCTTCCACCCATTGCAAGAAGCCCGCAAAAGTCACACACATAGCAAGAGTATGCATCGCTCACATCCATCAGCCTTTCTTTCAGAAAAGCAGATGCCCCGTGGGAAATTATACAGTCTCTTTCCATTTCTCCAAACCGGAGCCCACCATCCCTGGACCTTCCCTCAACAGGCTGCCTGGTGAGTATCTGGAGCGGGCCTCGAGCTCTAGCATGTATCTTATCGTCAACCATATGCTTAAGCCGTTGGTAATATGTCGGCCCAAAGAACATCTGAGCTCGGAGCTTTCTCCCTGTCATTCCATTGTACATAACCTCCAACCCCCTTTGCTGGAAGCCATACGACTTCAACCTGGAGGATATCCCGTCAACAGTCACGCCACTAAATGGTGTTGCATCCCCCTCCTCTCCACTCATTGCACTAACCTTGCCCAGGAGACATTCAATCAAATGCCCGATGGTCATACGGCTGGGAATCGCATGCGGGTTTATGATTATGTCCGGAACTATCCCTTCAGAAGTAAAGGGCATGTCTTCCTGCCTCAAAGTAATTCCTATTGTTCCCTTCTGCGCATGTCTAGACGCAAACTTGTCTCCCATCTGGGGAATCCTCCCAGACCTTACCTTGACCTTGGAAAACTTGTATCCATCCTTGTTTGTAACAATAACCGTGTCAACAATTCCTGTTTCCGTTCTACGCATTGCAGTGCTGCTGTCCTTGTACACATAAACAGGCGCCTCTTTGGTACTTCTTTCAGGGTCCAGTATGGGCGTTATCTTTCCAATAAGAACATCGTCCCCAGTAACCCTTGTCCCGGGGCTTATAAGTCCATCATCATCCAGCTTGTTGTAATTCAGGTTCTTCATCCTCAGAACAGCCCCTCTGCTAGGCTTGCAAAACTCCTCGTTGACACCAGGCCTTGACATAGACTCCTGGTCGGTGTATGTCCTATAGAAGAAACTTCTAAACAAGCCTCTATCAATGGCACTCTGATTCATGATAATGCTATCCTCCTGATTGTATCCAGAATAGCACGCAATTGCAACCAGAGCATTCTGGCCGGATGGAAGCTCCTTGAACCGAAGATATTCCATACTTTTTGTTGTCACAAGCGGCTTCTGAGGATAGAACAGGATATTGCTCAGCGTGTCCATCCTCAGCAGAAAGTTTGTTGCATAGATCCCCATCGCTTGCTTGCCCATTGCACTCTGGTATGTGTTACGAGGACTCTGATTGTGGTCAGGAAACGGAATGGTTGAGGCACAAATCCCCAATATCAATGCTGGATGGATCTCACAGTGAGTATAGGAAACACTCACGTCAGACGAGTTCCTAGACTCGTCGGCAAGAATCTTCGTGTTCATCGCTATCATAGACATTTCTTCCTCCTCAACATCCAGAAACTCAATAAACCCCGAGGTAACCAAGTTATCCCATTTAATTTCTCCCCTTTTCAATTTTCTTATGTCTTCTGCGGTAATGACAAGCTTATTATCTTTGACAACCAGTAGAGGCCTACAAGGCCTTCCAGCATCTGACTGTACCCTGATTTCTTTTTCCCGAATATCTCGGACGATGCTAACCTCCTTATCCATCTCAAGGCTTCGCCTCAATAACTTGAGCGATTTTATCAGACCCACAGGATCTGAATGAATCCCAACCCAAACTCCATTCACAAAGATCTTGGTTGCTGCATCCAGCTGTGAAGTGGATATCTCCTCCAATGATTCAACACCACACTCTTCTAAAAACTCAACCAATGGCCCAGAAGATGACCCAACAGAGATATACGCCATGAGTGACAGGTTCTTTACGAGGCCACACGCCTGGCCCTCGGGCGTCTCCGCAGGACAAACCATACCCCAGTGTGTGTTATGGAGCTGTCGGGGCGCTGCCAACTTTCCTTCCTTTTCAATGGGTGTGTTGACTCTCCTCAGATGGCTAAGAGTCGAAACAAAGTTGTATCGATTCAGAACCTGAGCAACCCCAGCCCTCGTCTGCATCGCCTTTGCCTGGTCTCCCCAGTTCCCTGTTGCCAATGCGTACCGAAACCCCTGTGTAATTATGCTTGCCTTCAGTCCAAGAGCTATATTGAACTCTCTTCCATTCTCTATGCACTTTTGCATGTGTCTCGTTGTATCCACACACAGCTTCTTAAACAGGGTTCTGAAGAGTGATGCAAGTAGAGGCCCGCTGAGGTCCATTCTTTTCTTTCCGTAATGATCTCTGTCGTCGGGGTTTCTTCTTCCTAACGCCACAAGCAAGAGCCTCTGGACAATATATCCAATAAAGTAGGCCTTTTTGGTTTCACAAAACTCCTGTGTTCCAATGTGGGGGAGGACTTCCTTTGCAAGAAGGTCCTTGGCCATCACTATTCTTTTCTCCTGTGGCGTTCCTATAGGCGCAGACCTCTTTCCGATGTAGTCTAGCGCCACATTTTGGTCCTGAACAACGGTTCCCTCCTCAATACTTTCTTTCAGGAGCTCAAACATCTCCTCATCGTCTTCGTAAAGAATATGATCAATTATCTCCTTGTCTGACAAAAACCCCAACGCCCTGTACAAAACAAAAAGAGGGACGTCTTGCTTAACCAATGGCAGTGAAACCCTTATCACCCCCGGGGATCTACAAAGCTTCATAGACAGGGTGCTTGGGTTTCTGGAGCTCTTTTCAGGAACAGACCGTATTTCTGCATAGTGTGTATAGGTCGCAGGCTGTGCCTTCTTGAACACATAGACAGTGTTACTTGCCATTCGTTCCTGGGCCACAATGACCTTTTCAGATCCATTCACTATGAAGTACCCCCCTTGATCATACGGGCATTCTCCAAGGTCAATGAGGTCCTTATCGCCTAGTCCATAGAGAACACAGTATGATGACCTCAGCATCACAGGCAACGATCCAAAGGGAACCCTTGAGTATTTGTGCTTGTCAACAACTCCCAGCTCAGACAAAGTCTCTTTTGTAACATCGATAAACAGAGGAGATGCATATGTTAAGTCTCTTATGCGGGCTTCATTCGGAAAGACTGTGATCGTCCTTCCGTCAGACTCGGTGTAGACAGGTGGTTTGGAGACATATATCTGTCCAAATCTAACGGCTATTCTCTTTTGAGTCTCTATCCCTGCTGTGGGTGCTGACTGGACGATTATTACCGGGCTTTCATTAATAACCTCCTGCATCTTTGTTTTAACAAACTGATCAAACGAGTCGAGCTGCTGTCTAACAAGTCCTTTTTGCTCAAAGAAAGAGGATATGATCGACCAGCTATGCTCTTTTGTGAAAGCAGACTCCATTGGGGGATTGAGCTTTCAAAAAATAAATGAAGGGGAGGTGTGGAAGCATCTTTCTGTGGCTCCACAAACATCGTTAGCATAGGGGCCCTGATGCTCGGGGTATTCCGCTATGTCGAGTCTGAGCGGCATTTCTATGGACCGAAGGCCTAGAGCAATTTTTTAGGAGAATCCTGGAGCCCCAAAATGCAGAAACCAATCCCTCGGAAGATGTATATTCTTGTGCCTGATAAGCCTGCACAGATCCAAAACGAAAGCGCAATAGCAGCAAAAACCATATCCTCCGTGATAAGAACGTGCCTTGGGCCCCGTGCAATGCAAAAGATGGTACTGACGAAGATAAACTCGATAGAGCTGACCAATGATGGCAACGCCATTCTTAGAGAGCTTGACGTCGCACATCCATCAGCCAGGTCCCTTATAGAGCTGGCAAAGACACAGGATGACGAGGTAGGAGATGGAACAACATCTGTTGTGCTTCTTGCGGCCGAGATTCTGAACGAGATGACCTACATATTAGACAGAGACGTCCATCCAATAAGAATCTGTAAGGCTCTAGGAAGGGCGCTTGAGATCTGCATCAAGGCGATTGATGGAGCGGCCATATCTCTGGATTCCAATGAAGAGACTAAAATCAAGATCATCAACGGGAGCGTGGCATCGAAGATTTGCAACATCCTTAAGGTTCCTATCGGTAATCTTGCTCTAGAGGCCGTGAAAAAGGTTTACGTAAAAGAAGAGAACAAATGCGATCTCAAGAACAATATGAAGGTAGAGAAGGTGCTTGGAGGGAATCTCATGGAGTCTGAGGTTGTGGATGGGGTACTGATCAACAAGGATATTATACATCCGCAGATGAGAAGGGTCATTGAGAATCCAAGGATTGTTATAATTGAGTCTCCCCTTGAGTATAAGAAGGGGGAGAGCCAAACAAACTACGAGTTTTCGAAAGAAAACGACTTTACAAGGGCACTTGAGATTGAGGAGGAGCAAGTCCGTGAGATGTGCGAAAGAATAATTGGGGTGAGGCCGGATATTGTAGTGTGTGAAAAGGGCATTAGCGATCTTGCACTATCGATTTTGTTTGAAAACAACATCACGGGCCTTAGAAGATTGAAGAAGACGGATATTTCTAGGCTGAGCAAGGTGTGTGGAGCTCGTTCGGTAAGCAGGCCTGAAGATCTTGAGGAAAGACACGTCGGAGTCTCTTGCGGGCTATTTGAATATATCAAGTATGGCGAGGAATATTATTGCAAATTCAGTAGATGTGCCCATCCAAAGGCATGCAGCGTTGTTATACGTGGTCCGACAAAAGACATTCTTGATGAGCTTGAGAGGAATTTCATGGATGCAGTCAAGGTTGCTAAGAGCATATTTATCAGCCCTAAGCTTTGCCCTGGAGGAGGGGCTGCCGAAATGGCAATGGCGCACGAGCTGATGCAGAGCGCAGGAGACAACGAGGTGGAAGCTGAGGTTTTTTCAAGAATGGCATCCGCATTGACAATCATTCCCTCTATACTCCTTGAGAACTCAGGAGTTTTCAATCCCCTGGAAGCCATCACTCTTTTAGAGCAAAAGCATAAGGAAGGTTCTTTCTATGGAGTCAATGGAACAACCGGGGAGATTGTTGACACAAGAGATCTTGTGTTGGAGCCATACGCAGTGAAGAGTCAATGCATCAAATCTGCCGTGGAGGCGGTGTCACAGCTTCTAAGAATTGACGGGATAATCGAAAGCAAGCGCTGAATAAAATATTTAAGTGAAAGTAGACGGCTTCTCCCTCTCCCTCTTGATTCTGATTGCTGTTGTCCAAATTTCTTTGGGGGACCTTGAACCTCACGTAATCGCCTTTGCCCCATACAAGCACGGATGGTCTTCATGCAGGAAAACATAAAAGAAAAGATTGACTCCATTGACGCATTAATGAGACGATTGGACGAGGACAGAAACATATCGGTGGTCGATATCCTCAAGGAAGAAATACTTAAGCTCAGGAAGCTCAACGAGGAGTATAAGAAGATGCTGGAGTCCAAAAAGGTCATGCACAAGGATCAACTTCAAAACAAGATTAGATACTACCTTAAAGACGGATCGACGTATGTTGTCAAGAGCAATCAGTACAGATACCTGTATGATGCAAAAACCAAGACAATCACCTATGAGTTTTCGAATGGGCAGATTGAAAAGACGTTTCCCTCAGGCCTGAAGGAAATTAGACATCCGGATGGAAGCATCACAATAAAAAACGGGCCTAGAGATCACGAGTACATTAAATAGCAGACCTTTTAATTGTTGAAACCGGTGAAGTTGGCCTTGAAGAAATCCTGAGCAAATGCCAGGATAGTAACAGTTCCCTCCTCCCCTCCTGAGCAGTACAGCTTTCCGGAAGGATGGACATCTACAGAATTTATCGTTCCAAAGTGTGTGCTGTAAGATCCGATCTTCTCGCACGTTACAACGTCGAAGAAGTTTGCCTCAAAAGAAGACTTCCCCTTGGTTGTAGTTACGTCCCTTGCATTGATCCCTCCAACACAAATGACCTTATCATTAGTGTTGAATATAGCTGCACAGTTCACCGGCTCTTCGCATACAAACGTCTTTTGGACAGAGAGATCAAGAAAGTCAACAATCTTTGACTGCGAGTCCGTAGATCCCGTAATGAAAAAAGTTCTGCATCTACTTGGTCTAATGTTGTTTATCTTGGAAGTGTGGATTCTCGCACTTTTTATGGTCTGCAGGTTTCTGAGATCTACAGAGCTAATACTTCCTTTCGAGTCGCAATAAACCAGAAAATCCTCGGATGCATCCAGCAAAACCTTCACAGGAGACGAGGCAGGCGTGAGAACTTTTCTAAAATCTTTGCTCCTGGTGTCAAACATCCCAACCAAGGAAGTCTTTCCCATGGAATCGTCGCTGCATACCAAGCACAACGTTCCATCCCGATAAAAATCCAGCCCTTTGACCACAACGCCGACATCAGCTTGGGCCTTTACCTTTCCAGTAGGAACATCCCATAAAATGATAGACTGGTCGGCACTTCCCGTCATCAAAGCATCGCTCTTATTGTCTATAGCAATGGAAAATATCGACCCTCGATGCCCTTTGTACTCACCAATCACCGATCCATCGGCACGAAGAAGTGTGGCCGTGGAGTCCTTCCCTGCTGTGAATATCAGGTCTCCATCGTAATTGAACTTGACCTCCGTTATAGGTCTTTCATGACATTTTATGTTCAGGAAATATCCTTCATCTCCTACCGAAAGGCCATCACCCATTATCCCCAAAGAGAGAAATTCGAAATAAGCAAAAATTTCGGAACATCCCGGCCTCCGCTTCGGCTGATAAGGCTCATTTAGCATATGGCTTAAAGGCTCTGTATCTGGCTATTGGTCCAGAGTGCAGCTTCTCCACCTTGCCATCAAACACGAGTATATCTGCCAGCGTCTCTAGGTCGTCAAGTCTTAAAGGAATAGACAGGATATTCACATTCCTGACATAATTCATTATATCCTCTAGAGTTGGATTGTCTTCATATTTGGGGAGCTCTTCCCTACCAGCCAGGTTCTTTTCCAGAAACAGTTCAATAATCTCCAAAATTCTGGCTACACACTCCACATCTACATCGTTGTCATGAAACCATGTGCCTCCCGTAATTTCTTCAGAAGGAACCTGGTCATATAAGACATACACCTTTCTGTTGTTTTTGAGGCATTTGACAGATTTGATAATCCTCTTACTCTCCATGCTTCTGAGGACCTTCCCAACCAAGTTGTGTGGCATATTGGTCTTGTCTTTTATCACCTTCAGCCAAACTCCCTCGCCTCCGCTCTGGCTCACTAGGTTATATATCGTAAGTTCATAATCATCCACGTTTATTGGAGACGGCTTGTAATACAGAACGCCCTTATCTCTAAACAGACTAATCTCCTGGCGCTTTAGACATGCATTCAGCTCCTTAGCAACATCTGCCTTCGACATCTGCGGGAACTCCGAGGACAGCTCCTCCTCGACCACTCCTTCCGGACGGCTTCTTATGAAATCCAAAATGCCTCTTATCATGGGATGAAAATTTCTTCTACATCATGACTCATCAATTTCGCCGATCCCAAGCTTCAAAAACTTCCTTTTCTTTGGTGAAGGAGAGCCTCGTCTTTTTTGCCGTGCACGTATCCCTCCACGTCTTGTTGCCTTTCTTGCAAGCGGAGTCTTCAGGATGGAGCTTTCCTGCACCATGCTATCCTCAAAACTGCTAAAAATCTTTTCCATTTGCTTATAGAAGTCTATCTCGAAATTACTCTCACAGAAATCCAACCTCGCAGCAATGGTGGTTTTGCAACAAAGCTTTCTGAGGAGTTTTCCTTGGTTCTTCGGGGATGCCTTTGCAACCAACGGATGCTGGGATAACAGAGGCGACCCGTATGTCTTGATACCGTACTTCATCACCTCCGATGGAGTCGCTCTTACCAAGGAAAAAAGACACCCCATCTCTACGATAAACTTGAAGAAGAGGTCATCTCCCATCAGATTGTGAAGATATCTAAGCCTGGTTCTAAGACCGTTCTTGCACTGATCTATCTCGGCATCAATCACTTCAATCTTTTCGATGCTTGAGACAAGGCTCTTTTTTTTATCTGCATCGAGGGATCTTCCAATAGTGATCACCATTTCTATTTCCATGCCATAAGCATATTCCTGTAGCTCCTCTGTCTTTTCTTTGTTTAGTGATGCAAGAATACAGCACACAGATGCATAGTCATCCAAGCATTCCAGGTCGTAGTCAAGAAAAAGCATGTTTTTTATTTGAGTCTTAACCTCGTGCAGCTCCTTTATCTTTTTCTTATACATTTGAAGTGCATTATCCATTAGGGGATTTTAGGTCCACCAGATATAATGAGTCTACCAGCCTGTTGGTGGATATTGATTGCTCCCACTGTGAGCTTTTGTAGTGTAGTGGTTATCACGTATCCTTCACACGGATGAGGTCCTCGGTTCGAACCCGAGCAAAAGCATTTTCGCAATCTTTTACACCATGCGTGTTTGGATTAAAATCATGGCGGTCTGGACACCCATGGACTTTGACTTCCAAGAACCAACATTGCTCGTCTACGACCTGATTCATGGCACGAAATTGGGTAATCCCGAATCCAGAGAGCACCTTGAAAGATTGCTTATTGATAAATGCATGTATGACCTCTACAGCTTTCTTGCCGAGAAAGGTGTGCTGAAGCTCGATCGCGGACGTATGAAAACACTACTCCAAACCAAGAACGAGAGAATTGAAGAGCTTGAGAGGCTTCGGGAAAAGGAAGTGGACAACGAGACCTATGGAAGCGAGATTGACCGAAGGATTGCAGAGTTCTACTGCCAAACGATGGACATCCAGAACGGATTTGAATGGATGAGAAGACTTATGAGAGATGACATGTCGTTGTCCTTGAAGATGGACATTTTTCTCTGTAAAATCAGAATGGGTTTGATTGTAGGAAACAGAAAAGTTGTTGAGGAGAGCATTGAGGTGGCCGACGACATATATGAGAGAGGATGCGATTGGGACAGGAGGAACAGATACAAGGTGTACAAGGGAATGTTCAAGATGATGAGGAGAAAGTTCAAGGAGGCAGGGATTTTGTTTAGTGAGATATTACCGTCATTTGAGTCGAGTGAAGTGATAAGCTACTCGCGGGCTGTGCGATATATGATATTCTGCGGCCTCCTTAGGTTTGAAAGGAGAGAAATTGAGACGCGCATTCTTAAGTGCAGTGATGTGATAGGGAGTTCCGAGAAGCTTGGAGTACAACTAGCAACTTCGCTGTTCGAGTGCAACTATGGGGATTTTATGAACGATCTGTACCTGTTTTGTAAGTCTCTTCAGGATGACGTATTTGTTGGGAGGTTTGTAGATTTGTTTTGCCGGGAGATGAGGTTGCGCGTATACGGGCAAGTCCTCGAAAGTTACCGATTGATGCTGCTTGAAAACATGGCACAGACGTTTAGGGTGAGTGTGGAGTATGTTGAGCGCGATCTTGGAGAGTTCATAGTTGAAGGCCGGCTGTGGAGTAAGATAGACCGCATCTCCGGGGTTGTTGAGGTGACTTCCAGGGAGGAGCAGGATGTATCAAGTGTTGTTGGATATGGATGCGACGTTGTACGGCGTATTAAGAAATGTGTCAAGTAAATCCATCTCTTTTTATTCCCTGTATTTGTCATACACATCATCATAGGCTCCCTCTGAGTGCCAGAAAAGAATGCACTAAACTTGACAGGAACATCCTCTTATCAGGTATCGATCGATGGCCTAGGACTATTGGTAGCATCTCTCCTTTACAACGATTTATGACTCTAATTTCTTGATCACATGGATCGAGGGTTTCCGAAATGCATTGCGAATAAGACAGTGATTGGAATTGGGACAGGCACTACAGTTGAAAGATACATAGATGCATTACATCACGACGCGACGTATGTACCCTCCAGCATTAGGACGGCACTGATACTTAGCGAAAAAGGCTTTACCGTTTCAAGTCCTTTGGCCCATGGAGTCCTAGACCTATACATAGATGGGGCGGATTACTTTGACAAGAATGGGAACATGATTAAGGGAGGGGGAGGGGCATTGACCACAGAAAAGCTGCTTTACTCCATGGCCAAAGAGACCATTATAATAGTTCAGAGTCACAAATACAGGGAAACATTTGATGGATGTTTTATTCCTGTTGAAGCCATTCCCACATCTCTTTTGAAACTTATTTCAACCCTAGAAGGAAGTGGGTTGAAGTATTGTTTAAGGGAGACTGATGGAAAGATGGGACCATTGATCACCGACTTAGGGAACTGCATAGTTGATGTAGAATATGACGATGTATTTATATCATCGTGCAAGAGCATTTGTGGTGTTGTAGAGCATGGGCTGTTCGAGTCGGTTGGAAATACCACAATTGTCGAAGAAGATGGAAACAATTGATTTTGATGGATTATATATAGGTCGATGCTAGGTGCACAAAAAACATATCAGATCCTAAACCCCTAAATGGGATACTTTTGTGTATTCAACAAGAAAGGATTGGTTGTCCATGAGGAAGGAAGGATGCCTGAATATCTCAACCAGGTAATAGCATCTCTGGACATGTCCAGGCTTGCTGATTCAAGAAAAATCAGAAACCAGATTATGGAATATGAAATTAGAGGTCCACTTGTATATTTGAGCATATCCAGGACTCCCAGTCTCAAGGCAGCTGTTTGCGATTATCTTGGTGAGAGTGAGCAGAAGACACATCAAGAGGATAAAAAGAAAGCAGACAAAGGGCATAAGAAAAGAAGGTGGGAGGATGCAGGAGACGAGGGGGGGCTGGATTATTCCACTTCTTCAAGTGTAGTGAATTATTTTGTTGATGCGGTTAAGAAGGCCACAGTAAAAAAAGCATTTGGGCTGTTCAAAGGGGAAATAGATGTAAACGAATTGAAAGACAAGATGACTACGCATTTGATAAGCAAGAATGTAAGCTACCAAATAACCAAAACACTTGTAGAGGATATCATGTCGGAGCTGGCAGAAGAAGAGATAAAAAGCGTTTCCGAGAAAACATTTAAGGAAAAGATGGCCAATGTGCTCAGTAAGCTTATTCCATCTGTAGACCACGAGGAGATGCTGGACAGAATAAGAGGGCACAAGGGGGTGTTTTCTATTTGCTTCGTTGGGGTGAATGGAGTTGGAAAAAGTACATCTCTGGCCAAAATATGCTACTGGCTGCTGCAGAACAAGCTTAGGGTGTACATAGCTGCATGCGATACATTCAGAGCGGGGGCTATTGAACAGCTCAAAACACACGTGGAGAGATTCAAACTAGGAGGCCATCTAGTCGGATTCTATGAGAAAGGATACGGAAAAGACGATGCCTCTGTCGCAAGATGTGCCATTCAGGAGGCCCAGCATGAAGGATATGATGTTATTCTGATTGATACAGCAGGTAGGATGCACAATAAGAAGAACCTCATGGCTTCTCTTACCAAGCTAATGAAAATCAACAGGCCTGATCACATCATATATGTGGGAGAGGCATTGGTTGGATCGGATAGTCTGGACCACATTAGAGAGTTTAACAAAGCAATTAGAGATGCAGATCAATCAAGAAAAATCGACAGTATACTTCTTACGAAGGTTGATACGGTAGATGACAGAATAGGGCAGATCCTGAATATGGCCTTTTCTTCCCACGCTCCCATTTTATTCTTGGGTGTCGGGCAGTCAAACTCGGACTTGTCCAAGATAGGGTCCGAAGATATTGTAAGCAGTCTTATGTCTGATTAAGGTCCTTTGCCCGCTCAAAAACAACATTGTTTCAGGTAGAAAATGTAAAGCTGAAAAATAAATTTAATTCAGATTGTACCTATCTTGGCAGCGATTTCAAGGGCAGCACCTTCGTCAGCAAAGCTAACATATGCCTTTTTCCCATGCTTGTTTATCAGGGTGTTGACCTTCTTAACCTTACTCCCATAGAGCTCCGTGATGGCCTTCTTGATCTCCGGTTTGGTGGAAGTCTTCTCCACATAAAAGACCAGGGTGTTGAACTGCTCCATGCATCGGGCAGCCTTCTCTGTAGTGAGTGCATGGAGGATTATGTCGTTGGGAGTGTTCCTTGGCATCTTTGTAACGAGGTTTCTAGGATGCTTGAAGTTCTTCCTCGGGCTTTCCATTGAGGGCTTGTGCAGAAGAGTTTTTGTCGGGTTTCCTGGCCTGAGGTAGTTCGGAATGTGGACAAGCGCCATCAGCCTTTGTAGCGCAGTGGTTAACGCGTTCGGCTGTTAACCGAAAGGTCGAGAGTTCGAGTCTCTCCAAGGGCGTTTTGTCGGTTTGCACACAGCATATAAGTCTTTCCTGCATCCATAACCCTGGAAAATGGATACAAAAGGAAGTCTAGCCGATAAGATTGACATATTCTTTCTATTGAAGCAACAGAAGCTTATCACCAAAAAAGAACTGGGTATGCTTCTCCCTACACAGTCGTATGAAGATTATAGGGTAAATTATTATAGAAGAAGAGTTCCTGAGGTATTTGACAGAAACTTCAGAAAGGAATGGTTTATATATAGGTACCTGGACGATTTCTTTTGTGAAGAGAGGAGAAAGGCGATTTGGAATATCTACAGCTTTAAAATAGAAGGCCCATGCATAATAGCTAGAAATATATCTGACGATGTGCCCGGTTCTGTTATAAACTCTGCATTTTCCCAGTGTGTGAACCTTGAAAGGTTTTGGATCCAGCATCAGACATCACAGAACGGATTCTCTAGACTGTGCTATATCATTCTAAAGAAAGAGGCAAGTGTACAGGAATCCATAGATTTTATGAGGTCTGTCCTGGATAGAAAGCTGGGTATAGAGCTTGAGGAATTTGATATCTCAGGAGTGGTGGAGCCTAAAATATTATCTGACTGTAATGACTATGATACAGCAATGTCAATATTCAGCTCCATGTGTAGAATGTTTGATATAAACGAGGAGGAAGTACTTAAGAAATACTCGTCGGCATTAGGAGATACCTCCACCAGGCAGAATACTGCCGAATTTATTTGTAATGCACTCAAGAATGTATTTCTGTACTGTTATACATGTGCACACCAGTATGACGATCCTCTTGAAATGATGATGGGGTGTAGAAACCACAAAACAACAGATGCTGCTGCAAGAAGAAGAGAGTTTTTATCCAGTCACCAAGAGTTTGGGTATCTCGACGTGAAGACCAAGGAAGAAGAGCTTAATAACATGACAACAATCGTCAATGAAAACCATTACAAGTGCGGATTTTGCGGGAAGGCATTTGAAAGTGAGAAGTTTATATTTAACCATTTCAACAATAAACATGAGAACGAAATCAGGCGGATCGAAAAAGGCATAGAAAACTTCAAGAAGTTTATCTGTCGAATTGACTGTTTCGTTCTAGGGATTATTGAGGGCACAGATGATGATAGAATTCCGAAGTTCATCCTTCCAAATATCAAAGACGACAGAGTAGTGTACGATATGGGGGCTGTGTTCAGCGGGGAAATAGCCATCGGCAAGTAAACCTCAAAAATTGTTCTGATATCTTTACCTTTGCATATGTTTACTATCCATACTTCTGGGACGGGCAATTCGAGCCCACAAAATGACGGGCGAAAGGATACCTGTGTTTCCTACAAGAATGAATTTGAGAACAATGGAAACAAAGCAAAAGAGTGCACAAAAGGGACACTCGCTGCTAAAAAGAAAAAGTGATGCGTTGAAAGTAAGATATCGGGCAGTAGAGGATGAATACAAGAGAAAAGAGCTAGGAATCAATCAAAAAATAAGAGATGCGTTCTTTAGACTCACCGAAGCAGAGTTTCTCGGAGCTAATCTAAAAATGTTTTTATACGAATGCCAAAAGCAAAACGTATATGTGAGGTCTCGGGTAGAGCAGGTGTCAGGAGTTAGTCTTCCATTCTTCAGCCTTCAAAAGGAGAATATACAACCAATCTTATTCCTCGATAGAAGTGGTCAGTCGCTAAATGAATGCAGAGAAAAGTTCCTAGAAGTTCTAGAAATGCTTGTGGATCTATGTGCACTAAAAAACTCATTTCGGGTCCTCAACTCCATACTAATGAGTACCAATAGAAGAGTCAATGCACTGGAGTTCAACATCATTCCAAGACTAGAAAACACTGTTTCCTACATCGTTTCTGAACTTGATGAACAGGACAGAGGAGATTTCTTTCGGCTTAAAAAGGTTCAAAACCTAAAAACCAAAGAAAAGAACAACAATTAAATCCCTTTTCTCTATCTGTACTAGATACAGCACCAGCTTGTAAGGATCTTTGTTGTCTAAGGAGGGAGAAAAGACACAGGTGTTTAATTATAGAATGCAGGCTGTGTGCCGCTCCTCTCAACAACCTTCGAGTATGCCTCCTCAAAGTCCCTCTGCGTAACCATGTATCTGCTGGCCCGAACAGCAAGCATCCCCGCCTCCTGGCAGATCGAGTTGATGTCTGCACAGCTTATCTTCTCGGGCCTGCACACAAGGCTTTCAATGTCCACAGAGTCATTCAGGCTCATCTTCGATGTAATCGCATTGAACACAAGTCTCTTCTGCCTCCTGTCGGGGAGCGGAAACTCTATCTTTCTGTCCAGCCTCCCAGGCCTGAGGAGTGCAGGGTCAATCGTGTCCGCCCTGTTCGTGGCCATAATCACCTTGACATTTGCCGCCGGGTCGAACCCGTCCATCTGGTTCAGCAGCTCTATCAGCACACGCTGGACCTCTCTGTCTGCCGAGGTCGATGCATCAAACCTCTTCGTTGCAATCGAGTCCACCTCGTCGATAAACACAATCGACGGCGCCTTTTCCCTTGCCAGCCGGAACACATCCCTGACCATCCGCGGGCCCTCTCCAAGATACTTCTGCACGAACTCTGACCCGTTCACCCTGATAAACGTGGCCTTCGTGTGGTTCGCCACAGCCTTCACAAGCATCGTCTTCCCCGTTCCGGGCGGCCCATAGAGCAGAACGCCCTGCGGAGGGTCAATTCCAATCTGCCTGTACAGGTCAGACTGCAACAGCGGGAGCTCCACAGTCTCCTTTATCTCTTGCTTCTGCACATCAAGGCCCCCCACATCTCCGTACGTCACAGAGGGCTTCTCGGACTCCCCCATCACTGGAATCGTGCTGTCGACCTCCGGCGGGAGCACCCCGACAATCGCGCTCGAGTGCCTGTGCAGCGCAACAGTGGTGTTTGGCTTCAGCAGCTCCCTGTCCACAGTCGACAGAATCCTGACAACAAAGTTGCTTCCCGCAGTCGACCCCACAATCGCCGTCGAGCTGTCAATCGGCTCAAGAAACTGCCCCATTATCAGCGGAACACTCTTGACCCGGTCAAGCTCCTCCCTGCTGTGCCTCTCCTCCCTCTTGAGAGTCTCGATCTCCTTGCGCACATACCCCTCTCTTATCTCCAGGAGCCTGAGCTTCCTTTCCATTTGTTTGTATCTGACAAACAGACCGCCCTTGAGCCTTGCAGACATTAAAGGGCTACCCGTCCACAATTTATCAACATCTTGCTGCCCACAGCCGCAGCCAGGGACACAGCACACGACCCAATCTTGCCTTAAAATAAAAAATCCGCAAAGGGTGCATGGAGGAAGAGAAGATCCTGGAGTCCGATCTGAGGCATATATCGTTCGTCATGCCAAAATACACGCCCATCGAGAAGATCGGCGAGGGGTCGTTCAGCGTTGTGTACAAGGCTCTGGATGCAGAGTCCGGAAGGTATGTTGCCCTGAAGGCAATAACAAGGACCAGCTCGCCTGCAAGGGTTCTGGACGAGATGATGTTTCTGAAGACTCTTGGCGGAAGGAAGAACTGCATGGGGCTTCTCGGATGCTTCCGGAACGAGGACCAGGTGGTTGCTGTTTTTCCATACTTCGAGCCGATCGACTTCAGGGAGTTCATCTCGAATGCAAATCTGGCGGACATCAAGCGGTACCTGCACAACCTTCTGATTGCAATAGAGCACGTGCACAGCAACGGAATAATGCACAGAGACCTGAAGCCGGGAAACTTCCTGTACAACAAGGAGTCCGGAAGGGGAATGCTCATAGACTTTGGGCTGGCACAGTACGAGGAGTACAGCGAGGGGCAGCATGCAGAGGGTGGTGCAAAGCCTGCGGGGCCTCTGCTTTTCTTCAACTCTGTTGTGTCGAAGACCAAGCCTCCGGGATACTACGAAAGAGACGGCAGGCCGCCGATGAAGGCGCCAAGAGCAGGGACCCGGGGGTTCAGGGCACCCGAGGTTCTGTTCCGGTGCCAGCGCCAGACAGGAGCCATAGACATGTGGTCTGTCGGCGTGATTTTCCTGACGATCCTGACCACACAGTACCCCTTCTTCTACTCCTCGGACGACATCGACTCGATCGTCGAGATTGCAACGATCTTCGGGCATGCAGAGATGCGAAAGGCCGCAAAGTTCTACGGAAGGGTGTGGAGATCAAACATAGACTCAATTCCAGAGGAAAGAATCCCGTTCGAGACGATTGTCGAGTCGCTGAACCCGTGGGCGGAGGTCGGGAGCGACGGATACGACCTGCTCTACAGGATGCTCGATCTCTGCTCCTCGTCCAGGATCACTGCATCCGACGCCCTGAGCCACCCGTTCTTCGACGACCTGAAGACACACGAAAACTGCGCCTAGAAAGAAACACGTTTTTAATTGACATGGGGTTAATCACCCTCCCATCATCAGATCGCTGAGATATATCACCTCATCGCCGCTGTCGAAATCATTTCTGTAGACTACTGCATCGCCTATGTCCGTCCTCCCCTCGAGGTTGTCCTCGGTGCACCTGGACAAGCTTCCTTTCAAATAACAATCAATAAACAAATCTCCTTTCCTTGCCTTCCTCCTTCCATGCCCGCCAGACTTCAGCATGTACAGGGGCTTCTCTGCCTTCTCGGAGGACATAGAGCTCGAGTCCGAGCTGCTGCTCTCCTCTGCGTCTGTCTTCCGATGCTTTCCGGTATCTTGACTGGCCTTGCCGCCCTCCTTCGGGGGAGATGCACAGGCTGTGCTGGGTAGCTGCACCCGAGACTTATTTTCTGTCTGCGAGGCCTGGGCAACATACTTGGTGAGCGTGCTCATTGCAACAGGCGGTCTGGAGAGAGGCGTGCTGCTTCTTTGCACCGGAGTCAGCGTCACCGTCTTCTGGACAGTAATGGTTACCACAGGTGCAACAAGCACAAGCCCAGGCTGATGGGGAGGAGCCTGCAGGTATCTTTGTTTCAGGACACTGATTATGCTGTAGATCAGATTCACTCTCTTTCCTATCCTGTTGATTGCCTCAAGCCCGTCCGCCTGCGGCTGGGCAGCACGGGACAAAGGAGGAAGCCTTGCGTCTTGTCTAGGGCCCACAGCCGCATTCATAGAGATCGCAGACGCCGTCACAGTCTGCACCAGATATCTAGGCTGCACCATCACAGCAGACGACTGTACGCTCCTTGGCGCCTCCATCACCAAAGTCTTCAGAACAGTGTTTGTTACTGTCGTCCGGACAACTGAGGGGATCCTTATTGTCTGAGGCTCGCTCATGCTTGTCCTGCGGCTGCCTGTGCTCACCGCTGCCGCCTTGACCGTCCTGGGGTTCTTGCCGGCCACACTCTTGCCAGGAAAATATGCAGGCGACAGAACCACCGGCCCCGGGTAGTACGACGCCAGAAGCCTCCCCTTCATGCATGTCGAATCGCACTTGGGGATAAGCCTTATGACATCGCACACAATCCCCGGAATAATAAATACTGCAATGCCTACTCCTCTCCTCATATGCCACAGGACGCCCGCCTCTCTTATATTGATTCCCTGTTTCATTCCGAGGATGTGTGTTGAATTTGTTTGATCCTTCCTCTCTAGATACCCGGAGGCAGAGGCCGCAAGGGCCCACGCAGGATCGAAACAGAGCATATAAAAAACAAAAACATTGGAGGGTAAACAATGGGGAACATGATGTCCAAGGTGAACAACCTGCTGTACACAAAGCTCCGGGGGCTATTCTCCGGGCAGTCCGAGAGATCGATAACAATGATCGGGCTCGACGGGGCTGGGAAGACGACGCTTCTGCTGTACCTACAGACCGGAGAGGTGCACCAGACAGTCCCAACACTTGGATTCAACTGCGAAAACGTCACCCTTGGGAGCATGAAGTTCCAGGTGTGGGACATCGGAGGGCAGAACTCGTTCATGAGGTTCTGGCACCAGTACATAAACGAGGGGTGTGGAATCATATACATGGTTGACTGTGCAGACCCGCAGAGATTCGGGAAGTCTGGCGAGGAGCTGTGGAGGATACTGAACATCCTGAACAGCCCCAGGCCTCTTCTTGTGCTTGCGAACAAGATCGACCTGATAAGGGAGCACGAGAGGAGCGAGGTGGTGAAGAGCATCAGGAACGAGTTCAACCTCGAAAGGTACAACGGCCCGTCGCAGGTTGTGCCGATCAGCGTTCTGCAGGCTGGGTCGATGACATCTGCCAACGACGAGAATGGGAGGGAGATCATCGACGCATTCAGGTGGCTGAACAAGGAGCTTGAGAAAATGCCAAGGGCAGAGGCTTTATAAAATTAAAGGTTTAAATCAAGCTCTAGAAGATCTCAATTCCTGGGCTTCAACACACAGGTTATTTATCTTCTTGTATATAAAAGACCTATAAATTAATTAATAGGTAGTGAAAATAAGAAAATAGAAAAAAATAATAATCAAAAGAGCTAGTCATGGCTCGCATTTATTTTCCTGTCGCATGCGCCAGCATCTTATTAATATAATCAAAGACAAATAGTGATGGAAAATTCACTTTTTGTTCACCAATAAACAAATGTGATAAAAATGAGACAAGGACAGCTAATCTTCAGTGGAGCTAGGTCTTACTGTCCTTCTTTCCTCCTCACTTTTTCTTGTGTCGGCCCGGAGCCCGGAAGCTATCTCGTTTCTCACAAGTGCAAGCTCGTCGCGGCTGAAGCCTTCCATGGGCTTTCTGCTGCAGATCTATTTACAGAGTCTCTACCGAGGCAAGCATTAATTTTCTTTAATTTTAGATTCCGTCTTGGCAAACGACCCGTCGATTCTCTTTTCTATTGCCCCGCTGCTCCTGCTCCTTCTTGTGGCCATCAGCCTGGGAAACGTCCTTGCTGCAGTGATCCCGATCACCGCTACGAGGAGGACTATGGACAGCGTGTGGAGACTTGCAATTATGTCGTTTCCGTCGATGAGGGAGGAAAAGACCATTTTGCAAGTCAATGGTTTCCAAGATATACTTAGCAGCTTATTTTGAAATGGACGGAGGACGCCCATTGGTCAGGGGGCGGGCGAGCTGACCACTAATCTGGGCTGTCTGCGCGGGTTGAGATATTGCGGGCAGTGGTGTAAGTGCTGCGGGCAGGGGCCCTGGAATGGGACGCCTGTGGCAAGCAGCAAGGGGCTGTGGCGAGGTGTTTGGAAGGAATCTTAGGGCCGAGCTTGAGGCGAGCGGCAGGCTTCGGGATGCTTGTGCCTCGGTGGCAAGGGAATACACAAGGTGTGTGTCCTTTGTTCGGGGCACCCGTGTGTTTGGTGCCGGGAGCAGGGTGCTTGAGGCGTCGGTCCGCGGGATGAGGCTTTCGGACGCGTCGATAGAGGCAGTCCTCGGAATGGCCAGGGGCCCCGGGCTCTGGCCTGCAGGGGCTCTGGGGAAGCAGGGCGGGATGCAGAGGAGGCTGGACACGATGTTTGGGATTCCGCAGTACTATGGAGGAGTCCGGGGCGGGGAGTCTCGCGGTGCGCCCGCTGCAGATGGAGGGTGCAGGACGCAGAGGGTGGATGGAGGGCTGGCGGTGTACAGGACGGGAGTGGGCCAGAGGATGCGGTCCCTGTGGTCGTGGATCTGGTCCCTTGGCGGGCTGGGGCACAACGACTCTGTGATAAGGGAGATTGAGGACTGTCTGGTGCCCGGGATATTCGGGAGCATAGGATCTGGCGGCGGGGCGAGGCATCTGTGTTCGGAGAGCGGGGAGGCAGACGTATGCAATCTTGGCAAGGAGATGGAAAGGAGCTGCGGGCCTGGGGCAGAGGTGGTTGACATCAGGAGGATCGAGACGTCCGGAAGCGCCAGGGAAAAGAGGTTTGAGTCGCGCTTTGAGGTTGAGGCAGCAGGGAGGAGCGGCAGGCATGTGTTTCTTGCACAGGGAAGGTTTGAGCCTGGGGGCGGCAGAGGAGGGTGGCGCCTTTCTGGGCTTACGTGGGCCAGGGTGGCGTGACAGACTCCAGGGAGGATGACGGAGGAATAATACGGTTTATTCGTTGTAGGCAAATATAACCCTCGGGAACTTACTCATTCTTGCTCTTTGTCTCCTTGTCTTTCTTCTAAGCTGTGTCTTTGTAAGGGCCCGTCTCTTGCTCCTGTTCAGCTTGGGTCTGAGCTCCTTCGGAAGCTTGGAGACAGGAGTTCCCCTGTACGCCTCAACCAGCTCCTCAAGAATCTTCTCGCGCCGGACAGTGAGTGCGCGGGCCAAGTTCTTTTTGGCCGTCTTTATGTCGTTCGCGCCGACATCCCCGCTGTTCTTCTTCTGCCGGAGGGCCGCCAGGTCCGCCTTGATCTCTGCAGCCCTCTCCTCAATCTGCTTGATGCCCAGCTGCCTGAGAGCCGATGCCTCGATCTTCATAGGGCTTCGGAATGGAAAAGATTTGAGAGCAAAAATCGGAGGATGGCCGGGGGGACAGGGCAGAGGGATGCCGGGACGAGCCTAGAGAAGCAGCCTCGGGCCGACGAAGAGAATGTTTTCTCCCCTCAGAAACAGCACCTTGTCCTCGGAGCCCTCGACAGAGGAGCATGTCAGCATCAGATTTATGTGCTCGTCAAATCCCTCCAGAGTTCCTGTGTATGCCTCTCCACTCTTCGTCTTGACCTCCACCCTCTCCTTCAGATACATCTTCAGAAAGCAGAACGGGTCGAGCATCCAGGAAAGTGGGGCTCCGGGGCTGGGGCTTCTTGTGGGCCCGCAGGGAGGCGCCAAGGGCAGGGTTGCAGGCACTCCTCGGCAGGGATTTATGGAGCGGCCGGGCAGCCCTTTATGAGATACCTGGAGCTGGGATGCATATCCAAAACAAACAAACTCTTCCAGAAGCTGCAGGACCTCAATCCCCTGCTGAACATCGAGATCGAGGCATACTCCTGCAAGTCGAGCAGGCGGCAGAGGGGTAGGTTTGTGGAAAAGCCCCTTGGATACCTCCTGTCCGCGCTGGAGCTCCGGTTTCCAGACTACGACTTCTGCGGGGAGTCGTGGGGGTCGTTCAGGAGGAAGACTCTGGCAGAGGTCCTGAACGAGATGACGTACTCGATCAGTACGACACATAAGAACAGCGACGATGTGAAGGAGTTCGTGGGGTTTCTTGAGGTGATTCTCCACAGGTCTGTCTCTCTGGGCGGGTGCGAGATATTTTCGTACGAAAACAGGATGGGGCCGTTTGAGGACTGCCTCTGGTACTTTTCGTTCCTGTTCTTCAACAAGAAGCAGAGGAGGGTTGTGATGCTCAATGCATTTATGAGCAGGAGCTAGCGGTGGCAGGCTCTGATGCATGGCTGTGTAAGGAAATCAAGTGGGTTGCCGGGTTTGCCGGAGTTCTTGGCGGGGGGAGCGTCGGTTGTTCTTCCGGAGGATGGCGGCGGTGGAGGCCTTCCTTCTGTCTGTTGGTGCACTTGTCCTCTGCTCCTTGTCCAGGAGGCTTCCTTCTTCTTTCCTGCGGGGTGGGGATATATGGAGTACTCGACTGCAGGGAAGCGTGCCTCCTGGGCAGAAAGGCTCAAGGACGGTTGGGAGTAGGGAGATTGTGGGGCTGTTTGTGCTTCTTCTCTTCATTTTGTGGGGCTTTCTCTCAATGGAAGAGGCAGATATAGGATAGCGGATGGAGTGGGGAACAGCCCAGTAGGATTGTAGTGGAGCCTGTCTTTATGATGGAGTTGGCAAGGACATTTGACTGCAGCCTGGGCAGGACTCGGGGTCTGTTGGAGGTGCTGCGGAGTTTGTTACTCTTGGGACAGTGCTCTGCAGCACGGAGAGCGTGGTCTGCAGGCTTGGATTACATGATGGCGGGCTTGGGCATCAAAAGTGGCAGAAGTGGTGGCCGGTGTGACTGGGCCCGAGGATGAGAAATAAATGTGGTAAGTTAGTGTGATTAGGTTTTGCGGAACCTCCTGCTGGGCTTTATGTTAGTGTGGGACTTGTGTTTGTGCCATTCTATGTGGATAGCGGTGGCGTTGATATGGGATAAGGAATGCTGCTGGGGTGGGCGCGACTGTGACGGGGTCTCGGCTTTCTCCTCTCCTGGGATGCTTAGCGGCGTGATATGTGCGGGTAAATGATGCTATGGAATATTAGATAATTAGATAATAAGCGGTGGGTCAATGAGGCTCTGGAGATGAAGTGTCTTGAAAGGGAAGGGGAAAGGAGCGGCACAATGGATGTTTGGAAGTCAGACACCCTCGGATGATGAGGACATGGATGGTGTATGTGGTTGGGTTGGTTGGAGAGCTGTATGGCTCTCAGGTGGAGGAGACTAGAGAAATGAGGGAGATGAAAGAGGCACTTGAAAGGCTCTTTTCCCGCAGGCTGAGCGACTCTGAAATAGAAATGGTGGAGTCGCTCGAGGATGGAGGAAACTTCGAGACAAGGGTGTTGGTTCCGGTTATTTTCCACAAGGATAAGGTTGTTGTGTCACCGGCAGCGAGATATCGGGATATTGAGAAGGAGGAGAGGGTGTATGTGGAGGAGGTCATTAGAAGGCTTCGAAGTCTGGTGTGGCATTCGATGGTATACATATATGTACCCAAGAATAACGACTGGATTATGGATTTAATATGTGAGGTTTTGGAGATGAGTTCGCCGCAGAGATTGGATGATGTTGCTCTTTACAAGGATACGGGAGGGAAGTGCGGG